TCTCATCTAATATGGTTTCATCTTGAGGAATACAAAATCACCCACTTCTAATTCAACTCCTCTAAAATGTTTATCTATATTAAACTTCATCCTCACTCGTACTTTATACAAGTTGAATTTTAAAATCTTGAAGATAGCACTTCATTCTGAAAGCAATTGATCTATAACATCAAGAGGTGAAGTAGATGTCTCATTTTGATAAGTTTTGGGGGTTCCTTATAATATGCTACTCAGAAAAGGGTCATTTTAATAAAAAAATTATATGAAGTATTGTAGCTATATTCTACTTGGTGAAGTCATAATTTCTACTCTTTCAACTTATCAAAAATTGTACATCTCAAGTAATTTTCTAAGCATTTATTGACTACTTCAATATGTCTATCTATTTGAGGGTGGTAAGAAGAGCTAAATTTGACTTCAATCCTTTGTAATGTGTGTAGCTCACACCAAAATGCACTTAAGAATATTTGTCTCTTATTACAGACTACTATTTTTGAAAAACCCTTGAAGTTTTATATTTTCTTTGATGAATACTTGATTGACCTCCTTGATTGAGAATGGATAATATAGAGTAATAAAATAACTATACTTACTTAATATATCCACTATGACTAATATTACATTCGGCTCATATGATTTGAACAAACCTTCAATGAAATTCATTAAGGATCTTTACATATTTGTGTAAGTATAAGCAATGGTTGTAGAAGTTTAATTGGCAAAAATAAAAAAGATTTACATTACAAGTAATTAAGGTAATAAATTATTGATATGTATCTTTATATCTCTCTTTATTTCTTGCTAATAGAACTGTTGCGAAATTCTATGGTATGTTTTTTGGAGCCCAAAATGACCTCCCATTAGGCTTTCATAAAATAAATATAACACTCTAGTAATTAAAGGGGAATTATTTGATGTATCTCTCTTAGATAAAGAAGTTTTAATATGTCTTGGTCCACAACTAGTTGAACAACTTTGAGATCAATGGAGTGATGTGCTATTACCTCATTTAGTTCAACTTTGGAGAAATAACGAAGACAAGTTAATGCATCTATAGCCTTATTGTTCTTTCCCTCATATTTAATTTCAAAACTATAGCTCATTAATTTTACCAAATATTTATGATATTCAATATAAATTTTCTTCTATTCAAACAAGATTAAGATTATATTGGTCTATTCTGATGATAAAATGTTGACACATAATATAATATCTCTATTTCCTTATTGTAATATTATGGCCATCAACTCTTGCTCATAAGTCGATTTCAATTTAGCTCTCATTAGAAGTGCTTAACATAAATAAACTATTGGGTGCCCTTGTTGCATGAAAACAACCCCAAACACTTAATCCAAAAGTGTCAGTTTTCACAAAAAATTATTGTAAATTTTTTGGTAATGCTAATATTGGAGCACTAGTCATTACTTGTTTAAAGGTAAAGAAGGTGACTTGTGCTTTTCCTAACCAATAGAATACATCTTTCTTAGTAATGTGTTAGTGATCACACAATTGAAGCATAATTAGTGATAAATCTTTTGTAATATCCAATGGGCCCTAGAAACCTACAAAATTCTTTAAGATTTCTAAGAATTGGCTAATTAGTCATAAAAAATATCTTCTCCTTATTGGCTTCTACTCCTTTTGTTGACACCTAGTGGCCCAAATACTTTAGCTTACTTCTCTAAATTTATATTTGTTGATATTTATATGAAGAGAATTTCAAAGATAATAAAGAATACATTTCTTATATGATGCAAATGTTCAACAATCGTAACCCTATTTACTAGTATATCATTAAAAAAAACAAATACGAACCACATTAATTGATGTTGGAATATTTGATTTATAAGTGATTGAAAGGTTGCTGATGCATTTGACAATCCTAAATACATGACTTTAAATTCATAATGATCGTGATGAGTTTTAAATGTAGTCTTAGGTGCATTTTTTCTTTCATTTTGATATGATAATGTCATGATTAAATTAAGTTTTGAAAAAAAACTAATTTCCCATGTAATTCATTTAGTAGCTCATCTACTATTAGAATATGGTATTAGTTAAGAATTGTAGCTTTATTTAAAATTCTATATTCTATAAAAACTCTTCATCCACTAAGACTTGCATAAAGATTGTACAAATGTTGTATGACCTTTGTTGATATGAGTTCTCAGATTATTATTTCAATCTTATTTTTCTAAAAATGAGAGTATTTGTAAGGCCTGAAGCTAGTAGGTTTCGTTCCGAGTAATAGATGAATGGTATGATCAACATGGTGCTTAGGTGACCTTCTTGTCAATGCTTCAAAAATCTTGAGATATTCTCATTTCAAGTTGATTTCTAGATCATTAGGTGCATTATGTCTTTATTTGAGTAAATATGATGCAATTCAACTATATATATATTGTTACTCTTAAGTTATTTTCCTCCTCTTCTTGGTGATGTATTAATTTTTATGATACTAGGGTCCTCTTTGAAAAGGTGAATTTTACCTCCTATCATCAATCTCATTATAAACTTCTCATAATTTGAAAGGATCCACCTTAGAGTTCTTAATCACTGTATATCTAAAATCACATCCATGCCACTCAATTCTAATAGTGAGAAATCTTGTATTATCAATACATCTTATGTATGAAGAGGAATAATCTTGCAAATTGTTATTTTTCTTATTGTGTTACTATTATCCATAACTATGTTGTAGTCATTTAACTTCTCCATTTATAAGGATAACTTGTCAATTATTTTGGTGCACAAGAAATTATGAGTTACTTAGTTGTCAATGGTATAGACACCTTGACGTCATAATTTTTTTCCGTAGTTTCATAGTCCCTTGTTGAGTAATTCTCATGATTGAATTTAAGGACACGTGCAATGAAGGCATTCTCATCTGTGTTGTCATCCTCTACACTCTTTTAGTCTTCATCCATAGTAATAATGTACACCTCATTTTTACAATAGTACCCTAGAGCAAATTTTATTATAGTAGTAACAAAGTTTTTTTATATTTTCTCTTTTGAAATTCCTAGTATGTCAATTTGAGTATCTTGTAATTATTCATAAGTGGCTTGGATGTCATAGAATTTCCCCTTGATGTGCTTTTTGTTGAATTCTAATATTATTTTATGAAATTACCTATATTATTTATATTATGGAATTCTCTTATATAAGAGTCATGACGTGTTTGAAGTGATTTGTTGTAAACTCATTAGTTGTTGCAATAAACTCTTTATCTTGGACATCTTTAACTATTTCTCCAATTGACTATTAAAGTCAGGTCAATCTCGAGATGGAAACCTATCTTCTATCTAGAAGTATCATTCTAAGGCTTCTCCCTCTATACTCAACATAATTTTCTTTAGTCTATCATGCTCTAGCATGGGGTTTAGGCAGAAATATCTCTCAACAGATTTTATCCATCCCTTAGGCCCATCTCTTTGGAAAATTGATAACTCTATCATTTGATTTATTTATGTTTGATCATCTTGTGAAGCTTGGCTCAAATGAGTGGTGACATTATATGGTTGCCTTAGTTACTCTCTTGGATCTTCATTTGGATGCAAATTAAAGTATTGATCCCTTGTGGATAATTTTTAGAGAATCTAGTTAAGGATTTATGTTTGCTCGATTAGGGATTGTTCTTGCTTAACATATTTTTATTTTAGTGATGTGACCTCATTTTCTAGTGAAGTCATATGATGTGCCTTAGACATGGTGAGCATCTACCAATCAAGGTAGGTTTTAATTTGTACTAGATGATCATTCTTCCTACAACATATCTACCAAATCTTTTACCAATGTTCTAACTTTTTGAAAAATAATATGGAATTATGATCAAATAGAATTATTATAAGAATTACCTTTGTTTTCTTAAATTCGTTGTAATCCAAACTTGAAACGAATTTCTGCTTCAGCTTTGCTAGTTCGATCCCTATTAGGGTGCAAACAAAATCTTGCTCTCTTAAAAAGACCAAGATGTCCTACTTTGATACCAATGTTAAGAACCTCTCAATTTTTGGTGATTGTACACCCAAATCCTACCTTAGAAGTGGCTCCACTCATGGAATTAACACTTCTCTTGTATTGGAGAACCATACATAAGAATTAACAATGGAAAATGGAAAGACAATAGAAGAATATCAAATAATAAAAAGAGTTCTTGAGGTCAAATCAATCCTCAAGAATAGGAAGCCTGAATCGCACCTCCCCAAGGACAAATCACTTGCTTTACTCCTCTATTTTCCTCCCCCCTTTTTATTTGAACCTCTTCTATTTTATAGGCCCTAGCACATTATTCTATGATAGTCTCCTCTCAATGTGAGGGTTTAGGTCATTTTTTGTAGACGATGGTTGACTTCATAACATATTATCAATCATAGGCCATCAAATCTAAGAACAATCCCAACTTATTAAATTCATGTAGATGACTCATATTGTTGTCATTGTGATGCTTAGGTGGAGCTTACATACCATCTACTTGTAGAATCTGCTACAAAGGAGACCTAATAATTTGGGGAAAATATGTCCTTGTTGTAGAAAGGCGTCAATAATCATTTGTGATTGAATGATAAGATGGGTATGACTTCATCTAAAGAAAGCACATATAATCTTTCTATATTGTGCAAGTTTCAGTATCAAGAGATGACAAGAAGAAATTTTGCTGAAGTTATTAGACCATCCAATTGAAAACTAATGGACATTGAGAAGAGTAAATCCCTCAATTTAATCTTGAGTTTATCTTCTTATTGACTAAATATAGGTTTATCCTAACAAATCTCTTCACATTCAAATCCCTTATTGGACTCTAGCATATGACCAACATAACATGAAGAATTTTAGGAGCAAGAAACATGTAAAAGAAGCCTAGATTTAGACACACCATAGTTGGAGCACTCAATTCAATAATATATACTTGCTCTCATTGGTTATACTTTTTTCTAAATAATTCTCAAGTAATATGTGAGAAGCTACATTTAATTATCTCATTTGTCAACAAGACAAGGTTAAGTGTACAATGTAAGTGGAGATACTACAGCCCATCCCCATCTAGACAAACCATGACAAATGATTACCATGCATTTTATCATCATCTTGTCACGAGTCAACTACAATGATGTCATCATGGTTATAGTCAACAAATTGTCCTAAGTATTCTATAGAGGAAGTCACAAAGCTTTTCATGACACATCATTAAGTTGTGGGGAGTGCTACAAGTCTTAACTCACCAACTAATTCTTAGATACTTTATTGTCAAAATTCAATACCAAATTCTACTTGTTGACAACATGTCATCTACAAATGAACAAGTAAATGGAACAAGTAAACATATTACTTGAGTATATTTGAGATTATTTGACAACACTATAGGAAAAATAAGTGTAGCTCTTGGACACAGCCCAATTTGTCAACTTCTGTTGAAAGGCCTCATTATATGATATTTTCCTTTTGAGTTGACAATTAAATTCTAGTCAACCACCTCAACCAACTTGATGAAGATGTCAAGACATTGTCCAACAGTGCAATAGATGGCCAAGCAACATGAGGAGATGTTGGATGATGCCATATAAGCCTTAACCCAAATAATCGACCACATGAAGAAGAAAGTTGATTGCAATGTAAAATTGACTTAGAGATTAGTGACAAAATAATTATGCAAGTTGTCCCAATAGTTCACAAGGGCATGCACAACACTGGTACCCCAGCCTTCACCCTTAGTATGAAGGATATGTTGAGGTCATTAAGTGCATAGGCCAAGCAACATACCTCTCCACTTGCCTCTAAGTCTACACCTTATCTTTCACATCTCTTCCCATGATAATAAAGAGACAATGAAGAACCATAACACAACATACTGCATTGTCCTCCCCTTTCAATATGGGTGCCCTTCACCATGAATGTCAAAGCCATCTTAGACCATAGGGTTATAAATGGTAATTATTTTCATCGCCATTCATGCACCAGATATCTAGTATAGTGGAAGAACAAATTTTATATATGTACCCACCTGATATCTTGGTACATATGCAATGTTGAAGACACATGGCACAACAAATAAAGGCAACACAAAAGGTGCACATGACACAACAAGCGCATGACGTGAAAGATGCATTTGGCATAATGAGCAAATATAATGCAGAGGATGCAGGTGGCATGACAAATTTGCATGGTGTGGAGAGCATATGGAGTGACAAGAGTTGAAGGGGTCCACAACGACTAGTTTACAACCTTGCCCCTATATAAAGGGGGGGAATGCCCACTATATGAGATGAAGTGGAAATCACTAAGGGTTCTACACCTTTAGCACAAAAGGATGCAGGACAATTGGCTAGATGCCATGAGAGCATGCACCACTGTCACAAAGGAGCACAACCTTTGTCACCTAGCCTACCCCACAAAGCCCCAATACATTTCCATGTACTCAACCTAGAGAGAGAGAGAGAGAGAGAGAGAGAGCGAGCTTGAACTCATTTATATTCACACAAGTGACGCATTCAAGTAAATAGAACCAGTGCACTTCAATTTCTAAATATGCTGCTCAAGGAGAGGAACAAACTCTAAAATTCCCCACGAGCCAACAATCAGGTACCCACCAACCACCAACATTACTTAAGTAAATTTAATCAAGCCCTTGAAAATATAAATATAATCTTCATAAATGAATCACAAAACCCTACCTATGTATGTGGCATCTCTTAATGTTTAAGCACATCATACCAATTATACATAAATCCTCAACATCGATTTAACTCACAAATTAATTCACATAAATATTCATCTTCACTAAATAAGGAATTATTGTCGATCTGAGAGAATATTATCTAAATGAGCGCAAAACCCTTACGTTCACTAAATCGACAATCCCTGACACCAAAAATTGACAAAAGAGTATGCTTCAAAAATATACTTCCTCTCAACTAAGAAACATGGCGGTATCAACAAAGTTTTCACCATATTTGCAATATTTCATAGGAATCTGGCGCCTGTGAACTTGAAATGTTCTTCAGTGTTACCGTATTATGAGGCACAGTTTGGTTCTAAACACAATTTCAGCTAATTTTGTGCTAGATCAAAAGTAAGCAGGAGATTTATATAAATCTCATTTAAAAACCTATTGTTGTAAACAGACTATTCTAAGTGGTATTCAACCGACTAGGATTCACAAACAGAACGCAATTTCTTTTGACAAAGGTGGATAAAGGCATATTAAAGCCAACTTACCAGCCAAACATCATAAATAGACATCAATTTCCATCACAATATAGCTACTTAGTTCACAAAAAAGATAATCTTCACTAAATCAATCATTCTGGAAACAAAGATGAAGTGACAACCGATTTCAGCTAATTTTCCACCAAATTCGCATTAATTCGTAAGAATTTTGAGCCCACAAGCTTGAAGATATTCGTCAGTTTTACCATATTATGAAGTTCAATAAGCTAGATCAAAAGCAAACGAGTCATAACATAAATATTAAGTTTTACATCAATTACGAGAAACACCAGCAGTGGACACCCAACAGCTGAAAGTACACGCCTCTAGGGTCTAAACACTGTTTGAAACCAGAATATACAGATAAAGATGGCAAATATCCAGTGATTCAGGTTATAATCGAACATGTAAGGGTCATGGCATTAGGTGCCAACTACCCCAGAAGCTTTTACAGCTCCTACAGAGGAAAGCAGACGCCATCTCCACCTACTCAGTCCCATGCATGGGAACCATGAGGTGATGAGCTTGAGAATGCATCATTTCAACACCCTGCAATGGAACAGAGAAGACACATGAAGGTTCCTCATCAAGTAGTCCATCTCTAATTTTTATGTACATTTGAAAATATGTTTAACAGAAAAGTAAATTCGAAAAAAGCAGACGTAGAATGATAAAGATTAAACAGATTTCTAACCCTGTTGTTCCACATTGTGAAGAAGAGACATGTAGAATGATACCTGTTTAGCCTCTTCATTAAGAAAGGTGGTGGTTGCTACAGTAGAAACGCAGAAAAGAAGAGGCAAAACACGCCAAGTCATAGAGATTCGCACAAGGCAAAACAAGAATGGTACAAATGGATGATGCAGGTAAACCAGAGACTTGGCATGGGGCAGGTTCTCTTCAGCCTAGACAAATAGATGGAGAATTTGAAGATGTGGCATTGAGACGTGGTCAAAGGCCCTACCTTGCTGGTACAAGTGTATGAGACACGAACATTAACTTTTCCAACAAAGGATGAAGTTGCAGTAATATGTCCGAGACAGACTACATCCTCAAACCTGATCCGACAAAGTTTCATCCAGTAAGCCACCTGAAGCTGATACTTTAAGGATATGACTAGATAGGAGTTCTTGGCTAACTTGAGATAGAATGCAGATATGTCTAGCGGTGCCTACCAGTGGACATTAAAAAAAATTGATCTTCATCAGCTGCTTGGCCAACTCTCTAGAATATTTTACCAAGCACCTAGATAGAATCACTCTGATGGGTTTATCAAAACCGACATTAATCCAAGTGGGTAGAAATTGATTAGTCAAACACATTTCTCAGCTCCCTACAGCCAGTATAATCAGAGACCAATATTGAAAAAAAGAAGAGAGAGTATATAAAGCATAATATATCCATTTAATAAGAGTCACTGGAAGCATAAGCAAAAAAAAGAACGAGCACTTGCAAGCGCCCAACTGCAAACCGAGGTTAAATTTTGAGTGAGAAAACAATTATTGACCGTACTGTATATCATATAAAAACATGAGGGAGACAATAGACTGAAAAAACGTGTGACCTTTATGAAAACCTACCAGATTCCTGCGAATAATAACATGGTGAATAAAGCCTAACTCAAAGCATCTGACAGGAAATAGGTGACTTCCACCTGCGCATTCGAAGTAGATTGACTTCCACCTTGGGAGACGCTTCCATCTTTCCTAGCAGAGCCTTTCGCGTCACCCTATCGAAACGTCCATTTTCAAGTAAATTTCAGAGTACTAATGGCCAAAACGGAATAATAAGGAGAAGCAATAGGAAAATGTTAATCTGTTACCTCCATCTGCAGAATTATTGTAGCCCAGGACCACGAGATTCGGGAACAAAAGGAAGAAAAACAAGAGTAATCTTTCAGATGATTGAGCATATAACCATAACTAAAACGACATTGGCGAGATATACTTTCGCCAAAAAAAGAATACCTCTCTATACTTCTGCAGGTAGTTTTTTAATGGGTCGATGTAATCCTCAAACCCTAGCGTGGCCATGGCCCAAAGCAGATCGTCGCCATTTATTGTCTTGCGCTTTTCTCGCTGGCACTTGTCGCTCGCCCTGAATTGAGATCGGAATTAAAAAACATATAGAAAAAGAGGAAAAATGAGATGTGAGAAGAAACTAATAGGGATGCAACGAAAAATAGCAATAAGAGACGTTGGAACGATATGGGAGGGGTAAAAGAACAAGCATAATACACCACTTACTCGCTGGTTATGAAGCTGATGAACTCAGAGACGCACTCTTGCACGGTTTCCTTCGCGTCCTTGGCAATCTTACCGTTCGCCGGAATCGCCTTCTTCATGATTCTGCTTATATTTGCGATTGGAAGAAAGCGATCCTGCTCCCGCACATTCGACCGAGGGCTGCCATCGCCGCCACTCTCGTGACTGCCCCCAGCCCCGGGACTCGAGGGTGCCGGCGCCTCCGCCATTCCTCACGGAAACCTAGATCCATCATGACCATCCGGAAAAAAAAAGGAACAACACCACCGGCGAGTTATGAAATCGCAAAACTAGACGAGCCTAGCAAACCCTAGATCCGCCCAGAGTATCTGACTGCCAGCCCGTTCTCGACCTCCCCCATAACTTGTTACCTCGAGGAGCGAACGTAAGCCCGCGGTGGGCAGGGGAACTAGTTTGTATATTTGGCGCGCCGCTGGGGGAGAGAGGGATCGACGGGATCGTCTCGTTCCCAGGGGGAAGGAGGAGATCGGACGCTGGAGAAGGGTGGGAGAAGGAGACGACTGGGATGAGGGCAGGAGAACTCCCTCTCTCTTATCTGCGCCGTCCGTTCGCCCTCTCCCTCCCCTCTTTTTTTTATAGCCCCTCCTTCGCCGCCTCCTTTGTCGGAAGCCGGACATCCGAAGAACTCTCTCCTCCGCTTCCCCCCTACAAATCCGGAATCAGAACGCCGTCAAGGAGACGGTAACGCCGTTCATACGGGGCCGGACAGCTGGCGGCGATTGCAGGCCGCCGTCCTCCCCACCGTTTGGGGCTACCAGAGGGACGGTCGGAGGCGGAGAAGTCGGGCCCGGTCTGGGCGGCCCTTTGAACCGGTCTCGCTTTTATTTTCAGCTAAACAAAAAAATAACATGCAGAAAATTAGATCATTAAAAAGTTTCCATTTTTAGTTATACAAAATTTAGATCATTTGACTCTGACCAGATGAAATTTGACTTTGTGAGTAAATCTGTTCAAATCAACAGCTCTGTGTCCCATGTTTCTCTCTCTTCAGCTGGAAACCAGAGATAAAATAATGGGTCTCTCTCTTTCTCTCTTTCTCTCTTTCTCTCTTTCTCTCTCTCTCTCTCTCTCCACAAAATCTTGAGAACCCAGGCGGGAATCGGCTTCTCCCAAACACATGGAGAAGCCGGGTGCGGCGTACTGCTGCGGGAATCGCTTCTCTTTACAGAGGAGGGGCCGATTCTAAACCGTGGCGACTTTACAACAGGAGGGGGGTTGGGGGAGGGATTTCCTCTTCGCGCCGTCGGATCTCATCGAATGGGGATACCACGTCGGAGGGCCCCAATGGCTCGATGGTAAATAAGATGTGGGACGAGGGGCCTGTGTTTCAGTCATCGTCCACGTCAGCCAAGGCGGCGGCGAAGGAGAAGGGCCTGAACTTGTAGCCGTCGCCGTAGTAGAACTTGCCCTGGAACTCGACCCAGTGTAGGCGGAGGGAGTGGAGGAGGGCGCTGAGGGTTTCCATCATGAGGAGGACGAAGGTGGTGGCGAAGGCGAACACCGCCAGCCCCAACAGCCGGATGATGGCGTTATCGTACCTGCCGGCACAGGATAAGATCAGAGAAGGTTTTCTTTCAAGCACACAACGGAAAGGCACTGATAGGCCGCCTGCAAGAAAGTCAGAGGGCGGAGGAACTTACCCCCATGCGAGGAGGAGGACCTTCTCGAAGAAGACCGTTGACAGCTCGGAGTGAGCCAAGCTGGGCACCAGAGATAGAGAGAGGTGAGTGAGTTTGTGTGTGAGAGAGAGAGAGAGACAGAGAGACAGAGAGGAGGGGAGAGATACCTCAAGGCCCAAAGACGGAGATACGATGCCGTGTTGGATACTGCGCCCAGTATGAACTCGATGGAGTGGATCATCTGATGGACGAATACCTCGCTGAAGTTGAAGTCCTCAACGTGAGGCCTCGCGGAATCTGGCTCCGAGTCGAGATCGATCTCGGAGGTCACAAGGATCCCATAAGTGCGCCCCTGGAACCGCTGCAAGAACAGAGACAAAGAGAGAGAGAGAGAGAGAGAGAGAGTTAGAGAGAGAAAGAGAAAGAAAGAAGACGATATAAAACTTTACCTCGGTATTGAGCTTCCTCAGAATGAACGGCTTAGGAAAGAGCATCCAAGGAATGGCTATGATTGCCACGAGCAACAGCAAAATCTGAAACAGGAATCCGGTGGTCACACTAGGCACAACATTTTATCCTTTTCAAGTTTATTTTTACAATCACTAGAGGTTAAACATACGTTTAATTCTGTAATTCAGATAAATGGAAAACATTATAATTCAAAATACAACATACATTTCTTTCAATTCTACGTTCGTTCCATTGCCACACAATTGGCTGATACTAATCAGATTGTGTGTTAGATTTCTGGGAAAGATAGTCACAAAAATGGAAAAAATAACCAGACAGCGGACATGATGATGATACCTGAAGTGTCCTCTGGCCCCAGAACAGCTGGTTTTCTTTGAGATCATCGGTGGGGCTGAGGAACATGTAGATCATCACGTGGTACAAATCGGCCTGCGAGCCGGAGCACCACTTGACCACGATGAGCAGTGCAAGATAACCGAAGAGGCTGTTGAGGAAGATGATCTGCGGAGTGAACTGGTACCTGAACGCCGATGATTCATGGTGGTGAGTTCTTTTCGAGAAGTAAACTGTCCATGGACAGTAGGGTTATTTGGTTCCACCCCCCACAGACAAACTAAGTTATTGATATGCTCCTTTATTTTTCGATTCTACTTCTAGGCCCTTGAAAACTACCACTCGTTATATTTACTTAATTAATAACCAAAATATACTCAGATGTAAAAAGGCCAAATAGCCCTCGTAATCAAATTCTCTCTCTCTCTCTCTCTCTCTCTCTCTCCCTCTTCCTGGGGGGGTAAGAAAACATTAAGGCGGGATGAAACGTACCAGATATCAAGGGAGGTCCCAAAGAACTTTGCATTGAAGAAACTCAAGATGATGCCCAGGTTCATCTGGGTCACGCCAAACAAGATGGACATCTTCATCTTGAGGGAGTTCAGGAAGGGCAGCTCAGTACGGCTCCCCCGCCAGCGGGGGTCCACACCGAACCGATATGGTTCTCGGTACTTTATTAGGCCGGCGGTGCAATGAGTACTGATCAGAGGACATCAAACATAATTCAGATAAACAATAAAAAAATAGAAATCGCTTCCAATTTTGAAGTACCAGGGACTTGAAAGAAATTAACACAGACCAAACCCATTGATGGGAAAATAATGAGGAATGAGAAGAAGCTGGCACCAGTTCGTTAATCATCATTGCCTCTGAATATAATTACTATTAATTTAGTCAACTCTGACCCACAGACATTCTAATTTGGTCAACTTTGACTTCACTGCACAGAGATACCGGAATCAAGTGGAGGCTACTCCATGCAGACATGGTGAATTCCATCTCCCACACTAAATGAAGAACAGGATGAGTTTTTTTTTTACTTCTTTTTTTCTGGGAGAGAGTGGAAATCGAAGGCATAAATAAAATAAAGGAAATAAAGCAAAAAAAGAAATGTCCACTACACGTGAGCGGATCCAACAGATTATGATACCAATGGAAGAAAAAAAGTTGATAAACCATGGCGTCAGATGCATGTATGAATGACCGTAAATATCTATATAAATTTGCTGATATTAGCTAGTGAATTCTTTACCTGAGATTGGGTTCGCGACATTTATAGGCGGAAGAGCCAAATATTTGAAAAGAACGAGAGAAAAATTCGTTGTATATCAAGCCACAGTAAATGGAAAACAGTGACATCAACAGAAGCACATAACGCCCTCCAAAAGCCATCTCCATGAAGCTCCCAAGCCTCTGTGAGAAATACAGCACGCCGTCAGCAAAGCAGAGAAGAAAGTCTTTCTCAAAAGGCCACTACGAACATATCTAGTGATAGAGATAATGCTTCTAAAGGGTGCGGAAAAAGAAAGTCAACGATCAAAGGAGTTGGCTGAAATTGAGCACCCGAAACTCCATCTCTAGCTTAATACCAGTGGCAGAAGATGTCCATCCTTCACACAACTGTCGTTTGTTTCAAGTATTCTATTATACAGCAACTAGACCGGTACAGCAGCCTAATGGCACCAACCGGGGGTTGGATGAAATATGTCAGCATTTTATATCAGACAAAAATCGAATTTTCAGCAGTGTTTCAGAAAAAAAAAAGGTATTTGCTGCAGTCAACCCACGAGGGGATAGATATTTCTTTTAGAAAAAAGGACGATAATACAGTAAGCTTCTTTGAAATTGATGGCGGTCAGAGCAATCAAGGCAAGATAGAAGGAATCATAAAGATATAGCGGCAGCTACAATATAGTGAACATGTGCCAAAAGGAACTCTGAACAAATGAGAAAAACTGGTCATCGAGTCTGTTGATGATAGACAATCGACTGATATGACTCCAGATAGTCTAAGGACTATAATGGAACAAGATGAATCAGAAATAGGATGAGGCATAATAGAGTAATCCCCTCTAAATTTGAATTGTCGTGGCCTTGTAGACATCACAGAGCTATATAGTATAAATCATACTGGAAAGTATACTGGTCCTCCAAATTAATTTCTCTAAATTAGCACACAGACCAAGATGATGTTAGGCTTTGGAAGCTGATTGAGCATAGATTAATACAAAGGATCAATTGATTCGCCAGTGCTGGGACCCTGACAGGAAAGAAAGACTGGAAGGGTGAGAGCAGAAGAAATATACCTGAGATCCAAGTCTATTCTCTCGCAGTATAAGCACCAGTGATCCCAATAACAAGCAAATGCCGTGGCCCCAATCACCAAACATCACAGCAAAGAGAAAAGGAAATGTGATGACCGTGTAGACCCCAGGATTTGCTTCCTGATATCTTGCAACACTGCGAGATAAGATTGATGCCAGTACTCTTGATGAGATTGTTTCGTTATTTCACAAATATCCGAGAAAGGAACAATACGTATCCAAAGGCAACATGAGAATTTTCAAACGTCTTTTCTCAAAACACATTCCAATAGTGATGTTATGATTCTGTCTAGAATGATAAAAGAACAAAAATTCACGAAGTAGAAGGTAGGAGCAGACACTTAGGGATCCTTGGTCGCTTCAAAAAACTGAAATTATGAATGATGACGACAAGTCTGTTAAAGGAGAAGAGAGATGGGTTCTGCGTCCCAGAGGAGGAGGATGACGATGCTGGCAATGGTGACAATCTTATGCTTCAGATGAGATACTCACGAAATGATTAAAAATTATTAACATTTATGCCTCCGATTTTGGTAACATACACCTCAGACAGCATGCCACAATCTCTAGCTTCGGTTTTTAATTCAACCAGGATGAAATTAAATGATCTTTAGATTCTATTGTAGCAAAAGATAAAGACAAACCCGTAAGCGTCCACAATTTCCTGGAATGCGTGAGTAAATCTGTTGGTTTTGAAATATGTTGGAGGTGATTCCACAGCATTCATCACATGAAATATGATTCCAACTTGTGAATTGCTATCTATCGTTGCATGTTGTAATGCCTCCTGAATCTGTCATACACTCTAGGCATGTCAATTCCAATCATGCATAGGTGAGCCCATTCAAATCTAAAAGAGCCATACTTCCCAGAACAATACCTGAGGCTTGGCAAAGATAGGACACCATCCTTCTCCAACTAGGCATTTTTTAGTCACATCAAAATTTAGCATATTTAATGTATCGTACACGGCTTTCTCTTTTCTGACCTGGAGAATCCATGAAAGAAACGTTTTAGGCAAAAGGAAAAGAAACACCCTATAAATTCATCAGTTCAGGCGCTTCTCTGGCACGCTGACAATAGTTAGACAATAATCAATTTTGAGAGAGAGATAAGAATAGAGATTTAAAGTATTTACTTACTAAAAGAGTCCATTTTGACAAGTGCGAACCAATGGAAGAAAGACCCTTATTTCTGTGACGAATTCCAGCATCAAGAGTAGCCTCCAACTCAGAAAGCCGTGTTAATACCTGAAATCGAATCAATCAGAAAATGCTGAGAATATGAGTTGTGCAACCACTAATAGCCAAACATGCAATCATAGAAAAGGACAACTGAAGTGCATGAGACAAAACAAACTTCAAAGATGTTGAACAAGAAAACCGCTATTGAAAATAGAATATGAATCAAACCACCAATTGGTTCAATGAAGACGGATATGATACACTACTAAATGTGGCTAAAAATTCCAATGCGGGAAATTAACCTCTTAGTATAAATGTTTATTCTAAACCAAATTAGGTAATGTTGAATATTTTGCTTTTAAGTTTTCCGAAAACAGTATTATTACAGTTGTTGACCAAAGAAATAAAAGACCCACAAGTAATCTCTAATCCTTTATTTTGTACCATTACATTTTTTGATAGTCAGCCCACCATCAAAACATCGGCACATAGAAGAATATCAGACTTCTTTTCTGAAAGGTGAGTAATTAAACATAAATATAAAGCTCCTTTTCATTGACTGATAAGTTCAACATATATAAATGGCGTGAGTTGTGATAAACAGAACTCGAAACCACATTTATAGATTCAAGTTGATACTCACAAGAATCTACTAAGTCAAAAAAGAAATACTGAGCACCATTGGAGGAACACATTTGCCTATCGACTGAAACGAAATCTATTTTTAAAATAATGCCACTTCAGAACCATTACAACGATCTTGAATGTAGCGGCACTTAAACTCTCTCTTTTTCACACAAACAAAACGAAGAAGAACAAGATTCGTTTCTCCATCTTTAAGATGAAAAACACAAGATAGTCAACACTCCAACTTCAGTGTAAGGTATCCATTGTGCCATACAAATGCGGTAAAAGGTGTCAATCGATGACATAGTACCAGTGCATAGATGAGATCGTTTACCTCGCTTGTCATTTGCCTCTGTTTACTAATATCCTCTGGAACAGGGTAGCAATTGGCACCAAACGCAGCACATATTTTGACTATCTTAGATTTTGCTTGTTCCCCAGAAAAGTACACCACAAAGACTGTTTTTTCAACCTATGGTACAGAAAAGAAAATTGATGTATTAGATGGTCTGGTATGATAAGTTACCACAATCTCAGTATTTGACATGAAGACTGTATCTTTATATTCCTATAAATACTGTTGACTATCTTGTGTTTTTCACCTCTTGATCTTGGTGTTGACCATGAAACATGAAGACTATATCTTTATATTCCTATAAATACCATTTCCACCTCTTGATCATGATAGCTCCAACACAACTCCATCATACTTTAAGCACTTTATTTGTTTTCAACAAAATGACAAGCATGAAAATATAGGAAAAGGCAACATACCATTTCTCCTGTCACTGGATCCATGACATGTTCCTCAGCTGGTGCCTGATGGAAAAACATATTGCCTCTCGTAGCTCGAAAAAGCATTCGTTCGAATTTTAAAGACTTGGACTTGCAGATTATTCCGCTAATAAACCGCAAGCCAGCTTTGCTTGAAGGCTCAGGTTGCATTTCCTGAAGGATGCGTTATTAAGAACAATGGCATACAAATCCTTAACATCTAGACACAACGAAAATGTTTAATCACCTGTTCAAGCAGAGACGCTCTGTCTCCATAATCCTCCGCAGTGTATAAATTTTCCTCCATCTCTCTCTCATGAGTTGACGTTTGATTTTGTGCTGAAACAAGGAAGCCACCTGCCTGGAATCAAACATATGAGAAGGCAACAGAACCAGTAATGGAAGATTCCCTGCAAATGATAATATGACATAAAAGAAGAACCAGTAAAAAAAGCAACAGGGAAACCTCTGCATGATTTCTGTGAGAGATGGATTTCAGAAGAACTAGAGAAAGGATATGCACACTCTCACAATGAATTTCAGAAACAAATAAAATTTTATGTTTAGGGGGAGATTTCAACTCCTGAAGGAAGGCTGTCTTCAAAAATGTGTTTCAAATGATCACAATGGCAAGACAAAGTATTCGAAGTGACATGTACGCACCAAAGGAGCACCTAAATACTGTGCCTAAATCACAATGTTTGTATACCACCAAAAATGAAAATATAAATCATTCAAGATACATATTCTGCAAGCAATTATAATCGTTGAAGGAAGGTCACAGCAAATATAAGAGAATATACCTTCAGTAGAACTAACTTGAATTCGAAGAGCTCATTGTACGATTGACGCAGTTTCTCACTGTTTGCATTCATCTCAAGAAGTTCACTCTCGTGATCAGCCAGTTGTACCTAGAACACAGAAAAAATGGACAACTTTACTCAATTACTGGTTTCATTGTCACATTATTATGCCATTAGAGGGAGATCTAGATATTAATAATTACCTCCAGCTCCTCCAAGTCAACATCAGATCGCAATGCAGGACGAGGAGTGGAAAGAAGACCGGCCTTGCTGATTTGATCCTTAAAAAAAATTAGCTTCCTTGACATCTCCCCACATCGCTTAACCTGTGGAATGTGCCCCAAGAAACACTTTAAAAAAAATACATCATGAAGACGAATTCCTTGATCAAGGAAAAAGATTAGTGAGGCTTTTAATAGCTTTAAAGATGAGTCAACATGTATGTAAAACTAGTAGCAATAAAACATAGGGCCTGTGGGCAAAGGTTTCAATAGAAAAGCCATCTGATAAAGTTTTATGCACAAGGGATCAATAAAGTAGTACAGAAAGAGGAAGAAGTGCCCTAAGCTTTGAAGTAAAAACACTGAGCATTGCAAGTTTCCTTTCATGCTCTATGTAGATCGAATCTCTGCACACATAGTCTCAGGATTAATGCCAAAATAAAGAATTAACCAGTATTAATAAAAAAACAAGAATCAATACAAAATATTCCGAAAAGAAATTTCTATCTCACGATTGTCCAGTAATGAACTGCAAATAATTGAACTGGGTTTATTGCGATCCAAAATCTTCTCTGACTATAAATTGTCTAACCTATGAAATCATTAAAAAGGACATGCAAGCACTTAATGGAGCCCATACGCTTAAGCAACCAACAACTGAGAAATATTATCTCACCGATGTAAAATTGCATTTGTTGATATACGATGAATGTAACTTCAGAGCACCTAGATGTGAAAATCCGTCCCTAAGGAAATGGAAATAGAATTTTCTATTGAGATCTCATCTGCTTGAGGACGTTCTAATGCACATTTAATGGCCCATCAGAAGCTCCTGATAAGTGGAGAATTTTCTCCATGCCATGTGATCAAGAAGTTAGGAGGACGCAAATACTAATTGGTTCATGCGACCAAAGTAAATTCCATTGACGCAAAAATAGGTCCCACATCTCATCAACTGGAAGGCACATTCACTTCAGATGTTTGTCCTGCCATAGTTGACAATGCAACCAGAATGCATGCCCTGAGAAGCCAGTGGTGGCAGAGTGGAGATTGTCTACAAGAGTGTATAACAATGAGTAATGGAGGAGAAACAAGCTGGACCGCTATGAACTACAAAAACCTTAAATTGTTTTAGTTTATCATAAATAATATGCTTGTCAACATGAGTAGCATATAAGACCTGCGAATGCTCAGTTGGATCTTTCGTTTGTACCAATCATACTGGTTGACCGCTTTTTCCACTTATTGGATCACACTGCAGGCAAAACCATTCATGCTGAGAGCCATTAGTTGGGACCCCTGGTTGAACACTGTCCTCTAACAAATGAATATACTGGCAATGATGGCAAACCCTGATCCCATCTCTCCATGTCCTAACAAGTGGAAAAACGTAAAGATTTGGCCATCAAATTAATGGGAATACATGTGAGTTTTCCCCTAAGGCATGTGCTTTCCAGCTGAAAACAGAGCTAGGATCTCTTAAACGCCTCAAAGACCACCTTTAAGTACCCTGTCGAGAAAGCACCACAAACAGCATGCCCATTGAAATAAACCTGAGCGTCTAGAAAACATTAGTAGTGGAGAAACTACCAGCCCCTTGCCTACGACGAAGGACAAGAAACAACGAGACGCACAATTTCTGTAGGAAGTCTGGTTTTTCTCATGAGTTTTCTCATAAGAATTCCTAAAAGATTCGTCTAGAAAACTTTCTACCAAAAAAGACTGCTAAAAGTAACATATTATGAAATGTGTGCACAAATGGTGGAATGTTTTTTTATATCTCTTCAGTGGCAGGAGGTTTTTTCCATCGCCTGTTAAATCATCTGCTGAGCATGAGATCATTAATAATTAAGTGAAGGAAGCCCAACAAAAGCCTCAAAGTACATGCTACTCAAGATGGTAAATACCTGGTTAGCAAACGTTCGTTGAAAAGGGCTCTTGTCTTTATTTAACTGTAAAAAATGAAAAATACAATAGAATTTTGAGAATTTACCAAGAATTCAATGAATAAGACAAAATCCCATAAACAATATGAAAAAGTTTATACCAAGGTGAAGAAAAAGTATTCATGTGAACGGTAGTATGAGACCAACAGAAGATGTAATTCATTCAAAAAACTGAAAAATCCCCAAAATGTGCAGAAATCCATTTACTATGGAGAGGTGGAATCTATGGTGTCTATGACAGAGATAAACTTTGACAAGAGACTCAGATGAAAAGGCATCAGTTATATATTTTTTATAAAACATTATTCCAGTAGATGCCCATATGCGTGAAAATATAACAGCAACAAGAAATATAACTACTTGACAGTGCTAATAAATGAATGATACGCATGGTTCTGTTTACATTGCACATGATCCACAATGATTTCAGAGAAATAACTTGTCTCTGTGTATAGATCTGGTAATCAATCGAAAAGGCAGAAAAAAATGAACCAGGGGCATGGTTCTGCTGCCATTTCAATGACAGCTGATCAGGCTCATTGGTTGATAGTTATCATTTTGACCGGTTGATTGGCCAAAGAGAAACACCATCACAGTGAATGACCAATATTTATCTCCTTTAATTATAATTTAATTTTAAAATTATTGCCCATGTATCTATTTTATTAGTTAAAGAACTGTCAAGTAGGTTCTACGATGCCTAATGAGTCAGAAAATTTGCCTTCGGAACTTACAATTGAAAATATGCGCATGCCTTTCATTCTAAGTTATTACCAACTCTGAAGGAATTCAGGTAAAACTAGTTATCCACGGACAACCTCGACCTACTTATTTCACCACACGTTGTCTAAAATTGTCACTGATGAGATCTACAGCTCCCTGAAAATAAATTTCGTAACGTCGACGGAGTGAACATAGCTCTCTAAAAATAGATAACGTGATAGATCTCGACGAATTTAAAATAAGGAACGCAAGAAAGTTCAGCCGCAACGAATTCGACGAGAAAAAGGGAAGAAAACGAATGTCCGATTCAAAACAGTTCAGCATATTTAACCCGGCATTCGTGCATTTTCAAAAATCTCTTACATCTTTGAATTGGAGCAGTCCGAGATCCCCGAGGTATGTAATCGCCCTGTGGGCGGACTCGACGGGCATGATGAGCTGAACGAAGATCATCTTCTCGGAGCGAAGGTGATCCATGGGCGGCAACTTGTCGAAGATCCTCATCCTCTCGATCTGCGGGAGGAAGCGAAGACGAGAGAAGGGCGATCGGGATCTGCGACCTCCCCCACGGGATTCAGATCTGAGAAGTGCCCTCGGGCTCCTCCAGTCTCCTGCTCCCTCTCCCAACGGCCATGAGAAGCGGAAAATTCCCGTCACTCTCCCCAGACGGCCAACGCGGTGCCTCGTGCCTGTATATTCTGATTAAAGGGTGATGCCCCTTGATTTCCTTAAAATCGCAAAATTGCCCTCCGTTTGTGACCAATAGTTCTCCATTAAGATAACAGATTACCCTTCACGTTTCTAGAAACTACCATAACAGCCATGTCAGCATCGTACCCGGGCCGGGCCCGGGACTTGTTTAAAATCCCATCTATATGACTCGGCGCTTTATATCGGGCCTAAAACCTTGTAAATGCGCGCTTTTTTTAATAGGACTATCACACAGAGCGACCCGCTTAAGCAACGGGCCGAGCAGAAAAAGTGTTTCGGGCTTTTTGTGATACGCGGGGTTGCAAGTGTAATCAGATCCTTAATAACGCCTCAGCAGGCTTTTAGGACTAATTGTGTGGCAGCATTCAGATGGCCGCCATTCTTCCATTCTTCCATTCTTCCTCTTCTCTTGCAAGGGGCCGCGTCTCTATCCCCATCGCTCCACATCACCTTCCGTTGGCCGACGACCGATCGTCTCCATATGGAAAACTTCAGGGAATGCTCTCCGGGAAGTGGTTTCTTGGAGGTCCGGGAGAGAGAATTGGGTTTATGTCGACCTGTTGTCTTCACGCGTCGAGCCGGTGGCTCTGAGGTTTCCCAAATTTTCAATTGTTTGTTTAATTTTCCTGAGTTTTCCCGAGCCTGAGTTTAGATGTGCAAAGTTAATTTTATGCCGATGTTATGATTTAACGCACTTTTTAGTACTATGTTTGGATCGACTGCTCAGTGGAGTTGGAAATGTTTAGGGATTCGGTCAGTGATGTATTGCCGCGGTCACGGTACTCATTTCACAACAGCATATTCAACGTTGGCGTCGGAATATTGTGCTAAAATTGGATGTTATTATCATCATCTTTTAAATGATAATTACAATGATCTTCTCATAATCAATGTAACTGTCTCTGCAGCTGCAGCCGAAGTTCTTAAATTGCACCTGTGTGTATTCTACGGGCTAAAACGTTACTTTCCTCATCGTTTTCGGATGAGACGATGGTTTTGTTTTTTGTTTCCCTGCTTGTGTACTAGTTGAGACAGAGATGTTCTCATATGCTATTTCCGAACTCTTTCTTTTCTATATTTCTCATTCAAAAGTCCAAGAATCCTTTTGGACGTTCTTCATTACTTTTACGAGGTTACGTTATGTTCATGGAGCTTTTCCTTCCCTTTACTGGTTTTCCAAGATTTTTTATGGAGTTTTATCCAAAACTATGTTCATCTGGTGGTTGCATCACTCAGTATGCAAAATTGGAGTCATAGACTTGCTCCTGTAGTGTACGTGATGACAGATGTCTGTGGTAGATAGGCGATGGGGCCTTTATCTTCTCCAATCAGTTATCAAATGATCCATGGGCTTGTAAAAGTGGATCTACTGAGGGCATCGATTGGATCAATAGCAGTACATATCTGTAGGGCGATGATGTCACTTAGTGGAGTGTAAGTATTCTTTTATATTTGAGGAGGAAGTAGTTGTTTTTTCATCTTCCATCTGGGTATCTGTGATTTGGAGGACAAGGAATACACAGGTAATTGAATCGATGTGCAGCATAATGAAGTGAATGCTCTGTGCAAAGCTTCCTTCTTCCTTTGCTGATCAAAGGTGAAACTGGGGAAGGATTTCTAATATTCGATGTGGGATGATTCCTGGGCTAATAATATGCTAGACTTGACTGAAGTTTTTGCATAGTTATTTTTCATCATCAATGTGGGACACTGGACAAATTTGATGGAGATGAATTTATCGTCCATTCATGATAATCCATCTGTGTGGACACCACATTAGGCAAACCTTTATGTCCCCTAGACCCCTTCTCTCTTTGAGAGAAAATTGGTTTCAGGTTGTGTGTAAGCCTTGAAGGTGGGTAATGCAAGAGAGCGAAACTAATTATGATGCCTTATCTTCAGATCTACTGAATTGTCCATTCCATGCTTAAGAACAGATACTTCTTTGTTATAAAAGAAAGCGAAACTAAAAATCTACTTCTTTTGCATCTAGAAGACAGATAATCTTGAATGTTGAGATTGAATCACAGACTAATAATTTTGCTTTCAAGGATGCCTCTTTTCTTCCTCTTCATGAAATGAATATTGCTTGATTTGATGAAACATCGTTCAGTTAGCTTCATTAAATATGCTTCAAAATGATTGATTACTTACACATTTATTTTGTTGGGCAGACACTTGTGAAGCGGCTTAATTTGTATGCAAAGCTAAAGGGACATGAAGGTTGTGTAAATACGGTGCATTTTAATCCTTCTGGCGACTTACTTGCCTCAGGTTCTGACGACAAACAAGTAATATTCTGGAATTGGGCAGTTAAGAGTAAAAAGCTCTCATATCATTCTGGTCACAGTGACAATGTTTTCCAGGCAAGAATCATGCCATTCACAGATGACAAAAAAGTGATAACTTCGGCTGCTGATGGGCAGGTTGGTCTTATCTGTTGCTTGTAATTTTCTAATTTCTTGAATTTTTTCAATGACTTTTATGGCAAAAGATGTTGACCTACCTGGAGAAGAAGTGGTGAGCTGAACATTAGCATTCTGATATGTGTTTTTCTCAAAGGTTTTAATTTGATATGTTACTAGAATAATAATAATAATAGCATGTATCAATGTTGTAAGGGTGACGGGCGTTTGATGTTTCATTCCTGGCACATCAGCCGTAAATTTGCTTTCCTTTGTCTATTTTTTTATGGACTTTATTTCTAAAGATTATTTTAATTTGATTCAAACTAAGAGTTATTCATTCTGTTGACGCTCATCCCTCAAAAAACTATTATTGTTACGTCATTGAAATATAACCTTTTTCCGTGTGTTATCCTCAATAGTTCATGCTGGACTTTTATAGCTGGAACGTGTACTGGATGTTCTCTTTAATAACAGCCAACTTATAAGATTCCTACCTGTCCTCTAGCGTCCAAGTATATTTAAAGATGACGATCATCAATCATATTGTTCAAATCATATGATTTAGAGAGTGAAAACCTGAGGTTTGTGAGCATCAGGTGTCCATTGATGGAGCTAAGATTACTTGAGTTGGCAATGTCGTCGATTAGGATCTATTTTCAAATTCCCATAGCTTAGAACAAGCCGTCTGGAAATTTAAACACAAAATAATTAAACTGTGGAAAGTATTGCGTTTCTGTAAGAAGTATTTGGCGAACGGCATTGCCTCCTCTTGAACCTGGTTCGCCCTGCCCCTGTGATTATCCTCCCAAAAATATTCTGGAATAACGTACGCCTCTATGAAGTCAGTTCTTCAGTTCTGTCCCAGTCACCAGATATTACAGCAATTATCAGCCAACCTAGACTCCCACGACCCTGAACGAGACCGTGGTTCTGAACAGTCATTCCCTTTTGTGCAGGTCAGAGTTGGCCAGATATCAGACGATGGACGTGTCCACACAAAAAAGCTTGGAACCCATCAAGGGCGTGCCCACAAACTGGCCATAGAACCTGGCAGCCCTTATATATTCTACAGCTGCGGAGAGGATGGATATGTACAGCATGTAGGCCACTGAATCCACAACCTTCACTCTGCGTTCCCCTCCTTCCCTCCCAAAGAGATTGGTTTTCTATCACCAGGTGTTTAGATTCTCCACGCTTGATCTTTGCAGTTTGATCTACGAAGCACTTCTGCTACAAAGCTTTTCTTGTGCTCTTCACCGACAGAAAGCAGAAGACCCGTCGGATTGAATGCGATCGTGATGGATCCTCGCAACCCACATTATTTCTCTGTTGGTGGCCTTGATGAATACGCCCGAGTCTATGACATAAGAAATTACCGGTGGGATTCAACAGTAGATGGTGATCATCCCGTGAATAAATTCAGCCCTCGCCACCTGACAGACTCTGCGAAGGTCAACATCACCGGCCTGGCCTACTCAAGAAAGAGTGAGCTCCTCGTCTCCTACAATGATGAGCTCATATATCTCTTTCCGAAAGATATGGACGCCAGCCAAGACCCCCAGGTGTACTCGGGCCACAGAAATTCCCAAACAGTGAAAGGGGTGAGCTTCTTCGGCCCCAATGACGAGTATGTTGTGAGTGGATCGGACTGTGGGCATGTGTTCGTATGGAAGAAGAAGGGGGGCGAGCTTGTCCGTCTGATGGTTGGTGATAAGAACATTGTGAACTGCATCGAACCCCACCCTCACGTCCCCTTTCTTGCCACCAGCGGGTTAGAGAAGAACATAAAGCTCTGGATGCCCATAGCCAAGAAGGCCGGTCCCGCCCTACCAAGCAACGTGGAAGAGGTGAAACCATCGATGTATATTGATTTTGTGGCCAAGTTTGCGATGTTCATCATGCTTTCTGATTCAATCATGCGGCTTGCAGATCATGGAGTTGAACAAGCGGGGAAGAGAAGATCACCCCCGGATAACTCTCTCCCCCGATGTCATAATGCATGTCCTCAGGTTGCAGAGGAGGCGGGCATTAGCTTTCATTGAGCGGAGGGAGCCTGGCTCCGCCGCTGACAATGATGATGATGATGATGATGGTGATGATGAAGGAGAGGCGTTCATTCTGGGATTCACAGAGAGCGACGATGCCTCTGGAGCAGAGTTCAACCCCAGCGGCTGTTCCATTTGCTGAGCGGTCCAGAGCGGCTGCCAAGTAAGCTCCTTGCCGGCTTCTCTTCCATTGTATATTATTTGCTAGTTTTAATGAAGCTTGTTTACTCCTAGAAGTTTACATAGCTGTAGGTTTTCCCGATCTAGAAAAAGAAAACAAAAACAAAAATTGCCCACGTCAAAACCATTTGTGTAACCCGAATAAACCATCTGTACAGCCATTTTGGTAGAAAAATAAAAGCCACTGCTTGGGACGCCAATCAATGCGCCTGGTGAGCCTGGAAACCTGACCCATGTTTGCCTAGCTCGAGGTCTAAAACCCTCATCTGGAGAGAGAAAACAAACCCGGGCTTCGAAAGGGCCGTCCAGCAGCAGGAGGGGTGCCAATAGACTGAACAATCTTGGAAGGTTGAACCAGGTCTCCACTGGCTTGTGTGGTCTACGAATGATCATGGCTACCCAGATAGACTCCAAATCTCCACTCTAGAAAGAGAACCCAGGCCAGAAACCGTAAGTTCCTCAATTTCATCCTTCCGAACCACATCACATCCACACATCACAATTACAGGCATTACCCGCAACACCCAATCCGTGGAAAAGCCCATGCAAGAGAAAGAGTCCAGCCCAAAAGTAACCAGAGAGAGAGGGAGAGGGATACGCTTGGAGTAACACCAGACCGTCGCCTCAGCCGGAGCCTGCTACCGGCCACTGCCAACGCCGCCGTTGCCGGCGGTGAGCTCCGTGTGGTTCAGAATCCTCCTCGCCGCCACCGTAAGGTCCACCCTGGGCGGCCCCGAGTGCCGCCTCCCCCCCCCGGCCGGCGACGGGCTGCACTGAAAAGACAGGCGCTTCTTCACCGAGCCGGCGGAGCCCCCTCTCTCCGGGGTCTCCACGTTCTCGCTCGCCGGGCTCTGCAACCGCGACTTTGCCCTGGCGGACGCCGTCGGCGCCATGTAACCCGGGACGGCGGGGGAGCTCGCCAGGCTCTCGTCATCGCGCACAGAGGAGCCCGCAATGCTGTGCCGCCTCGTCCTCTCCGACTGCGCGCTGGCAAAGCTCCTCGAGTCCTCCTCCGGGGGACTCGCCGGCCTCGCCCTCCCGCCACGGGGCGTAAAGGGGGACCGGCGACTGGGCGGCCGACTCGTCCTCGGCGCCGCCAGCGAGTCCCGTCGGGCGGCGAAGGCCTTGGCGATCTCGCCGGCGCTGAGGCTGCCGGCCCTCACCGAGCCGGCCTCGGCCTCCTTCTCCGCCAAGGTCCGCCCTTCCCACGGCCTCGCCGCCATCCACCGCTCCACCCAGCTCCAGCCCCACTGCGGGTTCCCCGGCTCGGTGAACGTCGGGTTCGCCGACTTCGAGCTGCCCTTTCCCTGCGGCAGGGCCAAAGAATGATGATGACAATGATGACGGTGGTGGTGGTGGTGGTGGTGGTGGTGGTGATGATGATCGCGCTTACCTGATGAGAGAAGGCGTATGCCAGAGCCCTCTCCCTCCTCATAGCCGCCTCATGCTTGCTCAGCATGCTCGCCTCGATCTGCTCCTTGGACTGCAGGCTGTCGTCCCAGTCCTCCCCAATCTGTAACCGGATTCAAGGTGAGAACCCTCCATAGAAATCGAATGGAGAATTAAGTTCTGTATGAAGACCGAATCTCTGCTACTGTGGTGAGGGGCTTACAGAGGCTCTTAGCGCTTCGAGCTCTCTCTCCTGCTTGAGCTGGAGCTGCCGCTGGAAGGTCTGGTTCTCCTCCAGCATCCGGACCCTTCTGGAGCGGATCTGGGACTGGACTCTAGCGAGGGTCTGCATGCAGCGCAGCGTGGTGGTGGTCTGGCGCTTGATGGCGCTGCTGCCCATCAGCAACCTCAGGCGAACCAGCCCCCTCAAGGCCCGCAGCGCTCTCCTCGCCTGAGAAATGAAGTAGAGGCGTCGGCTTTACATGAACCCACCGCGGAATTCGATGCAAAGATGGATCTGTTTCATCAGAACTAGTGTTTTGGAAGAAAATTTTCTATTTTTCCTGATATGGGTCTCACGCTGTGAGTTTCGGCAGAATTATCCTCGTAATGGGTATTCTTCTCTGCAACTAAATATCCTAAACTAAAAATAAAATAAAATAAAATAAAAAATTCCTAAACTGGGAAAAAACAAATCAACCCAGGATGCTTTCCTGCGAGAGAGAGATCTCAGGGAAGAGAGAAGGTGAGAAATATTGATAGGAAATGGGTCCATTTCAGGCGGGAGAGTTTCTGTTATCTCATTAATATTTTCTGGCTGGCTTCAGTTCTTGATGAAGATTCCTATCGAATTAATTTCTCAAATGCAGCAGCAAAATCGGGAGAACCAGATCTCGATTGATCATGGATCGGAGAAAGAAGCTAACTTCGGGTTTAAAGTCCTCAAAAGGGGGGATGGTTACCAGGTATCCTCTGAAGGCTGTCTGGATCTTGATTGCTGCAATCTCCTCCTTGGATTTGCCGAGGAACTTGGTGGAGCTGGCGGTGAGGCGGACGACCTCGGCGGCCGCCTGAGCTGCGACGACCGCGGCCTCGGCGGCCGCCGCCGCCGCAGAGGCGACGGAGTAGACGTGGTTGCTATCTGCTTCTGTCAATTTGACCTGCTCGGCAGGAACGCGAGGCGGCGGCGCCGCAGCCGGTGTCTCAGAAGCCGCCTCCAAGGAAGAAGATGGCGGGTCCGTGCGCTTGGATTTCCCGAAACCCCATTTGTTCTTGAATTTTTGGCTCTTCTGAGATCAGATTAACGGAATATGAGAAATCAATTCGGAGACCGAACAAAGAAAGAAAGGCTCTTTTTTACTCAACCTGTTCGTTCTTCTTCTCCTTCGATTCCGGGCTGAAGACCTTCTTCACGGCTCCGAACCAGGACCCTTTCTTCCCCATATTCTCTCTCTAGACCATTCCTCCTCCTATAAAGATAAATATCAATAGAAAGCTGTATAAGCGGTGGCAGAGATCTCGGAAGCCCACATCAGATCGAGAACGAAGAGGAAAGCAGCCTGTTTGTCATTAAAAAAAAAAAAAAAAAGGACTGGCAGTGGCTCTAAGATTATTCTGTTCGAAAGCAAAGAACCCACCGAAGAAGAAAGATGGAAAAGCCGAACCCATGTTCTCCTCCTCCAGTTAAAAAATAACAAAACCTGCAACCCTTTTCTCCATCACTCGCCACCCTTCTCGGAGATCTCATCGGGAAGGAGCTAAAAGAACCCATCGAAAGCAACCATCTAGAGAGAGAGAGAGAGTCTCCAAGGCCTACCGCTGGTCGGTTACCCGGCAACAGCACCTGCAACTGCAGCTCCCGGAGGTGGCCGCCTTCGGAGCTGCAGAGATCCGATGGGATCAGATCCCAGGCTCCGCGATCGAAACACTGAAGTCTGCCTTGGGCAGCAGGAGGAAGAAGAAGAAGATGAAGAAGAAGAAAAGGTGAAATAAAAACTGGATCTTGGGGTCTCACATCCCAGCGGAAGAACGGGGTAGGCGGTGACGGCCGGTGCTCGTTGGCCCCACTCGGGCCCCACTCAACGCCACCAACCTCAGTGAGAAAAATAGGCCGGACAATAGGCCCGGCCCGAACTTACATCTTCGAGCCTCAGCGGGTGGAGACAACATAGCCGGACCGCCTCTGCCGATCCTCGGGCTTTGTAGAAAAGCCCGACATTGGGCCCGACTATACTGGTAAATTCTTCTCGCGCTGGTGCAATTACCGCCAGTTATTACGGCACGTTCCATGCGGTGCCCACATTTAAAGTCTTCTGAACGTTTCATCCGCGGGGGTGATCCTATAAATGCCAACACCGATCGGTGCCGGTACACTCACCTCCCCCCGAGCTTCCATTTCTCCGCTTTATAATTTATTATCCAACATTTACACTAACAATTTAATTACACGTGAGCATGTGGTCCATGCTGACGCCATCTGTCTGACCTCTTCTCTGCCGTCCTCTCTGGCACCCTCTGTATAGTTTATTAATTTAGTAGCCATATTTTTTAAAAAAATAAAGCCGAGGCCGTTGTCGTGAACAGATAAGATGCCGGATTTTTTGTGACCGATATTCTTAAAATCCCAGTTTTTATCGAAAACGAAATATTATTTTTTCCCTGATTTTATTTCGAGAAACAGAACCCGGGCCGATATGATCGGAGCCGGTCCGGCCCGGTTCGAGTTGAGAATGGCGGGCCGGGCCGTTACAGCCGGGTCGTTACAGCTGGGCCGTTGCGGCGGCTTGTCTTCCTCACCCGCGAGCTGCCACTTTTTTGTCTGCTAGGGTTGGGAAGCTGGCGGTTTTTCTCTGGTGCTGCAGGTTCGACAGTGCCGTTCATCCTGTGCGTGGTGGATCTGCGTGGATCTCTGAGGATGGGCGAGGAGCGGCGGAAGGCTGGGAAGGACGGGGAGAGCTCGGAGGAGGAGTGGAGTGTCGACGAACGGCGGCGAGAGGGGAGCGTGGAGGACAGAAGGCGGCGGGAGAGTCGGAGGTCGGAGAAGGGAGTCGAAGGAAAGCGCCGGGAGAGCAAGAGATGGGAGAGGGAGAGGAGTTCAGAGGACAGGCACCGCGACAATCGGAGATCGGAGAGGGAGAAGAGTCCTGCGGACAGGCAGCGAGAGAGCCGGAGGTCGGAAAGGGAGAGGAGCGTGGACGAGAAGAACAAGGAGAATCACCGCCGGTCGGAGAGAGAGAAACGCCGGGACAGGGACAAGCACCGGGAAGATCGCCAGAAGGAGAAGGAGAAGGAGAGAGAGGTGGAGCGGGAGAGATCTACGGAGAAGGAGAAGGCCAGAGAGAGGGAGAGGGAAAGAGAGCGAGAAAGAGAAAGGGAAGAGAGGGAGAGGGAGAAGGAGAGGGAAAGAAGAAAGGAACAAGAGAGGGAGAGAGCAAGAGAAAGAGAAGAGAGATACAGGGCGAGGGAGAGAGAACGGGAGAGGAAGAAGGAAAAGGAGAGGGAGAGAGGAAGCGAGAAGTCCCGTGAGAAACGGAGGGATTTGGATGGGAACGAGGAGAAAGATAGTGAAGATATTAGGGACCACGATCGTAAGCGGCGAAGAAGAGAGGAGGATTCCCGGGACAGTGAAGAAGGCAGTAGGAGAAAAAGGAGCGAAGAGGAATCCGATGCAATGGAGAAGAAAAAGACTCGTGAAGAGGATCTTGAGGAAGAGCAGAGGAAATTAGATGAGGAGATGGATAAACGGAGGCGGAGGGTCCAGGAATGGCAGGAGCTTAGAAGGAAGGAGGAGAAGGAAAGGGAAAAGAACGGTGAGGTCAATAACGAAGAGCACCCTGAATCTGGTAAAACGTGGACCCTAGAGGGAGATTCAGACGATGATGAGACCCTCCCTGCCCCAAAGATGGAGAAGTATGCAGCTCTTGGCGAGGATTCTAAACCTGGAGATGATGAGCGGGACAACATGGCGGTAGACTTGGATAATGCTACTCCAGCCACTGAAGGTGGCGGTGTTGATGCCGAGGAGGAAGTTGACCCCCTTGATGCTTTCATGAATTCTCTGCAATTACCTGAAGATGTCGAAAAGACTGATGCTCCAGGTATGTCTCAGAAACCTAGTGATAAAGAAGAGAACCTTGACAAAGGCTCCTTAAAAAAAAGTACCAATCCCAGTGTGCCGAAGAGAAACAAGAAAAATGTGATGGGTAGAATCATTCAGGGCGACGAGTCAGATTCTGATTATGGTGATGTTGAAAATGATGAAGTTGCACTTGAAGATGAAGATGACGACGAATTCATGAAGAGGGTGAAGAAGACAAAGGTCGAGAAGCTATCAATCGTCGACCATTCAAAAATTCAGTACCTTCCATTTCGCAAAAGTTTCTATATTGAGGTTAAGGAAATTTCAAGGATGACCCCTGCTGATGTTTCTGCACATAGGAAAGAACTCGAGTTGAAGATTCATGGTAAGGACGTGCCCAAGCCTGTGAAGACTTGGAACCAAACTGGTTTGACAAGCAAGGTCTTGGATACGATCAAGAAGCTCAATTATGAGAAACCCATGCCTATTCAGGCTCAAGCTTTGCCTATAATCATGAGCGGGCGAGACTGCATAGGCATTGCAAAGACAGGTTCAGGTAAAACCTTAGCCTTTGTATTGCCCATGCTGAGGCACATTAAAGATCAGCCACCAGTCGTGTCTGGGGATGGTCCAATTGGGCTCATTATGGCTCCCACAAGGGAGCTAGTCCAGCAGATTCACAGTGATATCAAGAAGTTCGCCAAGGTTGTGGGTCTAACCTGTGTGGCAGTATACGGCGGTTCTGGTGTGGCTCAGCAGATCAGCGATTTGAAACGGGGTACAGAGATTGTTGTCTGTACTCCTGGTAGAATGATCGATATACTTTGTACAAGCAGTGGGAAGATTACAAACCTTCGTAGAGTCACCTATTTGGTTATGGATGAAGCTGACAGAATGTTTGACATGGGATTCGAACCCCAGATTACCAGAATAATTCAAAACACAAGACCAGACAGGCAGACTGTGCTTTTCTCGGCCACTTTTCCTCGCCAGGTTGAGGTACTCGCAAGGAAAGTGTTGAATAAGCCCGTTGAGATCCAGGTGGGAGGAAGGAGTGTTGTCAACAAAGATATCACTCAATTAGTCGAAGTGAGACAAGAAAGCGAAAGGTTCTTGCGCCTGCTGGAGCTCCTTGGCGAGTGGTATGAGAAGGGAAAGATCCTTGTGTTCGTTCACTCGCAGGACAAGTGCGATTCTTTGTTCAAAGATTTGCTGAGGCATGGATACCCTTGCCTCTCACTTCACGGGGCCAAGGATCAAACCGACCGTGAATCCACCATCGCTGATTTTAAGAGCAATGTCTGCAACCTGCTGATCGCCACCAGCATTGCGGCTAGAGGGCTGGATGTGAAGGAGCTTGAGCTGGTGGTGAACTATGATGTTCCCAACCATTATGAAGACTATGTCCATCGTGTTGGTCGGACCGGTAGAGCGGGTCGAAAGGGTTGCGCGGTCACATTCATTTCAGAGGAAGAGGAAAGGTATGCAACGGATCTTGTGAAGGCTTTGGAGCTCTCTGAGCAGGCAGTTCCTGAAGATCTCAAGGCTCTAGCTAATGCTTTCATGGCGAAGGTGAACCAGGGAACAGAGCAAGCCCATGGAACTGGGTATGGTGGGAGCGGGTTTAAGTTCAACGAAGAGGAGGATGAAGCAAGAAGGGCAGCAAAGAAAGCCCAGGCAAGAGAATACGGCTTTGAGGAAGACAAGTCAGACTCTGATTCTGAAGATGAGGGAATCCAGAAAGCTGGTGGCGATCTCGCTCAGGCTGCTGCCCTCGCTCAAGCTGCCGCCCTAGCCGCAGCTTCAAAGGCTGCCATTGGCACTTCTCCTGTGGCTGCCCAGTTGCTCAGCACAACGGGGCTCCCATTGATTCCCGCTGCGGCCAGCTTAGCCTCTGCCGTGACGGGTCCTCTCTCTGCCCTTCCCGGTGATGCTGCCGCCAGGGCGGCAGCCCTAGCTGCTGCCATGAACCTGCAGCACAATCTTGCCAAGATACAAGCCGATGCCATGCCAGAACACTACGTTGCAGAATTTGAGATCAACGACTTTCCTCAGAACGCCCGCTGGAAGGTCACCCACAAGGAGACCCTCGGTCCAATCTCTGAGTGGACGGGAGCGGCGATCACTACCCGAGGTCAGTATTACCCCCCGGGTAAAATCCCTCCCCAAGGGGAGCGCAAGCTCTATCTCTTCATCGAAGGCCCGACCGAATCGTCCGTCAAGAAGGCTAAAGCCGAGATCAAAAGAGTCCTCGAGGACTGCACCGCCCAGGCTTTGTCTCTCCCAAGTTCTTCGCAGCCGGGGAAGTATTCCGTCGTCTGAGACTCTCTGCCTCCAATTTTTGCTATAATTAACAACCTAGACCCCTTAATCTGCAGTAGCCATGTTGTTCTAATGTAGATGAAAACTGCCTCGTGTGTACAAAACATTCCAAAAACATATGCTTCTCCTCGCGGTGGAGTCTTTCAGCTCGATCTCTTTCTGGATAAATATCTTGACTTGACTCATCTCCGTCGGCTCGCATTCTTCCGAGATCAGCCCATATCTTGCCAACTGGCGATTTATCGTGTTTATTCAATCAAAAATGCTGGATTTGGAAGATTTTTTTTTCATAAACTTCTGTGCTATTAATTTTTCTCATTATCTGGAAAAATATGCCTAGAATAAATCCCTTTTTGGTTAACGGGGGTGTACACGTGACTCTCTTATTTATCTCCATCTCTGGAACCATAACATAATTCCCTCTTTTGATTTTTTTTTATTCGAATAAATTAAATAAATGACGTGCAAGTTATTATTCTTTGCTTAGCCGCTGACCATTTTAAGGCGCAAGTCTTTATTATTATATTTTTTTTCCGGCCCAAAAGCCGGTCTTCGCTCAGCAGACCCTCCTGGAGGAACATTTGGTGTGGGCTTTTTGGTAATTTCTCCGATTTAGGATGTCGTCCTTTTTTTTTTTTACAAAATACCCCCAATCAGTTCCTTCCTTGCTCATCCGCTTTCGAGCTCTCGGGGCCTCTTTCACCCATGGCCATGGCGGCTCCAGCTTCATCTCTCCTGCCGAACCCCGTCACTGGGCCTCGCGCCGTCACCCGCCCATCGGCATGTCCCTCCACTGTCAGGTACGAGCCCCGAGGCCTCCCTTCTCTCCTAGTCGTCTGCGGCCCCCGGGACAACCGCGGCCCCCTCGTCCGCGGCCGGACTCTGAGCACCGAGGCCATCCTCGCCGTCCAGGCGCTCAAGCGCGCCGCCGCCGCCGGCGATGACGCCGCCTCCAAGGTCGACCAGGTCGTCTCCAAGACGCTCGTCCGCCTCATCAAGTCGGATCTCCTCGCCGCGCTCGCGGAGCTGCAGCGGCAGGACCAGTGGCCCCTCGCCCTCAAAGTGTTCGTCGCCATGCGCCGGGAGATCTGGTACAGCGTCGACTACGCGTCGTACGCTCAGATGATCGCGACGCTGGCGAGGAACGGCATGACGGCGGAGATCGACGATCTGGTGTCGGATCTGCTGGAGGAGGACCGGGGGAACGATGATGTGCGGGGCTACGCCAGGCTGATGAAGGTCTTGATTGCAGCGGGAAAGGGCGAGGCCGTGAAGGACGTTTACAGGGGAATGAAGCGGCGGGGATTCCTCGGGGACGAGTACTCCTTCAAGATCCTCAGCAAGGGCTTGAGGAGACTGGGGGAGCGGGAGGCCGCAGACGAGGTGGACGGCGACTATGCGACGTGGTGCGACAATGGCGGCAGAACTAGGGTTTCGGCCGTCTGAGAGGAAGGAAGGAAGGTAATTATGAGCAAGTGTGTGGAACATGTTTTCCATCTTCTACCGCTTACATTATTGACCAGAAATCTTGTCTAGAGAGCCTGAGGCGATCCTGTTTTAGGAATTCTCGCGTCATTGTACATAAATCTGAGCTGAGATTTTTATCAGAATTATTCAAGTTCACCGAGCTTCGTACCTCGGATCGTGAGATGAAAATATCCTGAAATAATTGGGGATCGTTCTTGTTTTTTTCACGTCTAGAGATGTTATTTTCTGTCAATTTAGATGAACAAGGTGCTCAAAATTCTGCATCCAGCTTGTTCTTATTTCTGAAATTCCTTGCTAATGTTGCAATCGGATCACTGGCGGAGAATTTTATTCCAAATTCGGTGTTGAACATCTGAAGACTGTTCATCTGCTTTCTTCTGATTCCTGATGCCAACCGACCATTGACTTTGCTCATGTTGCTCTCTTTACTCTGGTAAGGGCTTGAATTTTGGTCTACTATCCGAGAGAATCAAGCTTCGATTTTTAGATAATCGTCCCACTTTATGGATGAAATTCAGGTCTCGGCAAAACACCTCGAATAAGCGGCCAAGGTGGGAAAAAAAAACTGTGAATTTAGAGATAACTCCTCGCAAACTTGCACTGATTGGAAATCTGCCCTCCTGTCACCTATCGTTACTGAGCTGCCAATCACATAAGAAATGACAGAATTCTCCTCGCTCTTTATAGGAGCATGAGGACCTTCATGAGGATACTGTGGTCTTCTTTTGGTGGAATGGGACCCATCTACTCGGCATACACTTACCGGATCTGAGTGTGTGGGGTTTGAATGAACTTGTTTATAAATCCAACAAAGACGGGGAATTTTTTGCTAATTAAAACTATTTCCAGGGAACAGGGAGTAAGAAATTGTAAATTCTAGCTCTTTGTCCATCATCTGCTGGTGAGGACTTAGGGAGCCCACTGAGTTTCATCTCTGGATGTCTGCTTGTCATGCGTAAAGCTTTCAAGCAAGATACAAACTCTACATCCCGGTCAATTGGTGGCCTTCGCCTCTCTCTCTCTCTCTCTCTCTCTCTCTCTCTCTCTCTCTCTCTCTCTCGCTATCATGCTGGTGAGGATTGAGGAACCCACTTAATTTCGCCATTGTGAAGCTTTCAGGCAACATTCAACCCGTTGATTGGCCTTACAGCGTGTTATTTGAAGCAGAGGAGATAGCAAAGAAAGGGAATTTTCAGATCCCCGTTACATAAAGACTGATGCTGTGATACTCGTCTCTGTCAGCACTGGGTATGGACGATAGTAGAGAGATGGTAGGACCACGCCGCCCTTGATGGACGCCTCCACTGTGCCTCTATCCACGCCTTTCTCACCTCTCTCTCTCTCTCTCTCTCTGATTAGCCGGCTCGTTCGGATAGTTGCAGAAGGGGAGAGCTACTCCGAAAGATTCGCCTCACGGGCATCTTCTTCTTCTTCTCTGCAGAGTTTCAAGAGGACTCCTGGTGGACGGCGGAGGCCACGGATCTCGCCCAGAATCTGATGTTCCTCTTGACGTCGGCGCACTCGGTGGGGCTCGAGGGGAGCGTCCGCAGATTCAGCAATGGAGAAGGGCGGCTGCTGGGCCCGTTGACAACCCACGCCTCCGCCAGGTACGGCCTCCTCATCTTCCGCTTCATCTCCTCCCCTGCCGGCGCCGCCTCCCCGCCGTCGGCGACCTCTCCCAGTCTCTGCAACCCAGGTACAACCCTCATCATCCTCGGGCTGATCGTCTCTTTGTTGAAGACGAAGCCCAAGTCAACGAACCCCTTAACCTCCTCCTCCTCCAGCTCGGAGAAGCTCTTGTACCTCCTCATGGCCCTCGCCCGCCGCCTCCCGCCGCTCTCCGACGGAGACGACGAGGATGCCGACCGCCGGCGCCGCCCACTCGTCGGCGTCACCCTCCCTCCGTTCCCAAGCTCTCCCCCTTCTTCTACTCTCTGCCATGAAGAGTGTAAGAAAAAATCATTCCTTCGTCGGAAGGAGGAGGAGGAATTTCTAGTAGGAGAAGAAGGCCCAGACTATTGGAGAATATTCCGGCGGGCTCGATAGGAGAATATTCCGGTGGAACCAGTTCCTCTCGATGGCTTCTTCCAGCCGCCGCGAGCAGTCCTCCGCCATGCGGTTGCGAGTGGCGTCGGCGGGTTCGACGTTTCTGTGAAAACGTGGGGAGCCTTGAAGCTGGGAGTCTTCCACAGAAAGAGCTTGTGGCTTTCAGCGCGGGAGGGAGGGAGCTGGTGGGGAGGTATTAGTATGTCGTCGCGAGACGGTTCTCTCTCTCCTACCGACGTGGACGGGCCCCACTCGAGTGTGGTGACAAATTTGTATCGATTTCCTGTCGGCGATTTGGACCACATCTTCTAATATGGGAAACTCTTTTTATATTTATCCTTACTAATTTTAGGTCCTATATTATGTGCGCGAAATATGAGCGAGAAGGGCTGTCAATGATTGGCCGGGAGATGCTGTCAACGATTTGGGACTTTAAATTATAAATTTTGAAAATAAATAGATAGGCATGAACCATAGAGCGGCACTTGAAGAGACACATGTTAGGTTCATTAAGTTTGACTGATCTTGTTTAAGAGAATTATACTATTTTAAGTAATGATAATTGGTCATTTATGACATTTATACTATAATTATTATAATTATCAGAGAATGAGATATGACATATATACTATAATTATTCCCTATTTAGATATATGTCTATTAGATTATTATTTTATATCATTTTCATTCATAATGGTGCTCAACCTGACCTATTCTGATTGGTCTAGTTTAAGTGTTTATATCTATTTTATAATTAAATTAATTATGAATTTACATCTTTTCCTTTCTCTCTCAAGAACCAATAGCTTTAGCATTGTCGTTGACACTTTCTTTGGCAACTAACGATGTCTAGAATGTCAACATGACATCAGAATAACCAAGTGATGTCGTTTTGTCTCTATTTACTTTTTGGTGCGCATTAGGTCCTAATTTTCTTGTTCTTACAATCAATCAAGGAAAGAGAAGTTTGATTTGTCATAGATTTGAAATATGTTTCATTGGTCAATTTCTAAATGATTTTTGGATGATTGATAGCTTATGATGCATCGTGAATATTCTTAAGACCAGCCTTGACCCTCTTTGCCTCTCTGTGATTTTTCTTTAGAAAGTTCTTTAATATTCGATTTCACCTCGTTTACCCTTGGAAAAATATATAATCAACTTTTTATGTTTAAAATTATTGATACAACATCTTTCTCCAGACAATCTATGAAATATTTTAAATCATATTATATCTCCTATGAGTTAAAACTAGATGAAATAAATCTGCTTCAATTGAATGAATTCATTGGAGTTGGTTTAATTAGTAAAGAGAAACCTAATCATTTATTTGATCAGCAATTTGAACCAATTGATCTTCTATTCCAAACTTAGAAAGAGAAAGATTCAATCATTAAGACATGACTTTGGAGTACACTGACTCTTAAAGTCAATAAAATTTATTTATTTCGTCTTACTATCAATGAATCTTTGGAAATAACAGTTAAAACTTTTTTGAAAAAATATATGGAGTTTAAACCTATTTATATATATACTGTGTTCCTACTTTTATATTTCACATTCTCAAGTATATTTAATCCATTTTTCACATAAGTGAAACCTGTTAACTAGTTCCAACCCACTACGATCGGTTTGGAATAAATATATGTATTTAAATTTAATTAAGATAATAATTAATTTCTGCATTTTACTTTTTTCTCTATTCTTTCATGAAACGATGACTATCACCACCATTAAAAGCCTTTTCCAACAACCATTGACCTCACAATGTTGACATGAATCACATTATTTCTTCCATATTATTCTTCATAGAAACTATAGTCAATCACAAAATTAGCCCTAAATCATTACTCAACTTCACGTGAGAAGTCATGGGAAGTCAATCAAAGTTGTACACTTTGTTGCTAGGTTAATATATTTCTACACAAAAAATAATTAAAATGGGAAAATCATGAGATGAGGTCGTCTGTATATTATTTCGCTTTAAAATATTATTTAATTTTTATTAGTGATAAAATGACGAAAAAGTAAAACACTCAAAAATGGGCTCGGAAAAATTATCTAGCCTCTACCTCACAAAGGTGGATAACGTGTCTGCGGCAAATATTACTAATATGACATAAAGGGTTTATATGCAATGAAACTAGTTTATTGAGGTATAAGAGTAAATATGCCCTGTATAGGAATTTGGTTTGAATTGAACCGTGTGTCTGTTTCTGTGAGAACCGCCGAACTTGCTAAACCCTCGCGTTGAGCGACAGTGGCCACGGCGGAGAGGGAGAGCTTCCCTTGCAGCTGAGCAGTGAAGTGCGGACCATGGCAGAGGGAAGTGACAGAAGCCCTCCACAGCCCAAGTCGAAGGCTGAGTTTTCCATCTACCAGAACCCGGCCTTCTCCGCCGTTCTCACGGCCAACAGCCTCCAGCCCCCCAAGTCCACCGTGGCCATTATCTTCGCCTTCTGTGTCGCCTCCGGTGCAGCTCTGATCTCTGTTATTTTCAGGTTTTTGTTCCGATCTTTCCCTGGCTTCTGGTTCCATTTTGTTTCTGTGAATGCGTGGGGAGACTGGGTTCTAGGCAGAGTATTTTTTTCGTGCGGTGGAACTCGTTTAGTGAATTTTTCTTTCATCGGCGAATGAGGATGATCATGAGACCTCTGTAGCGCTTAGAAATGGGAATAGAAGGAGAGGCAGGAGTTTTCCATTAACTGCGTATTATTCCCTATTTCTGATTTTACGTAGGGCGGACGGATCTTTCGAGAAATTTAGGTTGCTGAATCTTTCTGATAGCGTTACTCGTAAGTTCCCGTCAAACTCTTCGTCAAACACTTGTTACTGGGTATTGATGCATTACTTTTTTCCACTTTCCAAGTTATGCTTTAATGATTTCCTCCGTTCTGTATATTTAGGGCTGGGTGTAAGAATTTTTCAAATTTTCGTTGGCTTGGTGTTTGCCGCGACATTATCAGCACTCGCCAGGATTTCTTTATTGAGAAGTTACAGGAATTCATATGAAAGTAACCAAGAACCCACCATCCCCCCCTCCCAGAAAACCATCGATCAGCAAGCACAATTAACTCGTCGCCAGCTTGGCCTTTTAGGCATGAAGCAGAAATCCACTGAAAGGCCTGTCGCCATTGGCTCCTCTAAGAAGCCCTCAAAGCCAACAGCTGCTTCGTACTCTCCAGAGCCTCTGGTTCCTCTGAGGACATTGGCTAACAGTTACACTCCCACCCGCCCTTCTCGAGTTGGGGCAGGGCAATGGGTTTCTACTGGTGGGAAACATTCTTCACCTCAACCTGTTCCCTCTCCAGCCACGCCACCACGGCTGAAGCAGAGTTCGGTCAGTGGAAAGGGGATATCCACAGAAGAAATGCTAGAGCAGTTCTTGGTTGATGTGGATAAGAGGATGACAGAATCTGCTACCAAAACAGTAACGCCCCCACCGACAACTGGGGGTTTCGGCATCATCAGTCCTAGTTCTGTGACTACCCCCGGCACTACCCCAGGTGCCACTAGGAGCACACCATTGAGAGCTGCAAGGATGTCTCCAGGTTCTCATCAGAAGTACAGCACACCTCCAAAGAAGGGAGAGGGCGAGCTCCCTTCTCCCATGTCAATGGAGCAGACAGTAGAGGCTCTTGAGAGCTTAGGTATTTATCCCTATATTGAGCAGTGGCGTGACAATCTCAGGCAGTGGTTTTCTTCCGTTTTGCTGAATCCACTCGTTGATAAGATAGAGACGAGCCATATTCAGGTATTCTGCATAACATCTATCTTCTGATTAATTGATATGTTTGTGTATGCTTTCTTAATTGTTCTCTGCCCGCAATTTCGTTTAGGTTATGCAAGCAGCTGCCAATATTGGAATATCCATTGCTGTCAATCCAGTTGGAAGTGATTCGTTGACTACTGCGGCACCATTTAATGTTGGCCAGCTCTATGGGGAAAGAGAATGGCAACCAACGTTCACGCAGGACGAAGATGGACTTCTTCATCAACTACGTGCTTTCCTAACACAGACACGTGATGCTTCAAGAAGTCAGTTACTCCGGTGCCTTTAATCATCCCTTCATTGAGTGTCTGTTTATTGTTGTTTTTTGCGTTAATTATGTCTGGACTTGTATCTTCATCTATCTTTTAACCTTCTTCATACATTACACAACGTTCTTGATTATTTTCTTGCGTTTAGGGATAAAGTTATTGCTTTCCTTTTCCAATACATGTGACATAAATATTGTTGGTCATTGTGATATGTATTCCAATTTCACAGGCAATCCACAACTGCAACAGCAAAACCTTCTAGTTTCTGGTATACAGGGATGCCTTGATAGCATCACAGAGCACCAGCGGCTTCATGCATTGATGAAAGGGGAGCTCGTCAAGGGTTTGCTACCTCAAAGCAGCATACGTGCTGATTATGCTGTCAAAAGGATTCGAGGTAGAGATTGATTTAATATAATAGTCTCTTCAATATCTCTCTATCTTGCTGGCCTGAAGACGGTTCTAGACAGGGGTAGTGAAATTTGTGTGGTGATAACCTGGTTCACTCTTTTATATCATCTCACAGAACTTGCGGAAGGAACGTGCATAAAGAATTATGAGTTCACTGTTGGAGAGGCCTATGATAAGGTCAACAGAAAGTGGACTCCTGAGCTCCCGACCGACTCACACCTGCTGTCGTACCTGTTCTGTGCCTTCCTGGACCACCCCAAGTGGATGTTACATGTTGAACCTGCCTCTTATTCCAGTACTCAATCAAGTAAGAACCCTTTGTTTCTGGGGGTTCTTCCTCCGAAAGATAGGTTTCCTGAGAAGTATGTGGCCGTAGTATCTACTGTGCCAGACATCATTCACACAGGAGCCTGTATCCTAGTCATTGGAAAGCAGAACCCTCCAATTTTTGCTTTATACTGGGATAAGAAACTTCAGTTCTCTCTTCAGGTCAGTGTTGGTTTATGTGAATTAAGCATTTAATAGTTATTAAATAATAACTAATTCTTAATTTTAGCGCATTAATTCTTTTTTTATGTGCTTTCCCGCTTTGCCCTCATTACATTCTTTCGGTGCTTCATTTAACATTCATTTAATGGACTTATTTATCACTGCAAGGACATTTGGGACATTTAACATTCTTGATGTCTTATGGGACTTCTTCCTGCTTTATGCCTTACGATACTTATTTATCATTCCTTCTCTGATAAAAGCTAACCGCATGTATAGCAGTGTGGCATGCCTTACTGGCCAAAAGCCCCGCCAACAGTGGCACTTCCCGAAATGAATGCCATCAGTGGTCACCTGCCCACTGGAGATTCAACATGAAGGAGGTGCTCGCATAAATACTCGGGTCCTACTCCTGCAGTAATGAAATGAACTGAACAGGCTGAAGAGAAGAAAGCCTCGGTCCAACTATATTGGGGATAAGAAATGGCCAAGGCATGTCCTTGTCAGTGTGTGATTCCACCAACATGGAAAAATGCCTTGCCCCTGATGCATGGTTGGATAAAGGCCATCACTGCAGAAAGGCGGACCCACCAGTGGTGCAGAGAAGAAGGAATGACCAGAAAGAGGGTTAGATCCATAGAAAGGACCCATAAGCCCTTATGTTGAGCTTGCACTTCAAGTGCCCAAAATCTGATAATATATCGTGGGATTTATGCCCAGTCATTATGATCCTTTAGGACCTTGGATGAGCCCTGTGCAAAATCTCAATAATCCCAATTGTGGACCTTCTCTTTAGGACCTTGGATAACCTTGGATGGTCATAATATATAAAGACCTTTCGTGGAACTTATGTCTAATAATCTGAATTGTGAACACCCAATATGGGTATTTTACCCAGCTGTCACAATTTTTATGACCTTATGTTTACCTTGTGTCCAGTAGTCAATATTGACATTTTGTGAATCTTACTTCTTGTGGTTCAACCATCACCAGTTAGGTCTTGTGTTCTGAAACGGACATTAAAGGCCTTTGTGGTCAGTGCTTGAATATGTTCCTTGGAGTACCTATCAGAATCAGTATGGTCTATAAACAGTTTCTCTGCTTAGAATTTTAATCATTTGCAGATTTAGGGCTCGGGACAGTCCTTTGGTATATTAATAGAAATTGTGAGCTTTTTTCTAAAATGTGTGGGAAACAGCAGTGCAAATGTGCATTGAAAGGATTTCGAATCCTTGTTAAAGAAGCATTAGCTCAAACTTTGCAGACGTCAATGAAAGGCAACAATGCTGCGATTCCTGGTTGAAGATTCGATCGGTCATCTGTATTCGTGAATGTTCCAGTTGTTTTTCGATCTTATTAGGGATCATTTAGAACTCTCTTGAAAGTCATTGTGGCTGTAACTGTTGGACTTTTGTGAGGGATCTACTAAAACGGAGTTTTAGGAATAAAATAAGGTCTAGACTAGTTTTTTTCTTTTTTCCAGTAAAAAGGATGTAAAAAAATAAAATTCGCCCCAGTAAATAGGCCTATTTGAATCCTTCACACAGATCTAGTCCTTGCAGACTTTTCTTAGATTATCTTGCGTTGACTTCATTCCTATTTTCGGATGACAAAATGTTTCATTATTTCTAGCCAAACCATATTTTTTGGCCACTCGCTCTCTCTGCTGATCTTTTTTTTTGGATCCTAATATAACCATTTTAGTTCTTACCACGCCTCATCCCAAAAATCATAAAAATCGTTCATATGTCAGCTTTGTTTGGTCTTCAGTAGATAATACAGTTTCGGGGGATGCTCAACGGAAATATAAATGGAAGAAAAGAGATTTATGACAATTGGTATCTTATGTTTGCTCATCAGTTTGAGTGATTTTTCCGCTATGTTGGCTTTCATGAAATTGTCGAAGAGCGCTGTACATTGTCAAACCAGATGAACACTAGTAGCGGACATCAGAGCAGGGAAGTCAACCCGCTCTTGGGGTCTGACTTTTGTCTCTATCTTGTGATTCTAATTGGGAAAAAACCAAAAAAAAAAAGAAAAAAAAAGGAAAAAAGAAGAGGCTACCTTATACGGCAAAGTCTGAGCATCCCCTTTGCAGTCTTCTTCATTTAATCTCTTCCTTCCATTTTTCTTTTTTTTTTCTGTGCAGGGAAGAACGGCTCTGTGGGACGCTGTTCTGCTCCTGTGCCACCGGATCCAAGTAGGCTATGGAGGCATCGTTCGCGGGGTCCACCTCGGCTCTTCAGCTTTCAGCATCCTCCCAATCCTTCAAACAGACTGTGAAGAATAAAAAAAAGAAAAAAAAGAAAACCACAGAGCCCTCCTCTCTCCACTTCTCCGTCAACTTCTGCCCCGCAGAGTGTACTCTTTCTTACTGCCATATTATCTCTCTATCGTATTCTTCGTCAGGCCCCAGTATGTTCCTAACGGGAGGAGTCGACCCTACGCCCGTGCCTCGCCGTCCCCCGCGCGTGCCGTGCCGCCGTGCGCGCCCGCCGTGTGCCGGGCGCTGGGCGAACCGGTCCCCAGCCGGCCCTCGCGTGAGCAAAAGAATCACCATTCCTTGATCAACACTAGATTGCGTTAACCATCTCCTAGGTAATGAATGTAATCAGGCTCAATCCGGAATCCCCAGCTTTGCTTCCTCCGTTGAAAACAGGCCCTCAATCAGGGAATTCGCAAGCCCCCAGCAACGCATTGACACCCCATCTAACGGTCCGCCGGCTTGGGTCTGCTGTACTGCGACAAAGCGTCGTCGGGCCCTCTCGGCGTTCCATCGCCTCTCATCGGCACCCGTTGACGCTGAAGGATCTGACCGAACAGCTTGATATCAACATTCTGCCGCCGATCGCCGCCAGCCTTGTGCCAGTCTCTCTCATCCTGGATAGCCCCTCTCTCTTGCCCAGGCGGCACACCGCCGGCGGGGGCAGAGTCTATCTCGACGACACATCCGTCGTCGGGCTCGCCGCCGCTGCCAGAGTTGCCGCTCTGGTCGCCCGCCATCGGAGGCGGCGGCGGTGGCGGCAGGGGGGTCAGCCTGTCCAGGCCGAGGCTCTTCCTGGCCTTGGAGAAGAATACCCTGCACTGCTCCTCTGACCTCGTCCCCACCCGGAGCGAAATTCCAGCAAAGTCCCTGCCGGAGCAGCTCACAGCGGCGACGAAGCGGCACTTCTCCTCATCGGTCCAGTCGGCGGTGCCCGCCTCGCTGCAGCCTTCGTCCGAGCAGGCCCCCTCATCGAAGACCTGTCTGTCCATCCTCGCAGTGTCCAACGAAGTGGTGACGCAGGAGCTCACCGCTTCCGAAGAGGGAGGCACTGCCGCCGCTGCCGCCGCAAGGGCCTCGTAGTCCTTGGTTGCTGCTGCTGCTGCTACATCTTCTGGTGTAGACTTTCTCACTCCACGGCGGGGCTTCTGCTGGAGGCCCGTCCCTCTCATAGGCGGCATCACCAGCATGTCCAGGGCGCTCGCGGGTTTCAACCTCCTCCCCGACATCAAGAGATAGCTCCTCGCCGGCGCCGCCGCCGCCGTCATCCCCTTCTGCTGCTGCTGTTGCTGCTTTCTGAGGCAGAGGCTGCGCCTCACCTCACGGAAGCTCTCGGACTTGTGATTCTTGTAATAGAACTCGACGCAGTCGGCAGTCGTCTTGTGGGCAATGGAGGACGCGATCTTGGCGAAGTCCTTCCCGAAGAGGGAGAGCATCCGCATGAAGGTCTCCCGCTCCTCCGCGGACCATGGGTTTATCATCGTCCTCTCCTTCTCCAGGGAGCACGGGTCCTCCACCCGCCCGTTGCTCGTCATGAACCGTGACCGGATTCTGTCATCCTCGTCCAGTATCAATGCCGGCATCCTCAGCTCGGCTCTGTAGATCTTCGGCCGGGAGTTGGCGAGCAGGGCAGCGGCCCCGCCCATAAAATCCAATGCTTCCATGGCGGGAACCGGAGCTGAGTTGCCTGCAACAACACAGTAGACCATGGGCTTTTTATTTTCATGATCCGAACGGACACCAGATGGATGTGACAAGAAGACACTTTCTTTTAAGTATTCGCAAGAAGTTATCTCACGCTTCAGCTTAATCTTTTCAAACAGTGATATGAAGAAATGGATCGTCTAGAGAGAGAGAAAAAAAAAAGGAGATGAAAAATACCAGATAAAGGAAATCTTGCACTCGGGGAAGATCGACTCTTTTTAGAACCACCCTGGGATTGCTGGCACTTTAATTCAAGTCTGTTATGTGATTTCGAGGAATGCTTCCGCATAGAAAGTGACTGCAGATCTTCCTTCCACAGATGCCAGAGAGCCCTGTACTTGAGAGACAGGATCCTCTCTTTAAATCTCAAGGAACACTTGCGGATAGCAAGCTTCTGTCTGATGCACAACTCCGCCCGCTTGTTTGGCAATGGCAAGGCATCCTTTGATTCACATATATTAGAGAAAGATGGATTGGTGACAATTTTTGAGGATGCACTATGAAGAAGTTCAGATGCCCTTCTGGCAGAATCTCTGTTACAGTCCATGATCAATGCAACTGCGTCAGAATGCTCTTGGTCATATTTCTTTGAAGCATTTTTGTTCCCCAAAGCTGGAGCATTAACAATAACAACAGAAGGCTGGTCGGCATCAGAGGTGAAAGAGCTAGCTCCTCCGACATCAGCTGCCCTCAGAGAGTCGTTCTCAGAGGCTTCTTTCTCTACAAGTTCTGTATGAAAAAGCTTACAATCAACCGCATCCGGGGCACGGCTATCACGCTCTTTAGCAACTTTTTTCTGCTCAAAAGGAAGATCATTCCATCCCAGTGAAGTATCGCGTGAAGGTACCATAGAAGTCGAATGACTGGAGACTTCAGCAACAAGTTCACCCGATTGTTGTGTTAAACCATTATCCTGCATCTTTGACGACTTTGGAGAGTGATCGATCCTTTCACTTTCAAAGTTTAGCTTCTTCCGTTCATTTTCAGACAGATCAATTGCTGACTCGATTTTCTCCAGCTGCTTCGAAATAGCACGCTTCAGCAGTAGCAATTGACTCATAGTCGGCTGTCCTGTGAAATGTGAATCAACAGAGCACGAATTCTCAAGGCATAACGAATCCGCCATCACTGACTTTAAGGCGCTGAGAGAATCAAGATCCAAATTCTCCGAGTTAATAGAAAATTTCTCCAGAAGGTGTTGAAAGACGTGGCCAGGAGAAGCAAACAAACTACATGTCGCCTCAACGCTTGCTTCCTTCGAGAAATGCCTGATCTCCATGCCTGATACAGACCACAAATCCACAGTATGAGATCAAATGGTACCTCAACATGAGACCAAAAAAAATTATCACCCGCGAAAACTCAAAACCAGATAGAATCGTCATGAAATGTAAACTAATCGTTGCTGTTGACATAGTAAGTAATTCTTCAAGTTGAGAGAAGTGCGGAAAAGAACAAAGTAGAAAAATAACTCTACAGAAGCAAAAATAATATCTTTTCAATCATAAATTTCATGGAGATTAGCTAAAAAGCTATTACTAGTTAAACACTAAAAGATGGAGACTAAAATATCACAAGCGTACTGGATAATAGAAGATAAAAATCTCAACTTCATTCTAAAATTCATCTTGGGTCCGCAATTGAATGAAAATTGTTCAGATAAATTGAGCAGCAATTGGCTTAGGCACGACAGTTTATCTGGTCCTTGCATACCTTCTTCAATTCCTGATGTTAATCGTTTCAATCTTTAGACAAAAATGACATCTTTGTCCCCTCTTAGTTCTTGCGCAAATAAAGTCAACAATTTGTCGGATAAAATAAATCCAAGAGTCTTTGCGCAAATAAATTTAGCTAAAAATTAGCATTATTCGTGATTTTTACATCAGTATCGGAAATGTAAAAAAATATATCGATTTTAAAAAAACTTAATTAAAGTGGATACAGTTAGTATGAGAAAATAATAAGGACAGTGAATCACCTTGGAATGAGCTGCAAGCTGAAGATGATAGTGTTACAGGAGAAACAGATTCGGGAAGAGCTATAATCTTCGGACTGGAATCACCGAGGATGGACTTGGCACTGCTGCTGCAATGCACTGAAACGTTCTTCCCATCCTCTGGGTCCTCAAATTTCTTCTTCTCATATTTTGCTAGGCCTTGTCCCCATCCAAGCCTCTGTTTCTTATGAGGAAGGCCTTCATCCAAAGGGAGAGGAGGCACTGCTGGAGTTCCTGCCAGCATCTCCTTTCCGATGGGAGATTGTAGTTCACGTTTTCTCTCATCTGATCCATGGACGGAAACCTTCGGTGAAGATGAAAAGCTGACAGAACGGCTCCATTTCCGGGACTTCCAGTCGAATGAACCCAAGGAATGGTCACGTTCTCGATCATACCCGAGGCCTGTTCTCAAACCATCATCCACACTGTCACCGGCGTTTTTGTTTTGATCGTTGAAAGGGAGGGGATTAGATGACGGATGTGATAGCGGATCAGCGACTGACCTCTGAGCACTCGCTATAGAATCATCCTGCTGCCCGGAAAGATAACCGGGGTCCCATGAAGAACGTTGGGCACATCTACGATAATCCCTTCTGAAAGTAGTCCAGTTTCTGCCGTCTGCATGTCCGAACGACCGGGACGCCCTAAAGCCATCGTCTTCCGACCGTCCTGCTTCATCAGAGATGGGATTGTGGCTCCCTCCGCCGCTGACCGAGTGTTTATGGTGGCCTGCAGAACAACAAAGCAAACCCTAAATCTTGAAAAACACGGATAAGGTGTTTCTACATCTGAGACAGTACCATAATCGAATGGACAACCAAAGTACCTGACATCGGAGGCCTAGGGGAAAGGGCGCAGAAGTCTCGGTCGCCATGGGAGCGCTCCCTCGACCGAAATGAGGTAGAGGAGGTGCCGCCGCTGCCAAGGCCATCAGAATAGACCGACCTCCTCCCCTCCTTCTTCTCACTCTCCTCCAGGTACCGTCGATCCCGGGGCACTTGTCCGGGAGGCATGAAATAAACCGCCGAAGGGCATCCAGAGCCCCAACAACAAACGAAGCCCAAGATTCCCCTTCCCACCGCCCGCTTGGGTCAGAAAATCGCGTCGCCGGCTTGCCTCTACCCCTCTGCCCAAGGATTCTTACGCCTCAGATCTGCAGCAAATCGAGGAAAACGAGAGGTTACACCATTAACCAAGAAGGGAAGGACACGAGCCTCCGTTAAGGTGCGGAGCACAGAGAGAAATAGAAGCTGATAGCATACCAGGAGCTCCGGCGTCGGTGCTCTGTCTCCCTCCCTATCCCCCTCTACCCCTCTCTCTACCTCCCTATCCCTCCCCTCCCTCCCTCCCTCCCTCTCTCTCTCTATCTCCTCTCTCTATCAGTCGCTGCCACAGCCGGTGCCTCCCTCTTGGATAGACGCAGGCGGAAATCGCTACCGAATGAAAAGAAAAACAAAATCGTGCCCGGACGGACCCCACTGCAGAGCACAAACCAGAATTCAATCTCCTTTCGCGTCCGCTGAAGCCGATACTTTCCTAGCAACAATAATGCCCATTCCATCCCCCCTCCCCCATCAATTCCCACATAGAATTCGTTTACCACTTTCTTGATCTGGCCCTCAGATTGGGGGCATTTATGGAACACTCTAAAAGAGACGGGTCAAACCGCGGCACCCCACGCCATCCCTAAGGCGGTGGGCGAACCCGGCTGACTCAGGGTGAGTCGACTCGTCGAATCGCGAAGCCCCACCGAAACAGGAGTGAAAACCTGCTGCTGCTTCATCAGGTTCCTTCCCCCGGCCATTGAATCGGCCAGCCAGAACTGGAAAATCTACGCAGAAAAAGTAGCAGCATTCAGCATGATCGCTCTCCCCAATTGCGAGATGGGTTTCCCATTATCACCCTTCTTCCCCGTCGGCCTCGGACGCATTCAGGCTTAATCTGGGTAATCACCCAGATCTTCCAGTAACAGATCTAGTTACTGGAAGATGGTCAATGATGGAGGTCTCCGTATTTTCCCAGGCGTCGGTGATCGAGTTATAAACCATGTCCGATAAGATGAGGGTTTTCTGTTCAGGGGATGGAAGACTCAGGTAAGGTGCAAGTTAATTTGTTGTAGAAGCCGTGAAACATTTGAGGCAATGAACATGCGCATTTGATATTCACTAGTTATTCAGATTTTCAATCAACTGGGAAACAGGAAGCGGCAATATTTACTGTTATGAAATAAATGATCAGGTAAGAGAGATCTAGTAACAATTTCCTTGAACAAAAGAACCAGCAGGAACGAAACTTAACATTTTAATCATCAACAGGGCTCAACAAGGTCATAGAAAAACCCATTTTATAACATTTAGAAGCCTCCACAAATTATCTTGTACAAAAGTCATTATTTTTTTATAAAAAACTAACGAGTATGAAAATCTGATTTCTCGGTATTTCTTTTTATTTGACATGTTTCGTAACACGACCATTTTCATTCTCTTCACCATCTAAATCTTTCAAGTTTACGAGGTCGGGATTCTTTAGAAGAAAAACTGTAACCTGACAGCTCCTAGTTATAAAACGAAGATCGAAATAAATAATGAGGCGGACACGAGAATACCTGATCGGAGCCCCAACCACTTGGGCGGCCATCTCTGGATCGTCGCGTCTACAATGCCGGGACTGGTCATTACCCTCCGAATCGAAGTCAACGGCCAATGCCCAGCGCCAAGACCTCCGCCGACCTACGGATCACCGCAATCCAACCAAGAAATCGGCGCTGAAAACCGCGCTAATCAATCTGAGCACCATCAGACATTGCATCTGATAGTTGCCCCGCTACATTGGGGGATGGGATCGACGGAACGAGAACCTGGGAATGCGAAATCCGTCACCGTACCTTCTCCTCCATTGTTCCGTTACCGTGGTGGTCGAGATCGAGGGATCGCGGACGAGATGACCACCGGGAGCCGATCCATAAGAACCCTAGCATCTACGCGAGAATCCCAGCCCCGGAGAGGCGCAGGGTTCCAGTGCAGGAATTCGCGACCTTCGAAGATCCGCCTCCTCCCCGTGGCGATCCATTGGACTATCACAGGGGGCCATAACCACTATAAATTCAGTTATCAATCGGCCACGTAAGCCTGAAACCTCTACTGGCCGCGCCCGGCCAGACGTGGTGGGCCCCATGGAGGAAGGAAGACATTTATACAAGTTTATAAAAGGCTTATATTATACAGCTTTAAAAGTGCCAGTGATGTTCGGGCCCGGCCCAGAGAAACCATGGGCCTGATATAAATGGGCCTATTGTGGGCCTTATGATGGGCCTATTCGAACTGGAGGCGGAGCAGCAGCTTAACGGACTTGAACTTGTTGCCTTTGCGGTCGAAGAGCGGGACGCATCGGAGGCCGGGTCGCAACTCGGAGACGGGCAGGCAGGTCTGGCCGCCGAAATCGTCCTTCTCCGACATGTCGTACTCATGCACCTCGAGTCGCAGAACGGCGAGTTCTGGAATCGTCAGGGGGAATTCGAACTCCTCGTTCCACGCGGGCACCCAGCAGTCTTCTATCGTCTTCGTCTTCTTCATCACGCTGTCCGCCGGCGCCCCCGCGATCCCCACCTGCAATTCGAGAAGCTACACCCATCAGAAGAGAGAGAAAGAGAGAGAAATAGAGAGAGAGAGAGAGAGAGAGAGAGAGAGATTATTTTCTGACCCTGCAGTAGAAATCAGGGGGAGAGAAAGCGTCGAAATGGGTCTGCTTGAAGTCCAGACGCCAGCCATCTCCCATGTATACTTTCACCTGTTCGAGATTCAGGAGTGGAGATCAATGGCGCAGCATTTTTAGGGTTTTATGAACTATGTGTGGGTCAGCGAGGATCACCTTCAAGGTTCTCTTGACGGGTCGATTCGTCGAGGGGTCAAAGACCTCTTCGCCTTGATGGGTCATCAGAAAGTCGGGCTTTTTAATGAAGCCGCACCCTCCATTCCCCTTGTAGAACCCGTGCATCAGCCAGAGAGACCGACCGTATCCCTGCCAACGTGTCAAGAGAGACCATCATTTTAGAGCGAGAAAGTGAAGGATTAAAGGGTCGGAGGTTGAGGAAACTAGGATAAAAAAAGAAATCTTTTTTAGGGTGAAAATAATGCGTTTCCCCCATTTGACTATCGGAATTCAGGAATATATTAATAATAATATAGAGATAGATAAAAACCTGCATATTGAAGGCGACCATCTGAGCCCCATGCATCCACCCAATGAAAGGATTGTAGTTCGATGAGTTGAAACGAGTACCCTTCGGGTAAATCCTGAGAATATTCTTCTGAGTGAATCTACCAAAAAAAGAAAAAAGAGGAGTGATCAGCAACCATGCCACAGAAATAGATTGAAGAATTCCATCCTTTCACATCCACAATTTCTGAAAGAAAACATATATATAATAAATTAATATGAAAATCGCAGCGGTGGTTTCTCGTCTCACCTCACTACTTCTCTGCTGTGGGATACCGTAGCCTTCACCAGCTCTTGTTCGCTCAAGCTGAGGCGCCTGACCTTGTCAGGATCCACCCTTAGTGCATCTTTCAGGGTACCCTTGGGCTTCCCGGCAGCAATAGTAATCAGACGTTTGTACTCGGGTGAAGAATTCTGGCCCACTTTCTTATCGTCATCCTCGTCGCCGTCATTTTCATCTTCGCATTCTTCGTCGCCCTCGCCGTTCTTCACACAACAGAAAGAAAGTAAGGTGAGGAGATGTTACCAGAAGAAGAGTCGGCGACTGGGCCAAGGCACACCTTATCATCATACTCGAGCTCAGCTTTAATATCAGGAACCTCCCTTCCCCATGCCTCCTCGTCAGAGGGCGCCTTCCCTCTCTGAGACTCGCTTTCATCGTCTTTTGAGATCTTGGACTCCAGGTACTCTTTTGGTGGCTTGGTCGAAAGGATGATCCGCTTCTTCAAGGCTTCTGGCGATGGAAAGTTTTCTCGGCTTGCAGACTCGGGATAGTAGAGCATGTCGCCAAATGTTTCAGTGACCATCTGTAATTACCAGGAAAGGATGAATTCCCCGGATCACAAATATATAAATATATATATATATAAAAAGAAGAGAAAATGTCGAAAAGTCAACAAAAACTCGCCTTGGCGACTTGGGCCTGGAGATCTGGGGTGAGATGATCCTCTAAGGTTATAATAACGGGGTACGGAGATGCAACAAACGCAAACTCTTTGATTGACTTCAGACATTTAATGAGTTCTACAGGGGCAGTCAACGTCCTACAAAGATGAAGGAAATGTTTGAGTCGCCACAGTTCCCAAGAGCATAACCAGAATATATTGACCAACAGCAGGCTAAAAGGATCTCATATAGTGGAAAAGGTTACACAAGCTTTACATTGTCAGCGAAGAATATAACTACTAAGGCTTCTAAGAAAATTTATCTCCACTTCGTTTCCTGAAAGGCAGCAGGCGTCACAAACAAAGGGAGATAAGATTGGAATTCATAAGATTATCGATACGCCACACCAGCCCACCAGCTAGCCCCAGACCATCTGATGCTTTACCACTCAGAGCCTGGTTGCCATAAGGGAGCTCGTGGCGGTGAGTTCGTCCATGTCAAGGGTGTCACACCAGCACTGAAAACAATGACACCCAGAGCCTTCCCCAATCCACTATCCAACCGCGTGGCTGGACAGACCAGATCAGATCTAGGCTTCCGAAAACCTTCAGGACCCAGGCTAAAGTTTACTTTCTATGTTTTGCTATATGCCTTGGCTGTCAAGCGGTGCTTTGGACTCTCGAGATAGACTAAGAGGTTTGGCCCATTGACGCCAAGTTCCACATGCGCCATAATTCTAAGGGTTGGCATGCCTGACTAGGGTTTGCTCTTGTACTGACTGAAAGATACAGAGGATAGTGAATCGATATGACTTATACAAAAAAATTTCATAAGTACACCTTGTGTACCTATCAATTGCGAAGAACATGATACCATGAAAAAGGGCTTCATCAAAGTTCATCTATTTTGTCATGAATTGCTCTCGCCGATTGTCAGAGCACTCATGCGGCAACAATCAATGGAAGAATGTTCAAATTCGATGGATATTGATAAGACGTACCTTCCATGAAGAACATCGACATTGTCTTTCTTAGAATTGGGCCATATATCAAGCTCAATTACTCTGACACCCCTTTGAAGGGCTTTTATGATCGGGACATCACTGCAGTCACTACTGAGCTGGTTACCAGTTAAGTAGGAATTGTGACCTGTGTATATGTAGTAGTGCGACAATGGAGCAGTCATGTCGTGATGCACCTGCGACCCAAAACATGAAGACATTAGGCCGATGCCCGATTCGATCTGAAATTTTCACTATCTCTAAGAGCAAACTGAAGGCACCAAGACGTATAGATAGCAGCCAATTTACGAGTTATCATCTGCAAAAGCATCCAACTAGTGGTGTGCTACGAAATGAAAATGGTCTCAGTCAAAAATGGGGCACGCAAAGTGCATGATAGTTCACTGAATGCTCATTAGTCAGTTTGGCGGATGCTATTGCGCTCTGAATTCTGCAAACGAAAACGTTGCTCAGAGTGAAAGAAAATTTACCCCGTCGGAAATTATGCTTATTGAACCATACTAACCACTTTTCCAAGTTAAAACGCAAAAGCTCACTGAAAGTGAAATAAAATATATCTTCGGAAATTTATTATATTCATGCGATGACAACCAATTATATTAATTTGATACCAGCCTGTAAGTAATCAACCCAGGGACAACACGACGGATACTGTTGCCTCCTGAATTCTGCAACCAATAATTTTTAAATCCATGAAGAGCTACATGCCGCTGCACATCATGATGAGCATCTGAAATTATTCTTGGGCCGAGAGCTTACTAAAATAAAATACATGCGGCATGTTTGACTTTCTTATGTTGACGAATAAATTGGTCACAAGCTTCAGATCACAAAAGTATACCACGAGTTTGACCCCGCCTTCATTTGGCCCTTCGGCTTTTCTGCAAATGCATATTATAATTTGGATGGGATGTGTGCTCACAAGATGATGCGCATGGTGTGATGAAATATACTGGACCATCTCCGGTTATTGGAAGGCCAAACCAAACCTTTCAAGGAGTGTCGGACCATCTCTACAAGCACAGAAACTTCACCCTGATGACTCTGTACGCTAACAGCTACATCAACTCTGAGCATCGTGACCCTACATTACTAGGAGCTGGATATGATCCTAATGATTTGGAATGCATGCTGGCAAATGTCAGAGGTTCGTACCGGGAAAGGAGACTAAATTTTTTGGCAGCAAGTATAAGGATCGGGAGTAAATAGAGGCGATCGATTAAAGTAAGTGATCAAGGGGTGCTGATCTCTTGATTCCGATCAAGGAGTACCGGAGTGCTTGGAATCAATCAAGCTTCATGTATTCTATGTTAGGATCCGCTCATTTCTGCGTATTACTCCACATTTCTCGGACTGATCTTCAGCTTGCTTCCAGCGGAAACCGTTAGCGACGATCCAGTTTCGTTGCACAGGGAGGACCAAAATTGAACGAGATGAGGCTGAGATGTGAGATCAATCACCTGGGGATGAATGGGGGAGTTGAGTTCCTCGGACAAGAGGAAAAAGTGAAAGTCCTCGAGGGAGAGGAGCCTGGACGGCTTGCCGATGTGGTGGCGCGGTCTTCGATGCCGAACCTGGTCCGCGATCCCCACGGCGTCGGCCACGGTGGCCCCAGCATCCTTCTGGACTTCGACGAGGAAGCGGCGGAGCTGCTCGGGGTTCATTTGGGTGCCGCCCTCGGCGTAGGTCGCGAAGACGTCCTTCACGTCTGGGGGAAGCTCACACTCCGCCGCGTGGAACTTGCGGGTAAAGCAGAGGCACATCTTGTAGCTCCCCATCCTCGCCGCTTTCCGCTCTTCACTCCCAATTCTCAATCAGAGCCCCCGATCTCGCAGCACCAAGCGTTTGAGATCCGGCTGACGAAGCGGGAGAAGACCCCTCCACTGGAACCAGAGCTTGCTGTATACTTCCCCGGGGGATTGCAGAAGGCCGATGTCGCAGTGGATCAGATCGGAGGTCATCTTCGATTTATTCGTATCCCCATCTTCGTTGTCGGTAGGGATCACCCACTCGAGTTTCTGAGCTTCTCCCTCCCTCGGACAAGGCAAGAAATGACGCGTGCCAATGGGCCCCACCAGCCGTGAGAATCGCGGCGCATCCGCGGCCCCAACGTGACGACTTTGTCGCTCGACAAAATGCCACAATGAAGTTAAGAACTGACCAACTTTGACCTTGTTATGGAGGAAAATTGTATGAGTATCCCCATTCCACGTGACTCCGTCGGTCGGCGTATCTGTGAAGATGATTTATACGGTGAAATGGTATTTTTGAGATTTTTAAGAAGGTCTTAAGGAAAGTCACACTTTTATTAATATCTAATACTTATTTTAATATTTGTATGTGGCGGGCCCCACCTGACTACAAAACTCCAAGAAAAGCCATCTAGGCAGTGGACAGCCCACATGTCGGTTGGGGGGACCAACCATGTGCTGGCGTTTATTCAGTGCTTATCACTTGATTCGTACGTATCGCAAGACACCTCTTCCTACACCCAAAGTCAACGCGCGTGGTCATGGTGTGACAACGACTTTCGATTTAGTCAGTGAGAAAGGTTGAAATAAATGGCCACTTATTGCACTTTTTATGTTAAGGTAAATATTAAATTAAAATTAATGAAAAAATATAGTTAAAATTATAAAAGTTTACGATGGGTGACGCTGGGGACAGTTGACTCGTGTGCTTCAATTTTCTAAACAGACCCATTAAAGGGCGGAGCCCAATTTAACACACAAGCCAGATTAACCCGGGCTGGGTCCTCTAAATGGGCCTCTTCACGCGAGAAAAAACTCGCAAAGCGACCCATTAATTAGTTGGGGCTTCCAGTCGGTGATTAAACCAGAAGGTCAACCGAATCTTTTCCAGCGACCAGAACACGCCGAGAAGCTCGGGTTGGGATCCGAAAATGGACCGGAAAGAAGATGTTGCTCCGAAAACAAGAAGGCTATCGTCTCCCCACATGCCTCAGAGCTCAGCAAAGCTCTCTCTCTCTCTCTCTCTCTCTCTCTCTATCTGAACTAAACAATCGGGGAAGCTTCAGCGACATGGTCTTCTCTCGAAAGAATACGAACGACTTCGGCCAGGTACTCGTAGGTGGGGGCTCTGATGGCGTCCCAGTCGACGCGGTCCGCCGCCGGGCGGGGACGGTATCCGGCATCGAGCGCCGCCTTCGCCGCGGCAGCGGGCGGGCATGGACGGCGGCGGCAACGGAGGGCGATGAGGAAGACCAGGAGCAGCAGGTCAACGACGTAGGGCAGCCCCATCACCGCGAGCCCCGCCCAGCGGACGGCCTTGTAGAGGAACACGGCGGAGCCGCCGTGAACCTGGTGGCGCACCAGCGCGACGTGGGCCGTGGCGGCGCAGGCGAACCCGAGGCCCGTCAGCAGCAGCGTGAAGCCCGCCATGAGTGCCGCCAGCGTGCACCCCACGTGAGCCTCTTCCCGGCGGCGGCATTCCTCCATGTCTCCTCCTCCGGCGACCTTGGGTATCTCTTTCTCTCTCTGCGAGGGAGGGAAGAAGAGGAAGAAGAAGAAGAAGACGAAGGGAGGGACTTCTGTCGCGTCAGTTACGCGGGGCGGCGTTAGGGAGAGAGAACTAGAGGAGCAAGAAGCCGGCTTATCGGGCCGAGAGTTTTCATGCGGCCCATTTGATATCTTCATACTCTTGAGAGCGAGTCAACTGGGGTGTTCGACGCGTAACTGCCGGAGCACGTCCAATGGACGACACCGGTCAACGCCGAGATAACCGTTGTGGCGTGGGGGGGCCACTATATTGTCTGTCTTCGCTCCATCTTCCTCTCTTGCATCACCACCCTTAGGACATGGCTTCATCCAGGCAGCCGACAGCCGTCTTCCTCCTCGTCCACCTCCTTCTCTTCCTCCACGTCGAGACGGCAGCGCCGCCGCCGGCCGCCGTTGTGAGGACGCTCTGTAAAGCCACACTCTACCGGGGGCTCTGCAACCGGCGCATGTCGAAGCTTCCCCCGTCGGTGACTCGAAGCCCCACCAAACTCGCCGGCGCCGCGGTGGGCCTCGCTCTGGGATCGGCCGAGTCCGCTTCCGCTCACCTGAAGAGTCTCTCCGCCGCCGTAGGGAAGAAGAGCGGGCGGCTACAGGACTGCGTGGAGAACATGCGGGACTGCGCGGACCGGCTGCGGGAATCGGTCCGGGAGCTGGCCCAACTCGGTCGACCCGGCAGCCCCGGGTTCGTGTTCCGAGTGGACAACGTCCAGACTTGGGTCAGCGCGGCGCTAACCGACGCGGACACTTGCCTGGGGGAGCTGCCGCCGGCGCCGGCGGCAGCGGAGAAAGTCAGCCACGCCATGCAGATGACGAGCAACGCGCTGGTCTTCGTCAACAGCCTCGCAGCCAAGAACTGAGCGGGTACGTGTACAACGTAGAGGAGGTCGGTCATATGACGTGTTCTCCAACGGCTTCTTAAAGATCACCGGCCCATTCGTCTACTGGACCTATGAGTCATATGTACGACTCATTAAGCCCATTAAAAGTCACCAATGGTCCTTTCTTTCATTCCGTCTTGATTTTTTGCTACTTTAGTCCTTACCGTCGCCGCCTAATCAATCAAATTTTAAAAAATCTACCCACCAAGTCATGGATATTTTTCCGAATTACTCCTTTTAAAAATATCCAACTCGCCGGAATGTCCCCGGGATCGTCAATAGTCTGCTCGAGTCCCCCCCCCCCCGTAAAACCATCTCCCTATCGAGGGCGGAAAATATAATAAACCCAAGACTTATCGAAAACTTGGTCGGAGTAACGACCTCGGGCCGTTCACGGCCACGTACTCCAGCGGTGCGCGAATTTGACTAAATTGTACCTTTTCTTTCTTGAATTAGACAATTAGACAAATCCGGGAGTTTTAGTATGCCTCGCGTCGTACCCCAGGTCACCCTCCGACAGCCATAAAAGACCCAAAAGGTCCTTTCCGTCGTTGAGCGCCACGTCTGAAGACATTTTTAAACCGGCGGTTTAATGTACCGGAAATTTTTTAAAAATAGACGATTGTCTCAACGGTTGCTGACAAATGTTAATAAATAAATAAATAGTCAGAGTTATCACCTTGTTCCTGAAGGTGTCCAATGGGAAAGAAGGATGGTGATGACGACACGGGGGCGGTGAGGAGACGTCAGCCGTCCGTCGTGTATACTGTTCGTGACGACAGAGATTAATATTTATTTTGAATATCGTTGTCCCCATTCTCTGCTCCTAGCTGTAAATAACGAAAGAAATATTTAATAATCAGATAATTAAACCGTGCCGTGACTTTACTTTACGAATATTTATTAAACTACTAAGTAAAAGTTGTTATTAAAATTAGTATGGCTTTAAAAAAAATGGGAGTTTCTGCCGGCCGTCCATAACGGCCACGTGGATTCGATGTATCGAGAAGAACGTCCTTTTGGTTGTCCACGTCACTCTTTCCTCGAAAAGTGTCTTTGCGTCGTTTAGCTTGTCAGAAGCTGCCACGATAGAATTTTCGCATTAATATTACATATTAACATTTAAAGGCAATTTTATTATTTTTAAAACTGGGCGACGGGATTAGCCGGAGGTTGGAGCTCGTGAGGAGCCGGTGGGGAGCCTCTTTCAGAAAGCCATGATATTGGCTCTGCTGCCGGACACGTGGCGGAGAGAGAGAGAGAAAAAGGACGGTTCTGATTAGTCTGCGGGGTCCAAAAGTCACGTCTGCTCTACTTTAGGACTCGCAATGATGCTCCCACGTGTCCAATTCTCCCACCGAGAGCCGGGGGTCAATTAAAGTGGTCCCATGGTGCAATGCAACGAGTGCCGTGTTTGCGGGAAAAAGGCATCCGAAAGGAACCGTCGGCAACACGGAAATGGAGGGGCGCCGTCGGAACAGAAAGCTCCGCCTATCTGATGGGAGAGGCGACCGGATCGGCCCTACGAATTGCCGGAGAGGGGAAGCTCCGCCGTAAATGGAGCGGAGGACAGAGAGTGAGAGGCCGGCGAAGAAGGACCGGTGAGGATCTGCCTCTGTCTCTGTTATCCCCTTCCTATCCCTTTCTATCTTTTCCCGTGAATGATTTCTTCTGTATGGGCCAGCAATGGCAATGTCCTAGGGATAATCCGGAAAGTTGCGGGAAGAAATATCTTTTCCAGCGGGAGGAGAGCGGCGCCGCCACCCGTGCCGGATAGTCTCTGCAAATGCGACGAAAGGTCTCCGCCGCCGGCCCTTTCCAAAAGAAGGAAGAAAGGGAAAGGAGGGACGTTATTCGGGAGATGAAGTCGGCCCCACCTCGAGCGTCAGACCTCGTTGAATTCCACTTGAATTAGACCTAGGCTGATATTCTACAGATCTAACCGTGCAATAATCCAGCGTGATTAGGTCGTTGGTGCTACGCTTTGAATCGTAATCAATGGCGGGGTTTCCGATTCGATCCATTTATATTTTTTCAGTACTTTTTATTTATTTATTTTAAATACTCAGCCGCAATCGACGACGTCCAGCCCAAGATTCTGCCGTCGTGAAGATCCTGTTCCCATTCATGCCCACTATTCTGGTTAGCCTGGATAATCTACTCGCGTATTTTCTTTTTCATTGTTTTAAGCCAAGATTACCGTCAAGGGAGATGCAACGTGATTACGTTTTTAATACCGGCGGGAGATGGCTTCATCCCGTTGCCGTCGCCGGGCCCACACCCTCTTCCGTCGGGATAACTATCAGCCCCTCCCTTTGGTTCCTAAACCAGGTCGTCATTTAGACATCTCATTGACTTTTAGCTCCCTCCACGGCGGGCATCCCGGCAGTCAAACCCGGTTTTCACGGGACTCCAACCGTCAGTAAGAAAAGCCCGTGTGCTCAGGCTGGAATTTGACTCTGATCATCGTTGTGTTATATATTTCGCTGCTTGCCCATTTCTTCTCCGTGCAGTGAGGATGATGGGTACGTTATTTTCCGTGGAAAGAGCGAGTGGGTGGCAGAGCTTTTGGGCCTCCCTGCCGTCTCCATCGCCGGGCCCGGCGGTGCTTGGCCATCACCGGAAAGGAAGTTCTCCCGTTGTCGGCAATAATGAAGGTGAGCTGTTGGGGACGCCGATAATGGGCCACTGCTAGCCATGGCCGCCGCTTGTCCTCCATTTCCATGGTAATGGACGGTGGGGTCTTATTCTCTCCGATCACATCAAATCTTTTAGAATTGAAAGGTCCGAGAGAGGAGATAATCGAGAACATATCATGCGCCACTGATTTCTGATTCCACCTGTCTTCTATACTAAACGCAGGCTTCCTCACAATCCTCCACGCGTACACCTCAAGAGGTCGGCTCCTCTCTTCCCATCCCCACGTCAGAGGTTTGTCCATCCTGCGGGCGAGGGGGGAGGGTTTGCAGCGTTGACCCAGGCTTGGTCAACGATGGAGGAACGCCGCCGCCCACCCGACCCTTATCCCTTCTCCCCCGCTCACCTTTTTGAAGACGCAGAAATGCGGGGTTTTAAGAACCAAAACGCAGAATGTTTTCCTTTTTTAAGCTGTGTCCTCGGTAAATTTGTCGAATGATTGAAACATGCTTCATCTTTTTTATCTTGTCGTTTTGCCCTGCCGTAGGCGAGGAATGGGGTGGAGAAAAATACTAAGGGTTTTTAGATATATATTTTTACGGGGTTTTAAATGAAAATATCCCATGAATGGTTTAATCCTCCTCGTTTCTTATTTATGCGTCCCCTGGTTGTCCTTGGATCTGTTGCCGTCGTCGTCCTCCATTCTTCCTGCTGTAGCGGCCGTTCGTCGTTCATCCTCGGTTGAGTCGGCATCTCCGCCGTCGCCGCCGCCGTCGCCTCCGGGAACGATCGATCCTCTCAGAGAGGGAGGGAGAGGGAGGGGGCGATGGCGATGCGAGAATTTGTGCTCCCACAAATGGTGCTCGTGTTCCGGCGGGCCCCGGAGGCCCCACGGCCGCAGAAAGCAGCTCTCCCGGTGTCCATTTCTCCTCAGATCGAAATGTCAATAAATAACCAAAAGACGGGAGTGATGGGTGCTTCTCCAGTCGCGGCCGCCACCAGCAGCGGCAGCAGGTCCTTCCGCTGCTCCTCCTGTTCCCTCGTCTTCTCTTCTTCGTCTCTCCCTTCCAGAAATTGATATCCCCGCCGGGGCTACCGCGGTGACAGGAGGGAAGGAATCCTTCCTCCTTCCTCCTTCCTCCTTCCTCCTTCCTCCTTCCTCCTCCCCCGGTCCTCTCCCTTCCTCCTCCTCGAGGGAAATATCTTATTCTACTATTTCCGCTGCCTGCTCCGCCCCCATCTCCTCCTCTCCGTCGTTGTCCTCTCGCATATTTTATTTCTGGCTCCGCTCCGCTCCCTCTCCGTGGTACCAGCGGGAGGAATATTTATGCTGGCAATCTCCGGGGGCTATGCCGACGACGGTTAGCGCGGCGAGGCAGTGCCTGGCGGGGGAGGCGGTGGCGGCGCTGGACGAGGCTACCGCCATCGCCCGCCGCGGCGGCCACGGTCAGACGACCTCCCTCCATGTCATCTCCGCGCTTCTGTCCCTCCCGTCTTCGCCCTCCTCGCTCCTCCGCGATGCCCTCTCCCGCGCCCGCAGTGCCGCTTACTGTTCCCGTGTTCAGTTCAAACATCTGGAGATTTGCTTCTCGATGGCGCTTGATCGCCTCCCTTCAGCGGCATCCAGCAACAATAACGGCGGCGGCGGCGGTAATAACTCCCATCGGGCACCGGAGGAGCCCCCCATCTCCAACTCTCTCATGGCGGCAATCAAGCGGTCCCAGGCCAGCCAGCGCCGCCACCCAGATACCTTCCACCTGTACCAGCAACAGCAGCAGAACTCCTCCAGCAGCGTGAAGGTGGAGCTACAGCAGCTGGTCCTCTCCATTTTGGACGACCCCGTCGTGAGCCGCGTGTTTGGTGAGGCGGGATTTCGGAGCTACGACATCAAGTTTGCCATCCTCCGCCCGCCGCCGTCGGTCCTCCAGTTCCCCCGCGGTGGCCGGAGCCCTCCTCTCTTCCTGTGCAACTTCTCCCTCGGCGCTGACGACTTCGACCTCTCGTCTCGCAGTTTTGCCTTCCCGTTCTCGAGCCATCCTCTGAACTGCGACGGCGCAGAAGAGAACTGCAGGCGGATCGGGGAAGTACTCGCGAGAAAGAGCGGTCGTAATCCACTCCTCGTCGGCGTCGGCGCCAGCGACGCCGCCCATGCCTTCGAGAAGTCGATCTCAAGCAAGACCTGGTCCTCCTTCCCCCCTGAGCTACGCGGATTGGAGTTCTCAAGCATCGAAAAAGACGCAATGGAGTTCGTCGGCAGCAGCCTGGACCATCCGTCGCTGGATTCGAGATTTTCCGATCTGAGGCTCTGGCTGGCGGCGGACGAACACAGATCGTCGCCGGGCATTATCGTCAGCTTCGGGGATCTGAAGGGTTTGGTAGATATGGTCAGAGAAAAGAAGGACGACGATCATCTCAGTAGACTGAGTTACCTCGTGACGGAGTTGACGAGGCTACTGGATGGCCACCCAGGGAGGCTATGGTTGATGGGGTCGGCGGCAACGTACGAGATCTACATGAAATTCTTATCGCTTCATCCGCCCGTGGATAAGGACTGGGATCTGCAACTCCTGCCCATCACCACCCTCGAAACAAGCCCTCCTGGGCAGTCTCCCAGACCTAACAGGTGCAGTTTCTATGCTTACAACTCCGAGAAATCTTCTATCGGTTAATCTTTTCTCCCCCATTTCTGAATAGCTTTTTGACTTCATGGGTAATTAAAAGTCAGCATTCCGATGGAATTATGGGCTAAATAAGAGCATCTTGCTTCTCATCATTTCTCTCTCCGAATTCAGAGCTGTCTCTCCTAAGCGTTGTTCTATGATTTTGACCATTCTGAGATTCTACGAGTGCTTATGCCTAAGTAGAGAACCCAGACTCAGATGGAAAGCTCCATCAATTTGCCTAATGAGATGCTCCTCGATCGTAGCCCATCGGATTTTAAGCATCCTTGCATCAGGATCGTGGTTGAAAACTATGTACAGTCATCTCTTCTCACAAATCTTAGAAACCTGTATGCTCAGACGATTTTAGTGATCTGCCTTGTTGGACTTGGATTCTTGTGTCAGGATCATGATTCAGAACTACGTACACATCTTTCCTTTTATATCTTTTTAAATGACGAGGAAATATTTCTTGTTGTAAATCAGCTCGTCGGTGCATAATAATATCTGAATATCCGTCTTTTTTTGTGCTCGCCGAATTATCTGGGGGAGATTTTGTCCAGAAGCGGAACCTCACGGCTTGCTTTTTTGAACACATGACAGCTTGATGGGATCATCTGTTCCATTCGGGGGCTTCTTCCCCACTCCGTTGGTTTCATCGGCTCCTTTAAGTGGGCCTCAGCAATTCCAAACTGCGCCGACGAACGGCGTACTGAGCATGGAAAAGGTGTGTTCTTCGTTGATGTCGAGTCTGTCGAGATCTCGTATCACATCCTGTTCTATGATTTTCGAGACGCTTTAGATTAATATATATCGTCAAAAATATAGAAATTGTCTCTTTTTTTCTTTGTAAAAGATATGCTATGCATCTTCAGTGCAGGCCAAAGATGATGGAACAGTATTCACTGATAAGGTTGAGGATCAGCGTGAGAAGGTTGGGCACCAAGATCTCTTCTGGGTGAGATCCGAGTCAGTTTCCCGCGAGAATAGTCTCCAAGAACCCTACAACAAAGAGAGCTCCAGCAACGAGGACGACAGAGACAAGGTTGACTTGCAGAGAAAATCCTCAGGAAACCAGAAGCCGTCCATCTCCATGGTCTCTGAAACCCATAGTAGCCTCTGCGAGAGCGACCCATCTCAGAAAAGCACCCTCAGATCTCACTCCAGCGGCGTGTCCACAGATCTGATGCTGGGAACCCTCCATACTTCAACCAAGAGAGAAGTTCCCAGGACTTTGCCGGACCATCAAGGCTGTGGTGGACCTGGTTCGAACAACCGGAAGACACAATCGCCCAAGGGATCTCCGCCATTTGAGACCGAGGACGTGAAGGCGATCTACAAGAGCATGGTGGAGAAGGTCCCCTGGCAAGGGGAGGCCGTCTGGGCCGTCAGCCGGGCCGTGGTCCGGTGCAGGGCGGGAGACGGGCGGCGCCACCAGAGAGGGGACATCTGGCTCGGTCTCCTCGGCCCTGATCGAGTTGGGAAGCGGAAGCTCGCCAGCGCCCTCGCAGCGTCCCTCTTTGGGAGCAGACAGAAGATGATCTCCGTTGACCTAAGCTCTGGAGATGGGTCAATCCAGTCGAGTACTGCGATATGCGGCAGCCAGTTCGTCAACGGGTTTGAGATGACCCAGAGAGGGAAAACCATCGTCGACTACATCGCCGGCGAGATCCGCCGGAGCCCGTGGGTGGTCGTCTTCCTGGAGAACGTCGACAAGGCCGACTTGCTGGTGCAGAGTAGCTTGTTGCAGGCGATTCGCACGGGGAGGCTCTCTGATTCCCACGGCAGGGAGGTCGCCGTCGGCAACGCCGTCTTCATCGCCGCCGCGGGTTCCCCGGCGAATCCGCCGGCGGAGTTCTCCGAGGAGGGGATCCTGGCGGCGCCGCCACGGCGGCTGAAGATCCTCGTCGGCTCCACCGTTGGTGCTCTGGGAGCTCCTTCTACGGCGTTCCTGTCGAAACGGAGACGGGGGGATGACTCTGCAGGTTCGTCGAAGAGGGCCAGGAGGCCGTCGAGAGAGCTCTTGGACTTGAATCTTCCCGTGGAGGAGGAGTCGGCGGCGGCGGCGAACGACAGCGAGTGTTGCGGCCGCGGGTCGGCGGAGGAAGCGGACGAGGCGTGGATGGAGGAGTTCCTCGACGAGGTCGACGAGTCGGTGGCGTTCAAGCCGTTCGACTTCGATTCCGTCGCCGGCGACGTGCTGCGGGAGATCGACAGGAGCTTCCGCGCGGCGGCGGGCGGCGCCGCCTCACTCTGCGCGCTGGAGATCGACCCGGCGGCAATGGAGCAGATCCTGGCGGCGGCGTGGGTGTCGGAGACCAGAGGGGCGCTGACCGATTGGGTGCGGCGGGTCCTCGCCGGGACCCTTGTCTGCGCTGTAGAAGCTCGCCGTTTTCCGCCGGCGACCACCCTGAGACTAACCGCCGGCGATGAGGCGGCCGTGGAGGACGGCCATGTCCCGGGTATCCTCCTTCCCGCAAGAATTCCTTTTAACTGATCTCTCTGGAGGGCCTTCTGGTCGCCGCCGGAGAACTGAAGAGACCCCGGATTTTGTAGCAGCCACTTCTCCCCTGGTCTTCGGGATTCACCTCTGAGTGCTGCCCTATTGAACAGCCGTCGTTGAATAACTCGCGGATGTAAATATGGGATATTTTAGTGCTGAATAATCAACTCTGTGAGCTCCTCCGCGTAAATCTGCTCTCATTTCTCCTGCTCTCCAAGGAGGTAGATAGAGCGATAGATTGATAAATAGATAAATAGTTAGATAGATAGAGAGAGAGAGAGAGAGAGAGAGAGAGAGAGAGAGATCGGTAGACTGGTATAGGCCTCTACAGCCCAATACTTGGCGGCTATACTATTTGGGCCTGATCGTAGCGCAATCGGCCCAATATCAGAAGGAGATGGGGTTGGGGTTGAAGTGGCCCCCCCGGGGTCTGCTCTCATTTCTCCTTCTCTCCAAGGAGGTAGATAGAGAGATAGAGAGAGAGAGAGATGATAGTTTTCTTCCTCTCTCATCGTGCTCTATTTAAAATGCATTAATTCGGGAGAAAATGCGTAATAATTATGAAAAATATCATAGGAAGGTCGGGTCCGGGCCGAAAACAATCCCAAAAAAATGTGCGTTTTAATTATAATGGTTACACAAATGCGAAATAATTACGCCACGTGAGCGTCCAATGGGTGGAGAGAGAGAGAGAGAGAGAGAGAGAGAGAGAGAGAGAGAGAGAGAGGGAGACCCATCGTGATACACAGGCATGTGATTCGGATGATTTTTTCTTGAATGATTTTTTAAAATATTTTTTAATTAATATGCGCAAGAAAATGCGGCGGTGGTGGGCTATGAAAATATATACCCAAAATGATTGTTTTCAGTTTTTAGGTTTTATATACAATTAGTATAATATTTGGATATATATGTCATATTGGAAGTGATTCATCCCTCTTTGAGCAGAGTGTCTTCACTGAAGCGAACAAACAGATCTCGCGAGTCGGGGCCCGGCGAAGGTACGATACGAATTCCGCTTCTCCGGCGGGGGTCGACCTCCCACCCTCCTCCGCCGAGAACTGCTGATCCTCTCTCTCTGCCATCGCGAGCCAAGGTTGGTGTGCTGTTTCTTCTGAGGGGAGTTCTGCGATCTGTGAGGGCGGACTGTAGCGGTGGCTGCGGCGAATCTGTCCCTTCATGGAAATGGCCTCCTCCAACCCACGCTCCGTTGAGGAAATCTTCAAAGACTACAGCGGAAGAAGGAACGGCCTCATCCGCGCGCTCACCAATGGTCGCTCCCGTCCTTCCCCCCTCGCCTTTCTAATTGGCATTCCCACTCCCCGAAACCGCTCTTTCATTCGTTGTATTAACTGTTTTTATGTGCCGTTGCCGGTATGCCTGATCTCTGATGCCAGAGGTGGATAATTTCTACGCCCTCTGCGATCCTGGTAAGACCACGCTGTGTCGTTTTTTCATCGAGAGGGATCCTTGTCTACCCCCCCTGCTTGGTGACGATTCTTCTTCGTCTCTTTTCCTATATCCATTTCCCATGCTTTCAGAGAGGGAGAACCTCTGCCTGTACGGCCACCCTGACGATTCATGGGAAGTGACGCTGCCGGCGGAGGAGGTTCCACCTGAGCTGCCTGAGCCGGCTCTGGGGATCAATTTTGCGAGGGACGGGATGAATCGCAAGGACTGGCTCTCTCTTGTAGCCGTGCACAGTGATTCTTGGCTGCTCTCAGTGGCTTTCTATCTCGGGGCTCGCTTCAATCGCAATGAAAGGTTGCATGCTTACATTGTGTTTAATTCGGAAATATTATGCGCTAGTTTTCTATCTAGATTTTTCTCTACCCGAAGTCGAAATTTCTTGTACTTTTATGGATTAGATTTCCTAAATGGCCTTACGAGTGTACCTGGAGATTCTTTAAGGATCTTTGTTGACGATGTTGCACCAGTCTTTTGCCCAAATAGATGAAAGAAAAGGGTAAAAATCCCTTTTTAAACTTCTGAAAACTACACCAGAAGATGTATAGCCAATGTGCTGTTTAATGTCGAAAAATCATTTAGCATCTTTCCTTGAATGTGTCTTTGTAACAGTTCCACCAAGGATTGATTGGACGTAGCTTTGTCAGGTGTACACGATTCTTATGTAGAAGCCACATTCTATCAGTTGTCAATTCCTAGGTGATGCTATAATTGGGATTACTTTGGGCTATATGTTGACGGAGAAATAATAGGAGATTCCATTTTACTCGCAAGAATTTAAAGGCTATCAATGTTATGCCATTGTATCGATTGGTGATTAGCCAACTAAAGTAGAGGTTAGAAAAACTTAAGAATAATATTTCCTTTTTAATCTGGGATGAAAGATACATGGAACAAGCCGTCCCTTCTGAATTTTCTCTTATGATCCTAGTGGCTTTTTAGAATGGTATTGGGGCTCTTGCTCGGTAGTTTCCTGTTACACCTTTCCCCTGCTAGCATGCTACATTGTGGCTATGAGTTTTTTTTCATATTTTTTGATTTTGTGTGACTCGAAATCGGCAGATAAATTTCCTATGAACATTATCAGTTCTGCAATGTAAAAGGCAGAACTTTCCTTTCCTTCTAAAATTATCAGCAGAAAATTAGGGGTGATCTCAATAGAATTCGGGGTGCATCAAAGCCTGGTTAGTGATGATCTTTTGTACAAATCATTCGATTGATTTATGGGAAAAGAGGGCAACTAGCTACAGATAAAGGTTCTTGATTAGCTGTTCTTATTTGTTATGTAAGGGTTGGAATATACATAGAACTTCCAGATATCGGAAATACTTATTTTGCTGATGAGTCCTGGAATAGAAATACAGAGAAGAGCTGATCGGACCTCTGGATTATCCAGTCCCGAAATCATCAGGGATTTCCTTACTGTAAATACTCTTTGTTCTGAAGTTTCAAAGTTTTCTGTCAATTTTCATATTGTGATTATCTATGAGTTTAGTCTGAGGTTGCTTCCTTCCTTAGTTTAGGAATCTGCGTAGCTGCACAGAATATGGCGTGTGGATGTCTTGGATGCGATGTAATACGATTGTGCATTATCTGTGATAAAAAATAACTGATAATTGACGAGAAGGAGTTCTCCGTGCCCTTGCATCATTGCTCGTTTTTTTTTCAGTTGTTGGCTGTCTCTTTTTATTTAACCTTGAAAGTTTTAGCTTCTTTGCGAATACTAGGATTCAATAACTGTGGTAGAAGCAAATTGACTGTCCGGTTATGATTCATATGGTGATCTTTTCGGACTTGTACTGTTCAGCATCTTTGCTCTGGATTTCAGAATGCGTAAAGAGAGTAGAGAACTCTCCTGTCCGAGCACGTTGTGACATACTCCATACAGTTAATAGGTTATGACTTTGTGGATAACCAAGCAGTAACACGTAGCTTGTGTAACTTCATTGGTAGAGACTACTTGATGTATTGAAGACGTAGGTAAGTGGGACAAGATGACATCCCAAATTTGAGGTCGAAGATTCTGCTTGAAAGTCTTAAGGTTCTGGTTTGCTCTTACTTGGGAGAGTCTACCTCGCAGTCTCTGTGGGCAACTTCTCGTCCTAATGCTATTGGCGTGGGAGGATTCAATATAATGTCTTGGTGAGAAAAATGATTCCAAGAACAATACGTACAGACGTGATTTTAATTTGCACATCATGTAGCCGTTCAATTGTTTCTTCGGAGGATCTCGGCAAGGACCTACTACACCCCATAAGGGAGATATGTCAGCAAAGGGGAAGAAAACAATCTGAGTATGATCGGTTCTATCCATTTACCAACGCCATTAGGAGCATTGCTATCATGCATATGGGCCGTCTGGGTTTTGGATTGTTGAAACCGAGAACCTCTTGCCGTTGTCACTTAACTTCTTTTCTCGGCCATATCTCTCCAAATCCACTCATCCTTTTTTCTTTTTTGCTTGTTATCCACGGACATGTTGCGCCAACATGCCAGAGATATAATGCCTACTATAGAGGGTATGCTGGAACTTTTGCCTTCAGATTACCGGAGTTTGCTTGCTTGTGGGCCATACTTTGGATTTTCAGACGGATTGTCAATTTCCACTGGAACTAAAATTTATTTGAGCTCTTGGCGTTTAATTTTCTGATTTCACAACTTTACTTTTCAGTCGCCAGCATGATCCACGCGTGCCGAGGGATCACTCACTTCTGATGGGTACCACCTTTCAGAAAACACTGGCAACAGAACTCTGAACTTTTATAGGTGTTAATGGATGCTATTATAGGTGTTAATATTTTCGGTGGCTTTTTTATGATTAAAAATAGGTAATCCATATCACCTAATTATTGTTCTATAAAATCAGCTAAATACTCTGATTGGTGCAGTATTTGCATGCAGCTCTATGCTCACAAGAACCCCTCTTTTACATGAGATCATGCACTTTATTTGTTCTGATGAAAATGGGCTGAAGAGGATCTCCCATCTTAGAATAATGCTCATTCTGTTTCTCTCTGGGCCTCAGGAAGCGCTTGTTCAGCATGATCAATGACCTGCCGACCGTATTCGAAGTGGTGACGGACAGGAAGCAGGCCAAGGAGAAATCGGGCGTCGACGGTGGAAGCAGATCGAAGCATTCCACGAAGGTGAGATCATGCAAACATTGAACTGAGTACTCAGCCTTCTTCTTCGTCTACTACCTTCTTCTTCCTCCGCAGAGGTCGAGCGACGGTCAGTTTAAGAGCTCGAAGGCCGCCGAGGAGGTCTACGGCGAGGAAGAGGACGAGCACAGCGAGACGCTCTGCGGGATCTGCGGCTCGAACTACAACGCCGACGAGTTCTGGATCGGGTGCGACATCTGCGAGCGGTGGTTCCACGGGAAGTGCGTGAAGATCACGCCGGCGAGGGCGGAGAGCATCAAGCAGTATAAGTGCCCCAGTTGCAGCGGCTCCAAGAGGAGCCGTCAGTAACCGGGAAGGAACCTGCTAACGAAGATCTAGGTTTTTTTTTTTTTTTTTTTTTTTTTTCAACTCTTTACGCTAAAAGAAGGTAATTTTTCAGGAAGCCCCCTCGTTACCTAGGTTTCAATGCTTAGATACCCCTGATATGATGCGATGTGACTCTGGAAATATGGTTTCACTGCAGCTAACTCTGAATACTCTCAAGAAGCCCGGGCCCAGCCCGTGCCATTTCCGGGCTTAGTTTTGGGCCCACTTCTTTAAGCCAGGCGGGCCGTGTACGGTTCCATGGGCCGGCCCGTTTTGTGGGCTTGGGTTTTATAATGAAGCCCGAAAGTTAGCCGATCCTCGATAGTTAGTGGGCCCCACGTTTCTTTAGGCTGATGATGGGCCTGTAAAGGTGAGGGTTGGGCCCGTTAAAGGCCCAACATGGGAACCTGGGTTTCTTGCCAATGATGCGACACGTGGCTATGACGTCATACGCGGCGCCGCTGGAGTCCGCGTGGACCGCCCGTCCGTTCTGGCTCGTTCGATCCGTGTTGACGGGAAATTGTCAATTGCGAGTGGGTTCGGCACATGTGCTTTGTACGGATGTTTTGGTGACGTGGCGAAATTTCATGTGAGAATTGTCGGTTTATTTATGTGCCACGTAGACTTCGTACGTCTCTGGGTTGAATTTATTTCGGAGTGGGGGCTTTCAGACGTGGGGAAGAGGAAACATGTGGGTTTGTCGCTGACACAGATGAGCCGACGCCCGTCAGCATCTTACAGCCTCAACCTGATTCCTCTTTCCTCCCAGCGGTTTGACCCTTTGACCCCCCGCTCCCTCTCTTCACACCTTCCTTCTTCACCGACCTTCCCTCTCTCTCTCTCTCTCTCTCTTTTTCTCTCTCTAAAGAGGGGAGAGAAGAGGAGGAAGAGAGGGGGTTGTGCTGTTCTTCTCTCTGTCTTCCATTCACCTGAAAATGGAGGTGCCGCGGTGGCACCACCGTGAGGGCGGGGATGGCGGCGGCGGCAGCCGCGGCGGCGGAGAGAGGGATCGGATGGCACAGTGGAGCTTCGAGGAGACGAGGGAGCTCCTGGCCTCGCGGGCGGAGCTGGACCGGAGCTTCGTTGAGACCAAGCGGAATAAGCACCTCTGGGCCGCCGTCTCCTCCCGCATGGAGGAGAGAGGATTCCGGCGTACCCCCGACCAGTGCAAGTGCAAGTGGAAGAACCTCATCACCAGATACAAGGTCAGATATCTCATCCCCCCCCCTCCCTTCTCTCTCTCTTTCTCTATCTATCTATCTATCTATCTATATCTCTCTCGTGCTTCTTGTTGGTCTTGAATTTATCATCTGGGTGTGGGTTGAAGGGGAGAGAGGCGACGGAGGGCGACGCGGACCGGCAGTTCCCGTTCTACGACGACATGAAGAGGATTTTCTCCGCGAGGGTGGAGAATCTGACGACGGAGAACTGGGCTGAGACCTGCCGCGGGGACGAGCAGGAGATCCGGAAGAAGAGAAAGGACGGCGGCGCCGCCGCTGCCGGCAGCAGCGGCGGTGGCGGCAGCAGCAGCAGCAAGCAGGTGAAAATTGCGCTGATGGAGTTGATGATATGGCAGAGTCAGGCGGAGGCGATGCGGATGGGAGCCTCCGAGGAGAGGGAGGCTGAGAGGAGGGAGAAGGAGATGGAGTGCAGAATGGCTATGGAGTCGCTGGCGGTGGAGAAGGCCGTGGTGGACCAGGGATGGCGGCAACGGGAGGAGGAGAGGTGGGTGAGGGAGGAGACGAGAGCACGGCGGTGGGATGGTCTGGTTTCTGCACTCTTGGAAAGGCTCGGCCGGAGAGGATCGTAGGAAACTTCCCTTTCTTCTTCTTCTTCCTGGGAAAGAAGAATGATCCTGGGCCACCATGGGAGTTTTCTCATGTCTGTTTTCGTCTTCACGGAGCCGATCCTAACCCTTAACAGATAGCAGGTCGATAGTCTGACCTCGCTCTAGATCCTTCAAATCAGATACTCCCTACTCTCTCTATCTCTCTCTAACCTCCCACTCTATTCCATTTATGTCTGCCTGTGATAGAGCTACGCTATTTCTAGTCATCGGTTTCCCGTGTAAATTGCAGACTGTTTTTAACTCTCACCGTGATAACAATGAACCCCACTTCTGGATAGTATCGTCTTCTCATGCTTGGTGGTCTTCCCATTTCGCCGAGCGCCGAGTGAGTCTCTCATTCCCTCGTCTGCCCTCCCTCCCTCTCCCTCTCCCTCTCTCTTTCTCGCTATGTATACATATATTTATTTTTATCTCTTATCTCTCTCTCTATCTCTTATTTTTCTCTCCATATGGATATATATATCTCTTCTCTCTCTCTCTCTATATATATATATATTTCTCATAAATATCTCTGTGTTTTCTCTCTCTCTCTCTCTCTCTCTCTCTCTCTCTCTCTCTATGTTTCTACGGGCGCATATCTTCTTAGGCTTTAGTTGGGACAAAAATTCGGACAAGAAAACTCTGGAAGAGCATATTTCCATACGAGCGTGCCACGTGGCTGCTCCCTGGCACGTAGCGGCTACATGAAAGGAGGGGCGTCGTGGCGAATTTGTCACGCTGGCTCTAACCTAGGCCGGCGTTGTCAGATTCGTTGGCCTGGGCTTTTTTTTCTCAAATATGGGCCAAATTTGTCCTACCTGGTCCGGCCCATTTTGTATAATGGGCCAAATGATGTGCCTTTTGGGCCATCGTGAAGATATTTGGCACGAACTAGGCCAGGCTAATGCCACATGGGCCGACGCATCACAGATGATCGGGACATCGCTACATCCTCGGCACGTTTCCGAAGCCTGAAACGCGCAACGCGTCAAGAGAAGGGCGGAACGAATCGTCTGGGGCCACGCGTCAAGAAACTTGTCCCATTCGAGACCTCCGGGTGGATAGCCCTGGTGGAACGGAAGCTTCGTGGGAGTAACGGCAGATGCGGAAAATTTAAATTCGCATTTCATTTGGGCGTAATTTCGGCGCTTTTGACTTGCTTTTTTGACCAGACCAAGTTCCGTCTCCCTTCCTTATCTCTTCCGGCCCTCTCTCTCCTCTTGGTCCTCCGGTCTCATCCTCGCCTTCCCGTTCTTTAATGGCGGTGGGAATATTTTAATGGAGGAAGGAAGACCGAGCCCCGGCCCCCTACATATATGGATGGAGCTCCTCCTTCCTCTTCCTGGACGACCTCGCCGTCTTACCAATCCTCCCCCTCTTCTTGAAGAACTTGCTTTTTCCTCCACAGGTATTCCTCAGGTGTGGATCCTCCCCTTCCTCTTCTTCTCTCCCTTGCTGACTGGAAGAAGCTTGTCCTTTTCTCGCTGTTCTCCGGGCACGGAGCCATCTGCGATCGTCGCTTTGGCGCCGTGGATCGTAGAAATTTCGTTGCAGTAGGGTTCGGAGGGGAGGGGATATGTGCGGGGGGGTGGAGAAATTGAGCAGGGGACCGGAGGCTTCGGAGGGTCACGCCGCCATGGACGGCGCTGGGATGTGTAAGGCGAAGAAGCTGCAGGGATCGGTGCTGCTCGAGATGGCGGCGGCGGACGATCTCCCGAGCTTCCGCCGCGCGGTGGAGGAAGCAGGTCTGGACGTAGATCTGCCGTCCCCCTGGTACGGGCGATGGGGGCGGAGGATGGCCTTCGAGGAGCGGACCCCGCTCATGATCGCCGCGATGTACGGCAGCTCCGCCGTGATGGAGTACATCCTCTCCACCTGCGCCGCCGACGTCAACCGGGCCTGCGGAACAGACAGGTTCACGGCCCTCCACTGCGCTGCCTCCGGCGGCGCACCTTCCTCCATTGACGCCGCCAATCTGCTGATAGCCGCCTCCGCCGACGTCGAGGCCGTCAACGCCGCCGGGAAAAAGCCCGGGGACCTCATATCGAGGAAATTCTTCCCCGGCGGGTCTTCCAAGCTCAGATCCCTGGAGTTGCTCCTCAAGGCCGCCGCCCACGGCGGTAGCGGCGCCGCCTCCCCTCCGAGGAAGGACTACCCGGCGGACCTGACCCTCCCCGACATCAAGAGCGGCATCTACGGTACCGATGAGTTCCGCATGTACTCCTTCAAGGTGAAGCCCTGCTCGAGGGCCTACTCCCATGACTGGACCGAGTGCCCCTTCGTCCACCCCGGCGAGAACGCCCGCCGGCGAGATCCTCGTAAGTACCACTACAGCTGCGTCCCCTGCCCGGAGTTCCGCAAGGGCAGCTGCCGCAACGGCGACGCCTGCGAGTACGCCCACGGGGTGTTCGAGTGTTGGCTCCACCCGGGGCAGTACCGCACTCGCCTCTGCAAGGACGAGACAGGCTGCACCCGCAGGGTCTGCTTCTTCGCCCACAAGCCGGAGGAGCTCCGATCTCCCGCCGCCGCGCACTGCGGCGCTGGCTCCCCCGGGTTGCCGCCTCTGGACATCGCAGCGCCCGGTTCCTTGATGTTGAATCAGCAGCAGCAGCAGCAGCAGCAGCAGCAGCCGATGTCTCCGACGGCTGTTTCGTCGGCCATGGCGGCGGTGTGGATGAACCAGGGCGGAGGGATGCTGACGCCCACGCGGCAGCTCCCCAGCAGCCGGCTGAAGACGAGCTTGAATGCCCGGGAGACGGAGATCGACATGGAACTGTTGGGCCTCGAAGGCTACCAGAAGAAGATCATCGAGGAGATGGCGGGGCTTTCTTCTCCATCCAGCTGGAAGAGCTCCCTGGCCGAGGAGTACGACTCGCCGGCGTTGCTCTCGCACCTCCAAGGGCTCTCTCTGAGGCAGTCCGCCGCCGCCGCTGCTGCCGGTAGCGCTGCCTCCCATTTCCAGACGCTCTCCGGAATCGGCATGACCCAGCAGCTGTACTCTCAGCAGCCCCTGAGGGCTTCGCCGCCTTCCTCCTCCTTCGGCCTCGACCACTCCCTAGCCGCCGCCGCCGCCGCCGCCGCCGTGATGAATTCCAGGTCGTCCGCGTTCGCCAAACGGAGCCAGAGCTTCTGCGACCGCGGAGCGGTCAGCCGCTTGTCTGGCATGGCCGCGGCGACGACGGCGCCGCCGCCTCTCTCCGGCTGGGCCTCCCCGGACGGCAAGCTCGACTGGGGCGTCCATGGCGACGAGCTCAACAAACTGAGAAAATCCGCCTCCTTCGGATTCCGCGGGAACGGTGTAGTCCGGCCGGAGTCAACGCTCTCGGCCGCCGTTGACGAGCCCGACGTCTCGTGGGTCCAGTCTCTGGTGAAAGACGCGCCGCCGGTCTCCGGCGGCCTCCGCATCGGCAGCTTCGACGAGTTCCGCCCCTCGGAGGCCTTCTCCCCCTGGGCTGACCAGTTGCTGTACATGGAGCAGGAACAGATGGTGGCATGAAACCTTGCCCCTACCCACCACCCCCTCCGAAATTTCTTTCCTTAGATTATTTTTTATCTATTTACTATATTCATTTATTTACTACTTGTTCTTCCCGCCCCCTCGGTGGATCATTTCATCGATTTCATATTTAATTTCCCCTTTTTTTCTGTAATTTCTTAAAGTCGTATACAGTCAGCTGACTCCTTCAACATTCTTCATGTTTCACGTGGTCTTAAAGTAGCTCCCTTCACTAGTCAACGATCCACAGAAAATGCCAAAAAAGTCAAAAAAAATAATGCAGCCGTATTTTTCGTGGGATTTAAAAAATACGGAGCCCAAAGAAGCCCGTGCATGGCGGTAACAGTGGATGCGATCGTGGGAAGGAGACGATTAGGTACGATTAGGTGGGGAGAGTCCAGAGGTGCGGGGTCAACTGAGGCGTAGGCCCGGGATTTGTCGGGACCAGGATTCCGATATGGAGTCGCGTCAGTCGGATGTGGTCTCTGACGCGGAGCGCACCTCGCCTGGTTGTGAGAGCGTCAGACGGCAGATTTTTTAGTCGGATCCCCCCCGCTAGAGAGATATATTTTAAAAAATCTATAGGATTGTATAAATTATATTATTGTACATTCAGCCAAAACCGTTGTGGTCGCACGCGGTCTCCGTCGTAAACGCGGGGTTGACGGGGAGCAAAGACGCGGTTTTCCTCTCTCTCTCTCTCTCTCTCTCTCTCTCTCTGTGTCTCGGCGGGGAATGTATGAGAGATACTATATGGGCCGGTACTCGACTAAAAGCAGGCCCAAAACACGAAGACCCAATATGACCCAATAATGATTATGGCCCTAAAAAGTTGATTGCCCAATAACTATGGTAGCCCAATAACAAAACGTGGTTATATAATAAAGAGCGGTACCAGTCCATATTAGTCTGGCGCGTGGTTATACAATGACGAATAGCCCGCATAAAACCGGAGAAGAACGAGAGACCGTCCAAAGGGTGGGCTGTCGCCTCGTCAGTGGCCTCTAGGGTTCTGAGTTTTTTCGTGTGTTTTGGAGGAGACGATGGTTTGCCGATTTCTTGTTTCTTCTTTGTTTCGGTTCTTTTCTGAGGGTTTCTTGTTTCTCTTTCGTTGTTTGATGTGGATTGTGTGCTTTTGATCTGAGAAGACATTGGGGAAAGAGGGAGGGCTTGTGCCTCCCTCATCCCCGTATCATTAGAGACTGCAATGCCGCTTCCAGCATTTTTAGTGATCCCTTTATCGTTTTATTTGTTCTCTATGTATCTACTACTTCTGTTCTCTCCGTGGATGTTTTGGGCATTTGGCTGATTATTTCCGAGTGTGTATGCCTTTTGATTACGTTTAGAGCAACTTTATTAATTTTACGTCTTTTTATTTTATTTTTCCTCCGCACCTATCCGGAGCATTAAAATTTTTGGTGCCGGGAGTAGAGTTTTCGTTTAATTCCCTTGGGTATTGTGGCAACATCACAATAATTATCCAAAGTGAAACATTTTTACCGGATATCTCTCCATTTTTTTTCCCTGCGTAGCTTATCACTTTCTAATATCTTTTACATCAACGTGTAGCCTTTTCCTGTTGATGGTAAGAATCACTCAACTTTTTAACACTTTTCATTATTCTCAAGCTGTTTAGGTGTTTTGGTAGCATACGAAGACGGTCAATCATTTTTTCCCTTATTAGTTTCCATGATATTTTGAAATGAAGCAATTTCGTGCATGCTTTCTGTTGTTTCGTGCTGCTTGATCTTGTTCTAGCTCAGCTTCTCCGGAATCCATCTTTTTTTGCAGTATACCCGACCTATCAATGGTGATGTCACTCTTTAATTTCCCGTCATCAGTTAGAAGAGCTGACGATAATTTTTTAGTTGTATCTTTATGGGTTGATCTTTCAATCGAATGAGGTAAAATTCTATTTTCAAGGAGGCTTCACTCCCTGCCACCTCCATTTCTTGTTTCTGAGTTTTCCTGAGAAAATATATCCATAAAAAATCTTCTTCCTCACTAGCTTAACTATATTTGTTTTTTTTCCTTCGATTTTTTGTATTTCTCTATAGTGATCCATAGGGGAATGTGGTCCCAATGAGGAATATACTTCAAAGCAATGGATTAATTTCCAAATGATGCTATTGTCATAGTTACTCTGATTGGGACCTTATTCCTCGCCCTGATCTCTATAACCTTGCTTGTCTCTCTTTCATCTCATATACATGAAGCTATCAGCTTCATGATTACTTTTCTTATTTACGAAGAATTTTTCTTTTTTTACCAATTAGAAACCTATTTCTGATTGCTGGGTATGAATCCATCCAATCTTCTTGCTTGAATCCCTAGAAGGTACTACTTATTTTCTGCCCAATTTTCTAGTTTTGTTCTCCTCCTTCCATGCATCTCTTCTACCATTCTCACGGCAGTCAATAGGAAATGAGATCCCTAGAAGGGTCAGACAATTTGGAACTGTGGGTTAATTTCCAACTTTGCTTTTGCTTTATTTACTCTTATCAATGTTTTCTTCTTTTTAATTCCTTGATCATGCAATCATGGATCTTTCACCCAGGATTAGTGGGTTTTACACAGTAAATGGGCTGACTGCCAGGTGACGGTTTACATGATAGATAGTTCTCTAATTAGCTCTGTAAATCGCATCTTTATCCATCTTCCATCTATGCTCCCTTGGATGATGACTTTTACTATTACTCTTATTATTATTATTATTATTATGTGCTCGTCACCAAAACTCTCTAATCTGATGGGAAAATATTGGGTGTGGTCCATTGTGAATCATTAATCTTTACTCTAATGTATTCAAGTTGCGTAGTTAGAGTACTATTGATCGTTTTAATGTGAATAACTGATAATTTGCCATTCTTGTGTGATAATTAAGATAAAATATGAAAAAAAATGTTCCAATTAATGCAAAACGTCATACACTTGGGTTAATTTCGGATATTGAGAACATGCTTGTTGAAAGATATGATTTTGATTTTTTGTTAATTGGTATTTTTTTGTCTGATAAATGATTAATTAATTTTTATATTGTCGCGATGGTTTGTGAATAATTAATCTTTACTCTAATGTATTCAAGTTGCGTAGTTTAGAATACTATTGATCGTTTTAATGTGAATAACTGATAACGTGCCATTCTTGTATGATAATTAAGATAAAATCAGAAAAAAAGTTCCAATTAATGCAAAACGTCATACACTTGGGTTAAAATGTATTAGTATTTTTTGTTGACAATATTTAGTGAATTCGTGTTTAAATCTGTAATTTTTATGATTTATGTAATATAAACACATTTTTTTATGATACAAATGTATTTTGGTTTCATAGCCGGTAGTGTGAATCTGCTAGCAGATTTCTCTCTTTCATCTTGCTTTCACTTATTTTTGCAGCAAATTTCATCTAGTCTTCTCTGTCAGACAGATTTCAGAGCGATTGACTAATCATCATCTGGAAGAAGAATCTGTTGTCTGATCGTCACGGACTTGCTGCGGATGAGAAGCAGAGAAGACAATTTTCTTTAATTTCTTTTGTTCTTTCGATTCAGAAAGTGTTTAGAACAGAAATCGACCTGAACCCACTATAAATTTTGATGTTTATTTCCTTCCCGAGTTCAGTTATAATTTTTCTAAGATTTGATCGCGCTGTTAGGTCAACGATCGGTGTATGTTACCGATCTGCGAACTCTATCTGATTAATGTCTTGTGTGGACCTTGATCAACTCTCTGTCCGTTCAAGAAACGACGGGACAGGGCAAGGCCTATGGAGGAGACGATCGTGGACATGGTGGAGCGGGGGCATCCTCTGGCCCTCTAACCGCGATGTACTTACTCACCTCCTGTGCGATCATCGGCCGGATTATAGACTCCAGGTACGCCTCCATCTCCTCGACCCGCAGGCGAAGCTCTTCTTCTGCTGCAGGCAACGTTGTCGGCTCGCGCGGCGCCCCATCGGACACCGCCATCCGCCAATGCGCCGCCAGTGCAGAGACCCAGCGCTTCCTCACGGCGACGTCGGTGCGCCCGGGGAGGATCCGAGCGATGGCAGCCCATCTATCCCCGTACTTGGCCAGGGCGGCGACGATGGTCTCGTCCTCATCCGCTGTGAATGGGCGGTGCACGTCGGGGCTCAGATGGTACAGCCACCGATTTCGGCATGACTTGTGGGGCCTGCCGGGGATGCCGGTGCTTATGAACTTCCAGTCGCGGGCCCCGTGCTGGCTGACGAGCCTCGTCAGCTCCTCGTCTTCCTCCGAGGTCCACGGCCTCCTGAACAGCGGATCTCCTCCCTCCTGCGTCCTGCCCATCGGCAGTTCACGAAATGCCGCTTTGAACAGTGACCCGGTCGCGGATAGAACGAAGGCGATTAGGCGGGTTCCGTTCTTGTTCCGTAACGGAATAGTAGCAGTCTCGTTGTCTGTTATTATCGTTACCAGATCTGGCGCTTGCTTCCACGTAGTTTGTCGAATCGTCTCCTTTTCCCAGTTCCACGGCCGCTTCTGGTATTTGCTTCCGTAAGGTGCTGATTTTCCCCTTTTCAGTAAGGTGCGGTCAAGGTTGGTCGGGGTCTTCTTCTTCTTCCTCCTCTTCCCTTCTTCCTCGTCCTCTTCTTCCTCCTTTCTTCCTGCTCCTCATCTTCTTCGTCTTCTTCCTTCTTCTTCTTCCTCCTCTTCTTCCTCGCCTCCTGCTCATCGTCGAAGGCCATGTTCGAACCCGCTCATGAGGGAGGACTTTGGGCCCGTAGCTCTGGCCTTTTAGCACCAAAACAAGTCACTAAAACCGTAGCTGATTACATCTGGAAAAGAGGATTACATCGAGAAGGCATATATTCCCAAGCCATCTGATTTTATGTACATCAACAACAAAACCAAGGACAATTTTCTGTACCCCAACAAAATCACCAGCATACCTCGGAAACTAATCGAAACAACAAGCAAATATCGGTTTGGGCATGACATTTACAGGATATGATGCAGATATCGGTTTCTCCTGTGGTCGATTGGACGGAACTACTGTGGATTGGGCGGGCGGCTGTTCGCGGCGGAGACTCTGGAGCCCCACTCCAGCAGCTCTTTGCTGGTGTCGTCCTTATGTAATATCACCTCAATGAAGCAGAGGCATTCCCTCTTCGTCCCCGTCGCCGTCTCAATCGCCTCCTTCAGCTCCTCTTCGCACCGGACCTGCAACAGATGGGAAGCCAGGTAATGGAACTGCCACCGGAATGTGCAATGAAGCCGGCAAAAATACAGGATGGGAGGCGAGGGTTAACCTTGGTGGTCCAACACTTGCCGTCTCCGTTGTGGATGGCGTCGACCAGGGCCGTATAGTTCCAGTTCTTTATAACATTGTAGGGCCCATCGTGGATCTCCACCTCGATGGTGTAACCCCCGTTGTTTATGAGGAAGATGATGCTGTTCTGTCCGCAGCGGAGCATGGTGGAGATATCTTGGGCCGTCACCTGCATGGAAGAGCCGAGGATGTCGAAGCCTTCAACTGGGTACCATCTGAATCGTTTATGTGGCAACTATGATCGGGATTTACCTGAAAGCTTCCATCGCCGATGCACGCGATCACTCGCCTGTTCTTCGCAGCCTGTGCATACCCGAGCGTAGCCCCAACAGACCAGCCAATGGATCCATACTGCATCTGAAACTCGTACCTGCGGTCCCCAGAACTCCGTCAGTGGAATTAAATGGTTCGGACAGAGAAGGTAAACCTTTTTTCTCTGGTTTCGCGCTTACCCGCATCCCTGTGGCAGTCTGAGCTTCTGGCAGTTGAACCACGAGTCGCCGGTCTCGGCAATCACGGCGGTGTCAGCCGAGAGCATTTTCTGTATGTGGTTGAAGAGGACGTTCACCCTCAGCGGCTCCTTGGGCTTGCATGGCGGCAGAACCCCGTCGGGTACGAATATCCTGGAGTAGTTCTCGAAGGCCGTCGTGTTCTTTTTGATCCTCTTCGCTAGTGCCCGGAGGAAGTCCTTCATGAAGACGCACCCGAACGCCGGCCCGTTGGCGACCACCACCCGGTTGGGTTCCACGATGATAGCCTTCTCCTTCTTCAGCAGGAGGGAGTACCCGACGGAGCTGTAATCGTTGAAGATGGGCCCGGCGAAGACGTAGGCGTCCGCCGACTCCACGATCTCCGCACAGAAGGAGGTGCTGACGGCGCCCCAGTACGTGCCGATGAACCGCGGGTGGTGCTCCGGCGCCAGCCCTTTCCCCGACGGCATCACCGCCACCGCGTAACCGGAGGCGTCGGCTAGCTCCACGAAGGCCTTGCCGGCCTTCGCCACGCGGATCTTGGGGCCGCCCACCAGCACGGGTTTCACCGACTTGTTGAGGAACTCCGCCGCCGCCTCCACCGCCGCCTCCAGACCCGCAAGGTTGCTTATCCTGTGGTTCACAAAGGCGTCATAAGGGCCCCTCATCGACGCCGGAGCTTGAGCCAGCCGAGGGAAGAAGAGTAGGTAGATGGAACTACCTGTGGGGGAGGGAGAAGGGGACGGGCTCCCGGCTGAATGTAGGGTGGGGAATCCCCACTATGTTGCAGCTGATGCTCAGGTACACCGGTTTGCTCTCTTTCAGGGCCGTGGATATGGCGGTGTCGACCAGTTCGTGAGCATCGTCCAGATTGTTCACCACCGCCTACAACACCAAAGAGGGGAGGGTCACCATCGTTGTCAATCAGCTCTTCACTCTGTGAGAGGACTGATTCTGTTACCTGGAAGCAGGTGACCGTCTGGAAACAGCGGAGCTCCTGTGTGAAGTCGGGGAGCCCGATGGTATGGTGGAGGATCCTGTTGGTGCCGTAGTCATTGGAGTTGGGCCCCCCCACGATGCAGATCACGGGGAGGTTCTCGCTGTATGCGCCGGCGATGGCGTTGAGGATGCTGAACCCGCCGACGGTGAAGGTGGCCACGCAGGCACCGACCCCCCGCGAGCGCGCGTAGCCGTCGGCGGCGTACCCGGCGTTCAGCTCGTTGCAGCAGCCGATGTTGTTCAGCCCGGGCTCGGCGATGAGATGGTCCAGCAGCGTCAGGTTGAAGTCCCCCGGCACGGTGAACACGTCCGTCACCCCGATCTCCACCAGCCGCCGCGCTATGTGCCGCCCCAGCGTGGCCTCCCCCGCCGCGACACTAGCGGCGGGGCAGACGGCGTGGCACTCCGCGCGGGGCAGCCCGCCGACGCCGTTCGCCGTGGGCTTCTTCACCCCATTAGCCACCACCTCCATCGCTCTACAGAACTGCCGGATCTCAGGAATGGCGAAAAGGAAGGAAAGGGAAGGAAAGGGAAGGAAAGGGCTCGTCTTGTTCGTCTGGTTCGCTCGGTGACTGACTGTGAGTGGTTTGTCTCTCCCCGAGCTTAGATGCTCCTTGCGATTGGACAGGGAGAGACGAAGGGCAACTTATACACGACGGGCTGGGCTGGACTGGCCCTTTCCTCCATCACCGCCTTGCCCAAACCGGCGGCATTACACCGGTAACTTGATTCCGCGGATATCCTTCCTCTTTCTAAGAAGCTCCCAGCCGCTGTCCTCCGCCCGCCAATCTCCCGTCACGTCTCCTATCATCTGGCTCGTGGGCCCGACGCCCAGAAGCGTCCGAGTCAATGATGAAGCCTCATGCGCTCCTGCTTCCAAACCTGGTGCGCCCGTGGCCCGCCGAGTCGCCGAGCCGATCGATCCGCCCCAAGTGTTTAAAGCGAAGCGTTGGGGCATCTCTCAGATGTTGGGAATATTCCGTCACATCCGCCCCAAGTTGATCAGTCCGCCGCCGCCGCTTCGGAATAACCTAAAATAGTAAACCCGGGGACCTGACCGGTGGGCAGCCGCCAAAGACACAGAGGCGAATTGACTCGGACGATTCAGTGGTTGACTATCTGACGCGACAGAGTCGCACTATCTGCTTTAATAGAATATTCTGGCGCCGCCTTCCCACAGTAATCTTCCCCCGAGTATGAGCCATATTCACTGGGCCCACGTCACCTTTGAGGGGGGGGGGGGGCCCAGCGCCTTAATGGGCTGGAGGTCATTTGTCGCCATGTTGACGCTGTGGGCTGGGCCTGCTTTCCACCGCTGTTCCCGCCCTCCTCCAAGGGGCGTGGGATCAGATCGGCCGATTATAAAAAGCTGAGTACTGAATATAAAATGGTGGTTATACGTACGGCTAAATGATGCTGAAATATACCAAATAAAGAACTAAATATTTCCTATTATCGAGAAGGAGTGGATATTTAAATGGGCCGAATTGGCCATAAATGTATGGAACGCACGCTTAATCGGCCCATTTCTCACAGGTCTGATGCGTCGATCCATATTCTCCTTATAATGGGCCTTGGGAGACCTCCGGGCCAAGTGTTGGGCTTAAGCAGCAAAAAGAAGCGGGGGAAAGATAAAAGGGGAAATATTTAATACGTAAATGGGAGGAATAATATAGTTATTATTTTTTCGCGAGGGATTTTTGTGTAAAAAGATGATTAATATCCAGGGAGGTTTATGGTAATTTCTCCCCAGGGAAAATAACATTTTTCCCAATTTTCAGTCCGGATGTAGCTATTTTTGTACGTATTCCGTGCGAATATATCGAATTATATAAATTCCTCTTAAAGGGTTTTATTGGCCTGAGCTTGTCCAAAATATAGGGTTGACCCTCGAGCGGTAAAACGGCCCCCCGCTTTAACGGATTCCGGAAGTCAGCGTCAACGCTGCCCCTGTACGGGCTTCGAGGGACGATCAATCACACTGCCTAGAACCTAAATGATCTTCGCTATTTTTGTACTTATTCACTACGAATATATCGAATAAAATAATATTCCCTTGAAAGCATTTTATTGTCCAGAACTGGTCAAGCTGGGCTTTGCCCCCCGACTCCTGGGTGGATGGGCCGGGTTGGGCCTGAAAAGTCAGGATGGGTCCACATCCACCACGTGGCAGCCCAATCCTATCCTCATGGAGGAAAGTCATGCTGATGTGGGCCCCGCTCCAAGTGGTGGCGACGGCCGGCGTTGTGAAGGCCGTACGTCCGCTTCTGCGGTGGGGGATACCACGGCGGCGCAGCTTCTCCTGCCAACGGTAAAAAGGGTTCCCTTTAACGTCCCTCCGCCATCTTCTACCTCTCCGATCAGCCCACCTGGTGGCGCCACGGCGGCGCATCTTCCCACCGAGTTACATTTTCTAACGAGGGTAAGAGGAAAGCCTACGGCCCGGACTTTGCATCCTGGTAGTGGCAGCCGTGCATCCGGAGGAAGAGTCCCTCTCTCCGTCTCTCCCTTTCCCTGCTGTCCGTCTCTCGTTTTTCTTTTGGCGCCCGTCCATCCCTCCCTCATCCGTTCACTATGGAGTAGCTGCGTATACTTTTCATCCATTCCGCGCGCGTCGGGAGTTTCTCGCGCATCTCCCCTCTTTCCCGCCTGCAATGGGGACGGGCGTTTCCAAGAATCCGAGTACCGACGGTTCGAATGGAGGTCGGGAATGGGATGTGGTGGGGGGCGGACAGCTTTACATCTCCCTTAAGATGGAGAATTTCACGGTTCAGGGGGAGCTCATTCCCCACGTTTACGGCTCCGTCCCCATCGTCGGTTCCTGGGACCCCTCGAAGGCTGTAAGCGAAATACACAGAACATCTCTGCTGGTTCCAGTTGAATTCAAATACATGGTTCCTAGTTTTTTTTTTTTTTCTTTCACACATATATCGTCTGCTCTCCTCCCTCTTTTCCGCCGTCTTCAGCTCTCCATGGAGCGTGAGTCAGCATCGATGTGGGAACTCAGCTTCGTCGTTCCTCCCAACCACGGTACCGATCTGCGCTACTTCTGTGTTCTGAAAGAAAGATTCATTAGCATGTCGATTCCCATGTTTAGTTTTCACCCATTTGTCAAATCCTCGACAGAGACGCTGGACTTCAAGTTCTTGTTGAAGCCGAGGTACTGCAGTGTCCCGTGGGTGGTAGAAGATGGGCCAAATCGTGTGCTCAAGGGAGGCACTCTCTGTGGAGACGCAAGGCTGGCGAATTTCAGGATGGGTTCTGCATGCAGTGGTGGAGGTGGCGAGGAGATGCTAGAGTGCAGGGTCATAATGAAGGCTGACATAGTCTCCCCATTTGATCTCGCCGCCAGCTGGAGGGCGTATCAGGAAAATTTCCAGCCATCTACTGTGCGGGGGATTCCGGATGTCAGCATCAACTCCGCCCCTGCTATGGGCCTTGAGGTACGGCCAATTAACGCTGCCCAAAATCTAATGATCTTCGCCTTTGCTAGTTTTTGCTTGAAAACATTATAATTTAAGTTTTTTTTTCATTCCACTGCGTTGCTCATGAAACGACCAATCTCTAGATACATCTCAGTATAATGGCATACAAAATGAGTATAATTAATGATATCTTGTACTTTTTACCAACGTTATTTTGTAGTATCTTATTTATTTATGCGAAAAAATTCCTTCTTAGCAGAAGGGAAGAAAAAAAATCCTTCTGGTGCATGAAACAGCTATTATTTATAAGATATCAGTGAAACGAATGCATAAAAATCTGGAAAAAAGATACATTTTCCGCAACGACTGCCATCACAACTAGACCCAAAGTGGTCATATGTATGAGAGATTGAGCACCCCCAGTGTAGTTTCTTGGCGAGATTGTACTGTAATTGAGATGAAGTCATGGTTAACTGTGCCCAGGTCGTAGACCTAGTTTTATTTGCGTTAAGGATATACCTCTGCTATTGAAAGGAATTTATTGGCCCTTGAAAGTGTTTTTTATTGGTTTTTATTTACCTCCAAGGTTTGTTTGTTTGTTTCTTTCTTAGTGGTGCTTTTTTTTTCAAACGTTCACCAAAGTGTAAGTTGCAGTTTCATTTTAATCCTCTTTTTTATATATAAATTTATCACCACATACTTTTACATATAATGGATTTCATGTTTATATATCATATTTTCTGGCAGGCATAATTGCCATCGTATTTAAATGTTTAACAGAACGGATCTACGGCTGGCTTGGAACTTGATTTAGAACACTACGTCGTTCCATCTCCAGTTTCATGTGCCACCTCCGGTACAGTCTACCCTGCTAATCTGACAGAGAATCCAAGGTCATTAAATTACACCAATTCCGATGGCACAAGCTTCAATTCGCATGTAACAAATCAAGCTTCTGGTGTAATGCAGATTGAACAGGCTGCTGCTCAAAGGGTTCTTTCTAATTACCTTTTCCTAGATTACGTGCAAATTTTATTTGTCATTGGCATCGTTAATATTCTACAAGTTTTGTGAGATTTGACAGCGTTGATTAAACTAATTCAGTGACTATGAAGAAATATAACATCATCTGTGAAAAGAAGATCAGTCACCACAAAGAAAATGAATTTAATTTAGTTACTTTAGTTGAAAGGATGCTTTTCCTACATGATATCAAGAGCATAAAAACGTAATGACTAACTCTAGAATGATTGTTGCTTTCAAAAGTTTCTTAGGTGAATGGTGATCAACAACATGTTCATTATTCCTTGCAATGTGAATGGTGGCATTGTTTTTCAAGTTAGGGTAAAATGATGTGTGCATGATCTGATGTCTTTCATAAAATCATTGAAGAATAATAAAGAGAAAGCCACTGAATGCTGTAAAAAATTCGAGTTTCTGGAGTTCACTTGATGTCTATGCTCATCGATGACTATATTCGCTGAAGGTATATGTATATTCATTCCAATTTCCACAAGTTGTCCTCAATCTTGGCTATTCTGTCCTTAGTCATCCTTAAAAGTACACGTTACTATTTAAAAGTGGAGAATGCACAGAACACCCAATAACCGGATGTCTACTGTGCGCACATATCTCCTTCTTACTATTTTTTTCCTTTACCTTAACTTATTCGCTTGCTTTTACTATCTTTCTGGAGAATGAATGATCTAACTTGGGTAAACGCAATGGACAATGCGATAGAGGACCAAAGAAGAATAAGACTTTGGAACTTTTGGATCTCCATAATGGGAAGAGCTTAGCTGGTTCCAGATGATTTTTTATAAGCAAGAAAATGATAGATAGTTTAGTTGGACATCAATGATGAAGTTGAAGTTAATAACATTTTCTCATTAATCAGACACTGCCAGTGGATCCTTCACCGATTTCATGTTGAGAATGCCTTTCTGAATGAAGTTTTACATGACAAAGGGTAAATACCATGGCATAAAAAAATGGAGTCAGAGGGAACAGTGGCATGTTAAATATAGGTCACTATATGGCTTTATTTAGCAAGTTATCTAATCAATCAACAAATTGTTCTGACGCACTGCACCTGATCTGACGTAGATATTGAGTGCCATTAGTAGGTACGTGCATTTGCAAAGGAGCTCTCGCATAAAAGTTGGTTTTAATGCTTAGGTATATCAAGTCATGGCCATGGAATGAAGTATTGCATACTTGGAGTCATCTTGATAATTGAAAGGCATGTTAATGGTTAATCTCGGGATATTACGCTTAGTGAGAATCTGGTGAGATGGAGGAGTAAGAAAAGAACATGTGTCAAGAACATGTGTTCGTCTATAAGTGCTTCCATAATTGGAGTTGTGTTGACAACAAGGATGTTATCGATATTTCCAATAATTATGCATCAGAACATCATAGACATCCATTAGGATTGATTTTGCACTTGACTATAGAATGGAGAGAGTGGAGAGTCATGCAGTCTCCATGTTTCAAGTTATTAGGTTGCGAGCATCTTCACCAGAAGGCTTTCAAGGTGTTTTCTCACTTAAGTGGTGAGCAAGCTTCACATGAAAGATATCTATGGTCACCCATAGATCTAAGTGTCAGAGATCTAAGTGTTACTGTTTATTAAATTAGACAACAATAGAAAATGTGCTAAATCTTCGTCTTAACCTTTCTTGTAATTCAACAAATGTAGAATCTTCATGTTTTTTCATGTTTTCTCATTTATGCATATTTGTCTTCATTCAACGAGAGACAAGTAATTTCCTCTGTTGCAGATTATTTTCCCTTAAGTACTCATCTTCTTATTTTTGTTTATGTAGTGCAGGATACGGATTTTGTGGTTTCAGATACTTCCAAATTAACTACTGTGTCTGGGACGGATGAGTCAAAGTCAGTGGGCACGTTTTCACCATTGCAAAAGCAAGATGGCCAGAAGGGTCTCTTTGTTGATAGAGGAGTGGGCTCTCCTAGACTTTCTAAATCATCTAGTTCAAGCGTTCTCAAATTGGACTCTGAAACGAAGGTTAGCTTTTCTGTTTTTCCCTTTAACTACTGTCAAAAGATGTTGCCCGTTCTCATGTATTCCATCATCTGTGATCATGAAACCATGATTTGTATTACCTTCATAGTCTGCTTTTGTTGTTTAGCATCACGTGCTCGTTAGTTATTGGTCCACATTTTCCACTGTTACTGGATGGTGAATAATGCCATAGTCTGCAATGAAGGTCAGAAGGATTGTGTGATTGTGAAGCTTTGAGAAAATACCTGTTGCAATCTTTCAATCATGTGCTCGAATCAGTTTATGTACTCAAAAGATATAAATGAGGTGGTGCGACTGTGGCACTGCAATTCCTTTCTAACTGATATCGGAAAATCAAATTGGGAATGGTTTGGGGTGTCAATGATCCGAGCCAACATGTCTGAGCTTCTCGGTGTAAAATGAAGCTAACAAACTTTCCTCTTGTTACTATATTTCATTAGAAATGTTTTAGTGCGTCTTCAGCCAAATTATTTCTGCGTAGAGGATCTGAAATTCTATTTTTAATGAAATGATTTAGTAGTTGTTTATTTACTAGTACGAGTCAGAAGAAAATAAAATAACTTTTTTACGTATTGTCAGTTATGCAATTTACTAATCATCCTTTCTGTATTTTTGGTAGATTCTGTGATGTTTTACCCACTTATCTTTTGGTAGTATTGATAAAATTCTTATTGATATTGCTGTGAGTTGCATTTTAAATTGTTTTTGGTACATTGCTAGTGTCACTGTCGAATTTACAACTCTGCCTTTTGGTTTATTCTATAGCCGTCTTAATTGTTGATTTGTTGGAACAGAGGTTCATTTCTAGAATGGCAGTGTTTATTTTAGGACTATCATTACCGTCGTTGTTCTCATGCTTTCATTTTTTTGATAATCAGGACATGCCAGCAGCTTCTGGAGCTGTAGCAGCTGCAGCTGTGGCTGATAAAATGCTTGGACCAAAGGAGGATCGCCGACTAGCAATTGTGTTGGTAAATACCTTGTTTAACGTCCAAATATTATCTTTTTCCACTAATGTACGGCCCATCTATGACTGAAGAGGGTAGGCTTTAATAGAGGACACTGCTTGGTACTCCTTTCATTCTTTTATGTTTGCTGCTTGATGAAATAACTGAGATCACTCCAGTTGCATGTTCATAGATGATAGCACCCAGAGGTTTCTGTTTTTTTCATGGGAAAGCTGAAGTTCTGTGCCATAGCCGAATGGCACAGTGTCCGTGAATACAATTTCATAGATAAAGATGAATCTATTTTGTCCTTTCTTATATCATTGGTGACTATGATATCAGAGCATTTTGTTGTACTCCGGATATTGTCTTCTGAGACACTTTGCCGAAAGCTGCTGAATGAAATGGATCATTTGCCTCATTTATGATAGTTTTTTTCTGGCGTTCAGTAGCTTCAAAGAAATTTAAAGTAAAACTGAAGAAACAATAGTCAAATTAATGCTGAGAAACTTCAGTTTGTAGCATGTTTTGAGTGGAAATTTCAAATTTCGCAAGTCAAGCATATGCCTTGTTTTTTTTTTCAAGACTGGGATCCATTTTCTGATTGGGATGTAGAGATTGTGTTTATGATCTCTGTGAGTACGATAGACTTGTTCATAGTGATCAATTCATGAGAAACATTCCCAAAAGTTAAAGGAGAAACAGAAGGAACCTCAGTCACCTGGTTATCCTGATAAATATAATGGTTGAATGAACCATGACATGTATAAGGGATCGTTTAAGACCTATATAATTAGTATATTTTTTATGATGGTCCTAAGAAGATGATGTCAGAATTTCCCTCCTCTCTGTTTCTCTCTGTGAATCTGTTTGCTTGTCTCTTTCTTTGAAAAGGCTTATCAGACTTCCTTGCCTGTGACGTGGCCGTCATGGGTACTGTGGTAAGTGGATGGCAATTGGTGGTTACTTGGAGAAATTGTCAGCACCCTAAACTGGAGTTTTATTGCAACATCACAATATCACAGTCATAATTTTAATCTAGGAAAGTTAATTAAAATTTTTTATTTTGGACATCTTCTGTAAGTTTTAATCTAGGAAAGCTTAATGAGGCACAAATTAAAGTTCTCCACTCCCTGCTGGGGCTTGACAAGAAATAGGCAAACCAGAGACGTTGCAGTTCAGGAAAAATATAAAGACCAACGCAATGTTTATTTATTCTTAAGTACAGACATAAGAAATCAGTCATACTGGGTAGTCTTTATTCTTCTATGGCTTACATCAATTATTTTCTCATATCCTTGGACTGAAGGTTGGCTTACCTGCACGAGGAAAGACCTTCACTGCAGCTAAACTTACTAGGTATCTTCGCTGGTTAGGTCATGAAACCAAGCATTTCAATGTTGGCAAGGTGATATTTTTACGCAATTTTTTTGGAGTCATATGCTCACTTTGATTTTTGTGGGTTTATTTCCTCTGTTTCTTCATCTGATGCTAGATTTCTTCTCAATTTTCTGCCTGATCTATGAAACAGTATCGTCGCCTGAAGCATGGTGTAAACCAGGTATTTTTCTCATGAAGTGATTTTTATGAAATTTCTTCTCTGAGCTTTTTTCAGATGAGACGAAATTTAATTTGCAAAATCAAATTCTAACCCTGCCTTACTAGCATTGTACCTTAAAGTTATTTTATTTTTGCCGTCATCTATGACTTTATTGGCCTCTTTGTGAGATTCATTTCATTGGTCTATTTTTTTGCACATTACTAATCGTTTCACTTTATTTCAACAATGTTTCATATACCGTATCTGTACTGACAGGAGTATAAAAAAAATACAGGCCAATCCAAGATGGCTCATTTTCCCGTCCTGTTGAAAACAGTATGCATTGTTATTTTTCAACGCTACTTGCCCTTCACATGTTTTGTTGTCTTCCAGAAAGTCGTGTTTACAACAATTGTCTTTCCCTGGGACCGTGAAATGAACAAAAAGCTTATAGAGAAGGGAAATACTGCAGGGGACATCCTAAAAGACAGACTTTCATCTCAGGTTGTGGTCATGATAATAATTCTGAAGGATATTCCATTATGAAACTAAATTAAGTAAAATAGTACGCGGCTAAATTTTGGTGTATTGAGGGGGGATGGATGCTTCAACTGTGCTATAGTTCCTTGGGTAAAGGACGTCAAAGTTGGAAAATGAGATGGACATCTTTGGTAATGCAATTGATCGTTATGAACTTTCCTCTTCCCAGCAGACGATTTCCAGTTGTTTACTTTATTGATGAAGGACTGTATATGCACACTCATTTATTCACTGTTCAATAGTGCACAAATGAAAGGATTTCTTTTTGCCTGTTGTAACTTCTATGGTAGTTTTTCTAGCTTTGATTGTTTTTTGTCCATTTTTTCAACTTTTTGTTTGCTTCCCTTTTGATTCTGTGTTGTCATCTTTGAGAAAGTAGGCATATACTTGTCTATGAATAATTTTTTGAGATTATTTTCTGCCATGTTCTGTATATTTCTCATCTCCTTAGAAAACTTAAAACTTTGTTATTTCATGCAGTCAGCAGATTTTTTCCGAGCTGACAATCCAGAAGGCATAGAGGCACGCAATGAGGTGAACATTAATTTACTGTATGTGCCATTCAATTAAATCGACAAGTTATCTTGTAAATATGTAAAGACTAATTCTATCTTCAGGTTTTTGTCTGTGATTCTTGTATCCACCTTTTGATTTTACTGTTTGACATAAAACATTGTTTTTGACATGCATATTTTTGACTTTACATATCTGTATTGCTTCTTGTAAGGTGCCTGAACTTATACCCCTTTATGGGGAACCTATTTTTCCTGTCAGCAAGGTAGGAGATTCTATTGCTTTAATTACCTTCACCAGAAAAGCTAGAAAGCCTTATTTGTGGTACTTGGCAATACTTAATAGCAGTGTTTTGAAACCAAGCTTTCACTTTATGTCGATTAAGAATCTTATATTATCAGTTGACATCTATGATTTTTTTGGGTCTAATTTTCTAGCTAAACCTGATTGAAAATGAAATGATTTGACAAGTGTTTCACCTTCAGTCGAATGGTATTGTCCGTGAAGTAGACATCGGTTTTGTTTTAAAGTAATTGGCTTTCCTTTGTTTTATATCGTCCTTTTATGCTGCTGGTTACTAGGTAGCTGCATTGGCAATGGAGGACATGTTATCCTGGATGCAAGAAGGAGGTCAGGTAAATCGTTTTCTTCTTCTTTTACGCTGGTCATTTTGGACCCTGATATAAATTATTTAAATCATAGGTTGGTATATTTGATGCCACTAACAGCACCAGAGGACGAAGAAACATGCTCATGAAAATTGCTGAAGGACGATGCAAGGTATTTTTGTCTTGTATGCGGAAAGTGAATGAGCTTGCTTAGAGGACATTGGATCTCTATTAGACTGTTGAAAACATAAGAAGTTGTTGCTGCATCTGATGTTTGTTTTGAAAACGCAGTCTAGTAATCTACAAACAAGATACTGGATGATGATGAAAACTTTCTTTACAAACTGTTAGCTTTTTCGTTTAGAGAGATGATTTTTCATGATTTATGTGTTTTGCTTATTTAGTTATGGTGTTATAATTTTATTTTAGTGTATTATTTCCTTGGAATCCTTAATTTATTAATGTAAGTAATGAAAGTCATTTAGAAGTTTATTAAAGAATTCTCAGTTCACAAGTTTGTTGGGTGAAGTTCATTTATTTTGTGCTAAACCGTTAGATATAATGCCCACTTAAATTTAGCTGGGCTTTGCTACTAAAGGTCCATGTGAGATATTATTAGACTTATTTACGTTAGGTTACACCATTGGATCTAATGAATGCATACTGTCATCACAGATCTTGACCATTGGGTGCAGGGCTCTCATCACGATTTTGAGACTCATTCGCATTGTTAGATCCAGTGATATAAAACCATGAAATTTGTTGAAGATTCGCCTTATTTTTCCTCAATATTTTTCTAATCTATATCTAACCCAAAAAGCATCGTAATGCAATCTTAATTATCTGGACACAATCTCACAGATAAAAAACTCAGACAAGTATCCGACAATGCAATAAATTTTAGATTATTCACATTATTTGATTGACGCATAGATGTTTAGTTGACCATTGATACTCTGCCTTTCGTGAATTTAAGTCAACAGTAGTTAGTGACGAAAACTAAATTCCTAGATGTCTCATGGTATGGTGATAGTTACCTATTAAGCTAGATAGGATGATATTTCTTTGTTATCAGTTCTTTAAGCTTAAAGTTTAAGCTAGTTCCTTATATTGGACTATTGTGTACATTTGTCTCACAGATTATGGAAGAAGATAACAATGCTTTTTTTGTGTCGGGTACTTTTCGAGTTATCTTGGTAGAGATAGCCTCACCTTTTGATGTATCTTCTTGCCAATTTAGGGGGTGATATATGAATATCATGCACGTTTTGCTTTGAATTTTTATTCCCTTAGGCATTGGCTAATTTTTTGACTGATTAAAGTGGTTAACATGTGACAGTTATACTGTTTATTAGTTTCATTTTGAATTTTTCCTTTCTAATGAACCCAATTGTGCTGGTTACAGATTATATTTTTGGAAACAATATGTAACGATGAAAGAATAATTGAAAGAAACATACGCCTGAAAATCCAGCAAAGCCCTGACTATTCTGAGGAGTAAGCTATCGTATTGTTGTTTCTTTACTCTAGAGTGCTTTTATGTTTCACAGTGGCCTAATGATTGGATTGAGCATTGCTATGCAGGCCAGATTTTGATGCTGGAGTAAGAGACTTTCGGGCACGCCTATATTATTATGAGAAGGTTCATATGCTTTACACTATTTATCTTATCTGTTAACGTGGAGTATCGTTCTATGGGTGGTGCCAGGTTGAATAGTCCTATAATATGTACCATTTTTACTCAGGCATATGAACCAGTTGAAGAGGGTTCCTATATAAAAATGATTGACATGGTCAGTGGACATGGTGGGCAGATACAAGTAAGTTCGAATGATTACCTTTCCCTCTTTTTCTCGTTTAGGCCAATGAGTTTTCTATGCTCCACTTTTCTAGTTTCATATTTTGTTTACAATGGTATATTATCATGGTCATCGTTCCTTAAAAAATGTTACATTCATTAACTTTCACATCCAAAGCCTTCTCTCACTGTAAATAAAACCTAGAATTTTATTCAATCGAAGAACAGCTAAGATAAGGATGTAGCAGAAATCACATACATGTTCTAATTATACACATGTATATCTTTGTTGGTCCTGAGATCGCATGACTTGATTGTGTCACTTGTGGAAATGTTATCTTGCCTCTCACTTTCTTGAGAGTTACAGTGAATGTGCTTGTGATAATGTGATGTTGGAATTGGCTGTGAGAATGTGATTATCACTTATTTACTATTTTCCTATTTGAAATCATTCCTTACATCTTTTATTTATATGCACAAAACTTGCACGGCTTTGTTTTCTTGATACTTCCGTTTTATTTACTATTTAGAGACTTGACTAATTGTGTAAGGGTGTCATTTTCATTCAGGTTAACAACATCAGTGGGTACCTTCCTGGAAGAATAGTATTTTTCCTGGTACGTTTCTATCATTTAATATTCACCATCCCTTTCAGATTTCCTAAGTCTACGATTGGAGAAATTATGTATGTAGTTGGATTTCTCTAGTGGTGTGATCTAATACCCAAAACCATGTATTGAAAAACCGTGAAAGGCATCGTTTCTATTAGTTGGGTGACCTTTCCGGATAGCTCATTGGAAAGGGATGAACTCTGATGGCAGTATGTGAAGGTTATAAGGTGGATGATCCTGTGCCCACAAAAAATATCGCAGAGCACATGACTATTAAAGTTTATGAAGAATCTTTAGGCTTTGGGCTGTCATGGGACTATCTCATCTTGGCGAAACAAGAAAACGTTCTGGACTGTGAGGGGCTGTTGTCAGTGCATGCGTCTTTGCATGCGTGCCAGTAAATATCGTGCTAAAAAATATTTCCGTAAGGTTTTTTTACATTTTATGGTCAATAGTGTGACACAACTACCCAGTTCACTACACTTGTAGCTTGTTTCAATGTTCAGTAGTAATGATTTCTGTTTGGCAACTTTTTTCAGAATTTGTTACTGTTTTTGGCGTACTACAGTTAAAAGGAAAACATTATATTTTATTGTCAGGGTTAAATCATATTTGCACTTCAAAATAACTGCTGGCTATGTAAATATTGCGTTTTCTCATTAACATTCTTGTGTTTATCTTGTTAGGATAATTAGTTGGATTGTGGTAATAGGGCCGGTAGACCTAGTTTGTTTTGTCTTTTGTGGGCCTATTCCCATAATGATATTTTTCACATCATGTCTCTAACATGATGCTAGTTTTCTTCCAATGGCTATCTTCAATGTATTTCCCTTCATCATAGAGATGGACAAGTGGGTCAATTTCCTTATCTTTGGCCCCATCGAACTCTATATAACCACCATATTATCAAATTCTGTTTAATAGGAACCCCTTGGTGGATTTGTTCTTTATTCTGCGATGATCGTTGCACCGTCATTCGTTGATCTATCTCTTCTATCCTACTTCCCTTATCTCTGTCTTGAAGTTCCTCCATTTAATTTATTCTCCACTGCCAATCATTGCTATAGAACCATATCATCCCTGTGACGATGTCCCTCTTCCATCTTCCTTCAAGATTTGGCAGCTTCATTTCTTCAATCATAAGAGTCTATGACACCCATGGTTTCATATGGCCACCTTTTCATTTTCGTGGAACTTAGGTATCTTCTTGACTCTTGTGCTGCTGTTTCTATTTGTGTCTGTCTCAGATACCAACTTCTGCAGGAGAGGCTCAAATAGAGTTTAAACCTTTGATGGATTGCCCAGCCTCTATTAGACCTCTTGTTCCCATCCACTCTCTGTGGTCATTTTGCTGCCTCCTCTCTTTTATCTGTGCGAATTGGGTGGCTTATTCTCTCCCATACAGGAGTAATCCTTCTTGCTGACAGCAATGTAAATGTTGTATGCCTAAACGTTGTCTTTTCACAAGACTACTGTAAGTGCTCATTTTTCAACTGCCCTGGAAATGAGACAGTGTAGGCGCCCAGAGCATTTGGGCTCCTTAGTTGAACTATGCAAATGATATCTGTAGTGGATCTGTAGAGCACTTATGTACACGCCAGCAAAAGTAAATGGCATCAGTAGTGCATTTTAAATGGCATCTGCATGTTTTGGAACCTGTTTGCAACGTGAATGCTCATGCTGTTCATAGTTTTGTGTTGTATGGCATCTTAATTAATGGCTTAACAGCCTTTGTCTTGGGTAAATGATCCATTAATTTTTCAGTATTTATTAACTACATATGTGATTTTTTACATCAAATCTATACTAAATAATAATATAAATGGTATAAATGATTTCAATAAATGGAATATGGATTTATCGAGTGCGATTGTTGCATGCTAGTTATTTTTTGTACTTTTTATATCTATTTACATTTAATAAATATTTTTTCATTATTTCTTTGTAAATTTAATTAATCACGACTTAAACTCACTCTTATCATCTCATAGGAATAAGACCATAGATTATTGATTTGGTCACTTTGGTTGCCTTAAAACCTCGGGCATAGTATAGTTGTCCCTTCTCTCTTTTATGTGAGGGAGATTCATCTTTATTGTAATTCTTTGCGCTTTCTCTCTTCAACCCAGTTTTTACTATAGGTTCTCTATGTAAATGCGCAGGTTAACACTCATCTCACACCGCGACCCATTTTACTTACAAGGCATGGAGAAAGCCGAGACAACGTTCGAGGGAGAATTGGGGGTGACACAATATTGAGGTTTTTTATTTATTTAAATGAGTTTTTTTTATCTGTTCACGGGATAAATAATATGGAGATGCTTGAGTCGTGATATACCCAGTTTTTCGTTATGAAAATCCTGTAAATTATTCCGCCTCTCTTTTGTTTCTCATTGTTATTCTCCTTGCCATTGTATATACACAACCTACCAGCCTAATTATCTTCCTTCTTTGATTGTCTCCCTTTTTTTCTCATTTGAAACTCTACCATAGATACTAAACATTCATTAGCTTAGACTTTCTTGTTCTCTACTTGCTCGTGACCTTGAAATGCACACTATAAAGTTTGTATGGAATCATTACTCAGATTTTGACCCTGCAATGCATCATACTTCGGGTTTTGCAAGGAATACAAAAATGAAATCCATTCTTCACACTTTCGAAACCTCTTTTGATCCTAAGATGAGCTTTAATTCTCTGTTAAATAACAATCCATTTCGTCTCATTTACCACGTAGGGAGATTTAATTGCTCTTATTGACATATTTCGTTGTCTCGTGACGTTTATTTCAGTTGTGAGGTGATAAGTACTGACAATGCCATGTTCTGCCCAAACATTTTCTATAGAATCTTTCACTCGTCACGATTTTTCTTCTTCCATGAAATCGAGGGCCAAATTTAGAAGCTAGCAGGGATTATCAACTACGAAATCACAACTCTGTTCTCGAGAAGCCACACCTCATATTTTATGTCTTCTTTCTCGGGAGGATGGAGTCTCCCTCCTATTAATGACTTAATGAGCTGTGGCCAGTGATAAAATGAGGGGTTGTAGTTGGATCATACCATGTATTGGGTCTCACTTAGCTTCATTAGAATCATTTCAGTAAAAAAAATTTCACTTCCAATGAGAATGTATTGTGTAGTGCTGGCAAAAAAGTTGATATGCTGCTCTTTGAGATTGTTTAATGTGAAACCCGGCCCTCAAAAAACCGGCTTTAAACATTGCTGACGGGACAGAGGGTGATGAAACCTTCAATATGATGAAAGATTCTTATTGTTCCCTTCTACCCATGTGAATGTGCTGCTTCCCTGACGACAATACATGAGCAGCAAGAGAAGGAGAGGGGGCCAAACTGTACTTCCCTTTGAAGCCGACTCTAACAGCACACAATTAAAGAAAAAGATAGAGAATAAGGGTTTAGTTCGCCGTCTGAACTTAATGCCGGAATAAGTTTTATACTTCAAAACTTTCTCCCTCCTATGTTGCTGCTACAAGTGTTCCCTTGATCCTTCATAGAAATACTTTGATACCATGTTGATAGGAAATGACATCGAGGACAGGGAGATGACTGGCCAAAAAGATAAGTCAGTTAACCCTTCTTAATCTATTTATGAAAAGAACAGACCTCAAGTTGATTGTTAGAAAAAAAATACTCCTATTGGAAGGCGCTCTGATGATGACAAAGAATGCCTAACTAAAAGTGAAAGAAATGGCGTAACATAATCTTAACTTGGTTAAATGCTCGTTATGAGAGCTTCAATTGATTTAAATCTGAACTTTTCACAAATGACCAAGTTGATTATTTCATGAAAGTTTGTTTTCTTATTTGCAGTGAAGCTGGAGAGCTTTATAAAAAGAAGCTGGCCAATTTTGTGGAGAAACGACTGAAATCAGAGAGGACTGCTTCTGTATGTATCTACTGATGTATAGCTGCCCTGTTAATTGAATTATTGTTTAAGCATTCTTATCTTTGTTTCTTTGGCTGATGGTAATCGATAGTTGAATCTTCTGTTTCCTTGAAAGTCTCTCCTTTGTTGTCTTTATGGAACTCCACAATATGCTGTGAACACTTTCTGTCATTTCCTGATTTTTAATATTCACGTAAAAAGATTGCTGCATGTGACTGCAGCTTTCTCGGCATTTGCATCTTACAATATGGGCAGACTCTTCTCCATAAAGAATGAAATGTTTTGTTTCGTTACACAGGCTACTGTTGCATGCAATTTTGTTTTTTTTTTGAGCCCTCATTTTTGTGTAATTTTATACTAGTGACCGTAAGATATTTTTATACTAAATCCTCTGGGATCGTACACATGATTTCCTAGATAATATTATAGCTGTAGTAAATCTTTTTGTAGATCGTTTTATGAGGTTTTGAGTATGGCCTGTTTTCTAAAACGTTTGGTATAATTATTAACATAAATCAATGGCCTGAAGTCTGAGGAAATAAAGGTAATTTTTACTTGTTTTTGTTCATGCATTAAATTATCATTAGTCAGGTTCTGAACGTCTATTCTAAGTTTGATTTTTGAGCGTTGTCTGTTTTGTTTAATGCCCAGTAAACACGAATGCCATCAGTTTTTAGATTAAAATACTTAACTGTGCACTTATTTTCGATCACGACCGATTTGGGATTATATGTTGGCTTTAGCTGCTGGCTGAATATGGAACAATATAGTACGACCTACAGATAACTCATTTGGCCTTCTATCTGAACATATTTTTTTTGGGATTTCTTTGTACTTTTGAATTCAATTTCAAACTATTTATTTGGATCAATGTTTGTCCGGATTTTGTTGGCTATTTTTTTATGCTTTCTTTCTTGGTCGTAGTCTGAGCTCAGATTACAAGTTTTCAGCCCTAAGTAGATCACGGTATCCTTAGATTTTCAGATCTGGTACCAGATCAACCTCAAACTTTAAAATCAAATCGTAACACGATGCGCAAACTCAAGTTTGGTGGGCAACACGAACCGAAAATTCATTGTGAATTTTTTTTTGTTTCCCTAATAAGTAGCCACCTGAAGTATATAACCACTGAACCAGTTCTGGGAGCCTGACATTCCATCCAACAATGTTGTCCTTTTCAGAACTTTGTAAATATTCTGGCTTCAATGTTATTTGAACTTTTAGTATCCTCATTATCAGTAAAATGCGTTTAGGTGATGACGCATAACACTTTGTTGTATTGTACTCGGAAATCTTCATCATCCTCGATTAATTTCTAGTTTGTTGTGTAGCAGATGTTCATCTCACGGTAGAAAAGTAATTTAGTATATACAGTTCTTAGTGAGATGGTCTCACTGCGATGTAATCAAGGATTCAATTTTCAACTGAACAAATTTCACCGAATACGTGCTGGATAAGCAGTCATTAATTAGCTATCCCCAAACATGTTAATAGGTGTCGACAAAATTGCTATTTGGATCTTAAAATTATTTAGTTAAAAATTAGCTCCGCTTTGTTAGTTTTTGCGACATGAATCTTATGTTTCGTTATTTCATTGTCTTCATCTCACACAAGGTAGGCCTTACGATGTTGGGTTATATCACCTTCATACTGCAGTCATCTGTTATAACTGCGGGTTTGAACCGACTAAATGTTGTTGATCATCAAACTCAAAGTTATTTGGCCCTTTATATATTTCTGATCGGTCATTACCACGTCACTTTCATTCTTTTTTCCCCTGATTATATAAGGGTTTTTTTTCCATTAAAGACTTTTTAAGAATTTGTGACTAGTTACTTTTCTTTTGAATCTCTTCTTCTTATCTAACGTGCAGGCTCATTTTTTTTATATATCTTTGTTTAATTCTCTTCTGGTTTAGATATGGACAAGTACTCTTCAGAGAACAATATTGACTGCAAGCCCAATTGTTGGATTCCCTAAGGTTAGCCCTTTTTCACGTTTAGTTTAATTAGCCTGCCGGAATTTGAATTTTATAGGATTGGAAAAGAAACATTGACGTGATTTGATATTGGGTAATGATCTTCACAATCTTAGCTTATCAAATCTGGCAATGGCCGAATCTTTGCAAAGTCTGGTTTTGTTTGCGTGGTTCAGATCATGGCAGCCTGAAAGTTTCAGGCATCGTATAATTCTGTCTTGTCAAAAATTGGCCCCTACTAAAAAAAAGTGTTGGTCCGGCATTGATTGGCATGGATAAGTATTAAGTGAACTGATTGCTGCCCAATCCTATCAAATAATTTTTAAAGTAACTAACTTTGATCCTATGACTGTCATTTGGCATAGATCCAGTGGCGTGCTCTGGACGAGATAAATGCAGGAGTATGTGATGGAATGACCTATGAAGAGATCAAGAGAAACATGCCTGATGAATATGAGTATGTATATAGCATGGGTTCTTTCTTTATCAATTTACCTCATCCTAATCGTGTGATTAATAATAAGGGCTTTCCGCTTTTATCTGCATTAATACGTTACCTATGCTTAGGATGGCTCCTTTCATGGTCATAGTCATCGTTCACATATTTCATATTCCTGAAGTAAAATTACTATTTTAGGATGTGCTTGTTGTAATCTGCATGGCAGGTACTAAATCCCTGGTATTGTTGTTCATGGTAAAAGTGACATCTCTCCTGTGGTGGGAGTGATACACATTGGTTGTGTGAGGTTCTCAGTGAACACTTGAAAAGACAGATATAGTAGAGGTACGTCTGAAGAGTGTGGAGTACACAGCAAGAGGGACATCTAGAAGAGAAAATAAGTTATTTTGAGAGGCAATGGGTTCTACATAGGAGCACTGATGAGACCTACTGTTAGGTACCAATGCTCTCTTTGTTGTAGGAAAAATGAGGAAGATAAATGCTTAAACCAGGAGGAGAGAAGCAATCACGCGTGTGCACATGAATTTGGACGCGGTTCCAATAACCTGCATCCATGGACACCCCGAACACCAGAGAAGAGACGTTTCTTTAGGTGCAAAGAGTCAGGGACAATGGGTGTGAGATGATCTCCAGGAAAATAACAGACTCTGTGGTACAACGCCTATGATGATGAGGGAAAGAGAATAAGAGACAGGAATTGGCCCAGACTGAATTGGGAGACCGAATTGGCCGAGAAGTCTGGACATATCATCTAGACTTTAGCCAATGTGGCCCAGCCTGAGTAGTCCAAATGGTTTTCTGGACAGGGTTATAAGAAATTTTCAAGCCCACTTCCATTGGATTGAGAAACTTATCCGATTCCCACTGTGATGTGGATGATTTATAGGGCTTATATTACTTAGTGCTCATTGCACTAAGTGCTTGCACAAAAGTATGGGCAGATTCTATCTATTGGCTTGGCTTCTTTTTTTTTTAGCTGTTGCTCTCCGTCGAATGCTGACTTATTCACGCCATGATTCCTTAATTCAGGATGTTTATAATGAAAAATATTCCTAATCATGACAAGGAACTGTGCTCTCTCGAAGAAAGCTCAAGTTTTTATCGAACACTGAAGTATGTATTCTTAGTACTCATCCTACTTTCTCTGATTTCAGATCTCGTAAGAAAGACAAGCTACGGTATCGCTATCCTCGTGGAGAGTCGTACCTTGATGTTATCCAGAGGTTTGCTTCTCAATATGCGTAAGATCGGAAAGTGAGAGCACAAAAGATGCCCTCAGATGCACTGAATGAGCTCATTTCATTGTTCTCAGGTTAGAACCAGTGATAATCGAGCTTGAACGGCAACGTGGTCCAGTTGTTGTGATATCCCACCAGGTGAGATTAGTTCCAGATCCTTTTTTCTACTTGAATCCATCAGCTACCGTGGACTTCCATCGGTTCCTGATCTATAGTATGGATGAGGGTGGTTCAAGACAGATTCGGGACTTCCTCAGGTTTCCATACCCGGAGAAAATCCTGTTCCTGCGAAGATCCAAGATGGAAATGAGGAGAATTTAAAAGATAAGATGATGGATTTATATGGCATGTTCTGTCACGCCGGAGATCTTGAAACCCCACGCGCGCTTTCAGATGAAATGCACCCATCTGCTATATTTTTGATCGGTGCTCTATTGATTAGACTAATTTTCGCTGACTGTTTGTTTTTGTATGTTTACAGGCTGTCTTGAGAGCTCTATATGCCTACTTTGCTGATAAACCCTTGAAAGAAATCCCTTACATTGAGGTATGAAAACGATGGGCTTTTACTCTCCCTCTCTCTCTCTCTCTCTCTCTCTCTCTCTCTCTCTCTCTCTCTCTCTCTCTCTCTCTCTCTCTCTCTCTCTCTCTCTCTCTCCCTGTGTGTTTATATACACAGGACTTTGTGGGCACATTTTGTTTCGATGATGCTGACTCTCTGTCACCCAAAAATTCAGTCGTTTTATCTCTCTCCGTTTGCCCAGTTTCTCTTCAAATCCACCTCAACTCTCTGTCTATCTCTCTCTCTCTCTCTCCCTCAATCTCTCTCTGCCTGTCTCTGTCTCTCTCTATCCTTCTCAAGTGTTCCGATGGCTTCAGGTACCCCTGCATACCATAATCGAGATACAGATGGGTGTTGCTGGCGTCCAAGAGAAAAGATACAAGCTCATGGATTGAAGGCGTTCTGCGGTCGCCTCCGAGGCGCCGCACCTCCTGGCCAGCAGCGGGGGGGACGCTCAAGACGACTGTTCCAACACTGAACTGGAATTCCTTTTTTTTTTTTTTTTTCTGAAATTAAAAAAATTCTCCCCCCGCGGCAAACTCTGTATAGAAAATAATAACATTATGAGCCCAGTGAGGGGTCCCTGTTTTTCGGTCGCCCAATCCGTACGGTCAACTCCCACTAACATTCTGTCTTTGTGAAAATGCCCCGTGCCTCCTGATACTAAACAAAAAACCCTCCACCATTGAAATAATATTAGATATCAATCCCCAACCAGGTTTGAGGGGCCTTCTGGAGCCGGAAAATGCTGGCTGGAGAGAAATTAAATTAAAAAGCAGGGATTATTATCGAAAAATATTGGTGAAAATACTGGTTGAAACTGGGCCGTATGCGCATGGAGCTTGGATGAGAGTGGATTTCTTTCTCCCTTGTTAGTCAACCTTCCTCATGCACGTCTCCCCTGGTCGGTCAGTGCCACCCAACAGAAAGTCCACGGTACGTTGAACCATGCAGAGAACAGACAAAGCACTAGTTTTTTAATAATCTTCATAAACTTTGTGAAGTCGGGTCTTGGGGTCATCAGATGTACCTTTAAGAACATCAAAATATGTAAAAATGGGACCAAAATAGCCCGAGTTCACCACTGGAAATATTATTATTTTTTTAATATAGAAAAAGTTTGATACATAGTGTGTTGACCCGGCACAGACAAGTGTTGACAAATTGTTGACCAAAGAGTAAAGCATGCAGGATTGACTCAAATAAGTCCTAAATAGTTAGTACATTTCAGCATCTCTAAGATATTTGATGATACGTAGGTTGCGGAGTTTTAAAACAGAAATAACATCTAAATAAATATCAATAAAATTTCAAGATTGATAATGCTTACTAAATGAGGCATATTCCAAGCCATAATATAGCACAAAATTCTCAAGAGTTTATAGATGAGACTATATTTCATTGCTCATTTTTCTAAGTTTTTACTTGAGAAAATCATGCGAAGTTATGGATTTTTTAATTTCTCTATCGGTTAATTTTGTTTGTAATTTTATTTTATTTTTAATTTCTTTGCGCGTTATAATATAGCAAACTGAGTATCGACTAGGGTTTTATCTGTTCAGCACTACTCGGACGGCGGTATGAGCTCGAGCTCTGCGCGACAGCCGGCGGAGTCCTCGCGTTGTTCAAGTGTATCGACATGACGTGACGGAGCGACCCACGAGACAGGGAGAAGAAACGCTGCCCATTCAGAGAATAGCCTGCAGAGGGAGGGCGAAGGAGACGAGAAGCAGAGAGAGAGCGAGAGAGGGGACATGGATCACCGGCATCTTTGCTCTCTCACACGTGTTACAAGTAGAAATTTAATTGGCGAAGTGATCAGTTCCGATGTGATGGACGATCTCAGTGAGAGTATCTGCTTTCATCGAAAAACGATCCTCACGAATAGTATCTTCTTCCCCGCCCAAACACCTTCGTTCTCCTGAAGAAGCAACCATGAGAAGTAGGGACAGTAAATTGGCAAACCCTAATGCATTCCATGCCCCGGCATGAGAGGGTCGATGAAAGCTTTTAAGAGATTTCATGCATGTCTAGTTTCACACGCTCATCCAAATCATAGTCCATATATGCTCATGATCTTGGCTCAACCGGCCTATTTCTCGACTCTCGGGTCTCAAAGTCAAAGGCCTAAGAAGGGTCAACATAGTCTCGTATGAAAGTCGTCATCGATCACGTAGGTAGGAGTGAACCAGGCGTGAGCCTTATGAGTTCTTTACAGTTTCCCAAGCTTTCTCCAAGTCTGTGGAAATGAACTCTATCGACGTAAAACTGCGTCAAAATGATGAAATGCTGCCATTTATATGCTTCAACGTTGTATAATCATGCGTCAGAATGCGCAAGAAGTATGGGATCTACCTGGATTATGACGTCAGCAGCTGTTTGTCTTTGGAGGCGTATGTTTGAGAGAAGGCACGTGTGAATTAAATGCAAACTCTTCATACAAGAGTTGGGTGAAGTGATATCTTGATAAGACGGTGGGTAAGCTCAGAGCTCGACTTCATTCATCATTTTTATAAATAAGATATTATTATTATTATTATTATTATTATTATTATTATTATTATTATTATTATTATTATTATTATTATTATTATTATTATTATTATTATTATTATTTGAGAACTGAGCTTCAATATCAGCCCAACCCTCTACAAGAAATCAGACTCAGCTCAGACCAGTGTCATTTTGTGGGGTTTTAGCCTCGAACACATTTCTAAAGAAACATGGTAGCTCCTCCACATCTCTCTCTCTCTCTCTCTCTCTCTCTCTCTCTGGGCGTGGGCAACCTTCTAAGGGGTCCTCACCAATCCTTGAACTCATCCATCCGAGAGTTCATACTGATCCTTGGGAGTAGTAAGAGGTAGATAGCTACTTCCAATCCTGAATGGATACTTTCACCCTGGAAATGGACAAGAGACACCCGATGATATGAATCTCCTTGTATGAGTGATGAAGGAACAAACAGACTGCTTCACAGGAAGAATAGGGCAACAACCATTTCAATCTGTTCTTGAGAATTTCCATGCGAAATATGTACTCCAAATTACTTGTTCTTCTTCACGCCAAAACAACCACTCTTTTCTAGATTTTTTTATTCTAAAACTATCGCAAAACTCTCCTGAAAAGAAGTTTGCTGTGATGTTGATCTACTTTTAACAGAAAACTTTCCTCCGACGCAGGTTACTTAAAATTATCAACAGAAAGTGTTTGAGATATCTCATTCTGGCTGCAATGAAAACTACGGTAGATTGCAAAGAAAACTTTTAATAGGGAAGTTCCTGCTGGACGCAATGAAATGAAGAAATTTTATCTATCTGTTACTCATTTTCTCGCTCATTACTACTCTAAGTGGTACTGGATAGACCCATATAATCCTCATAAACTCCTAATAAATGGGACGCAAAGTTGGACCAGCGAAATGTCAAGAAACTCTGCACAAATCCAACATCTAATATGGAAATAAAATAAGTGATATATGTATATATATATATATATAGATATAAGTCTCCAATTTTTTCTCACATGAATCAAGCGTGAGAAAAGATAATCGTATAAAGATCGCCTGGCAGACTAATGGCTCATCCATTGAGGAAGAAGCACAATTGGGCAACGCTGGAAAAATCAAGGGGAAGAGAGTTCGTGTGAAACAGGTGGAAATATATAGTATTGGGTAGAAATTAGCAACCTCCCCGATATCCCATGTCCAATTGATGAATCCGGCTATGCTGCGGTGTGCAGTGGAAGGATGATGGTTCATATGAAAGAAAAAGGGACTAGTTCCTATAATTAGGTGAGCGACATTCAGATAGCCCTCATTGGCATAGAAGAGCCCTGTTCGATGGGGAGTTTGAAGAGGGAGATCAAGAAGCATTCATAAAATGGTCCCAAATGACTAGCCATATATTTATTTCGCTACTATAAAGGAGAGCATCCGGGTCATTTCGACGACAAGTGATGGCAACAATTTCAAATCAAGGTCAGAGTTTCTCACCGTTTTTCCTGAAGCAGGGTCTCACTTATCGGGTCCTGTGCACATGCGTGAGAGAGAGAGAGAGAGAGAGAATGTTACTAATGCGTCACTGGGGCAAGCTTACCTACATGTTTCCAGTTTTTCACCAGTTCTCCGTTGAATCTCGAGTTCTCCTACAAGAAATCAGCCGAAGCGTCGTCAGAAGAAGACTCAGATTGAATGTCAAATCCCTTGCTATGTTACTATCCAAGCTGAGATGAGGCTACTGTCATCAATTTACCAAACCGATGGACGTTAATCTTTTCTTCACAGGCCCACAGACTACAGAGAGACGCTATAAACAAGACCACAATAAGGTAGCTAAAATAGTAGGATCTTAGTTCTAGGTTTCCTGCTGATGATTCATCTGTGTTTGTAGATAAATAGCTCATAGAGAGGAGACCTCAAACATACAAGAACAAACGGTATTCTACGATTTCCAAAGGTTTGAGCCCAAGAAAATTATACGAGCAAGGTTATCACTGTTTCATGTGCGAAAGAAAGCGATCTAACGTGTTCCTGATTGGAATCATAGAACACATGTAGAATTTATATGTCGGGATCCAACTCAGGACTCTCCAAGAAGACATGAATCCCCAAGACCAAGCCAGAAATAGAAAACCTTAAAGAAGAACAAGCAAACCTCCTCTATCACGCCCCCCCCATCAGACCCATCAACGTCCGTGAAAACAGTGTCAATGTGCGCTAAACTAATTGACAAGATCAAGGATGACCTATACAAGAGATCTTCCTGTTGGTAGGAAGTAACAGCTGATCACTCGCCAGAAACACCGTCTTCATTCCTGGAGTAGGTTTGCGACGAAGAGATCTTACAATGGAGAAATGTGAAGTGGCTCTGTCTTCCATTTGGATGGGAAAAAATGCCCAAGAGAACGAAAACATGAACTCTGAATGTCATCATCGGATGTGAGCCGCATGCATGAGAGAGAAAACCCTAATCCTTCTCCGACGTCTCTTGTTCGCTTCAGAATCCTCCTCTTCCACCCATTCCTTCGCTTAACGATATGTCGAAGAAGAAAGGGTCAGCATCATCCCACAGACAGTAGTCTGCACCGACGTACGGCCATGCCGCCGGCGACACGGGTCCGTCGTGCTGATGCAGGAAGATGTCATCTGGTGTCTCGAACTGCGGCGCAGCCAGTGACGTGGATGACGAGGAGTCAGCCGGCGGCGGACAAGAGATGGAGAGACTGGAGCTAACGGATCCAGCGAGGGAGCCGATCTCCTCATACATGCTGGCAGCCAGACGGTGCGCGTGGGGGAGTGAACCCGGTTCCTCATCCGCGACTTCTTCTGCGATTTCTCGCTGTTGTTCCTGCAGCTGTTGATGATGTTGTTGCTGTTGATGTTGATGTTGATGTTGATGTTGATGAAGAAGATGTTGAGGAGGGCAGAAAAGACTGGAGGCTGCCGTCGAGAAGAGAGGGTACGTGGAGGCAACAACGGGGAAAGGGAACCCAGATGGGCGAGGAAGGAGAGGTCTCAGAGTTGTCATGGAGGAACCTCCGCCGCTGGCGCCGCCGCCCTGGGAAGAAGACGACGCCGAGGGCTGGAGATTAAGCTGGGCCCGGGAGCCATACAGGAGAAGGGCGGCGCGGTCATAGGCCCTGGCGGCATCGTCGGCGGTGGAGAAGGTGCCGAGCCACTTGCGAGTTCGCTTCCGCGGTTCTCTGATCTCGGCCACCCACTTGCCCCAGCTCCGCTGCCGGACGCCTCGATACCGGAACTTGCTATTATCGGGTCCCCCTTTGCCCTTCCCCCTCCTGCTCTTGGTGGTGCCGCCATTGCTATTTTCGCTGCCTTCTTCTGGGAGAGGAGGAAGAGGAGGGTGATGATGGTGGCGATGGTACTGTTCTATTGGGCGTGCACCATCCATTATTTTCCTGTTGAGGAAAAAAATAGAACCTTAAATGGAAATAAGCGGAGTGGCCTCGTTCACTGTGGGGAGATGGGAGAGGAGGGAGGGGAAGATGACTGCCGCATGGGCCGGAGGGGGGAGCTCTCCCTATCTGCACTCTCTATGGTGGAGAAGGCGGTGGTCACAGAGAAAAGTTAAGAAAGGGACTGCATGTTGCAGGGTTCCTTCCGCATTAGGGTTAAGCTATCTGCATGAGCACGACCATTGGAAGAAGAGAGCGAGGGAGAGAGAGAGAGAGAGAGAGAGAGAGAGAGAGAGAGAGAGAGAGAGAGAGAGAGAGAGAGAGAGAGAGAGGAGAGAGAGAAAGGTAGGACTGGTGTGAACAGGTTAATTGAGGGACGCCGTCGAGAGAAGTCGGGTGGGGTGGAAGATAAACAGGGTCATTCCTGTAGTTGGATTCTTGCGGTTATTTCTTCCCGGTTCGGTTGGGTAGCGAGTCATTTGTGCGTTTTATCTCTCTGTCTCTCTCCGTCTCTCTCGGGGTTATGGTGCAATAGCTCACTTGCTTTGATTGCACTAAATTGATTGCAGAAGACGGAGGCATAACCCGCACAGGAAAGCAGAGCTATGACTCCGGCCAATGTGACAGATAGAGGAAGGTAGAGAGAGAGAGAGAGAGAGAGAGACGTGGAGAGTAACAGAGAGAAAGAGAGGTAGATGTGAATAAAAAGGGAGGTAGAGCGCAGAAGAGAGGGATGGAGAGAGAGAGAGACAGTAGTCGGCAGAGAGAGACTAGGTTGGCCATGGCGGAATGAAGGTGGTTGGGGGGTTCGCTCGTGCATGCGAAGAGACGATGCACTGCTGAGTACCAAAAAAACTGTTCTTGGGAAGCGGCGAGGCTGTCGTCTTTGATAGGGACATTGGTTTCCAGATGCGACGCCTCGCTATTATTGCTATCATCTTCGTTGGCCATCTTCCCCCCCTCTGACGTCGCTCCGATTGCACCACACTACCGTCTCTCTCTCTCTAACGCAGTCGCAACGACGGAAGCCAGACAGGCATCAACGGCTTGGAAAAAATCTTATAACAACGGACGGTTGACCGAATGAAACAAGTAGGAAACAAGTGAGAATGTCTAGAGCCGTCTTTCGCTTCATACAATGCTCTTTAAGATCATATCTTTCCATCGACTATTGACTTTCTATCCGCAAGTGTCAGTCCAGCCACGTACATCTCCTTCCCCCATCCGCACTATGAATAGTCCAGGCTATGTCCAGCTCTGCCCAAATCTTTCGTTATTGGAGCATATACTTCTCCGGTCAGTGTGCATCATCCTTCCTTTCTTTAATAATGTCACTGTTATTCTTTTGTCCTTTTTCCTTCAAGGTCCTTAGATTCACATGCTTCACAGCTTGGCGACAATCTGGAACTCCGACAATCTTGATTTCCCATGTTAATTGACCTAGACTTTATCGTGCAAATAAATATTAATTTCCTTGACTCTTTCATTCTATTCATGGGCACTGATACCGCTAATGCACCATACTTGTGAAATATCTCTTGAAACCTTATGCGTGCGTAAAATATATTTAAAATTATCAAGAGAATAGTCTAAAATGCTGCCCAATTTGTGCCCATCAATGGGAACAACGAGACTCAGATACTAACCCAAATTGGGAATTAATTTCGGATTTAAAATGTCACAGTTCTCATCCTCCACCTGTTGACATCTACAGTAGATTCTTGATGGTTGACCTTCCACTTCTTGTCGCTCATTCTTTTCCTACATTTTTGGATGGGTTTTCATCTAGTAAAATCCATGCACTCTGTATCAATGATTCTAACATTTTAGTTTGTGATGAGCATAGTAGATTTCTTGTAAATACTATCAACATTTTTATTTGCTTCTCCTCTAGTGGAATCCTTTCCTTCCTTACCTTGGTTATCACATGAACAAAGAATTGAATCCAAGAGTTTAATCATCAGCTATAAAATATCATGTTGAAGTATGGAGCCATCGAAATACTTCAATTTTTGTACAATGCTTATCATGTTGAAGTATATTTTTTTAAATGATTATTTGGTACCATAATTCCCCATCTTACTACACTTTTCTAATATTAATGTAAACCATCAAAAGTATACACAATGTTAATTACTTTGTGGCTAAAAAAAATGGTAAAACCTTAATGATATGCATTTTAATTGGAAAATATGTTTTTTGTTGAAAATCATGTTTTGGGATAGGCTAACTATATGCAGCATTTATTTCCACCACAATTCATTGATATGACTTCAGTAGTAGTGCTTTGTATGCTTTTTGGAAATGTTTATGGGGTAATCAACCTTGAAATTTGGATGTTGGCTGTAGATCTAAGTAGATGAGAGAGAGAGAGAGAGAGAGAGAGAGAGATTGCTGTATTCCCTCATGGAAACACTTGGAAGAAAATAAATTTAAAATGGTGTCCATGGGCTGCCTCCCCCAGTTCATCGTAGGCCATTTAATGCACCGGCCCATTCCATAGTGGTCCTCAGCTGAGGGGAAGATTTCCTTATTTAGTATTATGTGGACTGGATTGTATTGGGCTTTTTTTGGGCCGGGCCCACACCATGCACGCCCATGATCGCCGCCTTAACTTTTGCGGCGGCCGCCGCTCGCTCCACGACAACTTTATCCCATCGCTGCTGCGCCTTTTCCAGTGGTGGCTTGTCCGTGGCTTATCTTGTCCTTTTTGGGCCGAGAGTCCGCGTTGGGCCCACCAAAAGTTTACCGTTTTTACTTTCTCTGGGCCCAGTGGACGTCATGCGGTAGAAAACTGCTCTCCGCCGGCCCACGGATTTACGTCTTTCCGCTCCGAGTTACCAACTCGGGACCCGGAACCGAGTCGGAGCATCCCTCCGATTCCCAGAAAACCGCGTGTTTAGGGTCTGTGAACCAGCTTTAGTTAATGAGGACCATAATCAAGAGCCACATGACGAAGCAAATACATGCGTATATTTATAAATAAATAAATTAATACAATTTTACAAAATTACCAATTATTGGAGGGACTGGAGAGAATTTTAAGTGTTCCCATTAGCCACCGACTTTGGGAAATGCCCCCTTAAAAAATGAGATGTTGCCCGTGTATCCTACTTTTTTTTTTCTTTCTAAATAACTTGATCTATGAATCAAACAACATGGGCAAAGGCAGTGGTGGTGGTATCTCCGTAAAATTGCACCCTTTGGGATTAAATTCATGCGTACTGCAGAAAAGTACTGTACTCTAATTAATTGAGAATGAGTCCAAAATTCTAATATTTACATTAGCTTGAGTTTCATATTTAACGTGAGGTTCAAATCCACAATTATGTTGATCGGAAAGAAGGATATATATACAATAACAAAAATAGGATAAGAAAATGGGGGAGAAATGGCACATTTATACCCACTTTGTCTTGAGAACTATGTGCTCCTAGAAAAATATTTCACAAGATTCAGTTGCCTCACTAGGTGGATAAATCAATCATAAATATTATTTAAAATCATAAATAATTGCACCACCATGACTATTGATATGAGAATATATATGTATATATATATATATGAAATTCCTCTATGTTAGTTGTCATTTAACAATGCATCACTCTTGAAATTTGAATAAGTAAGGTCGTATTAGTTCTTAAAGTAAAAGTAGTGGAATATCTAGCATATATCCTAATAAATAATAATAAAAGGTCTAATGCTACACATTCAATTTTTGGGTAGCCCTCCCTCAAATGAATTATTTTAACCTAGTTTTATATCATGATACAAACTAAAGGACATTATATGGTGTGGAACCTTATATACTAAAAAATTTGGACTATAAATTATTTTTTGGATTGAATGGACCAATTAGAGAAGTTGTAGATTCTTAGAAGTTCAATATTTCAATGTGGGCACTAATAATATCCATTTATTGAGCCTCAATCATAAAACTCACCATTTTTATCTAAATTGAAACACTTATGGGATGAGAGTCACAAATTGATCATGGACCTTACAAATCGTTCATAAATATTCTAAACTAAGAAATATTCTTCAAATCACTTTTCTCATGTATTTCAATTAATTTTTCTATAAAATATTAGTTTCTCAAAATTTAAAGCAAATTTGAAAATTCTTCATCCCACAAACCATAATGAATATAAACCATCTCCAAGACATGTATGTTCACAATGTCATTTAAATACCTCTCCCACTCAAACCATACTCTGATGTACCTCATCAAGACATTTCCTAGGTCCATGCATTTATGTTTAGTAAAAGGTCAACTTTGTGCATCAACATCACCTCTAACACAATTAATAGATCAACAATTTCTCCCAACTTTTCTTTCAAAGATTTGTTATAGATGCACTTTCACTTCACAAAATTATTAAGATATTAACCTTTTTTTTAAAAAAAACAACATAAGTTGACTGAAGCATTGTCCCTCTCATCTATTTTGAGTAATATTAGTATGTCAAATCATAAACAAGTCAACCTTGTACTTGGTAAGAATGCCAATTGAACTAATAATGATTTTCCCTGCTTCAATGACCTTCATGACAACATTAGTGGAGTAGCATAATTTAAGAGAACTTGCATCCAAAGTGATGGCCATGAAATTAGAACATCCAACCTCTTCTCGATAGACCTTGGGATGGATTGGGGACTCAGTGTGTCGTTTATCTCCATATTGATGATGATATTGTGAACTCAATGGCCTGGCTCATCGTTGCATGGCAGATGTTCTCATCTACACATGGATCTTAGCTGCTCTACTCGTAAGAATCTAGTATTGGAGAAGAGCAACGGAGAGCAAGTACAGCCATTGCGGGCAGCTAATTAGAGTCTGCCACATTAAATCATTATTGACCCATAAACACTACGCCTTGATGATCTCCTAGAAATAAATAAGCCGTGAAGTCATCCGCTACGTCTTAACATTGCCCTTAAATTTATACTGTTTTTAACACTTATGGAGAGAGAGGAGGGAGAGAGAGAGAGAGAGGGAGAGATGGAGAGAGAGAGAGGGAGAGAGAGGGAGAGACGGAGAGAGAGAGAGAGAGAGAGGGAGAGAGGGAGAGAGAGAGAGAGAGAGGAGAGAGGGAGAGATGGAGAGAGAGAGAAGGAGAGAGAGGGAGAGACGGGGAGTGAGAGAGAGAGAGAGAGAGAGAGAGAGGGGGGGAGAGATGGAGGAAGAGAGAGAGAGGGAGAGATGGAGGAAGAGAGAGAGAGGGAGAGAGAGAGGGAGAGATGGAGGAAGAGAGAGAGGGAGAGAGAGAAAGAGTGTGTGTGTGTGTGTGTGTGTGAGAGAGAGAGGGTAGTTATTAATACCGAGTCCGCGAGCGTTCCGACTTGGTCGGCGGGTCATCTCAACGCCGAGTTTTAAAAGCCGTCACGAGTTCCGCCCGCCGCCAACTGCTGCCATAACGAACGGCCACTAACTTGCCTCGCCCCTCCTAACGCAGGTCTCCCCGCCGGCCGCCGGCAAGACGGTGGGATTGAACTGCAGTAGTTGGTGGCGCTATCGGAGCCCATCGTCGTTGTCGTCGGAAAACATGAGCGTCCCCTTCGGATGGGAAGCAGCTCCCGGCGTGCCGAAGCAGGCCGGCGGCGGGCAAGGCCCCGAGGAGGCTTTCCAAGTGCCGAATCCACCGCCGGGAAGATGGGCTCCGCCGGTGGAGGACGCTGCCAGCTGCTCGTTCTCCGGCGCAGAGGACGAAATTATCTCGCCCGATACAAGCATCGGGTGCAATTCGAGAAGTGTCAGCGTGTTCGAAGAGCTCGATCCAGTCGGCGGCGACGATGAACCAGGGTGCTCGCCGTCGCCAGGTTTCATGATCCGTCGCTTTCTCCCCGCCGCCGAAGCTCTCGCCGCCGCCTTCGCCCCACCAAGGAGAGCCCACCCATTGTCGCCCTCGGCCACGGACTTGTACCCTTTGAAATTTAAGAACCGTCGGAGTCTCCTGAGAGAAGACGACGCAGACGATGGCTCCGGCCCGATAGAATCTCCGGGATGGGGACTGGGTTTTCTTGGCGGCTCCCCGGGAGGGGTACCCGAAAGCGGCAGCGGCGGCAGCGGCGGCAGCGGCGGGAAGAGCCCAGGGGGGGAGGCGGCGAGGTGGACCTTACCTCCCCTTCGTTCGCCTTCCGAGCCATGGCTCTGCGGGGTGCTTCAGAAACAGACCGGGGCACACGAGGGTCGGCGTCGCCAGATTAAAAGGTGTATCCTTTACTTATGACCGACTATTTAAACAGGATAAAGGAAGCTGGTACTGTTGACCTTTTTGGCGGTCTCACGGGCGTGCGAAGTTTCGCTCCCCTACAGAGCTTCCCGCTCTTCGTGCAAATTTGAATAAAACCCGCTGACGGGGTCGATGATCCTCCGTTGTTCTGCCTCCTCTTTTCTCACCGATTCTAGGGCGTCGAGGTGAGGAAGCGGCGGGAAGAGGAGATCCGTAGAGACGGACTAGGACGAGGATCAGCCGATCTTCTTCCTCTCGGAAGAAGACCTCGGAGCCCCTTTCACTTGCAGATCCCTTTCGAGGTACTCGTTATCGTCTAATCTATGGTCATCATCTGCTATGTTTCTTCGCTTCGGTTTGTCTTTGTAATTTTGCTGCGTAGCCTTCAATTTGTTGTTATGTTCGAGATAATTTGTGTTCGACAGAAGTTTTCTGAGAAGGATTTCGCCCATTTGATTCCTCAGTTCTTGCGACATGATGGAGTCAATCGTCCTACCATGGGAAGATGCTTCTGTATGATTTTTTTCTGTACCGATGCTTCCGTTCTTTCTCTTTCACTTTGCGCTGTGTTCGCTCGGTGATCCGCGTCATTATCTTTTTCTAGCTGGTTACGCTCATCTGTTGGACTTCTAGCTACACTCTTTATCTCGTAAGGCGAATAGCGATTTCACGCCGTGTTTCTATCATCATCTTACCTGTGTTGCAGAAAATGTCAATGGAAATTACTCAAGTTCTTATATGTGCTCAATCCCCTGATGGGAAAGTACGGGCTGCCGCTGAAGAAAGTCTCAGGCAATTTCAGGAGCAGAATCTTCCCATCTTCCTCTTGTCCCTCTCAGTTGAGCTCTCAAGCGATGCGAAACCGCCTGAATCCCGTCGACTTGCTGGTATCATCCTCAAGAATTCCTTAGACGCTAAAGATGTCATGACGAAGGAGCGTCTGATACAGCAATGGGTCAATCTTGACCCGCTCACGAGGGCCCAGATTAAAGAATCGCTAATGCGCACCCTTCCATCATCTGTGCCCGAGGCAAGACATACATCATCTCAGGTCATTGCCAAGATAGCCTCCATTGAGCTTCCACGTAAGGAATGGTCGGATCTCGTTGAAAGATTATTATCCAATATGACGCAGCATAGTTCTTCCGCAGCACTGAAACAAGCAACCATGGCGACTCTCGGGTATGTCTGTGAAGAAATATCCCCGGATGATCTTGAACAGGGCCAAGTGAACTCTGTGCTGGCGGCCGTGGTCCAGGGAATGAGTAAACCGGAGCAAAATGCTGAGGTTCGTCTTGCTGCTGCCAGGTCTCTATATAATGCTCTCGATTTTGCGCAGATTAATTTTGAGAACGAGTTGGAAAGGAATTACATCATGAAGGTTGTCTGCGACACCGCTGTTTCCGGCGAACTAGAAATCCGGAAAGCCGGATTTGAATGCCTAGTTTCCATCTCTTCTCTGTACTACGAAGTGCTGGAGCCATATATGCCAACACTTTATGATCTGACTTCAAATGCAGTCAAGGGAGACGAAGAGCCAGTTGCCCTCCAAGCATTAGAGTTTTGGAGTTCTATCTGTGATGTTGAGATCGATATTCAGCAGGAATGTGACAGCAATGAATCTGAGAGCCCAAGTGCCATCAACCATCATTTCATTGAGAAAGCCCTTCCGATGCTCGTCCCCATGCTGCTGGAGTCGTTACTGAAGCAAGATGAGGACCAGAATCAAGATGATGGAACCTGGAATCTGTCCATGGCCAGTGGGACCTGTCTTCAGCTTGCTGCCAAGGCTGTTGGAGATGAGGTTGTGCCTCTTGTGATGCCTTTTGTGGAAGCTAACATCACAAAGGCCGACTGGCGGAGCCGAGAAGCTGCTACCTTTGCATTTGGGTCTGTGCTTGAAGGCCCGTCAATTGAGACATTGTCACCTCTGGCTCGTGCTGGATTGGACTTCTTGCTCAACGCAATGGGGGATCGGAATGTCCTGGTCAAGGACACGACGGCTTGGACTGTTAGTCGGATATTCGAGTTCTTGCATTCTCCAAGCTCCAGATTTTCCGTAGTCTCAGTGGTCAACCTGCCTAGAATCATGTCAGTGTTGCTGGAAAGCATCAATGATTCGCCTACTGTGGCTGAGAAGGTCTGCGGAGCAATACATAATCTTTTTCAGGGCATTGAGGAAGCGAACTTAGAATCCTCCATCCTCTCTCCTTACTACACGCAGACCATCGTCGCTCTCCTCTCAGCAGCCGATCGCAAAGATGCTATGGGTTCAAGGCTCAGGGCCTCTGCTTACGAGGCAATTAATGAAGTAGTTAGATGCAGCACCCTTTCAGAAATCTCTTACGTAGCTCAGCTGCTTCGGGAAGTAAAAGATAGGCTGGCCTGGACTTTCTCTCTCCAAGTTACCTCCTCCGAGGAGAAGGAGAGGCAAACGGACGTGCAGGCCTTGCTCTGTGGCGTCCTTCAAGTCATAGTCCAGAAGCTGGGTGCCTCTGATGAAACCAAGCCATTGATCCTCCAGTCAGCTGACGAGATGATGACGTTATTTCTCCGGGTCTTCGCTTGTCGCAGTTCCACTGTGCATGAAGAAGCGATGCTCGCCATTGGAGCCCTAGCTTATGCTACGGGTCCCGAGTTCTCTAGGTACATGCCAGAGTTCTACAAGTACCTGGAGGTGGGCCTGCAGAATTTCGAAGAGTATCAGGTCTGTTCAGTCTCGATTGGCGTAGTTAGTGATATCAGCCGTGCAATTGATGAACAGATTGACCCTTTCTGCGATGCCATAATGAGCCAGCTCCTCAAGAACTTGTCTGATGCCAGGCTGCACAGATCCGTCAAGCCTCCGATATTCTCATGCTTCGGGGACATAGCCCTCGCCATTGGCAAGCGGTTTGAGAAATATCTTCCTTTTGTTCTGCCAATGTTGCAGGGAGCCGCAGAGCTCTGCTCCAGCTTTGATCCCAAGGATGAGGAGATGCTTTGCTACGGAAACCAGCTGAGGACCTGCATATTCGATGCTTATTCTGGTATACTTCAGGGTTTTAAAAGCTCCAAGCCAGATCTTATGACTCCCCATGCTGCCCACATCCTTCTGTTCATAGAAGCCGTTTTCAGAGACAAAAATAGGTAAATTCCACATTTTTCCAGACTTGGGCCATAGAAAAATCCAGCCAAAGAAGAAAAATAGCCATGGCCCCTCTCTCTCTCTCTCTCTCTCTCTCTCTCTCTCTCTCTAATCAGTCCTTGAATGGCATGTAGGGATGAAGGGGTGACAAAATCTGCGGTGGCGGTGATGGGGGATATTGCCGACGCTCTGGGCCCAGAAGTCAACACACTCCTCAAAGATCGGACATTCCACACGGAGATCCTGGGCGAGTGCTTCGAATCGGGGGACGACCAGCTGAAGGAGACGGCGACCTGGGCTCGGGGGATGCTTGGCCGAGTTCTGGTTTCATGAGGTGAGCCGATTCCACTCGTCATATCTCATCTCTTCGTCTGAGAAAAATCTCCACCAATCTGCCGGTTGGTGGGTATCTCCTTCTGCCCTCATCCCCCCTCTCCCCGTGGATCGGCGTGAAGTTCTGGCTGTAAGATTAATAAATTTATTATTTATGATTATATTTATCATTTTCCTCCCGACCCTTTTTTTTATTTTCCCATAATTTCTGTGAAAATAGTTCATAGCTTAGTGCAGAATGTGGAGATTTCTTCGCTTCAAGTTATTTGGGGGGTAATTCGGTCAATTCAAACTCTTGGTAGTTTTCTTCAAAAGTAATATTAAATATATTATTTAGTATAAATCTTTTTTTTCTGTGGGCCTCACAAAAATGTCGACTCCGAGCCGTAAACCGGACCGGGCGACGAGTCTCTATAAAAGTCGGACCGGCCGTAATAGTTTGGGCGGGGATTTCTTCTTCAAAAACTCTCATTCCTCCCCCCGCACCACCACTCCTGCTCCCTCTCTTCCCCCTCTCCTCTCGCCTTCCGGTGGGCGGCTAGTCGTCGGCGGGGGCGATGGCCGGCGCCGCCAACGAAGATCTCTTCTCTTCCGTGGTATCCGACATCAAGGCCTACCAAGGCAGTGATCCACTCTGCCCCTGGCTCAGGTATGCGACAGATGCACCTCACTCTCAGCGGGAAGTCTTGCTGCCCTAGCCTTCCTGACGTTCCTTGCTTGGCTCCGTTCTTCTCCAGGGGGATCCGAAGGATGCGGGAGCTTCTCTCCAGTCAAGCCCTAGCCGAGAAGCTGCCGCGGTTCCTTCAGAAGTGCGCCGAGGCGTTCGAGTGTGACCGTCGCTATCGCAACGATATTCGCTACCTGCGCGTGTGGATCCAACTGGTAGGCCTCGGCTCCTTGTTCTAGTTCATCGACGATTCTTCCTCTACTTCAACTTTTTCGCCGCAGATGGATCACGTGGATGATCCGAGGCGCCTCCTCCGGAGAATGGAGAAGAATCAGATCGGCGTGAAGCATTCCGCGTTTTATGTAGCGTACTCCTTGTACTATGAGAAGCAGAGGAAGTTCGAAGCGGCGGAGAAGATGTACCATGTGGGGGCGCAGAAGTAAGTCTTCCTCGGGATAACTGCTCGTAAATTTCCCTTATACAAGTTATTGGCTGAAAGAACGACGCCCACGCCCTCATTCAATAGGCATATCATGCAGCCCGTTATCTGTTGATAACGCGGTGTAGCCAGATGATGTTGACGAAAAATTAAGAACGGCTTATTGGATAATTAGTTGATGACGGATCGTGAAAATGACTATTAATCAGTCACCAGTCTCACTTTCTCATGTATCATCTTGCCACACAGGCACTTTGTCCTGCTTGATTCGTTTTTTAAGCATACTCAAGGTTGCCTTGATCGTGTGCAGACTTGCAGAGCCTGCTGTTCAATTGCAGAAGTCATATGAGCAATTTCTACACCGCATGGAGCTCCACAAGAGACGCAAATCCAAGGTAGTCTGCCGCCATTTTCCCCTATCTTCTTAGTCAATTCCACACTTCGTTTCTTGACTGCAGTTGGAACTCTTTCAGCGGAAAGAAGCGAGAATAAATATGGCTTCCAAGGCTGTGCCTATCCATCGGAAGGAGATTAACATACACAAGGATGCCAATTTAGCCGGTCTGTCTATTCTCTTTTTCTCGCCATGCTACCTGCTAAATGGCTCATAAAATAGCCCATTTATACATGCCTCTGTGTGTGTTCATTATTGAGATCAGTCGACGAAAATGCAGGGCTTGTAGAAGAAGTAATGGATCAAAATGGTGACCAGGTGGTCAAGAGAAAGGAAACTTATCAGGCTTCTTCTTCCAACGTAGGAGACCACCACGGAGACTATGATAGCCTGTGCATGATGGAATTACAGTCGAGTTTGGCTGAGGAAACCGGTGGGGAGGCAGGAAAGTGCCGGAATGTAATGAGGGCGAAGTCCATCTTGAAAACTCGTCAGAAGAGAAGCGAGTCAGGTGGCCGTGGTGGTGATAAAGGAGGCAAGGCCAATGGTGATGCGATTAGACCGAGCTCGCTCACTACTGAGGATACTGTGGTGGTCAAGTTTGTGGATTCTGCCATTGTAGGGAAGTCCGAAGCTGAGGACGCCTGCCACCACGGTCTGGTTGACCCCACAGTCAACTTGAAGGAAGCCATGAATACCATAAACAGCATGTTTCGGGAGCCCCTTGAGCTTGAGCCGAGACCTAGGAGGAAGCTGCAGCAGAACATTCCTAGGGAAAATCCAGAAAACAGTAGTGGGTTCGAGGTTTTCGTTGATGATGACCTGAGGCCGAGGAGGTCACGACAGGACCTACCTGAGGCAAATCCACAAAACGATAACTCGCTTGAGATTTTCGTTGATGATGATCCGAGAATGGGAAGGTCCCAACAGAACTCACCAGAGGGAAACCCACAGAACAATAATGGGTTCGAGATTTTCGTCGACGATGATCCGAGACCAGAAGGAAACTCCCGAGAAAACCCATTTGAAGCAAATCCACAGGGAAAGAACAAGAACGGGTTTGAGATTTTCGTTGATGACAACTCAGATGAAGTGGATCTGCCACTTAAGGATGCAGGAATCAGTGAGTCGAGGTCATTTGTTGGAGGATTTAAGATGCAAGCAGATGATGAGGATGAGAGTGAATGTGACGACGGTGATGTAGAATATCCAAAAATGAGAGAAGATACGGTGATCTGCAGTTTTGTGGGATCAACGGTTGCTGGTGAGCGTGTTGTTGAGAATGCATGCCACAGTGGTTTGGTCGACCCCACCATCAACTTGAAGGAAGCCATTGACGACATTAACAGCATGTTTGGGAAGCCTATAGATTTTGTCAGGGTTGGAAGACTGAAGAAGAAGGGATATCTGCCGGAGCAGAAGCAGAAGCAGAAGCAGTCTCATCAAGATTTTTCCATACTGATTGATGAGGGCGTGGACCACCCATCGAAGATGGCTTCCCTGAGCTGCTCTGATGGGTCCCACAGAGACTCTGGTCTGTTTGAACCGACCATGTTTACAAAGGAGGCGATGGATGATATAAACGAATTGTTTGGTAGGCCATTGGATTTTTAGAAAACTTTTGTACAGCTTGGATTTCTGTTTAGAGGAGATGCGAACTTTGAATCCCCTGCTTCAGGCTCCATTATTAAGTCAAATGATTTGAAATATTGAGATGTGAATCTACAAAATCCACCTGAATTCGAGATGTTCTTCAGTCTTCAAATGCTAATTTGAGGAGCCTTCCTGCGCAGTCTTTTCCCCAATTCGAATTCCAAGGAAAATTTTAAAAATAATGGAGGAAAGCAGTAGAATGGTACTTACCTTGTTGGCGTGCAGGCTTTTCCACGAAAGCGGTCTCTCTCTCTCTCTCTCTCTCTCTCTCTCTCTCTCTCTCTCTCTCTCTCTCTCTCTCTTTTCTCTCTCTTCTCTCTCTCTCTCTCTCTCTCCCTCTCTCTCTCTCTCTCTCTCTCTCTCTCTCTCTCTCTCTCTCTCTCTCTCTCTCTCTCTCTCTCTCTCTCTCTCTCTCTCTCTCTCTCTCTCGTCCTTCCATTTACAAAATTATCTGCGCTATCGGTTTTCTGATGGGGACCCCATAGAAAGGGAAACAGGATCCTTTTGAAGAACAGCAGATTTTCACTTGATCAACCTTTCTCCGAGGAAGTCTTAGAGTACAAGGAAGGGGGGGGGGGGGGGGGATGTAAGGGAAATTGGCCAAGGACCGACGAAGGGAAAATCTCAGACAAAATGACCTGATCTGAGAGGGGGGTCTTCCAACTTCTGTCTTGGGGCCCTGCCTTTTGCTGGGGCCTCATATTTGTCACGGCCGCAAGACTGATATGACCGTTACTTTGGGTGGTTAAGAGCTGCTGTCTCTTATTGTTTTAACTATCATGTCGTTGGGCAGTAGTTAATGGCGGTTAGTCTCAGGTCCTTGGGCGGCAGGGGTGTCCCATCAATACTCCCTCCTCAAAGCTTGACCTTGTTCGTAAGGGAAAAGTGGGGAAACTGTTGGACGGTGCTGTCTGCAGTTTCCCAGGTGACTTCAGAGAGAAGATGATTCTCTCATTAGATAAGCACTTCCAGCATGTGGGGCCTTTGCCAGATGTTGATAGCTGTCGTTGAATTTGAGCCCGGTGGGCAGCTATGCTTGGACGTCCGTCATCTTGGATCCGATAGCCCTCTTGAGCTGTGACACATGGAAGACCGGATGAATGCTGGAAGAGAGGTCTTTAGGCCCAACCGATATGCTATTGTGCTGGTAGTAACGTGGCTTCAGTCTCTCATTGGACTGAGCCTTGAGTGAGGTCTAGCAGAAGGGCGGAAGGCATAGGTCTATCACCTTTGGTTTTCCAAAGGTAGCACAGCACTTCAGCTTGTCGAGTAAGACAGTAGTGTTTGTAGTTGAATCTTGACTGCGTCCACCTTGGTTGAATGGGGTGTATATCACAGAGGGGGGGAGGGGAGGATTACAATCGTAGATGACTTGGAAGGGAGTGGTGCTGGAGGAGTTGAAGTTCGTATTGACTTAGGACTCCACCAAAGTGAGAAACTTGACCCACTGGTGTAGCTGTTCTCTAGCAAGGCACCTCATGTATATTTCCAAGCTGTGGTTGACCACCTCAATCTACCCACTATTTGAGGAATCATCATTCGGCAGATAGTGGATCCTTGGAATCATAAGAGTTTCCTCCTGAAATTATCCATGAAAAATCTGATCTTGGTTTGTGACGATGGAGAATAGAATGCCATGGAGTCACACAGTTCCATTGTTGAAGAGTGTAGTGATTTTCAGCACCATGGATGAATGCTTGAGGGCACAAAAGTGTGCATACTTGCTTAATCTATCAACGATGACAATGATCAAGTTAAACCCCTCTAATTTGTGAAGTCCTTTGATGAAGTTTATCATGAAATCTTCCCAAACTCATTCTGGAATGGGTAGGCTCCAGCAGCCTAGTTGACTCTAGTGATTGGATCTTACACCATTGGTAGATTAAATAAGCCTCAACATGCTTTTTGATGGCTACTTTCATGCTTGTCAACTGCAAGTTTTGACTAATCCTCTTGTAAGTCCATAGGAAGCAAGAGTGACCTACTATTACCAAAATTATAAAATAAGAGTTAACCGACAATACTAGTTGTCTACTGTGAAGAAGTAGCTCTTGATGGAACATATAATTTCTATGTTCTTATCCTCATTTGACAATTGATAGAATTTTGGAGAGCTACATGCAGAGGTGGAGCTCCTCACCAAGTATGGTTGAGTCAACGAGAAAACCTCTAAGCACTGTAAAGTCGTTGACTCTATTTGATCATTATGACGTCGGTGGGAGAATGTGCCTTGCTCGTTTTGTAAGATACTTTGAAATCAAAGCTCATAATTTTATACAACCATTTATGATACTCGAGAAGGACTGGTCACTGGTCTATAATGTATTTTAGGCATCATTGATTTGTGAAGAACTTAAATTTTCATCCAAGTAGATAATGATACCACTTCAAGATCACAAGGGCAATTGTCATGAGTTTGGATAAATTGTCTTCAAGCATCCCAAGGAGGAGAAGGTTTGTTTCTAATAAGGTTGCTGCTCCATCTGAAGTAAGCATGGTGACACAATGAATTTGACCTCTTCAAGTATGTCATGCTCACTTGCAATAAGTGTACCATAGGTTGTCCTCATAGTAACCCTTCTTTGCTCTTGTGTTTGGTTGGTGCATTACACCTCCCCCCTTATGCTTAACCACAAATATGAAGTTATTTGTAGATTATGATTATATCATAAAAACTCGTCTTACTTTCCTTATTTCTCACTAATATATTGACTTTTCAAGGTTTGAAATTATCTCTCTTCTTAGAATTTATGCTCAAATTTAATCATATTTAAGATTAAGGTCACTGAGGAATCTGTAAATCTGATCAATCTCAATGTATTTCTTGAAGAATATTACATCTTGTGTATTTCTTGTGACAATTGACTTATATCAGTCAATTTCCAACCATAAGGATTTTGATTCATTTTCATATTATCTAACTGATTTTCTGTCATGCTTTAGACTCATAGCATTTGACATAAGCTGAAAATTTTAGGCTCCATCATGATCCTTCAAAGAAACTTTGTTAAATTTTTCCCAAATGTCTCTACCAATTGAAAGAAACAGATCATATATGTTCATTTCTAAGGTCATTGTGCTCTAAAGCCATGACTTGGTTATAACATCCTCTTTTTTATACAATTTGAATCTTGAATCACTTGATTCAAGTGTTGGATCTAAGATGTTGTCTAGTTTGTGTTTTTTTGTGAAAATCATTCAATGAACTCACTTCATTGGAGTAAGTTCATATCATTTAGTTTAATTTCATTCATAATGTTTTGTAGCTCTAAGGTATGTTTGGGTATATCAATAATATAGAGTACTAGGGAAGCCATATATAAGACCTCAAACATATGATAAACATGATGTCCTCAACCAACTAGTGTTGTGCTCCTATTTTACATGGTGAGGTATAAGACTAAATAGAGAAAACTAGGAGTTATGTGGTAACAAGGTACTCTCTCTCTATATGAATATCTATTCATTATCTCACCTCCAAATAAGAGAGAAGAGGTCAGGAAGTTGAGAGAGGCCTTATATAATAATGAAAGGTACCATCAAATGTTGAAAAAGTTGCAAGTAAGATCTTGAGAAAATTAGGGTAAATCAGTGATGTCTCATTTTTGTTGAACAAGCTTGTAAGAGAATAGATCTTTAGAGGGCCAAAAACAGAACAAGTTCACATGGGGTGCTTTGATACCACCATTCTAATTGAAGTTCATCAAAGAAGATGTTGTTGGCAATGAGAGAGCTTGAAATTAGGGCTAAAATAATTCAAATACAATTGTTATATTAATTCAATGTGAGAGGGTCAGATTTGGGTAATCAATTATGTGTATCGAAACCAAATTCAATACACTTGTGAATAGTAGAGTCTAACAACAAAAGTAAACCAAGATATATATATATATAATTATGGTATAATTATAGTATTTCATTCTCCTACAATGTTATATATTAAAATATGGTCAAATAAAGTCAAGATAAATTTACAAAATAAACTATTCAAAGTCCAATTCATGAACACTTGGAATGTTGTTGGCACATTAGACAGGCCAAACAGCATCACAAGGAGTTCATAGTGTCCCTTGTATATTCTAAATACCATCTTGGGCACATCTTCCCTTTGGATCTTTGATTTAATGATATTGAGATCTAAGATCCAACCTTGAGAAGACAGAGGCACCATGTAATTCATCCAACATGTCTTTAACAATTGAGATCAAAAATCGATCCAAGGTTGTCGCCTGATTTGGTGCCATGTAATTGACACAGAAGCATTAGATTTCATCTTTTTTCTATACCAGTAGGGTTGGACTTGCGTACAAGCGATGAGAATATCATATCACCCCTATTGTCAGCATCTCTCAGACTAATTTCTCAATTTCAGTCTTTTGAAGATGAGGATACCGAAGATGCCAAATGGGTCAAGTACCTTTGACCAGCTATATGGTGTGGTCGATGTTACAGGGAGGAGGGAGACCCTCACTCGGAGTGCACATCCGCAACACTTTTATGAGCTGGAAAAGTTCAATTCGGCCCAAAAGATCCAAACTTCTGGGTTGTGATCGTCGAACACGGGCATCTCGAGTCTACGCCCTCCGTGTCATGGTTCGGTGTTGGTGACAGAGGTCATCTGGTGAATCATGTCTTAGTCTAATTGGTTGTTGACCCAGTCGTCAGCTCCTGGTTCATCAGTACCCAGCCGACTGTGACTGGATTCACCCCAAACTAGTTGTTCTTCTTCTCCTTGCAAGGACGATTGTTGGGAGCCCTCTACTAGCGTAGGTCGTCGAGAACGGACGGTGTAATCCAACTGCTGGCGAAGTTGCCTAGCTTCTTCGCGGAGCTAGTTGACCTCCATCTGCAGCAATGTCATGCTCTGCTAGAGGTTGGCGTTGGTTTCTCGCATATCAATTCTTTCTCGGGGTCCTTCTTAGGATCATTGTTTTTGGGTAGCATGGTTCCAGAGGGCCTGATACCTCTTTGATGAGGGGCCAATAAAAAAGGAAACAGAATCCTTTCGAAGAACAGTAAATTTCCTCTTGATCAACCTTTCGGCAGAGTCCGAGAAGAGGTACAAAATCTCGGGAGAAATCCCAGAGTACAAGGAATGTGTATCGGCGTCTCCAGCTCCCACAGAGCATGAACCGGAAGACGTCGCTGGTCTCGAAGACATCCGACTCCGCCGGCGGGATTCGTTGTACGTACTTCTTGAGCTCATCGATCTCGTTGAGCCGGTGGGTCTCCTCTGCCCGCTGATCAAACTTCAGTCGATGGACTCCACACATGAGGGGGAGGGGGAGGGGGGGGGAGGGGCGAAGGGGTAATATGTACCTCTACGCAGACAGATCTCGCTTATCGACCGCCATAAGAAACCCCGCAGGATGGACTACCGAGGACGGCGGGGTGGCCTTCGTACTTCTTGTGGACAACCGAGTTTCTGGTAAGGTGGATCACTATACGCTTCTTCCTAACCTCCGGATCTGCAGGCACTTGGGGGGACGACGGCGCACGCGCCGTAGGGCGGAGCGAAGCGGAGCTCCTCGTCGGCGTGGAGGATCCTCCCCGTTGCTTCGACGGCGATGGGGGAAACTTCCCTGAAGGTGGATAAGGAGAAGGAAGCCGATCATTCCAGCGAAGACGGTGGCGCGGACGCGGCGCCGTCGCCGCGGAGAGCTCTCCCCCACGGCCCCCCTCGTGGGAGAGACAGAGGGTAGACGACCGACCATAGAGATCGTAGAGAAAATGTGAAAAGGAATCTGTCGCGATCCGGATCGTGACGTTCACGGAGTTTTTATAGTGAGCAGAGTTCGCGGGAAATGCCAGCAGTTAATCCACGTGGACGTTGACGATGCAGTGATAACATGGCAGACTCCGTGGCTACCTGACGGCCGTTGGATTGATCTGGATGTTCCCTAGGGTTGGACCGGTAGGAACCCACGATAGAAAAAATGTATGGGTTTTATTGGGCCCATCTTAACTGTCATGTATGGTCCATTTGGATTCACCCGAAGCGGCCCAATTCAGCCCAACTGGCTGAGCACGGCGGGTGAAGGAGAGGGGGAGGGGAGTTGAATGGCTACCCCGAAGCCTTCAAGGCAGTGCAAGCTTCTTGCTCAATTACGGAGCGGAGAACGGAAGTCCAGAGCTGAGGATGGAAGAGGGCAGGGGTGTTGGGGTTGGGAGCTCTGGCGATTCGGATTCTGCCTCTTCCTCCATAACCGTCCAGGTGAAGTTCGGCGGCCGGACGATCCCCCTCTCTGTTTCCCCCAATTCGTCCGTGAGGGAGCTCAAATCGCTGCTCCAACCTCTCACCAATGTCCTCCCTCGCGGCCAGAAGCTCATCTGTAAAGGTACTCCCCCTTTCTCTGTTGATTAATTTTGTCGAGCTAAAGTGTATTCTGAATCCTTGCCGAGCCACGAGGTATTCCATCCTTCGGAAAAAAATAGGGGGGGGGGGGGCCTGCGGCGCGGGGGCGGACAGAAGAAATGAATATTCAGTCGATGGTCCGAAGAAGAACGAAATGAATGAATTCATCTTTATATTGTCTTCTGAGTTTCCAACTGTCGTTGTTCGAGAACATTTTAGTTTTCTAGTCCTTGGCTTCGGAAATGTCACCGTCGATATGGTTCTCAAGCATCCTGAATCAACTTCTAGTTTCGGAACTAAACTAGGAGTTTAGGAAGCATCAAGTGAAAGACAAAAAGGTTAAAAAATGGCGCACCAATGAACTCTTGGTTAGAGTTGTCGCGCTTGGTTTATACTCTCGTCTTTCAGTTTTCATGGTGTCCTATTTTGACAGGTTATATTGTTCCATTCCTTGCATATTACCATAATTGCTTAGAGGGGATGACAGAGAACTTTATGCTTTTTCATCCTTTTCTAATTGATCGCATGCATGGAAATGTCACTAACAGCTTTTAGGGTGACGCTTTTCTACATTATCATATCCCTTGTATCTCGCCGAACTTAATGAATTTCGTACATCAGTTATGACTAGATATTTTCCATAGGCAAAGTTCTTGCTGACCCGGCGACATTGAAGTCATCACAAATCTCTGATGGATCAAAAGTGATGCTAGTTGCTTCTCATGGTGTACATCAAGGGGTAATCTACCGACTAGTCTAATTTGTGTCGTGCATGTATACAGAAATCTTATCGACTTGCAGATGAATGCCTTTTTGGATTTGATGATAATAATAATAAATTTAAAGTATAATAGGAAGGGTCAAAACTTGTAAACTGTTATTGCATATCATCTATCCATTCTTCATCAGTCATGTATTAGTAAATGCCACAACATTTTCTTATGCTACCTAGTAAGCAGCTAGAAGGTTGGAAAGGAGGCAGGCTAGGCTCAATATTGTTGAAGGATACTTCGAAATGTGAGGAACTATTTAGATATTCTCCTATCCTCTGTACGATTAGTTCAAATATAGGACTGACATTCTACAGTTATGTACCTGGTAAGATCAAAGTGCATCAAAGGTCAAGAATATGCAGCTATGAGGCTGGCGCTTTGTGTTGTGCTGGGTACCTGAAGGTAGGTAGAGCGGTTGCGTTGGTTGGGTGGTCTTTTAAATAGGTGTTTGAGACTGGGCGGTGTAAAATATCATGTAGGTGTCATCTTTTTGGATAGTCACTTGTGCTTATCAGAAGTCAAATATCTCAACAGAATCGTGATCACCAATCTACAATCGATTAGCTTTGCCTTTTCAAGTTTTCTATAAGCATTTTTCTATTCATATGGTGCAATAGACCATGTTTGAAGCTTCTGTGCTCATCTCGGGCAGTCATCTCGCTGACTCAAAATAGTTAGAATCTCATGCATTATTTAAAGAATAATTTCTTAAATGTGAGTTTATTGTTTTCCTTGGTAGGATGGTCCCATTACCAATCACACCTCGGCAAACTTGAGAAAGAATGTCAATGTGAGCCGTACTCATGGCCAACAGGCCAGCGTGGCCATTGAGAAGAGCCGCTTAGAACGCTGGAGGTTGACTGGTATTGTTGCTTTATCAGATTTCCAATTGAAGGTAATTTTTAATGCAAAAAAACTATTCAGCTAAATCATCACCTGGTTACTACTGCATAGGCCTTTTCACATGGAAGTTTCTCGTTTCCTTTTTCTTACATTAGCCCACGTGATTTGTAGGCGTTGTCTTCTTTTGTTTTTTTCAAGGCACCGGCATGTGTGCTAGACAATGGAAAAGAGATTATATACTGGGTCTTTTGAAAAAGGAAAAAGACTCCAGGCCGTTACATTTCCATGTAGTGATTAGGATTTGTCATCAAATTTCTATGAGTTACCCTGAAGCACTTCTTCTTAACCAGTAATCGCGCCACAAATTTAGGATTTTGGCACATGTCAAATTCCTGAATATTGTGTGTGGAACTGTATTCCTCCGTGAATCCAATAGGAAATTCAAAAATTTGGAAATTATTTGTCACAACTAAGAACATACTGAATGGAATGGGAGATTGACTGGAAATCCTTGGGAATTCATGTGTATGCCTACTAAAAGCTAACTAGTTTATAATGCATGCAGAAGACCCTACCTGTTGTTGTTAGGGAGGAGGATGATCTGACGGAAATGGGAGACAAGTGTAGTTCAGGGTGTCGTCATGAGGAGTTTCAAAGTTCAGATGTCAGTATCTTTTATTTGGTTTCTGATTTGCATATGAAGGCCACCTGTCTCCTGGGTCTGCTGGGTTTTCGGAATGTGGAATTATCGATTCCATGTAGACAATGTTTCTGCTTTATTGAGATTTAGGCAACACCTACAGCAATATCCTTGCCCCCTTGCAGATTTGAAAGTCTAAGAAATGCCCCCTCGCCTTGCAGGAATTGAATGGTGGGAGCTGCTTTCCCCATTCATTCTTTGGGATATTTGTGCAAAGTAGTGGAACGTTCCACAGAAAGGTCCTTCAAGCCAACACTGGAAGGCTAACCGTTTTGATGTTGATTAGGCAATGTGATGAATGCCAAGGGTGATTAGGATTCAATTTTTTTGGTAGGTTCTGACCTCTCTTACAATTACAGCCAAGCAAATCGGAGGAGAAGTCGACACTTTTTAATTCTATCACCGGCTAGAAAATAGCAACATAAATTAACTAATTTATTTCATAATGGTAGTTTCATTTTACGTCTTTTTTGTCAATACCGCGTTTTCAAAATATCACGAATTTCTATTGTCCAAGACTGCCAGTTTTCTACAGTGTTGATTGAGTCGCCGCTGTAGTTCTTTCTCTCTGTCATTGTTCTAACATTATGTGATTTTGGTGGACATACCTCTTTCTGTCTTTCTTGTCTATTTGACTTCTCACTAGCTTATCTTATTTACAAGTATTTAACTGCACGTTTGGCGCCAAATTTGTTGTCATTTATTGACTTTGAGTTCAATTGCTCTTTCTATAAGGTCATACCTGAGGAGGTCTGGGCTTGTGGGCTCCAAGCTAGATTATTGGATCTCAGCAATAACTTCATTGCAGAAATACCAGCGAAAATCGGCACATTAGCATCAATAAGTGTCAGTCGCTTGTTTTCTAGCTATTTCTGTTCACTGCTTTTGATAAAGAGTTTACGTCTGAATAGACATTTTATACATTTTTCATATATATATTTTATAAAGGTTTGATAAGTTCTTCTTTAATTTTGCAGAAGTTGTTTCTGAATGCTAATAATTTATCTGACAACAGTATTAATTGGGAAGGTATATCATATCTGAAGTCTTTGGCGATTCTCAATCTTAGTCAAAATCAGTAAGTGTTTTTATGATTTTAGTTTCTTCTGTTTATCTTCTGCATGATGTTTCATGAAGAATAAATGTATTAATCGTGTGTGCTTATGGATGCTTACCTGAACTACTATATATCTAACTATATCTCACTGAATGTGTCTTCGTTTTCTTCTCACTTTGTGGTTGGGGGGTGGGGGGATAGAGGACGCGGATCATTGCCAGCTCATGAGCTGCTTTAAATTTAATCTAATGTTCCGGTTGTTGCCTGTGTATCCTTAAGACTTTTCTAGGCTTAACTAGACTATGATGAGATACCATGTCTTTGTGTCTTCTGCACCAAGAAGAGTAATTGGCCTTCCTTCATCGGTGCACATTCAGGCCCAGGCCTGGACCATTTTAGGCCTATACCATCTCCAATTATACGTAATAATTCAATTATTGTGATTCATAGCAAGTGAATCACAATAATTGGAAAGAGTATTTTGCCTCGTGCAGTTTGAGCACTCTGTAAACTCTCTCTTGGAAAGTCTTGATGCGCATATACTTTTTGTATTCGATGTCCTCTCACTAATTTGCATCCCAATGATTTATGCAGTTTGACCGCTCTGCCCTCTGCCCTTTGTACGTTGACTTCGCTTACACAAGTTGATGTCGCAAACAACAGGCTGACAGGGCTCCCTGATGACATTGGAAATCTAAACCAACTTCAAGTTCTGAAAACGGGGAACAACAGGTAGACGCTTGATTTAACGGTCACTATTTCACCGGCTTCTTAAAAAAAAAAAACTCTTGCTTTCCACAAAAAAAATTAAAAATGCTTATGCCAGGGGAAGAATTTTACATCCTTGGTCTTCTGGAATCTCCCAACCTCGATCCCTGTTCCGTGGTTAGGGTTTTTGTCATTACCAGGGACACGAATTTCTGTCCAAGTTTAAATATCTAAAGCATACAAAATAGTTTTTTTATTATTTTATTTCCTGGATTGTGCTAGAACTTGAGAGATCTGCCTGTTTACCCTAGCTCTAAAATACATCTGAGTATTATTCTATCAGTTATCTGTCTGACTTCTTTGTCTATCTTGTCAATGAAGTTTACCTCTGTCCATGCTGGAATGCAACACAAAGGGCCATTCAATTTTTTTCTTATAAAAAAAATGATGTTTATTCTTTCTACTGGCAGGATACGTTCCATTCCTTCGACCATTGGGAATTGTTCGTCACTTATAGAGGTAACAAACAGATGTGTTCCGTCTGCTTAAACCAGTTCTATTATATGATATTTAAACCAGTAATAAGCAATGAAGATTGAGCCCGTTGACTGCTCATATGTTTTTCGTGGACTTTGGTGTAGGTCGACCTGTCCTCCAATCTCTTGGATTGCTTACCCGAAGCGTTTGGGTTATTAACAAACCTGAAGGTTGGATCTTCTCAGATTTCCTGATCTCCCGCCCACACCACCCCCCCCAATCCAGATGATTTATTGTGTGTATACTATGCACCAGAGTTCTTGGCTTTTTCATCTGGATAAGCATATTTGTAGTCAGAATTCTACAAGCCGAATATCAAAATTCTCAGACCATTAAATTCTTGGTATTTGTAGCATCATCCTCTCATGAAAAAAGAAAACCCTTGCTTTTGAATCAAAATTACTTTAGGTTGGAGACCAAAGCGGTCGAGTACTGAATTCTTGATCTGTTCATATCATTCTTTCATGGAAAAGTAAACCAGACGGTGGTCCTTGCTTTGAGATTTCAGTCGGGGAACAGAAATTCTCAGAAATCTTCAATCATTGATCCGGTCGTTATATGTTTCTCATAAAAAAAAAAAAATGCAGACCAACGATTATTTTTCATGAAAAATTCTCAAAATCTTCAATCATTGATCCAGTAAATATATGTTTCTCATCAAAAAAAAAAATCTGCAGTCAAACGATCATTTTTCATGAAAAATTCTCAAAATCTTCAATCCTTAATCCGTTCAACATATGTCTGCCAGGAAGTTTGTCTGACGATCTCACCAACTAGCTCGCTTCTTCATTCTTCTTTTTCTGCAGATAATCGATTATTTCTTTCTTTTTTTCCCGACAAATTGCAGTTTATTTTCCACTAGAAAATTAATATTGATTTCTGTTTCCATGTTTCAGTGCCTGCAGCTAAGAAACAACGGCCTCCATTCCCTCCCCGCAACGTTATTGAAGATGTGCACTCAGCTCTCAACGCTTGATCTCCACGGAACCCAGATCACAAACGATGTACTCCGTCAGGTGCTTTCTTTTCTCCCCTCTTCCCCCGCTCGTCCAGAATAAATAAATAAATAAATAAATAAATAAAATGGTTCTTGATCATCATCATCATCTGATTTCTTGAGCCATAACTCATGCTGTCATCATCGTCCGCTGGGTCTGGCAGTTGGAGGGCTGGGAGGCTTTCGACGAGCGCCGCCGCCTGAAGCACCAGAAGCAGCTCGACTTCCGCCTCGGAGCCCCCCAGGGATTCGACGAGGGCGCGGACAAGAATAACGGGCCCTAAAAACATTGGGCGAAGATCCCATGAGGCCGGTTTTAGGTACCTGACACAGCTGCTACGGCTGTTTTAGGTATAAAAAGGATCTATTTGCCTTCACATGAGGAATTTTCTTTCCAAGGTTTCAGGGCTCATTAACCAGTCATCTCCTTAAGTGGAGAATCCGAATTGGCCCACATGGCTCAATCCTCCTCTTTCTTCCGACCTTCTCTCTGAGTGTTGACTTGGTGGGGATATATAACAACCCCCCCAGCTGGTAGTGCCCTACTGCATCGTTATTGGGCCAGAGGCCAGGTGCAGACAGTATATAGCCCATTTTCTGGGCCTTCTTCACGGGCGGGCGTAGGCAGAGCTCGTGGTTCAGAGAAAGGCAATGAAAGGAGGAGAATATCGACGGGCAGAATCGAGGTAGCCATTTAAAGGTAGAGCAGCAAGATCCTACCTACATAACTTGAGATACCAGGGCAGGTAACTCTGCAGCCTACGTAGAGGAAACCACGAGAGCGCCCTACATCGAGAAGGAGGGCCCATTTTCTTTTCATCTCTTCTGCGTAATCTCATTTGGAAGAACCGAACCAAGTTCGTTCTCGTCTCGCAGGGGGTCACAGAAAAGCCACCCGGTACAGTCCAGGATCCCAATTGGGCAAACATCAGTCAGTGCACCCGCCACACACCTCAACTGGACGAGAGAGAGAGAGAGAGAGAGAGTCATCTATCCGATATGCAGGCAGGAACACCGGGGAAGAGATGTGCATGCGGGGAGGGGCCTCACAACTAAGAAGAGTGTGTGTATGGCGAAAGAAGAGTATACGAAAAGAAGAGAAGTCCGACTACTTGAAGTATACGGATACCAGAGGGATGTCGATGTCGTTGTCCTCGTCATCCTCGCAGGCCACCACGACGTCCAGGTGACGCCGGTAGGAGGGCACTTCCAACTTGGCCACCTCCTTGGCCACGTCGACCACCTTCTTGTCCAGCCTGTCCTTGTGCCGGGGAAACATGCTGTTGTAGAGCAGGGAGGTCCCGCAGGAGATGCTGTAGGCGTTGAGCCCCTTGTCCTTGAGCCACCTCAGCAGCTCCCTCAGCGTGAGGTCCCCGTGGACGGCCCACCGGTCCCACACCGTCCACGCCATGTCCAGATGCTTGATCACCTTCGGCGGGACGGGCTCCGACATGGTCAGCATCGGCAGCGCCAGGTTGGCAAATGTGTTGCGGTAGTCCTCCACCTTGTGCCCACCGGCCAGGACCTTGTAGAGCTCGAGGCAGACCAGGCCGGTGGCCATGGCGGTGGAGGTCGCTATGGCCGGGATGATCCTCCCGGCGATGAACTTGGCCTTCAGTTTGTCCACCTCTGGGATACCGTAGTTCCTCGCCCGCATGTTGGCCAGCCCCGATATCAAATCCATGTGGTAGTTTGTGTCGTCGTCCTGGACAAGAACTCAAATTGAGAAAAAATACACCTGGAGTTGATGAATTGATCAGGTCCTAGTTTTGACTTTTCTGATCTGAACCTAGAAAACTCAAGCATATATGGTTTTTTAGACTAGAGGAAGGGATCCGCAAAAAAAAAAAAAATCAATTCGGGTTGGAGTCACCTCAGATGATCAGGAAGCGAAATTAATATTTAATCATATAATCAATGATTCGAACATAAGCAGCTGAATGAGGTTGACTTTTTCTAACCTTCTCGAACTGAATAGGGTTCATTCGGAACCGGGGAGGGAGCCTCTTAGAACACTCCTCAAGCTTTGCAATCAGGTCACTGATGACGGCGCCGTCGTCGACCGAGGTCGCGGACAGGCTGGTGGCCTTCTCGTCCGTCACAATCTTCACTCCTTTCCTGGGCTCGAAATCCGGGACGAGCACCCTGTCAACGGCATCTGCGAATTCGCCGGGGCTATTGGCCCACTTGGGCACGGAGATCCTGAAGTTCTCGGCTTTCAAGATGGAGGCGGCTAGCACAAGATGGAGATGGGAAGGATCACTCGACGTGTATTGCAGAGGCCTCGGGAAGCGTTTTGGGGCGGACCAGAATGGTGCACCAGTACTCGTGGCAGAATCCTCGGGGAAAGTAAACGTCAACTGCTTCACCCGGTTGGAGAAATAATCTTCGAATCTGGTGTTTAAGATCATAAGAAGTAGAGAGAAACATGAGCATCACGAAACATGAGGCTGAATTGAGATCCAAGATGGCATTGGAAGAGTATAAGATGTGCATCATCTGTAAATTTCTCAGAATCAGAGCAATCTGGATCAGATGCAACCGATTTCTTTGTGTTATGCAAGAGAAATATTCTCACTAGTCATATAATGACTCAGAAATCCGGAATTCTCACACATTGCAGAAAATTATGGAATCAATAAGGAAACATCACTGGACCAGACCACAAGGATGTCCCTAAGTGGCATTAGCGATTCAAGTTTTGCAATTTTTCGGTACGCGGATAAGCCCAATCCATCAGATTATCCAAAATCTTCCAGCCTCAATCGAGTGTGTCAAGTCTTTTCAGATGTACGGGCCAGTTGTTGCTCTTGCAGCAAGACCCTTGTTTTCCTTCTGGTTTTTTTACCACACAGGGGAGCCCTCCCACAGTATTAAAACCCGTAATAATTATTAATCCAAGGTATGCATGCAATGAGAAATATTTTTTTATGCATTTAAATATAATAAAAAAAAAAAAAAAAAGATCAGGGAGTTCCATCCAGCTTACTTCAGTCGCGCCCAAGTGATGCAGTCTTGAAATGTTTCACACCTGCCCACATCCAAGCACTCAACTACACGCTCCAGGAGATCTCTAGCCTGAGCATCGCCTGCAGTCTTCATGGAAGAAGTATACTCAGCAGGGTTTGATAAGAAATTATTGACTTCAGTGGGCATCTTCTCCAGCATCCCCTCAAACTCGGAGCGGGCCCACGTCAAACAGTGATCGATGTTGTGAGGGAAGGAGTGGACAGTGCACATCGGCGCCTGCTTCTCGGGGGGATCCCTCGAGGCTCCATAATTCTCCGTCAGATGAGGTATGACCATCTGGGTGTTGCACAGAGCACCCAGCGTCCCAGATTCTAACAAGGGTTTCTGAAAATAGACACATCTTTGGTCAACGTACATTCTGGCATTTATGTTGTCGAGTGCATTGATGACGACGTCCAGGCCCTCCCAAAATGAATCGTCGAATACATTTTCCGTCTCAGGGCTCGCTCTGTTCTGAAGAGCTTCAATGTGGAGACTGGGGTTTATCGTACTTGCAACAGAAGCCGCAACAGTTGACTTTGCCTGTCCAATATTCCAGTCACGGAAGAGGAACTGACGGCTAAGGTTACTCTTCTCAATCACATCATCATCTGTGATTACTAGCTTCCCACGACGACTGCAGGAAACTCCCATCAAGGCCAGATTCTTCAGAAACTCGCATCCAAGGGCACCGGAGCCCACAATAAACACTTTTGCTTCTTCTAACTGTCTCTGTAGTTTGGATCCAAATACAGAGATCTGTGCATCATAGCGGCTGTTTGCCGGCAACAGATCACTGGCTTCCAGAACCTCAGTGGGAAGAGATTCGACAGAATCAAAGTAAAAGAACTGGACAAATGTTTGGAACACTTGTTAGAAAGATTATAGTAAATGAAAGGTCAAAAATAAATCAGGACAATACAAAAATTCAAAACTCAAACAAAAGCTGAAGTATTTCACCTGAAAGAGAGGATGGAACTTCCCGGAGCAGGCTTTGACAACTTCCTGTCCGACAATACCCCCAAAGATCGCCGCCATAGGGTTCAATGTTGCCCTCGAACCACTTGCAAAATGGCGTAAAATTTTTTCATTTATCTCTTCCAGCCGACCCTCACCCATGCTTTCATTGATACTTGTAGCAAGTGCAATTAATTCCCGAGCATCATCCTCAGAGCCAGTGGCAGGGAAACGTCCAAAATCATTTCTGAACTTATCCAAGGCTTGGAAAGCCACATGCAATAATTGCGGGTGGTCAACCTTGGAGAAATCGCTCAAGAGGAAATCACCAGGGTCTCTCAAGGCATCGCTTAAAGGTTTGAATTTCAAGAGCTTGGGTTGCTTCACCTGTGTAGCAATGCCACCTCTCAAATACGGACCAAAATTAGTTGCGTCCTCCTCGAGACAAAATGAGTACGGCCTAGCATTTTTAACTTTTCTTGGCTTTCCATCATTAAGTTCTGTCATACCCTTAACTTCCGAGAACACAACCAAATCCCCATCCTGAAACTCAAGTCGTTCATCATCAACGCAGGACACAAGTGCAGGATTATCATTGCTGATGGATGCAATAATTGCCGTATGTGGATCCTTCCCATCAACATCGGTGACAGTAAATGCCGGTCCAAAATCACAGAAGATATTTCCAAAAAGGCCTCGGATCTCAGATTTGATGAAGGAAATAGGAGGTTGGTGGTTGTAACAATAATTATCAAATTCAATTGCTTTCTCCAGACTGATATCTGTGAAAACTACTGCCTGCACAACAAAATAAACACAATGTACACATTTGAAAGAGTAACAACCTCCAAAATAGGAAAACGTGACTATTTGTGAATCAGGTAAACAAAAAGATATGAAAAATTAATCATCGATCGGAGATCAAATAAACTGTTTACATAAACGAGAAGACCAATGTGGTCACGCACACGATGCATGAAGGCAACATGAAGTACATGAATGCCAGTAAGTACCTAGATCATGTTACTAGGGGAACAACATTAAATGGGATACAAAAAAAAACATGACGAGGAAAGAAAAGACAAAAAAACAGCACTGCAGTTAATCGTGTGTGAAAAAAAACAGACAGTAAGAATGGTGGAATGAGCATGATAAAAATACGATTATGATATAATCAAGTGAAGGTAGAGGGCAAAAGCAAGATTATATCTTCTATTCTAAATGAGATATGGGAAACATAGAGACAGAAAAACGGGACTCGTTTCGAATAGAAAGTATGTGGTGAAGCAGATATCAGAGCCAACCATTTACTGAAGAGGTCAGGAAGTTTGATATTTATTCCTCATAAATAGTCCGCCAAGAAGTCCACAGAAATAAACAAGCGTATATATCTTCCCCCAAGAGAGGAGAAAAGTAGCAGGAAAGACATTAAAAAAAACAAATTCATATATATGATCTGCGATGAAATCAGCCCATAATTCAGCACAATGCACAAATTATCTTCAACAGCACCACCCCCTTCCCACTGCAAAAATCTTGGCAGAAGGCATTAAGATAATTAGGTGGAAGAGATCAGTGATGACTAATCACCACACATTCATACTAAAGTGATAGGGAAAAAAACCAAGTCAAAGTCAAATTTTGGTCAAATTAAAACTTGAAATGAATTGGAGATAGAAGAATGAACACATGAGCATCACAACGACGAAAGGAAGAAAAAAAATGTATTTTCATGTAGCCACGCGTAACACGACAAGAAGAGAAAAACACAGGCTATAAAAGAGACTAACCTGGAAATCAGAAAGATGTTCTTTAGTGAATTCTTCGGTTAGGGTATTAATCGTCACCGCATTGTTGAGTTCTTGAAGCTTCTGGACACAAGCTAGAGCCCTATTTTTACCAACATCATCCTCTGACAGGAAAAAGTTACTAGATAAGTCCCACAAGTCCACTGTCTCTTCATCATGTAACGTGACAGATTTGACACCAGCGAGAACGAGATTCTTGGCTGAAAAAATAAAGGACCCGAGTTAATTCACATTAAATAATTAACTTTGAAGCAGGTAGGGGAAAACACAAAAGATGGCTTTGGCATAACAGAGAGAAATATTCTATCATTCCTCATTAAAGACAAGAAATATGCTGTCAGCTTCTCAATTTTTCACATGGGATGAGAATTACACAAGGAGATGGATGTTTTAAGAATTCGCAAAAACAAAATAAGAAACGGTCTCTCCAACGCTCTTCTGCTGCTACAAGCATACCAGAATAACCATGAAAAAAAACTACATTTATACACGATAATTCGGTCATTGGCATCTAATTAAAACGATATTTCTAGATTGCTCCTGACTAGGAGCTACAAATGAAGAGCATCTTATTAAATCTTTCCCGTATGTACGACCGAATGAAATGAAAAATATGATATGCCTGAGACATCCAAAAAAGATTCAATTATTTAATAAATGCTCCATCCTCGTCAGAACTCGAAGCAACCCAGATCGTGTGCAGACTATCAAAAAAGCAAACGTCTACTGTTGGTGGAAGGATACAAGGAATCAAGAATTTACCTATCTCGGCACCAAGACCTTTGATCCCAGAAATGAGAACGTTGGATGCAAAGAGACGGCGCATCGTCTCTCTCCCATACACAGCCAACTGACGGCTATGAAGGTCCTCGTCGATCTCCGGGGGATTGTTGCCGTTGGCTTCGCAGTCCATGGCGCTCGGTGGGTGATGGTTATTATCCACTCCCTCCGATGCGGAAGAGATCAAGCAGTCAGTCCTATGCTTCTTCAAAAAGCTGTCCCCTGCAACCACGCCTGCTACCTCTTCTCCAGCAGCTCTCTTTCTAGGAAGCATATAGAGCAGTACGCTGTTCAAAACCCGCCAACACCCCATCCCACAGATCAGAACCAAGAAGGCAACCACAAAGATTGCACCCAACAGCCGATCGCAATCTCCGGCGCAAGCACTCAGGAGAATGCCCACAACAATCGGCACAAAGAAACCAAGTCCAAGATACAAACCTAATTTTACCGACATCGCAGAAACACGGAAGAAAGGGATCGAGGAACGTACAGATACGCGGCAAAGAATCGGGTGACGACGCCAAACGCAGGATCGACGGCTTTCCTTTACCTTCTTTTACCTCTTCCCCTCCTGTGTCTATTCCTTCCTGCTTCCACTCCTGTGCTCTCCCTATCTCCCTCCCTGACACCTTCCCTTCTTTTATACGCGCACCTCTCCCCTTTTCCTGTCCCTTTTTATTAGGGTTTTGGGCAAGCATCTGCACCGAGATCGATGGGGTGAGGCCATAATCGGGGTATTTTCGTAAACCCCCAGCTCTCTCTCCCTCTCTATCTCCAGCGGCCGCCCCCCTTCTTCCTGCAAACCAGAGAGAGAGAGACAGCAGACAGATATGAAGAGAGAGATAGAGAGAGACTAGAGAGAGATAGAGAGATAGAGGAGCAGTCTGGTGCAGAAGAAGATCTTCGGAAGTATTTATACCCCAACAAAAATCCAATCCACCTGTCCCTGGGCTATTTATGTCATATCACGTATCCTTTCGGATCTTCCAAGGTGGATATCCGGGTTTCCGGACCCACCCGTGACTCCACCGTGGCACATCCCCGCTATCGGTTCATGGGCCGGGGCAACCCATCTCACATACCCATTATGGGCCCAATATCAAAATAATGGGCCGGCCCAGTTATGTCAGATTGAGAAAGAGAGTATTATTAAAATAATATTAATATATTCTGTTAATTTTAATATTTTTGTCTCCAACATTCGGAAACTATTATTCATATTATATTTCTTATTATTTAAGGGTGCTAATAATAATAATACCTGATGAGATCGTTTTCCCCGAGGAAGGCATGTTCTTGGGCCTGTTCACAGAAAATCAGATGTACGGACGGGGGACGTAGCATGCAGTTTCGCACCGGCCCATATTAACATATACATTGGCCCAGATAAATAAAATTAATAAATAATCTCAATATTCGTTGGATTATAACCATTAAATACCCATTGAAATATGATATTTATTATTGTAGAAATATTGAGGTAAGGTATTACAGGGATGTCCTGAAGGAGGTTATCTCTAATAATCGAAGTTTTGATAGATTTTTTTATTAATTTCTCAATTTTCAGGGGTTATCTCGAAATTAGTTACTTAAAAAGCTTGCATCTTTTTTTCTCCACATCTAATCTTCTACGGATGAGGATGGAAAATGCGTTGACCACCTTTAGATTTTCTAATTTGCATAAGAGCCCTTTATATATCGGAATTTTCATCCAGAGGACAAGAAGTGGAATGCAGGGCTGTTTGGATAAGGGCACTTGCGTGAAATAAGGGTTTAATAGGGGTGTATGTAGAAATTCTCCCCCCTCGACTTCTACAGGTTTCGACCCACTGCGTTTATCAGGATTGAATCATGCAGGAGGAGAGAAGCTCGAGAGTTCGAGAATGGAGAGGTGGTACAGCCGATCTCGAAGTTACAGAGAGCCTTCCCGAAGAGGAAGACGCCGAAATGTGAAGGATGTGAACCCTGTGAAGGCATCTTTTCTTCGTCTCCCACGGTTTTAGGGTTTCCAGGGCCTTTAAAAGGGCATCCTTCCCTCCTCCGGCGGGGCTCACCGGCTGCTTCTACGCAGTCACAGGAGAGGAGAGGAGAGGAATGAAAACCACCATGCGCTTCTCCCAGGTCCTTCCTCTGGTTTTCTTCCTGCTGTGCATCGGCGGCAGCTTCTTCTACCGAGCTGCGGCCTCTGAGGGATACCGCCTCCGGCGGGTTTCCCTGCCGGATCCCGAAGGAGAGGAAGAAGACGAGGGCGTGGAGTGCGTGGACCCTACGCCGCCTCAGGCCTCGCCAGCGGGCAGCCAGAGCCCTTCCTGCTCCGCCCTACTCCTCCAGTACGAGTTCGGCCACACCGTCGGCTTCCCGCCGGTGGCCGTCAACTATACCCCGCCGGAGAACTGTCGGTGGAACCGCGCCGTGCTCGAGTTCTCCGCCTCCTGCGCCGGCGAGCAGAGCGACCGCATCGCCGCCGTGTGGCTCGATGGCGTGGAGATCCTCCGCACCAGCACCGCCAGGCCCAGCCAGGCCCCGCTCTTCTGGAAGGTCCGCAAGGACGTGACCCACTTCTCTTCTCTCCTCGTCCCGTTGACCGAGCAGCGGGGGCGGCGCAAGCCGGGGGCCTCCCCTCGGGTGCTCTACGTCATGCTCGAGAACTCCATCAACAACGTCTACAAGGGGGTCTACAGCGTCAATGTGAGCATTGACTTCTACGGCCGCGCGGTCAACGTCCCCGGGAGACGTAACATGAAGGAGCTGAACCTGGTACCAGAGGCCCTGGAGGCCAACGGGAAACTAACCTCCATCTTGGCCTCCGTCACCGACGAGGAAGATTCAGAGGAAGACGGGTTCGTCCCCGTGGAGCCACACTACGGCGGCGATGGCGAGGGGTCGTCGGAGCTGCCGGTGGCGGATTCTTATCCAGCTTTCGTGACGGAGCAGAAAAAGCTGAAGAACCTGCTGGGGAGGCCGGCGGACATGGTGATCCCGGTCTCCAACACCAAGATCGGCGATCAGAGCGGCTTCTGGTTCCGCATCGACAAAGAATCAGACATTCGTGGGATCCGCCGCAGGATCCCCAGGAACGCCTACAAGGCGGTCCTGGAGGTCTGCGTCTCCTTCCACGGCGACGATGAGTTCTGGTACACGAACCCTCCGGATTCCTACAATCTGGAGAACAACCTCCCGTCGAGGAGGGGAAACTGGGCGTTCCGGGAGCTCGTCGTCACCGTCGACGGGCTCTACGTCGGCTCAGTGCTGCCGTTTCCGGTGGTCTTCCCCGGCGGAATCAACCCCCTGATGTGGACGCCGGTGGTGGCGATCAGGGCCTTTGACCTCCCCACCTACGACCTCGATCTGACCCCCTTCCTCGGCAACCTGCTCAACGGAAGACCCCACGCCTTCAACTTCCAGGTGGACTACGCCCTCCCCTTCTGGCTCGTCAACGCCAACCTGCACCTGTGGCTGGACGCACGGCAGCGCACCGTGCCGGCGCTACTGGTGAAGCACCACGGGCCGCCGACCTTCCTCTCCCGCAACGCCAACAACAAATTCCTTGAGGGGCACTTCCAGCTGGAGGCGGCGCGGCAGGCGAGGTTCGAGGGCTGGGCGAGGTCTTCACTTGGGAACTTCACCACCCTCATCGACACACACTTCAAGTACAAGAGCTCGGTGGAGTACAAGTTGCAGGGGGTCCTCAAGGACGCCTACTCGCAGACCAAGTACACTGCTGACGTGAGGATCACGGAGCGGCCCAACAGGTTCCTCGCTCGGGTGATCAACGAGGCCAAGTACCCGGTGAGAATGATCAGCTCCACCGACGGAATCGGGGACCGGATGCTCGCCAAGACCAACCTCTCCCACATCCTCTACGAGTTCACGGACATCACCCTGAACCAGATGCGGTCCCAGATCGCCATCACCGATATGCAGATCGCCGGCGGGGTGCTGCAGGCGGTGGACGACGTCTTGGCCGGCGCCGCCAGCACGCTGCAGACGTACCAGCGGCGGGACAACGGGCGCTGCCACACCAGGAAGGTTACCGCGCTGAACGGTGGCATCACCGGTGACCAGACGACTACCGACTGCAACATGGTAAGGGCCCCGACGCCGCTTCTCGCCATATGAGAGATCCCCTGCTAGGAAGGTCCAGCCGCGGTGTAAAGCAAGAAGAGAGAGGAGGAAGAAGAGGTGGGCGGGCCTGCTCTTCGCGTTCTTCTCTGCGCGGCGTTAGAGAGCTGAATAACGCAGAAGCCGTCGAGCTCCTTTCTGCATCGTTTACTCTTCTAGAGACTGTAATCCCATTGACTTACCTACGAATAGACTAAAAATAACATCGGTCAACGACCGAGAGGGACTTGCCACATAGGTTCTGCTCATCCGGACACCTTCAGGGACCGTCTACTCCATAATTTGAAAGATGACGGCTTTCCACAAGTACAAAGATCTACGGGGGGTTCTAAACAATTAACCCCCGAACATTGTTTTTTAAGAATACATTATAACTATCAATATAAGGTTAAATTATATGGGGGTAAAGAGAGAGAGATGTTGGGGGCCCACTCGGTCAAACTATTTTGGCCTTTTTCGGGATGGCCCGGCCCAACTGTTCCAGATGACGTGTGATTTCTGTTATCACGTGGGATTTTGTGGTCCCCCTTTCGAGACGGTTCTGGTGGTCCCGCGCCGGGGAATTAGGTGGAGGGGTGGGCAGAGCCCAGAGTGGGCCACAGACCCAAACCGGCTCGAGCCGGTCGCCTCAATCAATGCCCCGACGGACCGGGCGTCACGTGGTCCGCGCCAGCGTGGACGGATGCAGGCGGCGGCTCCGGGACCACCGCAAGATCGGCATCCAACGGTGTGGGTGGAAGCGCCGTATCGCCGGCGCCAGAGGATTCAGAACCGTCCGAGTCGAACAGCTCTGACACGGCGGCATTATATATCTCATGTGGGACCCACCGAGGAGAGGAGGGAAAAAAGGAACAGTAACGGCGCGGACGTCGGCGCCGGAGACGAAGGCCGGGAGAGGGCAGTCACCTGGTCGCCTGAGAGGAGAGAATGGTAAGGATTTCAGAGAATGGAGGTCTCCGGGAAGGGGAGCTGTTCCAGCACTTGACCATTAACGACCTCAGCACCGGCGGGCAATCTCTGGGTATCTCCGGCCTCAACCCACAGGCGGCGATTCCTACCGCCGCCTGCACCGGCGAGTAGGAGGAGTAGGCCGCCTCTCCGGTCACCATCTCCCACAGCACCATGCCGAAGCTGTACACGTTGCTCATCCAGGTCTCCATCACTGTCTCCGGGTCGCCGGCGATGACCTCCGGGGCCAGCCACTGGTAGCCGGCGGTCTCATAGTCGGCGACCTCTCCGGTGCTCTTGCAGACGGAGACCACGCCCATGTTTCCCAAACAGGAGTTCCCCTGCTTGTCCAGGAGGATCCTCTGCGTGTTCAGGTCTCTGAAGCAAACGCCGTGATCGTTGACGAACCTGAGCCCCTCCGCCACGCCGGCGGCGATCCGCATGAGCTCGCCGGTGGGGATTCTCTTCCGGCGACTCTGCAACAGGTTGTGGACGGAGCCACCGTCCATGGCCTTCGTCACGAGGCAGAGCCCGTGTGTCTGGTCGACGCAGAGGCCGTGGAGATGGAGGACGTTCGGGTGGCCGCTGCTCATCAGCTCCAGCAGGTCTCGCCGGAGCTGGACCTCGTAGGCGGTGCCCCTCTCGCAGCCCCTCAGCTTCTTGATCCACACCTTCCTTCCTCTGCAGGTGCCGGTGAAGGAGTTGGGTCCTGTCCGGTCGGCGATCTCCACCTCCTCCGGGGAGAGCAGCCACCTTCCCATCTCGCTGGCGCCCAATCTGAGGGCCTGCCGTTCGTCGACGGCGACCACGAAGGAGGAGATTCTCTCCGGCCGTCTCCACTCCCCGCCGCCGCCGGTGAACTCGGAGTCGTCTTCCCTAACGCCGGCGGCTTCCCGGTCCTTGCAGCCGCAGAGACCGAAGGAGAGCTTGACGGCGCCGCCGCCGCTCCTCGGGGCGGGCTTCTTGACCGCGGAACGCAGCGCCGCCTCGGCCCGGGTCTTGAAGGCCTTGTCACTGACAGAGTGGACCAGGAGAAGGGCAATGCCGAGGGTGAGCCCCTTCTTCTCGAAGATCTGAACCTTCTTGCAGAGCATGGAGGAGGCGTCGAGGGAGTCGGCGATGGCCGGCCAGGAGATCGGGGAATGGGAGACGAAGGTGAGCTTGAAGAGGGTCGTCGTCCCCTTCCCCTCGCCGAGGTTCTCCGGCGCCACCGCCTGGACGTGCACCGCCGGATGGTCCTCCGCCGCCGCCTGCTCGATCAAGCGGGAGTGCAGGAGCACCTCCTTGATGTCGTGCTCCGCCTGCGCGTAGCTGCCACCGGAGAGAAACCCAGTCGGAAAAACGCATCCAAAATCTTCCATGGTCTCACCTCGGGGATCAGAAATTTACCTGGAAGGGAGGCACTCGTAGTGGCGGCGGATGTCGGCGATGACCTTCTCGGGGAGCTGGCTGCCGGGGTAGAGCTGGGTGAGATTACGGACGATGCTCCCCCACGAGGCCTTCTCCTTCCCCACCGCTTCGAGGTTGAGAGAGCTCTTCAGGGCGGCGATGGCACCGGCGAGGTTGCGGCCCAGTCGGTTCCTCCTCTTCGGGGCGGCGGCGCCGCCGACGCCGGCGACCGGTTCTGTGGAAGGGTACGCCTCCGAGCGGTCCTGGTTCTTCATGAGGACCTGCTCCACCATGTCCTCGTCTGTACTCGGCCTCCCTGACCAGCACTCCATGGCCGCCGCCATCCCCACCACACCGCCCACTGGAGCGATAGAGAGAGAGAGAGAGATTACTGACAGACAACAGGGACGGCGGTGTCGCTTCTTCACTGGGCTCGCTCTCGTACCCCAATAAAGAAACACATAGATAGGGTCACGCAAAGGCTGACTTACCGCTCAGAGGAAGAGTGAATGAGATGTGAAGGGAAGTGTCTCCTCGTCAGGTGGAGCGGACGCGGCGGCGGAGAAGCGTAGCGCCCTCTCTGCTCGGCTTTCCTCCGCCACCCCCTCCCCCAATCGCGCGTACTTCGACGTACACATCGCGATTCACCAGGTTTGATTCTGTTTAGTTGGCTAAGGTCTCCGGCTCACGGTGGACCCCATCCACCGCCGCATCGACTCCGAGATCCGATCCATCACGTGACGTTCGTGCAACCCATGTGAGGAGGACAAAATTTGATCACCCCAGTAATTAGCCGCCTTAAGTTATAAATAGTATCATATAGGTCCCGATATTGAGCGCTTTGGAGGGCCCACTTTCTCTCTCTCTCTCTCTCTCTCTTCCGCCGATGGACGAGGGCGGCGGCGCCGCGGCCGGCGGCGGTGGGGCCGGCGGCGAGGTTCCCTCTTTGGGCTTTGTCTGAAGCCAGACGGGCCAATGGAGATTCGGTTTGCTTTGGGCCCATGATTCTCGGAAATCTTTCGTAAGGGAGAAAAAGGTGGGTCCCCTACCGAGGCCACTTCTGGATTCTTTCCCCTTTAACGGTAATCTCGACGGAGAGTGGTTTTAGCATCCCTACCCCCAGTTGGGATTTATTGATGTTTTAAAAATATGAGTAATAATCGAATAATTGCCATGGTAGTAGTGGCGTGATTTATTTGTATTTAATATGGAATATATGAAAATATGCCGTCCTTTCTTCGTGGCGAAGGTGAATTGCCGCCGGTGGGGGAGGAGGAAGAGCAGTCGCCGGCGAGACCAAGGGAGAGTGGGATGAGCTGGGCCACTGTACTCCGACGAAGAAAGGCGGACAAGCCCAATGTCAACAGCGTTGTCGTGGGTCAAAGGGTGTCCGTCTGGTCAACCCTGAGGGGAGGGGAATCGTTTAATCCCTTTGGTCGGAGAGGGAGGGAACTCTAGGGGAGCTGATGGCGGTGGTGGTTGTCCGGCGATGGCCCACCACGCCAACGAAGGAAGACCTGCTCATTCCTTCAAAACCTCCCCCCCTCTCTCTCTCTCTATCTCTATCTCTGTCTCTCTCTATATATCTTTCTGTCTCTGTCTGTGTCCCTCTCTTCTTCGAAGAACAGGAGGAAGGAAGAAGACCAGAACTTGGATGGAAGGAAACCCTGGGGGTTCGGGGACAGGGGGAGGCCCCTCCGGCGAGCAGCCGCCGCCGCTTCGATCGGCACGGCGGCGGAAGCCGAGCCGGTACGAGTCGCAGAAGAGGAGAGACTGGAGCACGTTCATGCAGTTCCTCAGGGACCAGTCGCCGCCGGTTCCCCTCTCCCGTTGCAGCGGCACCAACGTCGTCGAGTTCCTCGAGTACATGGACCAGTTCGGGAAGACGAAGGTCCACGCCCTCTCCTGCCCCTACTTCGGCCACCCCAACTCGCAGGCCTCCTGCGCTTGCCCTCTCCGGCAGGCTTGGGGAAGCCTTGACGCCCTAATCGGCCGCCTTCGCGCCGCCTACGAAGAGAACGACGGCGCCGGTCAGTCAAACCCCTTCGCCGCCGGGACAGTCCGTGCTTACCTGCGAGGAGTCAAGGAAAGCCAGGCTAGAGCGAGGGGGATCCCCTACAAGAAGAAGAGAAGGAAGAAGATGCAGGCTCCGGCAGCCGCCGGCGGGGCGTCTGCGTCGTCTGCTCCGGCGCCGGCGCCGTGAGGAGGTCGACGGCGATGGTTCTACCGGGTTCGGAAGCTGCTCCGGCGGTCGCTTGCAGGCGCTGGGAGTTAGGATTCTAACGTTATCACTGGAGGCTCGGGTGCTCCGCCGCCTTCCCCCTTCATCGCTTCCATTGCTGTTTATACACTCCTGATTTTTCACATTTCTTCTGTGTTCTTTATTTCGTTCCCCTCACGTAATGGGCACTTGAACTCCTCTCTCTCTCTCTCTATCTCTCTATCTCTCTAGATATCCCATTTTGATAGGAGATGGAAAGGAGGGAGAAAGAGCAGGTCGGAGCCGGAAGCTCCCGCTTTCCCAAACGTGTGCTTCATCTCTGAGAGGATCAGCTCTTCTGCTTCCGGGCAACCCTTCACTGATGAACTCCCTACCCCGTCTCCAGTGCAGTACAGACTTCCATCCAGACGCTCTGGTTTCCTCGCTACTCTTCATCTCCTTCTTGATGGAGATGGGGAGGCGACGACGATCGAGCAGTCGAGCTTCACGCGACGCTGTTACTGGCGGATCCCTTCCTTCTCCATCACCGCGCTTCATCCTTCTCCATCCCCACTGAGCAACACGATACCTCCAGCATCTCTCTCTCTCCATCTATCTATCAATGTTGCAGAGAAATACCTCGCGAGGCGTCCTCTCTCTCTCTCTCTCTCCCCCTTTATCACTTGCACCATCCCCTTGGGTTCAGTCGACATCATTCATAGGCAACCTCTCTCTGTTTCCATCACTTTAGCTATCTGTCTATCTATCTATCTATCAATGTTGCAGAGGCATACCTCGCAGGGCGCTTTCTCTCTCTCTCTCCCCTTTATCACTTACACCACCCTCTCGGGTTCATTCAACATCATTCAAAGGCAACATCTCTCTCTCTCTCTCTCTCTACCCACTTCTCTCGCAGCTCTTCCAGTATCTCGGAGGGTGGGGAACTGGAGTCATCGTCAACCTCCGGACCAACCGTATCGGGGCAGTATCGTCCAAACCCACCGACAGCACCATCAATTCTCGCGAAATCCAGTTTGGAAAGCAACATTAAAACCCCCCTCCACCTCCTCCATCTCCTTCGCCTGCGCACGAGGTCATCCCTAACCCTTCCGATGCCCGTTTCAGACGCCACTCACCGTCGGCGCCATGAACTATCGCCGGAGCTTCCGTTGGACTCCGGCTTCTTCCTTTCATTCTCAGATGGGGTGGGAAGTGGCCCGAAGGATTGCACCGGAGGAATGCGGCGCTGCCGTAGACGGCGGAGCTACTCGCGGCCGCGGGCTGGAGAAGAAAGGTTCGCCGGATAGGCAGGATCTAGTAGAGGGGAGCGCCCGTTGACTTGTTGACCGACCTTTGACTGATTGTGGACACTGCTGCCGGAAAAACCCGTTCGGTGAAGAGAGGCTGCTTCGAGTGACCGCATCCGCACGTACTGCTGATCACACGTGCGATATCCAATCGGTTCGCGTAATTCATGGAACTATTAATTTTAGTGCTGAAACGTCATTGTTAGTTAGTTCAGGGACATTTGTACATGCAAAAAAGTAATTTAGTACCTTTGTAGGGGCCTAAGAGAAAATTGTTAAACCCTCTCCGCCTCCAGTGATGTTCTCTGTGCTGCCAGGTCTATCTATCAATCTCTTCTCAGCCCGCTCTTTCTTCTCCGGCGACGCCTCCGACGGCCATTGTTAGGGTTTCCTGGGGGATTTGGAGAGGCGAGGACCCGTATGGCGTCCTTGAATGTCAGCTGGTTCGGCGACAACTGGTTTCCGAAGCCCTCCAGGCACAGCAATGTCTCTAAGTTTGCCTTCATCGGAGGAAGGAACCTCTTCTTCCAGAAGTCCAAGGAGCCTAAGGGGGCGAGTCTCTCTGCCTCGTCCACGGAGGAGGAGGCCCCTGGTAAGTACTCGCAGATGCTGGATCAGTTCTTCTGGGAGTGCGAGGCGCGACCCGACTTCCGCCGCGCGCCGCAGGTCGAGAAGATCCTCGCGGAGGATCCCTTTTTCGAGAAGAAGGAGAATCCGACACCTGAGGAGATCGAGGAGAACAAAAAATGGTGGGAGGCGTTCCGGCAGAGCCCCGTGGTTCAGTTCCTGATGCGCGCGGAGGAGATTGCTGATACGATCAACGATATGGAGCTCAAGGAGAACGAGCATCCTTTCCGGAGGGAGGACCGGGATCTATGGAAGAAGCTCCCCCACGTTCAGGGCCCTGACGGTCGTCCTATGCCGAGGAAGGCGATCAAGACAAAGAAGGAGGCGTCCGACAAGTTTTGGGACTTCGCGAGGCAATTCTTCTTCGGATTATGGGGCTTCAGGCAGAGGCCTTACCCTCCCGGCCGCCCCATTGATGTGGCACAGGCCATCGGATACAAAAAGCTGGAGAGACGCTACTATGACTGTGAGTTTCTCTACGCTCTTTCTTAGTTCATGTTAGGATTACAGGTTGCCACCAAAGTTCTCTCAACATGAAAACAAGGCTGCTAGGAACAAAGTCAACTTACTGTTGATCCTCAGAGGGAGTGTCAACCAAAGGAATACCATACCGTCTGAAATCAGCTGGAATTCTCCAGCAGAAACGTTTTGTGTACATTAACTGATTTTTTAAACTCTCTTTTTGGGCTTTTGACCTGTTGGATGTGGAGGGGAGGGGGGGAACCCATTTGGTTTGAAGGCATGTGAAGATATCTCAGTAGTTTCTCGCCCATACAATTTTGGATTCATGTGATTCTTGCCTCTGTTTTCTTTGATTTGTCTTGCATTTCTTCTTCCACCCTTCTTTCTTTTCCTTCATTTGAGTCAGCAAATGCTGTTCGTTTACAGTTTTTCGGGAAAGAAAAACCAGTCGACTGATTCGGCGATTCTTTTGTCATAACTACGGACAAAAAATAAGAATCGACTGATTTTGACTGATTCGACTGATTCTCACAGGCATTTATGAAATCATAACTATGTACAAAAAAAATCTCTCAGTGATCCTTCGAAATTATTGTGAGGTGGGTAGTTCTTGAAGTATGAATTTAATTCAACGGCCTGCCATTTGGGCCCTGGATCTCCCACTGTGTCTCAACTGGATACTTCCATGAGGATCCATCCTTGTTTTTTCCTCTTGATCCAAGAAGCTGAAGATAGACACAGAAAGTCATCTCCCAAAACATCAGATTAAACAAGAATGAGTTTCGGAGATGGAAGTTTTGCTGCTAAATCCAGGGATCCTGGTTTTCCCTTGATCCAAACAAGGTAAGGATATAAAGCTTATTAATTTTTTCCCACTAAACCTCGAAGTAAACGAGGATTAGTCTTGGAACTGGATGTTTTCATCTCTATGCGTGGTTTCAGACAATCTGAGTAATGCAAGACATACTTTTATTGAGTGACCTACAATGTTATTGAAACTGGGCGGTGCTTATTTTTCTCCTCCACCAATCATTTATCTTTGAAAAATTAGGACCAAACCTGACATCATCCATTCCCTTCTTTCCTTTTTTTCTTTAAAGCTGATATTTTTCATACATACATATATTGATTTCTTCATGAATCTTGGTTCTTTTTTTTTTTTTTTACTATTTTAGGCTAAGTTTTTTAGATGGGTTTGTTTCTGTAATCGAGACGAATCTGTTTTGTGCAGTCATCATGAGGAGTGGTGGGTGGTACTACAAGGATCGATTAGGTCGGACCAGGGGACCGTTGGAGCTCATAACACTTAAAACTGCCTGGTCAGCTGGGATAATCGACACCCACACTTTCATATGGGGGGAAGACATGGACGAATGGGCACCCATTGGCATGGTGTATGGTCTGGAGAAGGCGATTGCTACATGGGAAGGTCTGTAAATTCTTTTTTTTTTTAAACATAATTTTTTGTGGCTGTGATTCGGAGTGGATATTTTTCCGCATTTATAATTCCATATGATTATTGATATTATTATTACCACTCATCGAATGGAAATGTATAAAGCTTAGGCGGTTTTCAGTTTATCAGCTGTGGAGAACAACAGGGCGCCACCCACATTCAAGCACCCTGTTGATTTAGTTGTTGATCAAAGGCATTAAAAAGAAAATAGTGGGAATTATTTATTTGTTTGGAATTTATTTTCTTAGATTGGATTTCTTTCATATGGGTTCATCGCTCTCATCATCCAGTGCAGGGGATGTTGATCTTTTGACTGCTGACCAACCGGCGTCGAAGTTTCTAGACTTCCCATATATTCTCTCAAATTGATTTCTTCCAGTTTGGTTTCGTTGCCCTCATCATCACCCAATGCATGCATGCAAATCTTCCAAAGTTCCTCTAGTCTCCCCGCATTAACTTTTTGTGCTGTTCTGTGAACATCAGCTCGTTCAAGAAATATATTTATTTTCAGAATTTTTTGTAGATATTAATTCAAATGTGCGCCCATGATTGGGCACGCTAGCTTTGCTTAGCATCTACAATATCATGCGATCATCACCCATATATTATTTTTTTTGTTATTTATGAAAATTAGGCAGCTTGCAACTGGGCTCAACCCAAAGGCCTTAAGCAGAAATTGCCGTCTATATATGTGTTATTTTTTAAAGTTTTTAGATGAAATCAATTTTTCCATACAAATGATTAAATCCGACATGATCTTCTTCATCTTCTTCTTCTTCTTCAGTTAGGTTAGGTGCGGCGGCCACGGCCTTCCTTCACAAACTGCAGAAGGGCATCTCCCCGCTGACCCCCCTCAAGGGATTCGAGAAGAAAACGTACAAGCAGCTGCAGGAAGAGGCCATCGAGAGCAAGCGACGGGACATGGCGGTGCTCCAAGCCAACGACGGCATCTGGCCCGGTGTGAGGACCCCCAGCCACGCCCTCTTCCTCTGGGCCAGCGGTTCTGAACTCACATCCGTCCTGGAAGCAGACAATATGCCCAACAAGTTCATCCCCAAGGAGCTGAGGTCTGCTTCTTCTTCTTCTTCTTCTTCTTCACTGATTTAGGTTTCTCCAATGGAGGGTTTAATGGCTGTGTTTTTCTTTTGTCAAGGAACCGGCTTTCGAGGATCATCCCCGGGCTGAGGCCATGGGAGGTGCTCAGTGTGGAGCAGGCCATGGACAAGATCACCTACGGCGGCGAGTGGTATCGGGAGCCGCTCGGTTCCTACACGACGGGCCCGCCCTACATCCGCCATTGGAACAAGGACGTCAAGGTGCCACCTTCTTCTCTTCTTCTTTGTCTTCGTCTTCGTCTTCTTCTTCTTCATCTTCTTCTGTCTTCGTCTTCTTCTTCTTCTTCTTCATCTTCTTCTGTCTTCGTCTTCTTCTTCTTCTTCTCTCTCTAAACCATAGGATTCTCGCTCCTCTCTGTGCGCAGCGTCTGTTCAGGACCTTCTACAATCTGAGCTACAGGGTGTACAACAAGCTGGAGCGCTCCATCCCCGGCTTCGACGTCGTCATGGAGAGAGTTCGCTCTGACTCGGAGGACAGATACACCCAGCGGAAGGACAAAAGAGACGCCCAGAAGAGGACCGAGGCCGAGGAGGCCATCTATGGCCGCAGAGTCTCCTCAACTCCCCCCTGAGAATCACTTTCTTCTTCCTCCTCCCTCCCACCATCGCTGTTCTTGGCCCGAAGCCCCTCTGGTTCGTCAGGACTGATGGGGGATGATGCTAGGGTTCTGAACGATCGACGCCTTTGGGTGCCTCATTGTTTGAAGATCTTGATCTGTCGATCGACCCTGGAGGAACAGGGGAGAGAGAGAGAGAGAGAGAAGATGAAGCGAGAGCTGGGGATCAGTGAGGTAATGATCTGAGGGGAAAGGACGTGGACGAACTCTTGGTCGTCTTGTTGGCAGAGAATTCATCGACCGATCTCGCTGTGAGAATTTGTACCCTAGGAAAGAGAACAATGGAGATTGAGGGAAGAACCCGGAGGATGAAGAATCAGCGGTTCTTCAAAGGATTATCCCAAGAAGAATACCAAGTTTCGGCAATATTTTTCATACGGGAAGAAGATCGGGATTCACTACGTACAATCTAAGCATCAAAAGCAAGATAATCTTGCAGTCCAACCAAGTCTTTTCCATTCGGATTCCAGACCTCTCACGAGAAATCTTCTTCAGACGTCGAAGAACAGAGGCAATGGGGGAGCACTTCAGAGCGTCTACTTTCTCAGCTCGATCGAACTCGTCGTTCGTGAGGATCAGGATAGACTGCAGGTTGTTCTAAGAAGTGACGGATTTCCATACGAGGTTTCAGGAATGAGGCTGCGAAGTCAACAAAGCAGATCCGCATCCAGAGGAAAAGAAGATTTGAAAGATGGAGGAAAGGAATGGTCGGATCTAGGAGACGAAGATATCGAGATCGGGGGAGGAAAGGGAGAGATTAGGGTTCTTCAGGCTCTCCTGGCCGCCAGGCCTTCTGATGGCGCCATTGCCCCGCTCCATGTGCGCAAACATCGCGTGGTAGGCGGAGGAAACATCGCATTCGACGCTGCGGATTCAACCTTCGGGAAGAACAACGCGCAGATTCCGCTCGGATTGAAGCGCGCAGATCGTCGAAGTTTTTGAAAAGGATGGAGAAATCGCGAGGCATCAAGAGAGATAGTTGGGAGAGCTTGATCTAACGGGAGCGGGAAGGAAAGGTTATATCCACGGTGGATGGCACGTGGACGATCAAGATTAATCCATTCATCCACGTGGATTCCTAGACAGAGAGACAACAACAGATGGCGGAAAGGTTATATCCAGGTTGATGGGACGTGGACGGTCAAGATTAATGGATCCATCCACGTGGATTGCTGTGACACGACAACAGTATATCTGGGAATCCGTTCTATTTTGCAGACGGGTTTTACCTTAGGAGGAAGCTTTCGGAGCAGAGCGAAGGCTTGGGCTCAACGGAGTGGAGGAAGCAGGAGAGGGAGAGGGAAGGCGGCCGGCGAGGGAGGAGGAAGAAGGGGAGAGGAAGCGGATGGTCGGAGGAGCGGCGTGCTCGGATTCCATGGCGGTGGCCACATTTTGCCTCTTCTCCCTTCTGATCTCCCTTCATCTGCGAGGGTTTGGGGCGGTGGAGGTCGGGGTTTACTGGGGGACCGCGTCCTCCCAGCCGCTCCCCCCGGCGGCGGTGGTGGCGGGGCTGCTTCAGGCTAACAATATCAGCCGCGTGATGCTCCCCGACGCCGATCCCCTCGTGTTGCAGAGCTTGTCGGGGACCGGCATTGCGGTGGCGCTGGGGATCCCGAACGAGATGCTCGGCGCCCTCAACGCATCGAGGAAGGCGGCGGAGGGCTGGGTCCACGACAACGTCACCCGCTACGTCTCGGGAAATGCCGGCGCCGGCGTGGTTCGAATCGAGTAAGCCAAGCTCCCATCCCCCTCCCCGGCTTAATCTCTCAATTGCCGTCTCTCTCTCTCTGCATTCCACTATGATATTCATTGCTTACTTCCGAGCGTGAAACTCTCATTTCGTGTGCTGTTGTCCGTCAGAATCCTTGCTCTATTCTCCTCGGTTCTCTCTCTCTCTCTCTCTATGATTGAGAATTTCTCTGTTTGTCTCCTGGCATGGGAAAGAGCGGAGTTTCTGAGCAACCCGTTTGCCTTCTCTTTTTCCTGCTCTGTTCCATTGTTAACTGCTGGACAATCATGAACAACTGCTCGTCCTATTTCCTCGTTCTTTCCTGGTCTTGTCGAGGGAAGGGGATGCAAGCTTCTCTCTAAAACTATCATTTGAAACTATGCTCTACGACGAGTGTTGATTAAAACCAAGGTATTTATTTCATAAAATGCATCACTCTTCTCTCTAGTTTCCCCGAGGAATCATGCCATTTTTCAGTACAATGTACTGTGCATTCCTTTAAATCGAGGAATCACTCTTTCAAATCGAGAGAGCTTATCAGAGGATGAGTGTGTGTTGTCGCATAGGTCATAATCATTGATGCTGAGCTTCATGCAACTCATATTGTATGATTTATCCTACATTTAAAATTAAAAAAAACATTTTATAATTTTTTTCTGATCCATATCCGCGGCGGGCCATGATCGTTCATTATTCATTGATTAACCAGCGGCTTCCTGACAGAAGATCTTTTTCAGCGTCATCTTTGATCATATGGTTTGTTCTTGCAATTATCATGTATCCCGGAGCTAGATCCTTATTCAGTACCGTGTTATATAGTGTAAGATATACAGACGTGGATGTAACATGGTTTTATTATTAATAGTAGTAATAAAAATAATGATAACTAGAAAAATATTCGATCTGGTGTATGGCAGAAAGTCCTTTTATTTTCATGTTGCTGTGCACCTTCTCATATGCTTAATGGAAGATGATTTTATCTCCTGGCGTGTTCATCATGGTGACCCACAGCAGGTGAGGTTCATCCTAGACGCCATCTGGGGATAAGGCTGGAATATATTGATTTATGGGCTGAGCTCAGGTGATGATCAGCTGAATCAGTCGATTTCAGCTGAAAATAATTCTGGCACAAATAATCATTCGTTTTCTTTTTTTATGCTGATTTTAATGGCTCATTGTATGGTTTGACTTTTTATAACGTGATGGTTGTGATGGCATTTTCTTGTGTTAAAATGGGATAGATTTTCCCTCCCTGCTTTTCCCATTTTAGAGGGCGGCGGAAGTCAACGACTTCTGAGTAATCTTTGTGGTCAAGGAGTCTGACTGTATGCGTGGACTTGTTTGTCATTGACCCGCATTGTGTGATCTGCAGGTACGTCGCCATAGGGGACGAACCATTCCTCCTGAGGCACGGAGATAAGTACGGTCCTTTTGTGCAAGGCGCCGCCACCAACATCCGCCTGGCTCTGGCGGCGGTGCCGCTGGCGAGCAGGGTGAAGGTCGTTGTCCCCTGCGGCACGGATGTCTTCGTCGCCAACTCGAGCCTCCCCTCGAGCGGCCGCTTCCGTGCTGACCTCAATAGGACAATGGGTCAACTCCTCCCCTTCCTCAAGGACCAGGGATCGCCGTTCGTGGTCAACATATATCCCTTCTTCATCCTCCAGCAGAATCGGAACTTTACCACGGAGATGGCGCTCTTCCAGCCGGTTCCTCGTCCACTGAGGGATGGCCGTAGCGAGTACAGCAGCCTCTTCGCTGCCGCCATTGACACCCTCGTCTCGTCCCTGTCGGCGGCGGGCTCTGGTGCGATGGAGGTGGTCGTCGGCAAGATTGGGTGGCCCACCGACGGAGCGGTGGCGGCGACAGTCCCCAACGCCCAGATCTTCATGACAGGCCTGCTGCAGCACCTGCAGGGCGGTGGTGGAACCCCGCTGAGGCCCAAGCGGCCGCCGGCGACGGTGTACCTCTTCAGCCTCCTGGACGAGGACCTCGCCGGCGGCGGCAGCGGCAGCGTGGAGAGACACTTTGGCGTCTTCACCTTCGACGGGCAGGCCAAGTACAGCGTCGACCTCGGCCAGGGACCGAGGGCCCTCGACGGAGCAAAGGGAGTGGACTACCTCCCTTCGCGGTGGTGCGTGGTGGACAACAACAAGGACCTGAGCAACGTTTCCACCGCGGCTGCGGCGGCGTGCTCCACCGCTGCGGCGGACTGCAGCACCCTCGCCGCCGGCGGCTCCTGCGGGAACCTCAGCTGGCCGGGGAACGTCTCATACGCCTTCAACAGCTACTACCAGCGGAGCGGGCAGAGCCCCGAGAGCTGCGACTTCGGCGGCATGGGGCTGATCACCACCGTCGATCCTTCGGCCGGCGAGTGCAGGTTCGCCGTGGGGATACGAGCGTCGTCTTCCTTCCCGGCGGCGCTGCTCTTCCCCTGGTGGAGTCTGCTAATGACGGCCCCTCTTCTCCTCCTCCACTAGCCCGTCCGTCTCCTTCCCTTCATGGCCGCAATTTTGTTCTTTCCGAGAGCTTGCTTCTATGAGGATGCAGCCATCTTCGGAACAATTAAATTATTAATGTTTTTTTGTTTTTAAAATCGAGTTTTCTTGGCCACCGGGTGTTGTAAAATCGCGTTATTATACATTATAATTTATTTAACCCCACGAAATTGGGCATTTAATCTCTGTTAGTATTTTTTAGTAAATAAAATATTTCATTTTATAAAATAGCCTCGCCCTCGTCGAATTATCTCATCTTCGGAGAAATTAATTATCTAAGTTTTTATTTTTTAAAATAAAGATTTCGTGGGGTTAAATAATTAACCAATGTGACTTATTTACCATGTGAAAACAACCATATAATCGCTGCTGTTACTTTTATTAAAAAAATATTTAATTTTATAAATAAACCTCACTCTCGTGGAATTATCATTTTAATTTTCTATTTTTGCATAATTAGTAAATATATCTTATGGCGTGAATATCTCAGAGAGTGGGTATTTTGTTTTTCGTATAATTCGTCATTTGTCGCCCTAATTTTTTCTTTTTATGGAAATTCACCGACGGGATTATGCTGATTTTTAAAATGGTCATTTTTATTTTCGGGAAATAACCTGCCAGACTGGAGCGCGTAGGTATAAATAACAAGGCGGGAGATTGTAGCAGGCATTTTACGACGTTCTCAGGTTGTCGTCAAGCTCGGAGGAGTTCTCTTGCTCCGGCGGACGAAGCGAGAACCGGAGGTTGGTGGCATCATGTTCTCATGCACTGGTTGTACCGTCGTCTTCTTCTTGCCGTACAGGTTTTTCTTTCTTTTCTTCACTCTGAATGCCCCTAGGGGAATCTGTCTTCCGAGACCGAACGACAAGTGGAGGTGCGACCAGTCATCTTCCCATGCTCTGCTAGCCGTTCCCTTCTCTTCGTCCTGCTGTTCAGAATCCCACCGTCTTTCGCTAAAAATGTCTAGATTGATCCCTGAGAGGATCTGTCTCTTCACCTAGATTCCTCCGTATTCTATACGACAAGGATACGTAGTAATCCTGAGAATATCTTCATTTTCCGCGTCGGAACGGAGAAACTTATTCGCGTCCAGTTATTTTTCCTTCCGCTGATTGGTATACCATCTTGTTCCTTTTGGTCCTCATTCCCCTAGTCTTCTCCACTGCAGATGTCCACATTAATCTCAGAGGGGATATCCTTCTTCCGCGACCGAATCGAGAAGCGGAGGTACGAAAAGTTATTCTCCCATTGCCTGATTGTTCCATCCTCTTCTTCATGCCGTCCGTATCCCTCTCGTCTCGTTCTCTTGTCCTCTGCCTCGTGATCCCTTACCTTCTCTTTTCAGATTTGGCGAGGAAACACTTCGCATCTTGGAGTCGGTCTTAGCTTCGAAGGATGTGAAGTCTCTAACTGACATCCGGTCAGTGCTGCGTGAGCTCCTCAGGTCTGAAGCGAAATTTGTCCTGCAAGAAATGGCCGGGAAAGTCACTTATCAGAAGCTCTTCGTCGTGGAGTTTTTAATTCAGGCCTTTGCTCTTTTAGGAGACGTGGAGGCGAGTAGCTAGTCCACATCCCCCTGTTGAACCTCTTTCGACTTCCTTGACTCAGTTGGAGTTTCTTTTGCTCTGATGGCTCGGTGTTTCTTAAGATTTTCGATATCCTATCACCTTGGGCTTTTAGATACACAATGAACTAGGGATATCTTCTTGTTTCCACTGAAGATAGTTCACTTGCTTTGGCTTCCGTTGGACGATCAGGAGATTAATAATCCTTAAGCATATAACATGTTTGATGCTAGAGGTTCTTTATTTCACTCTAAGATGCAGCAAGATGCAACCTGGAGTCGGATAATCTACCATCTGTTCTTCCAAAATGGCGACATGGTCCATGCAATATCTATAAAAAGGTCAACAGAAGAAAGCGGCCCATAACAGGCCCACTCAGGGGAACGTATAGATGTGTTACATCAGAGCATAAAGACGAAGGCTATTCTAGGAATCAGGCCAAGACTATTTGGCGTGGATTCATTGTTCTTTTTATACCTTAAAATGAAGATCGATTATCTCATTTATTTGCACTAAAAAAATAGTCTTCAAAATATACATCAATTTGTGCACTTATTACTTTCTGCTTTACTGTTACCTAGAGTTGCTTGGCACTGAAATATGAAGCCCTTGTTCTACGAGAGCTGGAGTATATGTCTGATGATTCTCTGCACGTGCACTGTGAAGAATGGTTAACTTTTTCTGAAGATTCACTAGACAACGGCTATTATTCAATTGCGCTAAAGGTAAACACTTTTCTTTTGGAGGATTTTAGAATTATCTCCAAGGATTATCTAAACTTTGTTAAGCGTATTCGAGTTTCGTTTTCCATGAATACCCTTAAGTTAGCCACATTATCTCGTGGTAGGTTTTTATGTTTTCCGGTTGCATGCTTTCTGCTGCATTAAATTGACATCTTATTGAATGCTTACTTCTTCAATAAATAATATATCTTCTCTATTCAAAACCTCAAGTTTAACTCCCTGGAAATTTATTCATTTTTAGGGATTAAATAATGCGCTTTCCTCAATGCAAACCGAGGATCATGATACTTTTGGTGTAGAGGTGCAGACGGTCAGAAAAATCAAGGAACTCAGGCATAAGGTTCAAGAATTAATCTCTCCACACTCTGGTAAGTTCTTGTGCCATCCCCCTCACATCATGATGGTTTACTAATGGATATGGCTTCCTATTTTCCATCCCTTTATTGTCGTGTGATTTGCATTTTTATCATAAACACTTAGTTAGGAGCCATAATAATGTTTTTATATTTTCAAATAAAGAAAATAACCTTTCAAAATGGACATTAAAGTTTACAGGCCACTGCGAATGATCTTCTCCCTTTGGTCGTGGAGCACAAACTCTTGGGACTAAAGGGAAAATCCACTTATTAATGAGAGAAGACAGTCTTCGCAGCGTGCCTGTTTGTTTGGCTGCAGAGCTCAAACTCTCAAGATGCCTTGCTTTTGGGCGAAATTAATTTGCCGAGAGTCTCATTTGTAAGGGATCCTCTCACATTACTTACAAATCTTAAGCTGTCTACAGGCCTTTCTCTTTCCACAAGCCGAATCCCGCTTTGTAATGGGCAATTCGCCTTGGGAATGACCAACTATATCCCCATAATTGTTTTGCTTGCTTGATTTCTGATATCTTCAGTGGAGGCATCCTCTTCTCTTGTTAATAAGCTCAGCTACGAATTGTTGATCGGATATGGATTATTGATTCTGAAGCCTAGGATCCATTAAATTGGGGCTGTCCTATGAGCATTTTCCTTCTTTTAGAAGAGCAGTTGCCCTGCCTGATTCAACCTCGATGTATAAATTTATTTTTCTGTAGCGGTTCCTTGAGAAACCGACTCAATTTCATGTAAAAAAAATTTGAATATATTATCAACGTGTAAATACCTTTGTCTCTACCCCCAATTTATGTGCTGTATTTCTTTCTCGAATCCTAATAAAAAGAATCTTGAGATGATGAAACCCATTTAACAACTATCTGATTTAAATTCAGCGGATGATTTCAATAGGGTGAGTAAATGGATGAACTATTGGTTCAAGGGGTTTAATTTTCCACCATATATTTAGGCACAATAAAGAGGGACATGCTCGAGGCTAGATTATCGGAAAGTTCACGTGATTAGAGAGTGGTGCACCTAGAATGTTGAACGATGGTGTGACGCATCTTGGACGGAAAGAGGTGAGCTGATAGAAGGGACAATCATTGGCATCTTGATGATCATCTCACGATGAGTGTCTGGCCTTGCACACATTTGAAGTCTGGACAAGGTAAAACGAGAATTCCAATCGATCCTTAGGATCCTTCCCTCTCATAGTAGGTACCAATAGACTATCTTATTAATTTCCTGCGAAGGTGAATGCTTTCTAGATTCCTTTCATATATCATCTCTATGTCTCTGAGAATATACTGGCGCATATCCCGTACTGATGGTGAACTTCTTCCTCTGTGCGTGTGTGTGTGTGTGTATGGTTGGCGCATACAGTTAGTTGTCTGACCCCAGACATCATAGGGGTTCAGACCCAGAATCCATTTTCTGGGGTTTTCTCTGAACCCGAGCCGTTATTCAGGACACATTATGGCTTCTATTCTGTTTGAACATTGCAATCACTTCATATCTTTTGTATTGATTTAACGCGGTTTTTCTTGGCCATTGGGTCCATCAGTTCGGGCAAAGGCGGCTGATTCCCTGAAGAGGAAGGCGATCCGTCATGAACAGGAAGAGCAGGACTCGTGTTCGTCTGGTCCACGGTTCCCTGCGAGCTTGTTATTCAGAAGCGGTCTCAGAACGAGAAACGAGCACAAACTACGAAGGAGCCGGGAGCTGACTCACAACATCGACTGACAGCGGATCTTCTTGGCTCCTGGTCTGGTGAAGATGTGGCCTCTACTTTCCCTCTCCTTTATCCGCACTGCAGGTCGTTTCTCACCCTTTCTCCAATCTGGACTAGTTTAATCTCGAGACGCTTCCAGGGTTGCGCAGAGTAGGAGCCCTTTTTTTTGGCCAAAATTAGGCCTTCTAGTGATCACTGCACAGTCACGTGTGGTTAGCCTTGGTTAATTCAACTGTGTTCTAACTAATCTTGTGGGTTAAGCTGCTGCCCGCTGACTATCGGTGTGGGATGACCTCCATCCGGTGGTATCATGCATTTCACATGCAGCAGCTAGGTGTGGTCTTAAAATGCGAGACTTCCCAAAACGACCGTCAACAAATCTCTCACGAAGCCGAAGACGGCGATTGCCGTGGTCAACGCTTTTATGGAACAGAGGACGCGACGAATTAGGTAGCCTTGGCTTCCTTCTCATTGAGCGACTGCCGTGGAAGAAGAGAGCGAAGGGCGAGAAGAAGGAAACCGATCTTGCTGGATGTGTCCCTCAATCGGGATGAATTTCGTTGATGGCTGGATCAACCTTCTCAGAGAAGTCTTAGCCTTTCTGTGCTGGTTGCCTGGAGCTGGCTGGCGCCTACTGGCGGCCCTGTTCGCCGGCGCTGCCGAAGGGAGCTCGCCTGGACCCAGGATGGATGATCAGACGGACCCTTCGAAGCCCTCTGTGCCCGTCTCCTTCCCCGTCAGGGACCTGGAGTCTCTGGCGTCGGGGTCCTACCTGGAGTCCTTCCACTACCCCTTCATCAAGGCGTCGGTTCCCCTCTCCACCGCTGCTGCCGGTGGGCTTCCCCCCCGGCGTAGGCTTCTCGTCTGCCACGACATGGCGGGTGGATACGGAGACGATAAGTGGGTCCAAGGGGGATCCAACCCCGACGCCTACGCAATTTGGCACTGGCACCTCATGGATGTGTTTGTGTACTTCTCCCACAATCTGGTCACTCTGCCGCCGCCGTGCTGGATGAACGCCGCCCACACGCATGGCGTCAAGGTGCGCGATCCTCTCTTTCTTTCTCCATCCTTGATTACGCATGGCTTTACGTCGTAGCTCCCATTGTTTGGCCATATGGCAGGTCTTGGGAACGTTCATCACAGAATGGGACGAAGGAAGAGCGGTTTGCCGGAAATTGCTGTCATCGAAGGATTCAGCTCGGATGTATGCTGAGCGGTTAGTGGAGATCTCCACCTCACTGGGCTTTGATGGTTGGCTGGTAAATTCCCTCTTCGTTCCCCATTGCCCTGCTACAGTAGTTTGCGATGCTTCGGTTCATTGGTCTTATTCGTACAATATGTTTCTTGTACATTACCGAAAAAACTGATAGCGATTCAATTTGTGAATCTTTGAAAACCATTGGTTCATCATTGTAAAAGGTTCGTGTGCTGCTTTCTTCCGAGTATTAGGCTATTTCAAGAATGCCAATATGTGAATCGGGAACACAAATAGGTATGCATGTCTTTGTTAGGAGCGATGAGATTTCCTCGATTTAGTTTTGGAGAGTTTGGAGCATAATAGCGAAACACAATTTGTGTCCTAACCCGGGTTCATTTTTTTTAGTGAGTTTTCTAAGGTCGAAATATGCTAAAAATGAAGGTAATATGATAAAGTTTTGCTCTTTGAAGTTACAAGCTAAGATTTATGTGTATAAATTAGGCTTTTATGAGTGCACGAATTCAATCAAGGAACTGCGCGTCAACATTGACGTCTAAAAATTCTTAGCTTGTAACTTCAAAGAGCAACTAAGTGACAACGGACCAATTTGTGTCAGCTCGTCGACATCTAGGCCTATGAATAAATAATAGGTTTTGACGAGTCACAGACATGTCCCGACACATCAAGTTCAAAATAGAACTGTATTGTATGAAGTAAACATTCGTCTCAACAATTTTGGAGGATACGTTGACAACCTACTTTACTGATAAGCGTCGACACTTACAGAGTAGTAATTGGAAAATAAAAGTGAAATCCAAAGAGATCGTTGGGCCTTTTTTTTTAGGCACCTTGGGTTTTTTCAGGTCACAATTTACGGTTCAGTCAATGCTTATAAACTAGTCATTGTAGTGCGAAAAATCCAAAGTTCTCAACTTCTTTAGTCTCTCTGGTTCCTCCATTTAAGGTGGGAGGTTCTATTTCAAGATCGTTAAAGCTTTTGAAACCGGAATTATTTTCTGGCTTCCTCCATTGTTTTGCAAGATGTTTGTTTCGTTTTTCATTTGTTCCTTGTGATATAGGAGCAAACCTGCTATTGAGCAATGCCTGGTTCAAAGTGAGAAGGTTCGGTCTACATCTTTAGAGAATTAACTTGTTGGTGTTGGTAACCTAGTGAAAATCTCGATGTGAACTTAACAAGTCAAGAAGTTCCGGGGTTGGCTTGTGATTGCTTCATGCCTCGATTTGCTTTAGTTTGCACAAGGGAATCGCATCTCATATAGTTCTGCCATTTCAGTCCTACAGCTCATTACCTAGGGACAACAACCTTATGTGATTCTACCGATTTCTCTTGCTTGCTTCTGAAATGCAGTTCCCTGAATATACAGTTTTGCCTTTGTTGCAGATAAATATGGAGGTCGAGCTTGACTTGATGCAGATACCGATCTTGATGGAATTCCTCAGTCATTTAACTCAAACCATGCATGCTGCTGTCCCTGGATCACTGATCATTTGGTGACTTGAAGACTAAATATTTTTCTTATAATGCTTAATTTTTAATAGTGCTAAAAGTCTTCGGTATTTCACTTCCATAAAATCCAATCTTTCTGACGCAGGTATGACAGTGTGACTAAGTATGGGAAGCTTCGTTGGCAAAATATGCTGAATGTGAAAAACAAACCTTTTTTCGACCTATGTGACGGGATATTTATCAACTACACATGGGCGGTATGTCACTGCACGATTTCTGGTGGAAATCTATTTTTTAGTCTTTTTTGTTGATCTGAATCCTAGTTGTTTGATTCTGCAGGAAGATTACCCAAAACTTTCGATTGCTTTTGCTGGTGACCGCAAGTTCGATGTGTACATGGGCATTGACATTTTTGGCAGAAATACATATGGTGGAGGAAAGTGGGATGTATGTCATCAGAAACATGTCTTCTTCTGGTATTGAAATTATCTATTTTGAAGAGGACTCGTTCTGTTCGTTTGTTCTTTTTCATTCGCTAATAAAGAATCTGGTTTTGGGGCATCTGCCTTGTCTTGCAAAGCAGATGATACTCTAATCTTTCACTGGATAAAATACATAATTTTTTCGCTTCCATTGTAGTCTTTTTGAGGGCTTTTTTAGCCTGTACCAGAAATTTGGTTTCTCCACGCTAGTAAAATGCTGACATTGAAGTAGATTTTTTTTGGACCGAGTAAGGATTTCCATTTCCTATTATGTAACCTGTTTTATTTATTTCTGATAATTTCAGACAAATGTTGCACTCGACCTATTGAAGAAAGTAGATATTTCAACTGCAATTTTTGCACCTGGCTGGGTCTACGAAACCAATCAGGAACCTGACTTCCAGACAGCACAAAACCGGTAATGTCCAGAAATGGTATTTGATTTGTTTGTTGTATTATTTCCTTTTATCAAAATGGTCGAGGAAGATACCACGGAATCAAACTTGGTTATTTGATATATATTTTTTTTCATTGAATAATTGCTGTTTGTTGTTAACCAAGTACAAAATCTTCATCTCACTTGTTGCATTCGGGAAATTTCAATATCCAATGTATTTATTCATTAAAAAGCTACTATGCATAAGAAAAATGAGATTTTGATGGTCTTTTGCTGTATTATCCTGAAAATAATATTTATTTTAGATGTCGGTTAATTTTTATCATGTTCTTCCAACCTGTCGTAAACTGTTTCAATTTTTCCAAAAAGCCCAGACAAAATAGGGATTCATTGTTTGTACCTGAGAGTGGAGGGTGGGGTGGGGTGGGGCGGGGTGTTGTGGTTTCCTCCAACTGTCTGGGAATTTGTCAGGGCTGTCTTGACGTCAAGCAAACTTGTGCTCTACGCCAGTGGAAAAATCGTCCTAACTTGGAATTTTGCAGGTGGTGGGAACTTGTTGAAAAGTCATGGGGAACGATGCGAAACTATCCCAGATCATTGCCATTCTACTCGGACTTTGATCAGGTTGGTGGCTTGAATAGTTCAAGAATTTATAATAATTTCCATATTCGAACCTAATTTGAAAATCCATGATTCTCCTTTTCCTCGTTCACTGCTACTAGTAATTTTATTATGAAAAGTTTTCCTGTAAATGAATTAGTGTAGCGGCCGTGTCTTTAAAGCTCATGCGATCCATCACGCAACATCATTGTATAGTGGCATAGATTCAATGCTGTTTGTTCCCAAAAAAAGTAAAAAACAAGTCATTCTTCTGCAACGAGCAACATCTCCCACATAATTTCCCATCGAATATATGTTCTATGATGTAATTTTTTTCATGTTTAGTGCGGGCAATCTGTTGCTAATTTGAGTTCTAACTATTAATCAGGGCCATGGCTATCATTTCTCAATCGAAGGCCTGAGAGTAGCCGACGCACCTTGGAATAATATATCTCGTCAAACCATACAGGTATTTTATTAGACATTGTTTAACCGAGAACACCTCAAATCTCTTCTGATGACCGGACCGGTTTGACCTCACTGTTTCTTCTTTTCCCTTCTTCTCCCCCTTGCAGCCTGCTCTTGACCCTCCCGTTGACTCTGCCAAACCCCCGATTCAAGTCCAAAGGAAGTAAGCTCGTTGCTTCTGTTCGATGAGATCATAGAAACATTAGCTAATTTATCCTCTTTCTCATCATTCTAGCTTCTCGGGTGAGTCCTACGGCGGAGGAAGCAACCTCACCTTTACAGGGACTCTCAGCGACGGCTTGATCTTCAAGACGAGGCTTTTCCTCGTGGAGCTCCCACTGGGAGATCTTCCCCTCCATATCTCATACTCTGTGAGTACCCACCACCCCCATCTCCACTATATAATCATCAAAATACTCAATGACCATCTACCTTCTTCCTGGTCTCCTCCGCAGGTGAGGTCTGAGGGGAGCTGCATCCTGGGCCTCTTACTCTCGTTGACTTCGAACCATGGCGGAGAGGGATTCTCCATCCTTGTTGCAGAAGGCGGCCGGTCCTCCCTCCCGGTCAACCTCCAGACCCAGCTCGATCAAGTCCTTTCCCCTTCGCCTCTGCCCAGGGCCTCGGGATGGACCCTGCGAGAAGCCCTCATCGAGAGGCCCCACCATACGATGACTGAAATCCATGCAGTTTGCTGCATGAAACCTGAAGGCAGCGGCGGCGGTGCCGCCTCACGTTCCTTCTACGCAGAGCTGGGGCACCTGACCATCAGGGACTCCCGGAGGGACCTCCCGCAGGCCTCCTCCTGGCCGGTTGTCTGCGAGAACGTCTCCTGGGCCGCGGCCGGCGCCGACGGAAGGAGGGCGGTCAGCGCCGAGATCTCTTGGCGCCTGGGGGAGGGAGTTGACTTCCCGGCCATGTGGTATAATATATTTGCTCGCAGGTTAGCGGATGGGGAAGATGATGGGGATGATGATGGTGATAATGATGATGGGGAGGGCTTCCTCGGGGTGACGAGATTGGAGAGGTTCTTCGTGTCTGATCTCAAGGTTCCCGCCGGCGCCGTTGCCGTCAGATTTATCATTCAGGTATGCGGACCTGATGGAGCTTGCCAGAAGCTGAAGGAGTCCCCCAATTTTGATCTGCCAGTTGAAGAAGGCTAAGATCCGGCCTTTACCCCAGGTGAGCTATACCCTCTCTCTCTCTCTCTCTCGATTCAGGATGAGCACATAGACATCCCTTTCGCTTCACTGTGGCACTGTTCTTGGGCGTTTGTGTGAATCGTCCGCGATGAATACGACGGGAGCGGGAGGGGAAGGAATCTCCTTTCGAGTGCCCCTCCCGGCCATGCATCTGGGCGTTGTAAGTCAACGGGTCGGGCTGGACCGGGCCAAACCCTCACCTATTTATACACCCATTCAAAAACATTTAAACCGGCATCCCACCCTGCCAAAATAAATTTCTAGTCCTTTTTTTGGATTTTTTAAGGGTTTCCACGCCAAGAATTAATCCACATAATTCGCAGTAAATTCTGCCGGACAAAAAATGGGCTCTCAATTTAGCTAATTCGTTTGCGATAAGTAATAACTAAAAATGTATAAAACAAGACTCGATCCCGTTTTAATAATTAAAATCACGAAATCCGAATCTGGCTGATCACGCTGCGGAACGTCGAGTTGCGAGACGTGTACCAAAAAAATCGGCGGGAGGCCAGCAGATGAGCCCGAAAGTATCGGTCTTTGTTCTCTTGCGGGCTCGATGGCGTCCGCCGGCGGGGAAGCTCCGGCCATCCTGCTCGGTGGCCCGGCATTTCTCCGATGTGACACTGCCCACTCCCCCGCCGCCCCCTCCCCTCCGCCACAAGAATCCCTGCTACACCCAGATGAATAATTCGCATGGCGACAACTCCCCCCCCTCCCCCATTCGACAACGATCACCAGATACCATCTCCCCCCCGCGTCTTCGGCTGGTTATTAATGGCGTCGATCCCACCGCCTTCCTCCCCACAACCATGGCCGACGCCTCCGCCAAGTTCCTCCCCGGGGACCTCCTGACGGCGGCGGCGGCCGCCGAGGCCGCCGCCGCCCACGACGGGCTGATATTCTGGCAGTGCATGGTGGCCGGCTCCGTCGCCGGGATCGTAGAGCACACGGCCATGTTCCCAGTTGACACCTTGAAAACGAGGATGCAGCAGGCTCAGGTCCTCCGCCGCCCGCCGGAGACTGGTCTCCGGCGGGCCCTCGCCGCCGTCGTGAGGGCGGAGGGCCCCCTCGCTCTCTACCGCGGCGTCGCTGCCATGGCCCTCGGCGCCGGCCCTGCCCACGCCGTCTACTTCTCCGTCTACGAGGTCTCCAAGGAGTTCCTCCTCGCGAAGGGGAGCCCCAGCGGCGGCGCGGTGGCCCACGCCGCCGCCGGCGTGGCGGCGACGGTGGCCAGCGACGCTGTGTTTACGCCGATGGACACCGTGAAGCAGCGCCTCCAGCTCAAGAACAGCCCCTACCGGGGGGTGGCCGACTGCGTGGGGCGGATAGTGAGGGAGGAAGGCTTTCGCGGCCTCTACGCCTCCTACCGCACCACGGTGCTGATGAACGCGCCTTTCACGGCCGTCCACTTTGCCACCTACGAGGCTGCAAAGAGGGGCCTCTCGGAGCTCTCGCCTCAGAGCGCCGGCGACGAGCGGCTGGTCGTGCACGCCACGGCGGGCGCCGCCGCCGGAGCGCTGGCGGCCGCAGTCACCACGCCGCTTGATGTGGCGAAGACCCAGCTGCAGTGCCAGGTGCGTTTCTTCTACCTACTCCATATCTGATGAACACGAGGAGCAAAGATCTAGGGGAAGTACGAGACGATTCATTGATTTTGCAGAAGTCGCTGATCATCGGATTGTCCTCCACCCGAACAGGGAGTTTGCGGGTGCGACAGATTTTCCACCAGTTCGATCGGAGAGGTCCTGCGGAGCATCGTGCGGAAGGATGGCCTCGCCGGGCTCTTAAGGGGGCTGAAGCCGAGGATGCTCTTCCACGCTCCCGCCGCCGCCATTTGCTGGTCCACCTACGAATCGTCCAAGTCCTTCTTCCAAGACCTAAACGACGGCAAGCGTCCACCTTGTTCTTCGTCGTGAGCAGAGACCCGCCGACGGCGAGTTCCGGCCGGCTTCGTGGGCCCTTCTTCTCCGACGCCGGGGAGGAACCCTAACTCGGGGATGGTGGATCACACGCCGGGAATATGCTGTTCCCGGTGCTTAGCCATCTCCGACCGTGCCACCTGCTCTCCTTGATCTGGGTATCCCTCTCAGAGGCACTAGATGGCGAGCATTAGAGGGAGAAAGGACGGAAGCGGAGCCCTTCTTATAGTCGCTGTGTTGCTTTCTCCCTGTAAGATAGATTTTCTCTATGATGTACAGTAAAAATATGCAGTCCCCCCCCGCGTGTTCTTCCGGCGCAAGGGGTAGGGGGGGGGGGGAGGACACAAGAGGGCCGGGCCTGATTGCGAAGCCCGAGCCCGAAAATGAGCTGGCCTTGACAGTGTCAGCAGCATTCCTAGTTTTTTACGAAGGATAGATCTTTAATTTTACGTCACTTCTGGCTGTGTCTGTCTCCGAATTTTTGTACACATTGTTCGCGGTACCTACAGATTCTTTTTTCAAAAAATCTGTTGCCTTTGTTCGCACGATGGTTGACCTCCGACCTCTTCACGTGACCTACATAAATGCGGTGAGCAGTCGGCGTGATTACTAGATGTGATGCCGTGTGACATCAAATTCGGATCATCATCATCAGCGAAAGAGAGAGAGAGAGAGAGGCAGCCATTGTCGACCTTCCCCGATGCAGACAGATCGAAAACACGCGTGCTTCAGCTCGAATCATGGCGGACTTGCGGGAGCAATGATGGCCGTCGGCGGGAGGGGGCGGCGGCGTGGGAGTGAAGTCTCGAGGCCATCGACGGCCGGGGCCCAATTCATCGGCGACTCGCCGACGAGCCTCCTCCCACCTCCTTGCGGCCGAGAGCTGCCACTGCCAGCGCGGAGGCCGTAGTGGCGGCACGCGGCCCTGCGCACATTCTGGCGGCGCTGCCGCCGCCACCTAACTCCCACCCACCTCAACCGTTGACTGAGCGATGAGAGGGGGCCAGCGAGAACAACGGCCGCCTTATTAAACAGAGAGAAGTTGCACCAGTTCAAAGCCCCTCCTCCCCTCCCCTTCTGGGTCGAATAAAAGGAAGGTCCTTTGCTTACCTACTTCACCTGTTCCATTACCCTCCTCGCCCTATTCTTATTTTTTTCTTAAAAAAAATTAGGGTTCGGTGGGGTTGCGCGCCTGTTGATGGCTGACCGGGCGAGTCTGGACATGAGTTTCAGCGTCGACCCTTCGGGTGACATCTCTCTCGATCTGGGTCGCAGCCACCCGGTTTGACCCTGTCATGGACTGAAGCCAACTTCTCTCTCTAAACGGAGCTCTGACCTCGAAGGCTTCCAGAGGAAAGATATTTGTGAATCTTTCTCTCTCTCTCTCTCCCCTAGTCCATGGAGGCCGTCATTCTTCTCCTGAACCACACACATGCGACTCGGGGTGGCGAGGCCCGCAAGTTGGTGGAATGAATGTGGAGGGGGGGTGAGGAATTCGGGCCGCCTCTCACTGTCTCGCGGATCCAGACGGCCGCTTCCAGCTCGAGCGCCGCCTGCGGGCGGAAAGCCCCACCGCCCACCTGTCGCCGCCCCCCTCCATCGTGTGGTTTAACTCCAGGGAGGGCCCCTTCTTCCCCACCAGAGGTAGCATCCCATCAGCGGAGGGTCCCCGATGAAGCCCCCATCCTCCTGGAAAACCAGTCGGTGCCCCTCCTGCATCGTCCCCCTCGCCTTCCTCGTCTTCATCGCCGTCGTCTACTTCGAGGACTTCTCCTGCGTCCTAAGGCCCTCGCTCCAGCCCCTCCAACTGCTCCACTCCGCCAGCGGCGTAGAAGGTAGGAAGCCGTATTTACTTGTCGGTAGGAGAGCCCTAGATGGATGTTCTCTCTCACCAGAGTGATATCTCGTTCCCGTCGCAGAGGAGGAGGGCGGCGGCGGCGGCGGCGGGTGGCCGTTCGCCGTCGGCGAGACGCCGGCGAAGTGCGATCTCTTCTCCGGCGAGTGGGTCTACGACGAGGCCTCCCGCCCTCTGTACCAGGAGGAGGAATGCCCCTACATTCAGCCGCAGCTCACCTGCCAGGAGCACGGCCGTCCCGACCGGGGCTACCAGCACTGGCGGTGGCAGCCCCGCGGCTGCTCCCTCCCCAGGTTCGTTCTCACAGAGAAAATTCGTCCCTGTAAATCTTCAATGGCCGGCGAATGACGAGGCGGCGGCGCAGGTTCAACGCCTCTCACTTGCTGGAGATGCTCCGGGGGAGGAGGATGCTCTTCGTCGGCGACTCGCTGAACAGGGGTCAGTTCTCCTCCATGGCGTGCCTGCTCCACCGCGTCATCCCCGAGGGGGCCAAGTCCATGGAGACCTTCGACTCCCTCACCGTCTTCCGCGCTAAGGTGCCCGCCGCCGGTCTCCGGCGGAGTTTCCTTCCTTCTTCTTCCCCCAAAACTCCGCTGACGTCGCCTGAGCGACACTGTGTCAGGAGTACAACGCCACCGTGGAGTTCTACTGGGCGCCGTTCCTCGTCGAGTCCAACTCCGACAACGCCATCGTCCACCGGGTGACTGATCGGATCGTCCGCGCAGGGAACATCCGCCGGCACTCCCGCCACTGGGAGGGCGCCGACATCATCGTCTTCAACACCTATCTCTGGTGGATGACCGGCGCCCCCATGAAGATCCTGTAACAATCGACCCTTCTTCTTCTTCTTCTTCTTCTTCTTCTCCTCCTCCTCCTCCGACTTCGTCTTCTGAAACCGCCGCCGATCGCTCCTGCAGGCGGGGGCCATTCGGCGGCGACATGAAGAACATCACCCTGATGGAGACGGAGGCGGCGTACAGGACGGGGCTGAGGAGCATGGTCAGATGGGTGGAGCGGCACATGGATCCTCGCAAGAACAGGGTCTTCTTCGCCACCATGTCGCCCTCCCACGAGACGTCTGCACTCTGCAATCCCCCTTCCTCTTCTTCCTCTTCTTCCTCTTCTTCTCCGGGTCGAATTAACAGTCCCGGCGCCGGCGTCGGTGCAGGGGCTCCGACTGGGGCGGGTCGCCGGAGGAGAACTGCTACAACCAGACGGCGCCGATCGCCGATCCAGGCTACTGGGGGAGCAGCACCAGCAAGAGCATGATGAGGGTCCTGAAACAGGTTCTGGGAAATTCGAGGTTCCCCATCGCCGCCCTGAACATCACGCAGCTGTCGGAGTACCGCAAGGACGCTCACACACAGATCTACAAGCGGCAGTGGAGCCCGCCGACGGCGGAGCAGCTGGCCAACCCCAAGAGCTACGCCGACTGCGCCCACTGGTGCCTCCCCGGCCTCCAGGATACCTGGAACGAACTCCTCTACGCCAAGCTCTTCTTCTTCCCCTAGCCACCGCTGTGGCCGGCGGAAGGAGAAGTCTCTTCGCCGGCGAGATCGTCGCTGGGCGTGTTCCCTCCGAGGGGGCTTGATTGAACGAATTAAGGCCACATCTTTTTCCATTTTTTCTTTCAGGCATCCACGGTAGCGTCATTAGTTGGCTATTATTCTTTCAAATTTGGTTTCTCCGTCAATTTGCCGTCTATGATTTCTGGAAAATTAGGCCTCTAATGGGGTACTCAGGACGCTGCTCCGACGGGAAGGATCATTTGTGGGTCCAAACTAAAGAGAGAGAGAGAGAGAGAGAGTAAGATGGGTTTATTAGAGAGATAGAGATAGAGAGAGAGAGAGAGAAATGGGTTTATTAGAGAGATAGAGAGAGAGAGAGAGAGAGTGGGAGAGAGAGAGATGGGTTTATTAGAGAGGTAGAGATAAAGAGAGCGGGGGAGAGAGAGAGAGAGAGAGAGAGAGAGAGAGAGAGAGAGAGAGAGAGAGAGAGAGAGAGAAGGTTTCCTCAGTTCAACCTGAATGAATCTCCTTCCTCAAGAAGAGCCCCACCCTGGTTACCCCCTCTGAAACCCTTCTCCAATATCATCATCAGCATCATCATCATCATTATCATCATCATCATCTTTCATCACCCTGGTTAATCCTCTCCTTCTATCTTCTCGCATCAATCTCAGGCTCAGAGCGATAAAAATGCTTCACCAACACAGCATTCTTCATCCAAGGAACATCATCCCAACATCTTCTGAGTTGGATTAATGTCAGCTCGCATTCATCTCCTCCGGCATCACCCTCAGATTTACTGAAACAAAAAACTCCTGCCACAAGCAGACATCCCAACAATGAACATGGCAAGAGGCTCTGATTTCTTCCAGATCTCTGCTACCCTCCCTCATGGCATTCATTCACAGTCTGACTCATGGGATCACCATCTTGCTAGGGTAGAAACATAGAAACAACAAGGGAAGACATGATCTTGAGTGGAAAATCCTCATCCTGTTATTCATTCTGATATTCAACAAGGGAAGAATATTCTGATACTTTGCTAAAAAATGGCATCGAATTATTGTGGAATCATCCAACATCTCCATCAAGCTCGTCAGATTCTGCTTTTGCTGTAAACCTTCTCAACCTATACTCAATCTTCCTGCTCCACGCAATCTACACTCAATCTTCCTGCTCCACCAACCCGAGATGATCATGAAATTTTATAGAAATAGATTTAATACCAACGATTTTTTTTTTATTTGTGGTCTTCCGATGAGTGAAGATCAGTCAGTAGAAGGGAACAAAAAAAAATCGATTTCTCAAGCAACCCATGATCTATTCTATGCCCCAATGGCCAATTGTCACTGCTTGTCAGCAGGATTATGAAAAATATTTTCAGGATCACAGCATGAGATTCAACACAGTGAGAAATTCCAGCCGAGGAGATGGAAAGAGGAGCAACATACCCACCATGGGCGCTTCACCGGAGTTTCTCCTTCCCGACGTAACTCTTGGCTGCCTCCCTGACCTGATCGACGTAGCCATCAATCGGCGGAGTTAGGGTTGCCATGAACCTATTTACAGGGAATGGCGTCAAATCGGGGATCATGGCCGCCGCCTTCAGGTGCTCCGGCAGCGCCTCGATCGCCTCCTTCTTCAGTCGAAGGAGTGTAGACTCAGCGGCCTGCCGTGCTCGGTGTCTCCTCATCAGAGATCGGCTGTACTCCCTCGCCAGACGCCTTCCGTCCTGTACGGTGAGCTCGTACTTGGGGATCGCCTCCACATCCACCAACCCCAACGAGATCAAGTCGAAACCAGGCGTCCCCATCAGTACGCGCTCCTCCTGCTCTGAGGATCCCTTCTTGGCCGCGGCCTTCGCCGAGTCGATCTCCCGCTGCCTCTCCTTGCTGATGAGCCCCAACTTCTCCCGCTCGGCTTCCCGCTCCCGCTGCCTCACGGTCAAATGGCGGATTGGGGTCGGGGCAGTGAGACACGAATCCACCATCCGGTTGAAGCGGTCAGCGGAATCGTTGCCAGATCGGCCGCCGCCGCCAGTGGCGGTGCCGCCGGTCTTCTTCTTGGGAATGGTAGATCGCTTCAGCGGCTGCCCGGTCTTGATCTTGCCCTTGCCCTTCGCGGTGCCGCTGACAGCGCATCTCTGCAGGAGCTGGTGCTGCTGCGTCGCCGGTGATAGAAGCCCCTCGACGGCCCCGTAGACTAGCGGCTTCAGAGCCCGGAATCTAGGGTTTCGAATCATCTTCCCTCGCCTGAGAAGATCAAAACCGGTCATCCTGAAGGAGGCGAAGGTTTTTGGGAAGACGGAGGAGAATCGGCCCAACTCAGCCCAACGAAGGGCTGCCACGAGAATCGGCCTCGAACTCAGAAAACCGAGTCGACTCACAGATTCCTCGCACTCCACTTGAACAGCCGGTTGATGCGGGCCCTGACGTCCGCAGGGCTGTACATGACGAGCCTCCCTAGCGACTTCTCCAGCGCCGGGGAGCTCCGAAGCCTCCTCAGGAAGCTCTGGTATGCCGGCAGCACGAGCTCAATGGCGGAGGCTCTGAGCTCCGTCGCCAGCCGCTCGTCCGCCACCACCCATCCCGTCTGGTTCCTGTAGGTCTCTCCGAAGAGCTCGTTGAACAGCTGCAACTTCTCCCCGAGGGAGCTCGCCGGCGCCGGAGAAAATGAACCCGATGACGCTTCACGGCTGGCGTTGAGCAGGTCGATTACTTCTCCCCAGGTTGTCCTCTGGTAGCTGCTGCGCCATCGCCGGACGCTTGCCGTCTGCCCGCGGATCCAGTCTTCCCCTAGGAGGATACCCAGCTCCCCGTCCTTCACCTTCTGCGAGATGTACCAGCCGTTGTTCAGCAGGAAGAGGAAGCTCTGAGCGGGGTTCCTGTAGCACTTGGACTTGGACTCGAGGTTGCCCAGAAGAAGGTCCATCGCCCAGCCGATCTGATCCCCGGCGGCGGCGCCGCCGTCCTCGTTCATGATCTCCTCCAGGGTTCGCCGGGATCTGCATGCCGCGCGGAGATAGTTCACGACGTACCGCGTCATCGGGTGGAGGCCGCCGCCGGCGACGGGAGGCGCCACCGGGTCCCGGCGGATGCGGTTCTCCAGCTCGGCGAAGACGTCTCTGACGGCCGCCGCCAGCCGGGCGCCGGCGGCGGCGGACTGGAGGAGCAAGACGGAGCTGGACTCGCCGGAGAAGACGGAGGCGATCTCCGGAACCAACTCGCGGAGGGCTTCGTACACGTCCATCAACCCAAAGAGCCTCTCCGGCGACCTGCTCGCCGTCGCCGCCGCCTCGGGGAAGGCGAAGAGCCGCCGCATAGCGCCCCGGCAGGTTTCCGCCAGCGAAAGGTCCCCAGCGGCGGCGAGGCCGGCGAAGACGCGGTTGCAGAGGCGGCGCTCACTGGGAAACAGGATGAAGACCGCCACCCTGACGACCTCCACCCACCGCGCGATCTCCTCCTCCGCCGCCGGCCATGGCGGCCCATGGCGGAACCCCAGCCTAGAAATGCTCTCCTGCAGGAAATCCCCCCGGCAGGTGCTGTAGGCCCGTAGGCACTCCTCGCCAAGCCCCGCCGCTACCATGCGCTTCACGACGGCGTGGATGTCGGCGACGGTCGCCGACGGGAACGCATCAATCACGGCGGCGTATTCCGGGACTGGCCGGCCGACGGGGATCTCGTCATCGTCGTCGTCGCCGGCGCCGTCCACCGGCGAGAAGCCGTTCTGGGCCTCGAGCAGGGAGCGAAGCTCGGCTTCCAGAGGGTGCATCGGCTCGCCGGAGAAGGTGGATGAAGCTGAGGAAAGGAGAGGAGGAAGAAGCCGAAGACCAGCGAGGAAGAGGAAGGGGAAGATAATGAGGTTGAAGGAAGAAGCCAATGGAGAGGGAGTACAGCGAAAGGGGGGGTGGGGGGTGGGGGGTGGGTCGGTGTCGAGGACCAGAAAGTAGAAAGCGACGATCTTGACGAAGCTCACAAGGGAGGGAGGAAGAAGACTTGCTCCCCGCGTTTCTGTGGAAACGCGGAGAGCTGATTTCCAAGTGGCAAAGTCAACGCACTCAAGAGGTTAATTAATGCAAAACACCGGGCAGTGGGGCTAAATAAAAAGTTACCGCCAAATCACCAGTTGCAAAAGATAACACTGGTGGGAACTTTCATCTTATCTTGTTCCTCATTGAAGGGTCGTTGAGAAGTAATAAAGTCAGCCTAAAGCCATGGCGTGTTGAGGGGGGACGATGTTCTAAGGATTCAAAAGAGGTGCTTCTGGTGGACTTTCAGACGGGGTCAACGGGTTCAGAAGAGGAGCACAAGCATCGGCCACATGAATAACGAAAAACAAGAAATTCGCATGAGCCTCTACAGTCTCCCCTCCCCCCCCTCCCCCGTTGACTTCTGATGACAGTCATCTCCTCCGCCGTGACCTCACAACAGTTACTGCGGAAGAGAATCATTTTTTTTCTCTAAAATTCTTCTCAGATGACCTGCTGTTGCCAGCCCAAAGAATCAAAAGACTAAAGTACCAGAAGAGGCGAAATCAGAGATAAGATGAAACCTAGAAAACTAGAAATCCATGATTTGGGATGTGTTCATGAATTGGCCAGCTCAATCGTGATCTACATGTGCCCTTATATCGAATCCATCAAATGAAAACAACACAATCATCAGATCCATGATGGGCAATTTCAAATGTTTCAGAACGACGCCGGTAACAAATCAAATGATCCTGAAAGAAATTGGTCCACATAAGTCAACGATATGAAAAAAAAGGAACCAGGTTATGAAGATTTGAGTCACCTGATAGTCAAATCCGTGCTGCTTAGCTTCTGCAGATGCACTGGGGTCCCATGCTAGACTTATCATCAGCGTAACTTGCCAACTAGAGCTGGAACCGAAGAAAAATCCAAAGGATAAAAATCCTCCGCTCAGGTAAACATACAGCACGCAGAGTTTCCCAATCAGGAAATCAACAGATGATTCAGATATCAAGATAGAAAAAAGAAAAAGCTTGTTATTTTCTTTGTGACCCACAATGAACATATCACAGCATACATATTACAGCAATCCAAGCACTGAGAAAACACAAGACGCCATCTTGAGAGGCAGCTTATAGAATCAGAATATGCAGATGATACAAAAAGGGCACGATTTTTCTACTAACTCCTGAGGTTCCCCTGAAACAGCTCACCGATACAGGCCTCAACACCATCTACGGAGTAGTTCACATACTTCTCCAAGTCCTTGGCTGCTTCCAACGACATCAACCTCTCCAAGAACCTCTGGTACGCCGGTAGCACGGCCTGCATTACAGATTTTCTGAGGTCTGCCCTGAGATGCTCATCAACCACGACCCATCCTTTCTGCGTCCTGTAAATCTCCTCAAAGTACACATTGAACATATGCAATTTGTCCCGCAGGGATCTGACCACCAAGGACGACGACAATCCTGAGAGCCCCGCGATTTGGAGGACCTCAATTACCTTGCCCCATGTTGCCTTCTGGTAGCTGTTGCGCCACTGCCGCACCCTGACAATCTGCCGCCTGATCCAGTCTTCCCCAAGGAGCAGGCGGACTTCGCTGTCCTTCACCTTCTGTATGATGTACCATCCATTGTTCAACAGGAACACGAAGTTCTGTCCTGGAGCTTCGTAGACCCTGGACTTGGCGTCAAGGTTCTCCTGAAGCAGATCCATAGTCCAGGCGATCCGAACAGAGAGGGAGGAGGAGAGAATTTCCTGATCCCCGGGGACCGGTCCTCCCTCATCCTCGTACATGATCACCTCCAGGGCCTGTCGAGATTCGCACGCAGCGCGGAGATAGTTGAGGACGTACCGCGTGATCGGATGGTGGCCGCCGCCGCCCTGGACGGCAGACTTGACTGGATCCCGGCGGATCCTGTTCTCCAGCTCCGTGAAGATCCCTCTGATAGCTCCCCCCAGCCTGCTGCAGGTAGTGCCTGATTCGAAGCGGATGAACGAGCAGTACTGATCGGGGAAGACCAAGTCGATCTCCGGAATCAAATCGCGGAGGGCTTCATACAGGTCCAGTGTCCTGAATAACCTCTCCGGTGCTTTCCCCCCCACAGCTACCGCATCGGCGAACCCAAGCAGCTGCATCGCGGGGCCACGGCAGACCTCGGCTAGAGATAGATCGGCCACGGCCGCAAGCCCGGCAAAGACACGGTCGCAAAGGCGGCGCTCGCTTGGAAACAGGATGCGGACTGCTACATTGATGACCTTGACCCACCGCCCGATCTCCTCCTCGATGTCCGGCCATGGCATGCCGTACACTTCTTCAGTTGTCCTGAGACGAAGCCCCAGTCTAGAGATACTCTCCTCCAAGAAATCCCTCCTGCAGATGCTGTAGGCTTGAGCGCACTCCTTCTCGAAACCAGCGGCGACCATGCGTTTTGCGATGTCGTGAAGATCGGCGACGGTTCCAGACGGGAGCGCGTCGATCACGACATCGTAGTCTGTGACTGGTTGCGCCACGGGGATCTGATCATCGCCCTCGCTATCTTCTCCATCTGAATCGAACGACGAAGAAATCGGATCCGAAGGGCGTCCACCGGTCTGGCTGTCCAGTAAGGCACGGAATTCGTCTTTCAGTCGGATCATGGCCTGGTGGATGAGGTCCTCCGCATGCTGGATCATCATCTTATCTTCGGATGTCACCGAATCCATGTCCCTGATCAAGGAGAGGAGAGAGTCAACGGCATCGAGAAAGGCCATGGACTCGTCGGAGTTGGACCAAATCGGGCGCTCGGAAGCGACGAAGCGCGAGATCTGACGATCTAGCGATCGGAGCACCCGCTTGATATCAGAGGAGCCAGGCGGGCCATCTTCCTCGGCCGCGGCCGCCGCCCGGCCAATCCTCTCGGAAAGCTTATCGCGAGAGAGGCGATCGTCGAAGCTGGAAAATATCTGGAGGATGTCGTCTGTCATGGTACCCGACTTCCCCAGTGTCTTGGTAATGTGCCGGACGACGGCGAGCAGCTTGTCCTCCCCGTTCTCTGCCATGCGACCCCTGCCGACTCTCTTGCCTCCCGCAGCCCTGCCTCTTTCCTCCGCGACAGCGTCCTCGGGAAAGCGAGGGGCTCTAGGGCTTCCCGATCCGAGAACAGCATAAGCTTCAAAGCCGGGCAAGGGAGGATGCACCAGAGCGAGTAAAAGGCAGGCCGCCAGAAGCCAGAGAAAGAGCAGAGGTCCTCGATGGAGACGAAGGAAACGATGATGACGAAGACGACGCGTCGGGGACGAGAAGACCAGTTCAGCGGGAGGAAGAAGATAAAAGGAGACCAGAGCCATTGGCATATCCTGTAATTTCTTCCGACATGACTCTCAGTGCAGGATGCGGGTCCCCGTTAACATTTACTCCTTTGCCCCTAGGACTAATACGCTTATTTTTTTGGTCAACGCGTTGTTCTATGGGAGAGAAACGTGAACCGTTTCTTTGAACTCGAGCGTCCTCGTCTCGCTGTAGAAGCTCCTGCGCTGGTTGGGCCAGTAGGTGACCCACACGGAGCCGTTGACCTCCCACTCCATCTTCTTATCGGCTCCCCGCCGGAGCAGCTGCCACCGGACGCTCTCCCCGTACTCGTCGCCGGCGAAGACGACGCCGCCGTCCCTCGTAAAGGGGCGGTAGGCGTTAGTTTGGCGGTTCCTGAACCAGCTCCTCCGCCGGAACAGGCTCAGCTTGTGGGGCTTGGAGGAGGACACCTCCTTCCCGGCGGCGGCGACGTCGTGGAGGAACCAGTGGAGGCCGGCGGTGGCCCCCCGGACGGACTGCTCGAACTTCCACGGCTTCATGCTCATCGTCACCGTCTCGGCAGCGGAGAACCGGAACCCGGTGGTGGCGGCCGGCGGGTCGAAACTGCCCTCCACGGCGTTCTCTCGGGAGACCTCGTAGGCGGGGTTGCTGGAGGACTTGCTCGCCGTTACCGACAGCACGTCGTCCTGCTGGGCGGGGGTGAGTTGCAGAGACACCCGAGACGGGAAGTGCTTCTCTTCCGGACCAAGTCCTCTCCTCCCCATCAGCTTCCTCGAGACCAGCGGGCTTACATCGCATCTGTTGCACCGAGGGAGTGGGTGAACTCTGTGAGATCGACGCCATGATTTATCATAAAAGGAAGGTCTAAGCTCTCGGCGGCACCTACCTGACGTTATCCACGGTGACCACCATGTCGATGGTGTTCTCATGGGGAACGAGCTTGTAAGCGAGCTGCACGACGCCTTGCAGCTGTTGGTACATCAGGGAGAAGAGCAAACGGTGCTCCCCGGCGGCGCTGTTGGGGTGGTCGGGGGGTATTGCCGCGACGGGGCAGTAGAACTGCACCTTCCACAGCCCCGCCGCTGACACGGCGTAGGAGAAGAGTGGGGACGGGGTCCTGAAGCAGGGCGGAGAACCATGGAACTCCTGTATGTGGTTGGTGATGGCAAGGTTGACGGACTTCATCCACTGCTCCTCAAAGTTGGAGCCTATCAACCTGAGCAGCGCCTTCAACGCGTCTCTCGATCTCGTGCTCGTCATCTGGAGCTTTATGGCGTCCATCCATCCGGCCCGGAAATCCTGCGGGGCCTCGTAGATGCAGACGAGGAGGACCAGGGTGAGGAAGGCGAGGTTGAACACGTCTCCGGAGTCGCCGTCCTCCGGCGAGACCGGCGGCGATCTCCGGGAAGAAGATCCCTTCCTGGGCCCATAATGGAGGACGCCGGCGACGATCTTGGAGAAGAGACGGGCCGGGATGTTCTCGTCCCAGGGCCGCAGGCTGCCGGACTTGAGGACGAAGGAGCCGGAAGTCCACAGAGAGAGCGGGAGGTCGAAGACGGCCGCCACGGAGAAGAAGATGCAGGGCCTCTGGTTCTGGAGGCTTTTACCGACGGAGAGATTCAGCGAAGGAGAAGGTGGGCTCGAGGGACAGACGCAGAGGGAGATGGTGTTGGCGCTCCAGTCGGCGACGGCGGGGAGTCCGCAGACCCATCCCCACGCATCAGGAACCCAGGAGGAGGAAGAAGCCATGAAAAGCGCCGCGAGCTTCTCTCTTCTTCCCCTGAAGGGAAAGTCTCGGCATTTCCCCAGTCACCATCTGAAATCGACCGCCGTCGAAGAAGAGATAGCTACGAACGGAAGCAGAACGGTCGGCAGCCGGAGAAAGGAGCTATTCTCCGCGCACTTACGGAGGGAATCCCGCCAACCTCTGGTTCTTTCTCGTCTCGGCCGTCACCCTCGCCGTTGGATTCTACAGTTCCTCTCTGGCCCACCGAAGACAAGACTCTTTGTCTCCTAGTGGGGTAGGACCGGCATCTTATTTTTTTTGTCGTGACATGATCTGGCGTGGACACAATCGGAACCGTCAATCGTCATGTCATCAAGTGAAATCTGAGCCGTTGATCTATGTTCTCCTTTCCCTTCTCGACGACCTCGAGTTCCCCAGTTTCCCGCCTTCGTCCGATCCTGCCTCCGGCGCTGGCGGTGGCCTCTTCCTCTTTGGGATCGCCGTCCTCGCCATACTTACCTCTCCTCATCCGCCTTGAGTGGGGCTTCGGACCACCCCGTCGACGTTCGCAAGCAGTCGATATTGATTTTGTGCTCTTTGCGTTCCTCGGCTCGCCTGGCCTGATGATCATCTGCCCGCTCGTGGTTGGGGTGGCGGCCATCTCCGACCGTGGCGCATTCTGGATCCCCGAGGGATTTTTACCTATAAGGCCAGGAAACAGGTGGAATGACATCCCGACTAGTCTTAAATTCATTGGCGGAGAAGGTCCTCCAATGCCACTGCACTGTCATTCTTATGGTAGCAATGCGCCTATGGCGCGGATCTGTCGGACTCTGATGGATGAAGGTGTTTAGAGTACTGTGTCTTCATCATGGCAGGTTAAATGGGAGATTAAAGGGTTCGCGTCCATACCATCAATAGATCTTTGATTGTTTAGGATATTATTACGAGTTTTCGAACAATTAATTGTGATAATTACGGTCTGATTTTACCTGTATCATTTGTGTGATTTAGAGGCGGCTTCGCTTTGTGATCGTTCTGCAATTTGAAACCTCGGTCTTTCCACTGGATATTCCATTCTGTCCATTTGACTGCTCTTGCGTGACGACTGTATATGAATTCGAGAAAACATAGCAAAAAGACCTGCAATACATTTCCGACTCCAAAACAGGAGAGAGTTCTCAAATACGCGTTCAGGAATCTCCATTCGCATTTCCTAATTCTGTTTACATGTGCACCGAAAACTAATCAATATGAAACTGTGGATGCTGATTTCTTGTGAAGCAGGTAACTTAGAAACTTGGTTTATAACCAGACGTAAAAACACCGATGATCTGCTTCGAATGAATGTATGCCATTGCTCTGCTGTCAATCAATAAACGATTTAATTGACTGTTCCCAGGTAGAGTTTCAAGTGATCTTCTCGTCCGCATATGGCAATGAAATGTGGAGCTATCTCTTCAGAAACCTGCAATGATAGTCGATAGGTTATATGTTTGGTCCTTCCACGTCTACAATTGCTTGATCATCAGTCTAAGAGAGTTATAAAGGACAAGAACGTTGTGGGTAATTTTTCGCTCCATTTAATTTTTTTAATCTGTTGGGGATTTAATTTTGCGGATGTATCAATGCAAACCTAGTTAATTGACATGCATCCCTAGTAAGAGTAGTATTTCACTCCCTATGCCCAAATTATTTCGTCTTTCAAGTTCTATCTTAGGATTTTCATCGTATATCATTATTGAGCCAAAATTGCTTTCCTCGGAGGATATCCGTAACTTAATTCGTGGAGAAAACGAAAAACAGATTATCCATTGATGAAGCTGTGAGTTCTTCATTATTAGCTTTCATCATATAACTCTTTTGGAGAACCTGATATACTGCTTTTACGAGAAATGTTAGTATTGTCACTTCGAGCCATGATTAATGGTTTCAGCAGAAACCTTAATCATCGTCTAAAGGTTTCTAACAGCACAACTATGGTTAGATAAAACCAGGGGTTGACCCGGGAGTGCCAATGTTGCTCAATTGTCCTACTTGGAAAGGTCTGCTAGAATGACTAAGCATCTCCTTCTCTACAACGAAACGTGGGGTGGGATGGAGATCTCAAGCTGCTCATGGATTTATGCAGCTTTCCTTGTTCTGATTCTGCGATGTTGAGGCTTGGAGAAGCCGCTCTTCAGCTCTGCCTGTCATCCCCGGCGGCGGCCGATCGGAGCTACCTGCAACGGCGTGGCGGCGGCGCGTCCTAACTCGGCGTGGAGCGTTTGCGGAGACTGAGACTGGCGGACAACTCTTTGTCACGGTGGGCCCCTTCCGATTGCTGCACTCCCACCCTGGTCTGCTGCTGCACCACAAGAGTGGAGACGGTGCATCCGAAGTCCGTGGAGGCGAGAACGTCGCCGAGGGCTCCCAGCTCCGGGTATTCGCTCCACAGGGACAGGCCCTCCGTCAGCGGCGACTTCTTCCCCTTCCGCAGCCCGACGACCAGCAGGCTGAAGTAGCTGCTCGAAGATCGGATCACTCCGATGGTCCCCTGGCCGTCCTTCACCACCTCCTCCCGGTACGTCACCCTGTGATTTTGTATTGTGCTCATCCTGAATTCGCTCACCATTTCGTCGTCCAGGTCCTCCTCTGCGCAGGGCTCCCTCCACTCTCTGGGAAGCCGGTACCGGACCACTGTGACGCCGGTGGTCGGGTTCTCCGCCGCCCGGATGGCGAACGCCACCGCCTCCCTGTCGTCTGCCCCGTCGAGGAAGTACACGGCGATGTGGTACAGCAAGTGGTCGGCTGTGGAGGGTCCCTGGTCCACGAGGATGCCGACGGAGCAGGGCGCGTAATTCAGGGTGTTGATGTTCATGTTTTTCAGGGCTGCGACCGTTTCCATGCTGCCGTCGATGGCCATCTTCTTGTGGAAGTGGAGGATCACGAAGGACGCCTTCTTCTCGAGAGCCAGCGCGCAGACGTCGTCGTGCATGGTGGCCTGTGGCGAGATGGCAACGAAGGGCAGCACCAAGATGGACCCTTTGTTCTCCTGCTGGAGGAAGCTGAAGGCGTTCATGATGTGGTCCGTCTCGGCGGCGCCGCCGGCAGACCCCTTGGGCTTCCTGTAGGAGGCGAGGCAGGTCTTGAGGAGCTCGACGATGGGGACGACGTTCTCCTGGGTGTGGATGCAGGCCAAGATCCGCAGCTCCGCTTCCATCCTGGAGTGCTGGAGGGTCCTCCTCTTGTTGACCAGGTAATCCATCGACGGCTTGTAGGTGATCTTCACCAGGAAGTTGGTGACGACGGAGAAGGCCACTACGCAGAGGACCATCACCGCGTACATCTGCCCGTCAACGATCTGCGGCCACAGGACACACGATCTGGGTCAACTCCACCTCTGCTGCTGCTCTGTGAGTTTGATCAACTCTGTTTTTTTCACTCACGTCGGCGTCAATTCAGGACGTAGACTTCGAAGATGCCCTTGGTGTTCATCATCAGAGCTAGAGTCAGCGCGTCGCGGAGGGGGACCTTGCAGTACATGGAGGGCAGCAGCACGCCGACTACCTTGCCCACGCCGCCGAGGAGGACGAAGAAGACGACGTACCCGCAGCGCGCCCTGTCAGAGATGGCGTGGACGTTCATCCTCAAATCGGCCCCCGCCATGAACAGCGGCACCAAGATCCCCGAAACCATGGTGTCGAATTTCCTGTCGAGGGTCGCCCCCAGCGGCGGGCCACCGGGGAGGGCCAACCCTAGCAGGAAGGCGTCGGTGGCGAACTGGTGGCCGATGACCTCGTTGATGAGCCCGCAGGCGAAGGCCATGGAGAGCACCGCCAGCAGGTGGCCCGCCTTCATCTGCTCCCCCTCCGGCGTCCTCCTGACGACCCACAGCGTCACCGGCCGAGCGACCAGCAGGATGAACCCTAGCAGGGCCAGGAAGGAGAAGAATGCGCCGATCCCCATCATTTGGCTCTTCGCCTTCATCCCCAGCCGGAGCGCCGTCTCTATGGTGGCGATCACCTTGTTGAACTCAGAGATCAGGGTGGCGGACATGGCGAGCCGGCCCACCTTGGAGTTGAGCAGGTTGAGCACGTCCAGCACGCAGGAGAGGACGGCGTAGGAGGTCCGCGCCCATGTCGCCGCCAGCTGGTATACTAACTCCTCCCTGAAGCCCACTGACATGGATTGCCGGAGCAGGAGGCCGAAGAAGGACATGAGCACGAAGGGGACCAAGGTGCAGGAGAACCCCACCGCCGCCGCCTTCCTCCCGGACTTGGCGATCATCCCCATGTCCGTCTTCACCCCCACCATGAACAGGAACAGGATCACCCCCACGCCGGAGAGCACGTCGAACTGTATCTTGCTCTGCGGCGGGAACAGCGCGGCGGCCACCCTCCGGTCACTGGCGGCGCCGGAGAACCCCACAATCGCCCCCGCCTAGCAGAAGAAAGAATGAGAAGAAGAAGACAAAGAAGATGGAGGGGAGAGGGTGGCGGCGACTTACGGCGATCTGGGAGACGACGCTGGACTGGCCGAGGCGGCGGAGGAGGGAGTGGGTGATGGCGGCGATGGCGGAGATGAGAGAGACCTGCGTCAGCAGCAGCGGGAGGGCGTGCGACAGCGGCTTCTTCCCCAGCCACACGCCGGTGGAGGTGACCAGGATTCTGCGGTAACACACCACCTGGTGAACCGGGCGAGTCCTGTTTCCGGCGACGACCAACTGCGCATCCATCCCCACGGCGACGGCGGTTCTCCCTCCCCGACAGACAGCTAGCGAGAGAGAGAGAGAGAGAGAGAGAGAGAGAGGGCAGCTCCTGGTTGGTCTAACCTTGGCAGGGGATGCCGGTGATTTTCCGGGTCGCCGCCGGGTTCTGCGGGACGCGACTCCAAGCAGCGGAGGAGTCGGACCGAGGAATCCGAACGCCCAATAAAGGCCATGGATGGAGAATGGACCCACTTGAGGGTTGACCGCGGCTAGGGTGGCATGCCCACGTGGCACAAGCGCGGCCGGGGTCAATCAACTCCTTCCCCAACCCGACGAAGCAAGCAACGTCGCTCGTCTTCTCCCCAGCAGGAGGCCAGATCTGCAGCGACAGAAGACGGTGATGGGTAGTGCCGCCGATGCCCCCGTGGCCCTGCCAGAGGCCCCCCCCGTGGGGGCGGCCGCCGGAGAGGAGATCACGCCGCCGCCGCCGGCGGTGGCCAGTTGGCGGAGGCAGAGCCTGCTAGAGAAGGACACGGTGGTGCTGAGGGCAGTGGGGTGCCTCTTCTCCGCTCTGGCTTTCCTCGTGATGGTCACCAACAAGCACGGCGATTGGAAGGAATTCGAGAAGTACGAAGAGTACAGGTGATTTTTCCTCGATCTTGTGAGGTGATTTCCGCGGAGGATCGTCTTCTTCAACACAGGTGAGGTGGGTAATTTCCATTTCCGCCGCTTTCCATCCGCCAGGTATGCGGTGGCGATCTCCGCAGTGGGCTTCCTCTACACGGCGGCGCAGCTGGCCCGGCGGATCCTCCGGGGGGACAATTGGGATGGCTTGCTGCCTCGGCGAGCGGCGGCGGCGGCGGTGGATTTCGCCGGCGATCAGGTAGGCATCCTTCTCCGGCCGATCCGCCCCCGCCGGATCTGTGAATTGGCCATTTAGAATGGTACAGAGACTGGGAAGAGCAAGCTTTTCTCTTTCCCCTTGGAGACAGGGGATGAGGCAATGCAGCATACAGGGCTTGTCTCGAAGTGGCCTTTCTGTTTAACCAGAAGGTAGAAGATGATGGTGCACTCTCTCATCATCTATCGGGCAGGGAAGAGAGAGAGAGAGAGAGAGAGAGAGAGAGAGAGAGTCTTCTTGGACTGACCAAATGCGCTCTCTCTCTCTCTTGTTCTCAGTTGATTGCCTACCTGCTGATCTCGGCGCTGTCAGCGGCGATCCCGATCACGAATCGTATGCGTGAGGGAGCTGATAATATCTTCACCGACGCGTCAGCGGCTTCCATCAGCATGGCCTTCTTCGCCTTCGCCGCCCTCGCCCTCTCGGCCATGGTCTCTGGATTCAAGCTTTCCAGGCATGCTTATATATAACCTCTCCTCTCTTTCCCCCCAACACCCCCTTCAACCCGCAGATGCACAGAGTTGGAGCGAGCAAGAGAGAGAGAGAGAGGGAGACCTTCACTTCTTCGATGGATACAAACAGATTGTATGAATTATTGTAATTTTTTGATTTATTGACATTGCGAAAGAATCCATACAAGAATCCGGAAACGAGGCAGATGGTAAGCTATGAGGATTCCTAAAGCAATCCAGAGGACAACATCTCTCTCTCTCTCTCTCTATCCCAGATGAACAGAGTGGAAACAGAAACAGTATCCACAGATACTCTTTCTTCTCCCCGTTTTTAGCCCTGTTTCACGCTTTCAGAGTCAGTCTAGATCATCTTCACCGGCCCAAACCCGCCCCTCTGGCGGTCTGCGGACGGCCGACTCCCGGAATAGTTCATCCCCTCCGCTTCTACTCCGCCTTCTACGCGACTCCCTGCCGGTCCTGCGGGTGGCTCGCGTAGTTCCCCGGCGGTCGCAGCATCTTCAGAGTGAACGGCTTCTCGCCGCCGAAGGGAGCGCTGACCGTCATTTGAACCGCCGGTCCGGCAGTGGCGGAGGGCCTCAGGGGCACTGTCACGCCGCCGCCGCCGACGTCGGCCGGCGGCCTGTTCGCCGCCGCACCGCCGCCACGGCCTGCCGGGAGGTCGTGGTTGTGTTTCCCCTCGTACGTCGTGATGACCGCCCTCGGATCGTTCGACGCCCTCTCCACATGCTTCCTTACCGGGCATCCCACGCTGGTGCACTTATAGTAGCTCCTGATCGCCCGAAACAAAGACCAGGTTGAGCAAGAAGAAGAAGATTGAGAAGAAGAAGAAGAAGAAGAAGAAGCAGAAGAAGAAGAAGAAGAAGAAGAAGAAGAAGAAGAAGATTGAGAAGAAGAAGAATCTGACCTGGGGTTGGGGTTCCCCTTGACCACCTTCTGGCCATACTTCCTCCAGCGGTAGCCGTCGTCGAGGATGTCGACATCGCTGGTCGTCTGAACTACCACTCTGGGTTCCCTCACCGCTCTGTTCCCGGCGCCGGAAGCCGCCTCTCCCTCCCCGCTCCTCCTGCGAACACAGCAAGGAAGCCGCCGTAAGACGCGCCTCCCAGTCTTTCCGCAAAAAGTAATCTTGCGGCCATATTGCTTACCCCCGCTTGGCATCTGGTTCATCATCGTCAAAGTCGCCCCCGTCGGGGCGGCTCCGGTGAGCCCCCCCGCTGGCATCCTCCTCGTCACAGAAGGAACCAGAGGAATACTCCGGCGTCACGGCGGAATCGGCCCTCTCGAGAGGCGCCGGTGCCGGCGCCGGAGCTAACAGAGAGGAGGAACTCCTCCTCGTCGACTGCGGCTTCGGGTGGTTGTGGACGCCCTTATAGACGATCTCTGTGATCTGGCCCTCGAGGGTCGTCTCCACCTGCTTCTTCGTTGGGCAATTCGGATGGGTGCACTTGTAGTAGCTCCGGGGGTTCTCACTTCCCTTCACCACCTTCTGCCCATACTTCCTCCAGTTAAACCCGTCGTCGGCCTTCTGAGTCCCGCCGGTGGCACCGCCGCCGCTGCTCTGAGCGGCCTCCGGAGCTGGCTCCGCCTTGAGACTTCTCCTGATGGGGGGGATCTCGGCAAATCCCGTCTGGAAGGAGAAATCAGAGCTGGCTCCGCCGTCTTCTTCCTTGACGACTTCCGGCGGATGGCCGGCGGAAGGGGCCGGCTTGCCGTCGAATGATCCGGCGGGGAAGGAGCCTGTCGTCGGCGAGGCGAGAATCTGTCGACGGGGAAGAAACAGTGAGATCGGAACCATCCATGGCGGCGCTGCAGGGGAAGTTTCCGGGAAATTACGTTGGAAGAAGAGAGGAGGACGGGGGAGTCGAGGAGCTCGGTAGGGCTGAGGCCGGCGAGAAAGCTGAAGCAGGAAGGGGAGAAGGGCCGGGGGGAGATAGGCAGCGACGGCGGTGGCGCGGATTTGAACTTGGGCCCGCCGGCGGCGTCCCGATCGGAGGAGGAGACCTTCGGCCGGCCACCTCCCGCGAGGTCCTCGCCTCCGTTGAGGAGCTCGGTGAAGGACGGCGGCAACTGCGACGAGAAAGAGAATTCCGCCGGGCAGGCGTTCGTGGACGTCCCCAAGCTCTCCGAGGCAGAACCCATGGACCCTTCGGGGAAGAACCAGAGATTGTTAGAGAAGCGATGCTCCTTCAATTTAGAGAGAGAGAGAGAGAGGAAGGCAAGAGGTCTACGTCGACTCTTACGAGTCTGAAGGAGACGTAGAGAATATCCTTGCAGGGGAGGGAGAAGGGTTAGCGAGAGAGAGAGAGAGAGGGGGAGGCCAGTGATGGAGCAGGTAAGCGTCATCCAGAGAGCAGGACGAACAAGGCGGTGGAAGCCACGTTAGTCAAGGCTGGTGGGTTTGACTCGGACGGCGGAGGAAGCTTGCAGGATTGTTCCTCTTTCGCACGCGCAACGAATCGGATTCCTTTTTCGCACGTGCCGAAATCCCCACAGATCCCTCCCCCGCCCTAACGTCACTACTTGACCATCGTCTCCGTTCACACGTGCGCCGTCCAATGAGAGTCGGGTGGGCCCCACACCCGTTTTAACCCATAATGCCCAGACAGATGTCGACAGAGAGAGAGAGAGGGTGGGCGCCCATTGGTCGGACGCTTCCCCGGTGGTGACGGCATCGGCCTCAGTCGCTACCCACGAAGAGCGAGAGAGAGAGGGAGAGAGAGAGAGAGAGAGAGAGAGAGAGACGTTGTTAAGTTCCATCCAATTATGTGGATTCCTCAAATCATCAGTGGATCAGACCGGCCGATTCAACGCAACTGACTGTGGGGCCCACTTGCCTTGTCACGTGACAAGAGAAATGGTAAATATCTTGAAATATGTTTTTTTTTTTTTTTTTTGACAAAAGTCAGATCCCGGAAGATACAGAGAGAGAGAGAGAGAGAGAGAAAGAGGTTGACCCCGGGGCGATGGGCCCATTGGGCCGTGTACTTTGACTGGCTGTCTTGACCAAAAGGCCCAAACTAGGCCCCGTTGTTATATGTATTTATCGTATTTCACGACATGATACGATTGACTTTCTACAGTGATGTCAACGACGTGGCGATCTCGTACATCTCTCTCACTCTCTCTCTATCTCTGTGTCGGGCCGTTAGTTCTCGGCGTTCCAGTCTGACGCATGCTTCCCGATCCTCCGCAGGGCCCGGGCGACCTCCTCCACCGTCACGTTCCCCGTCACCGTCACCTTGTTCAGCTCCCTCTCCACTTTGTAGGTCTCTATCTCTACGCAACCCTAGGATCAGCCCACTGACGGCGGAGAGAGATAGATACATAGCGAGAGAGAGAGAGGAGGGGGGATGGCGGAGCACCCTCGAGCTTCTTGATGGCCTTCTTGATCGCCTTGGCGCAATCCTGGCAGTGGACGCCGACCTTGAGCTCGACGACCTGCGAGGCAGCAGATGGGAGAGTCAGCGAATATGCCGGCAGGGTGTGGCGGCGGAGGGAGATGAGGAAGAGATGCGCTCACGGCCATCGGAGTCTGCGGCGGCGAGGATGAGCTCCGGCGGAGGACGGAGGCGGATTTAAGGAGCTGGTGGATTCCTTTCTTCGTCCCGGGGGAAGCCCAGGCGGACTATTCTAGAGAGAGAAGGGCAGCTATCGTCTTCAGCTGGCTGTGCCTCCTTTTCCACTCTACGCCAAAAGACCCTGTTCATTGTTTTCTGCAACACCTTTTGTTAGAGAGAGAGAGAGAGAGAGGAGTTGACGGGGATTCACTGTCCGTCGTTGGGATTGAAGCTATAAGAAGCCGACTCGTGTCTTGTTGCTTTCCTGCTCGAAGAAGGGTTGACCTGGACTTATCCAGTTGTCCGGAACCCATTTATCCTCACTGGTTGCCCGATCATTTTCCTCCAAAGGTGGGATCTTGGGGAGGATGGGGAACGCTCTCAGGTTTCTCTATCGCTGCTGCAGGCCGGAGAAGCCGTCGGCAGCGCAGCCGCCGGCGAGGCCCGACCGGCCTTTGGGTCCCCACGGGGTGTCGCAGGCCACCGTCGGCGTCTCCGCCCTCGCTCGCGACCTGTTCAACTTCGAGATCGGATCTCAGGTCGGTCACTGCCGCTTTTCTGATCTCTGAGAGAGGACGACTGCTCCTGAAGAGGGATTCTCCTTCTTTATGATCTGTAGGTTCCCGATGGCCTCAGCCTGCACGTCGTCTCCTCCAAGAAGGCTCAGTCCAATTGGTAACGAGAACCATCCCTCCCCTCCGTCTCCGGTCATGGCTTCCGTCTTGATCTAACCCTTCTTCTTCTTCTTCTTCTTCTTCTTCTTCTTCTTCTCCTTCTACTTCTTCTTCTGCTTCTTCTTCTTCTTCTTCTTCCGCTGCTGCTTCTTCTTCTTCTTCTTTGCGGCGAAGGTACAATAAGCTGTCGGCAGCGTGGAAGGAAGCGAGGCCACCGCCGAGAACGCCGGAGGAGGCGGCGCGACTGGTTGTGCAGACTCTGAAAGGGCACAAGAAAGCCGATGTGGAGGTACGAATCTCCACGGCGACAGCCTCCTCCACAGCCCGCTGATGGTGTTCCCACCACTCAACCTCCCCGGAGCAAGCTTCTTTTTTCTAGGGTTTTCTACGGTTCTACGGCTTACCCCTCCTTCAAGCTCCGGCCGAGACCACACCGCCGACTCCCCATCGATTGCCGGAGGGCGTGAAGTTCGAAGTCCACACCCTCCCTGTGAGCGACCCTCTCCTCGTCCTCGTCCTCCTCCTCAAAACCCCGCTCGTCATCTGATCTAATTCACAGCTGGTTTCAGGTAGATTACAAGGACGTCGGCGATGGAGACACGATCAATGTGTACGTAGACGCCGCCGGTCCGAGGGAGAGCGCCGCCGTGCCGGCGGAGGTTCGCCGGGCGGCCGTAGAGAGAGCCAATGCCCGCGCCGTGAGGGACTTCACAAGGGCCGACGCGCTCCAGAAGATGATCCAGAAGGAGGGTTACAGGTAGGGGAAATCTCCGACGAGCTCCATTGGCGGCGCCGCCCCGATGCTCACACGCCACCGTCTTCCTTCATGGTTTCGTCCAGAGTAATCGACGGCCAGAGCAACAGAGTGACCCTCGCGAAAAAGTACAGAATCAGGCTGAGGTGAGCACCTCGTCGGAGCGCCGCCTATCGCCGCCGCCTGGCTATGGGTCTTCCTCTCATCTCTCACCGCCAATCTTACGAGCGACCAGGGGGATCGACGCGCCGGAGACCGCCATGCCGTTCGGGAAGGAGGCCAAGGAGGTGCTGGCCAAGCTGGTCCAAGGGAAGCCTCTGCGGGTCCTCGTTTACGGAGAGGATTGCTACCAGCGGCAAGTCGGCGACATCTACTGCCAGGGCGTCTTTGTGCAGGTGGTGATGATCTCGCTCTGAAACTCTAACCCTAGAGCAGAGGTGAGACCTTCACGATCTTCTTCTCGCAGGAGGTGATGCTCAAGACGGGATGTGCTTGGCACTACGTGGCCTACGACAAGAGGCCCGAATTCGCCATGGTCTGGAACAACCACCTCCTCTTCTTCTTCCTCTTCCTCTTCTCCATCCTCATCGTCATCCTCTGATCATTACTCTCTCGACTTGAGTTGCAGTGGGAGAGCCAGGCAAGGTCTGCCCGCATCGGATTGTGGGCATCGAGGAATCCACAGAAGCCCTGGGAATGGAGGAGAGACAAGAGAAATGGCCTATGAAGAAGAAGAAGAAGAGGGGCGGATTAGGGTTTGCTTCCTCTGGCGTGTTTATCTAAGTATCGAGGTGATGCGGTACATGAGAGAATATGTTTCCCATGATCCGGGGAACAAATCAATGATCATGAGAAAAAATATATGTATCCTCGTGGGAAATAAAGACCCGTATTACTTCTAAACTAGTCAAAGATACTGTGATGAAACTATGTGAGGATATTAGGGTTGACATGCCATATATGCTCCGGCGAACCCACCTGATAGGATTCCATAAAACTTGGCGAGAAGATGAACTATAAAAAGCAAAGAGTCAACAGCGAGTCTAAGAACTCAAGCTCCAACTAGTTCACATGAGAGAGAGAGAGAGAGAGGTGTGAAAGACTAGTAGTGAGACTGCAGGGTCTTCAGGCAGTCCCTTTCCCTCAGCCTGGAGCGCTCCATGGACGCTGCAGCTAAAAAAAAAAATGGAAAAAAATATATTAGAAGATTTCATCCTAATATGAAACCATAACAGATGATAATGATGCGCATAACGCAAACTAAATCTGGAATAAGCCAATCTAGGTTTGATTGTTTTCGTGACCCATGAGCAAAGAAGACCAGAACCAAGAATCAGGCCATCTTTTCTGAGGATTGGACCCAGATGGGCACTGGAGAGAAGACTGTGAGGCCAGATTCGGGCTGAACCCAGTGATTTCTGGGGCTGGTCTACTCCTCGGTGATTGTGATTGTGAGACAATCATGAGGTGAGTAGAATGGGGTCTGGGGCTTAGAACCGACTACAGTAGAACTCCAGATCCTGCCCGAGTAGGGACCGGGTGTGCTTTTGAGGCTTCAGTTCCCCTTTCTTGGTCTGCTTTTGAGGCTTTACTCTCATTTTCTGGTTGTGCTTTTGAGGCTTCAGGCCAGAAAGAAAAAGTTGGTCCTCATCTGGAAACTCCAGCCACAGCAGATAAAAGAAAACCTTGTACCTTCTATACTGAATCATTCTGTGAAGCTTAATTAAACAAGAAAAAAATAAAAAAAATAAAAAAGGCAAAAAAAATAAAAAATAATAATTGGAATAAGATGTCTAGAATGCGGGAGAAACTGGGCTAAAAGAAGACTTGGGAAATGAATTCAGTGCTCCTAAAACATTGGTCTTATTCAACCAAAACTACATACACGGAATGCAGAGGAATTTGTTAGGGTTCCACAGCAGGGGCTGAAACAACGACAGAACAATGGTGGCGACAAAGGAAAATAATCAAGAGAAACTGGAATTAAACTCCATTAAAACAGATAAACCGAAAGAGGTTTCTGGAGGAAACCCTAGAACAGCTGGGGACGAATTCGAGAGCGCCACACTCTCCTGCTGTCTTCTTCCAAAAGTGCCCCCAATTTTGGAAGCTTATACCTTTAGCACTTTTGGAAGCTTATACCTTTACTCCCTAAGTGGGCCACTGGCCTACTTGCCCTCTGTCATTCTTCCTTCAACGGTAAGTAATTCCAAAACGAGTTTGGGTCGTGGGTCCTTGCTCAGGTCCAGTAAGCGGCCCAAATGGAGAACTAGGAAAGGACCTAACAGAATTCATCCGTTCAAACTGCCAGCCATCTATCAATCAACAAGCGACATTAAGTGGTTCATTTCAGATCAGAGGAGGTATTTGAACATCAAACACGTTTTTTTTTTTAGAAAAAATTGAGGTCTTCAAAGAGAAGGCTTTTGGTCTTTGATTGAGTTAGAAATTTATGAAAGGATTATTTACATAGCCCCTAATGTTAGATCGAAATAACATCAGCACAACAGTGTTGGTGCTGTTGGTCCCATCAGAGAAAAGATGACTAAATTGGGATGGAAGAAAAAGTTTTCGAGATTGTAAAACGAACGGTGAAAGATTAAATCTGGTGGAGGGTGGGGTGGTCAGCACACAGATTCTTGGCAAGTCCTCTTGCTGAAAAAAATCAAGGAATCTATGATCAGATTAGCCAGCTAAATACTCTCTGATCACAATCTAATCCCGGAGGAAAGAAGACCATAAGCTTAAATGAAGAGAGAGGATTTAGGTAGCTCCATCAATTGTCGTGACCCTACCAATACAACATTTTTCCACATTCCAGCCAGTGAAGCCTGATTTTCAATGATCCCAGTCCTCACCCTTGATAATTTCGGATGAACCAATGTTTGACTCACCAGAAACGAGGGTTCAACGTCATAAACGTAAGTTTTTTAGATAACCAAAACAGAGATGAAACTCGAATAGACCCTATATAGAAGCTAAAACAACGGCTACATAGATTAATTACAGAGGAAGACCACGTTCTGTCTCAAACTATGGTCCATAGAAGAGACTAGAAGGCAGACAATTCAGTCTGTACTTTTCCCCATTCTCGAGCACAAAATTCAGAGTTGCGAAAGCGCTCTAAGAAGAAGTACAAAGGGATTGTAGCAACTCCTGTTCCTGATTCTAGTCCTTGATAAAGCCAATTCAGAGGTTTATCCGAGTTTCCCTGCCCCTAGTCCATGACCATGCTTTGTACAGGAACCCACCTTTGACTCCGCATTTCAGAAGGGGGCCGAACCAAAAACTGGATTGCTCAAAGCATTGCATTTTCTGAGGGATATTTAGGCATATATTCCATGATAAAATAAAACCCAAGCACAAATCCACCCAAGACATCTTGGGTGAATTCAGGACAGCAAAATCTTGGGTGAATTTACCATTTTCCAGAAATATGTTTAATTATGATACAAATATAAGCAAAGACTTTTAAAAGTTGAGAGATTTGATGCCAGATTTCTCAAGCAAGCATCTAACAAAAGGACTTAAATGGAAAAATAAGACGAGAATTCGAAATTTCCTATAAAAGCAGCTTGAGAACAGAAAAAAAATCGGGTGAAAGAAAACCATCGACAAATTTTTCTAGCTCACCTTTCAGTCCGATAGTAGAGAAAGGCTCAATCCAATCTCTCACCTTGCAACGCCACTCAGCTCGTCAGAGTCGGAGTCACTGACATTGTATCCTAAATTTACCATACAAAAAGGATTGTTTGGTATAAATGGTCCCGATAACTAAATAACAGTGTAATCGTAGTAAAGAATGATCATTCACCAGGACACTTATCAGCAACTTTTAATGCAGATGGCCGATGTCGTGAAGCTCTTGAGATCCAAGCCTTTCCCTGTAATCTCCGATTCCGATGAGAAAGTATACAAAATGATAAGTAAAAAGATAAATAAAAGATAACTATAAAATCTTGTAGATGATATGCAATCTAATTTTTTTTTTCTTAAAGTCAAATAGAAACAGAATGGGATGAAGAAGCAAAATACTCGATAAAAAGGACCAAAAAACACCAAATCGATAATCGATATTCGGTAGAGTACCTTGTATCCTGATAGAGAGAGCATCATCCTCAATTTGGTCCAAACAGCCCATTTCCAATCAACTTTGCTTCATATGGAAAAATCGAAAACTACTAAGAAACATATGGAAACCAAAGAACTCCCAAAGTGGTATCTGATGCAGAAAAAACGAAATACATCGGCCTTTACGCTTCTCGATGCATAAGTTTTAGGAGCGAGTAATCCAACAGAAATGAAACCATTGAAATCAAAAACAAAATTTCAGAGAAATTGAAGAAAATGTACACAAATTAGTACGAAGGCCATCACAAATGCTTCCATCAATAAATGCCAATAACTAACAGAGCATCCCAAAAGCCCGACACCAACAGAAAGCCCAGAGGAAAAAGGCAAGACAGATATTACACCGGCAATCCCAAAACATGAACCAAAAGATTAGACAGAAGAGCACCGAGGCTTTTACCTTCTGCACGTTGCGGTTAATTCCATAGCCGTTGTAGTACATTTGCCCTACCAGGACCTGCATCGCGATGTCCCCTGCTTTCGCCTCCTTGAGAGTATCCTGGAACCACCGCTTCACACAGTCCGCCACAACCTCCGAAAGCGGTAGCCTCTCGCCCCGGCGCTCCGGGTCCTCCTCCATCGCCACCCGCCCGGCAATTGACGGATCGGCACCGCCCGCGCGACACCGCACGATGGCCTTTGGAGAGGACGCGGAGTTCAGAGAGGCCTGGCAGGGCCTCGCTTTCCCGAGCCTGCCGGCGGCGAGCCGAGCAAAGTCCCGCAGATTCGCAGTCGTCGCCGCCGCCGCCGCCGAGGGGATCCGCTTTCCCATACAGTGGTGGTACCCTGGCCAACGGCCCGAATTCAAGGTAGCAGTTCTACACCTCCCCCGGTAGATAAATAAAAGTTTCATTTTATTGTAAATAATTTATATTCCTATAATATATTTTAATAAATAAATAATAATTTTCTGCCGTGGTGGGCCCTGTTTTCCCAGCTTGGTCCTTAAATTTAATTTAATTATAGAAAAAGACAAGCTAAACCCACCCTTAATCGTCTACACTATTACCTAAGAGTCTGCATGCCTCAAGATCAAGGGTAAAATGGTAAGTCTATTTCATCATAATTATACAAAGATATTTACAAAATAGTATAATATTCCCTAATTTTAAAATTCTTGACCTTGATTTTGAGATTAATTGCATGATCGATATGGTGTTCTTTCTATTTTTAGAGAGTTGATTGAAAAGTTGACTAAGCTTATGAGCATAATTAGAAAGGCAGCATGAAAAGATAATATATGTTAATTGTGGATATTAAATAGCTTACTTATTAGGCCAAACACACCATATGAGAACAAACGTTCTAATTTTAAAAAAACTTACTATAAGGCAAAATGATAGTTTTACATTAAGATATATCAGACTATCTTCATTAATACTTGAAAATATGTCTAATTTATTTGTATTTTAAGAGTTAATTTTTTTACTATTTTTTTTTTCTTCACATCATGAAAAGAGTATTTTCTTTATATCATCATTGGAGAGCTCCCCAGCTGTTGCAGACTATTTTTCAAACTATTTTTAATCATTAAAAATCCCAAAAATAAGAAAAATATGGTCCCCATATAAGGAACATTATCTCTAGAACAACGTAAGAAAAAATCATTATAGAATATAAATTAACATTTATCCGAAATATTTAAGCTCCTCCGCACCCCAAGGCCAAACAATTCATTGAAACCAAAATATATTAATATGTAAGAGCATTAATTTGGCCTTAATTCGTTGTAATATACTTAATTTGTTGAACTATTAGAACTATAAAACAAATAGAGATTAGTTGATTGGTTGCCCCCTTAGAGGCATGAATATATGATAAGTATTTATTTGAAACACTTATGGTTGACAACAGTCATAAAATGTATTAAAGACTAGTTAAAGCCTCATTGTTCAATTATTGTACCACCTTAACTTATTAACACATAAGAATAATATCCTTACAAAGTGGACTAGCCTATGTAAGTTGAACCGTTATAAACTATGTATAATACATTTGAGTGGGACATACTATCCATCGACATGAGGTCCATTTGGGTTAGTCATACCATTACGAGAATCAATGATCAATGATGCTAATAAAAGGCATACAAACATGCAAGTTAGAACCCATATACAAATAGTTTATTTAACCTCCACCAGTCATCCACTCTCAAGTAAATTACTAGAGTCTAAGCAAGCTGATCTAATGGTGGGTGCAAAGTGCCAGATTCATAATGACTCCAACCACTTAAATGGGTCCACTTATAATTTAATTACAAAAGTGGATTAAATTCTATTTCATTGTTTATATTTTTAGTATTGACGATCCAACTAAAAGATTAGTTATTTTTGGATCAATTCTCATGTATATAATCATAAGATTACATTTATAGCAACTAACATGAGATTACAAGCCTTTGCATGCATGGTCAATGACAACGATCAGGTCTTCTTGCTCCATAATAAAGTTACTTAAGTCATCCAATTCGAAATAAATTCACTAATCGCATAGACAATTTAATTAATATAACAAAGCATGGAGCCATTTTGAACAAGAACAATGAATCTAGTCGTTTTGGAGAGGTATGAAGAGGGCTACATAGACAAGTAGAACCGAACAATATCAGCTTCGTTAGACTCTAACCTGATGTGGCCCACCTTCTGGTCCCTGGTCCAACCACTATGTTGACGTGCAATTTCCAGTTGTGAAATAATATGATATTAGGGAGCGGGAAAAGATCCAACCATTTAAGAAATAACGGCGAGGAAATGGGATCCATCGGTCTCATGGCGGGTAGAGGCTGGGAAACCGATGATTGTGACGGCATCGGAGGAGCGATGGAGATCGCACGTGCACCCGGTTTAGGTGGTATCCCAAGGATGGTTTCCATGCCCAGAGAGCTATGGCTATAAATCTCCTCCTCCCTCTCTGCCTCTCCCTCCATCGTCAGAGCACCCTCTCTCTCTCTCTCTCTCTCTCTCTCTCTCTCTCTCTCTATCTCCTTCCCTGTGTCCTCTTTACCCGCGGCGTGAGATCATCTTGCCTCCATGCCTTCAGTGGAAGTTATCCACGAGGACGCGCATCCGGCGATGCAGGTGGTGGGTCGAGAGAACGGCGGCCCCTCGAACAGAAGGTGAGGCGCCTTCGTTTCTCTCTCCTCTGGCACGTTATCCCCAGCTCAACTGGAAGAAGAACAACCCCCGGGGGATCTTAGAACCTGGACGAAACGGGAGAGGCTTTCATGGATGAGCTGACATCCGTAAAGCTCGCAAGAACAACGGCGAGGAGCATCGAATGATCTAGCTCTCTCAATTATATTTCCTTCATTTTTTTTCTTGGACGTCTAAAGATCGAATCTCGGTTTCCGTGGGGCGTAAAATATTGGGTTTGCAGATGAATGGGTTATTTTTTAATCTGGTTCTTGCCCTACGAGAATTGAAGGAGATGGTCTCCATGTGGGCATCCTCTGTAACTCAGTTGTACTGGCTGGCACAGGCTGGAGGGCAAAGTTGCGGTGGTCACAGGTGGATCCAGAGGCATCGGTGAGGCCACGGCGAGGCTGTTCGTCTGGCACGGCGCGAGAGTGGTTGTGGCGGATGTGGAGGACATCGCCGGCGAGCACTTAGCGGCGTCCCTCTCCCCGTCGGTGACCTTCGTGCACTGCGACGTCAGCCAGGAGACCGACGTTGAGCGCCTGGTCAACTTCACCATAGCAAAGCACGGCCGCCTGGACATCTTCATGAACAACGCCGGCGTGCTCGGGAGCCAAACCCGGCGGCGAAAGAGCATCACGGAGCTTGATGCCGACGAGCTCGACTCGGTTATGCGGGTGAACGTTCGCGGCGTCGCCCTGGGCATGAAGCACGCAGCGCGCGCAATGGTGCCGAGGGGCGCCGGCAGCATCATCTCGACCGCCAGCGTCGCCGGCGTAATGGGCGGCATGGGGCCGCATGCCTACACCGCCTCCAAGCACGCCATCGTCGGCCTCACCAAGAACGCCGCCTGCGAGCTCGGCGCACACGGGATCCGCGTCAACTGCATCTCCCCCTTCGGGGTGGCCACCTCCATGCTGGTTAACGCCTGGAGGCAGGCCGACGAGGACGACGAGGAGGCGGCGGCGGGGATCTCTACCGAGGAGGAGGTCAAGAAGATGGAGACGCTGGTGAGCACTATGGCTAACCTCAAAGGCCCAACCTTGCAAACCCGGGACGTTGCGGAGGCGGCGCTCTACCTAGCCAGCGATGATTCCAAGTACGTCAGCGGCCATAACCTCGTCGTTGATGGCGGCGTCACCTCCTCTAGGAACTGCATAGGATTATAGGTCCCTCTCTCCGCCATAGCTGTTCCAGCTGCTGCCAGCATCTCTCTCTCTCTCTCTCTATCAATCTCTCTCTTCCCCAATCTATTCTTTTTCCTTAGTACAAGATGATCCATGGTAGATGGTTCAAGCTTCGACTATTCGACGAGAAACCTACCAGCGGTGATCCTTCCTCTCCCCAGAGATCTCATACCGTCGGCATCCCCTGTTGACTTTTATTGCGTACAGCATTTTAAACCGGCTCCGAGTCGACCGTTTTCTAGCGACTAAGTCAGCATCTACCTGCCCACTGCCATGAAGAAACCCAGATCGGGGAATCAGAGTTGACTTTGGAGCTTTTTTGGAGTGGTTGTTCTACGTGAAGTATACGACCTCTTTTCGAATTGTCGGCATGAAGGCTTTTTACCAATTCAGGCAAAAGATATCAAACTATTCCCTCTTAATATGTTGCGAATCTAGGAGTTATTGACGGCGATACTTCTTAAATAAAGAACAGATTTGACGGGTCAAAGTTGACAGAATTAGGTTGTCTCTTCAAGTGGATATTGGAGAAATTAGAATTGTCCTAAGCCCACTGATTTAGACGTCGAAGGTACCTGAATTGGACGGAGTAAATCTAATCAATTGAAAGAAGTCAAAGTAATAACCAGAGTATGGATATTAGTATCAATTTTTTTCCCAGTTGAAAGTCAACTTCTAGCTCAAGTTTAATGGTAGCTTCTATCAAGAATATATCATCGATAATTGGACCAACCGTTGACTTTGAAATGCATCACCATGACTTCCACAAAGGTGGATTACTATTCTCGAGGGAACAACCCATGCAAGAAAATCAGAAAGAACTCAACCAAATTTATTACACAACCCATAAAAAAATCGTAAAATGTGTCAGAGATATCGAACCTAACACCACATAACCCATCATTCCGGAAAATATTGATGATTGTAATAATCGCCGCTCTTGGAGATTCTCGGGACTCTTCTCCCTAGCCGTTGAACCATCCTTTTTTATTTTTTTGCAAGTCTTTGGGACTCGATCGGATTCCAAAACCTTGGACCACAAGCTCCATCAATCGCTCTGCCCCCCTCCCCTCTCTCTCTCTCTCTCTCTCTCTAAACCATGGGAGGTTGGGACGGACTGAATCTGAGTCTACGGCAAGACAGCGGAGAAGGACCGACTATCAAGCCAAGAGAAGAACCCTAGCAAGTCTTTTTCGAAGAACAAGGGTATGGTGTCGGGAGAAGAGGCACTTGGAATCCGTGGGGTCGTAGATTCTACCGAAGAAGAAGAACAGGACGAGGAGGAGGGAGGAGGAAGGAGGGAGGAGGGATGGAGGGGGGTGGAGAGAGAGAGAGAGAGAGAGAGAGAGAGAGAGAGAGAGAGAGAGAGAGAGAGAGGGAACAGGCTCTCTCAAGTTCTTTAGGAGTTCAGCGCTAGACCCCAGGAGATGAATCGTCCCACGAACTTATCATAAACAGAAGAGCTCCAGTTGCCGCCGCCGGGATGAGATCCGCTGGATCGCCGCCACCACCAGTTTGACCCGCTGACAGGGGTTTGATAATGAGCTCCGATGTCATCTTCTCGTACCCCGGCGGAGGGGAGAGAGAGAGATAGAGAGAGCGAGAGAGAGAAGCCGCGTTTCAATGCGATGTCGTCGGCTGCTTCGTACCTTCCTCCGGTGACCACGGCTGTTCAGGCCAGACTTACGAGGTCAGCCGAGGCGTCGAAGGGGGCGCCAACAGCTCATACAGCTTACTATAATCCCGGAAATTAATCTTTCAGGTCAACCCCTGGGCCCACCTATTGAACCGAATCCGACAAGAAGGCCGAAGAGATAAGCCTCCATTCATCAGAGTTCAATAAATTTGGGACCCGGCTTCCTGAGAAATATATATTTTTAAATATAACGATTTTTTTTGACCTCTAGTCGGGGTCAAACGTGTTTGTGTATTACTAATTGGCAAGATGGTCCCGTGAACTATCAATGTTTTGAAGGTCAACTCCAGCCTAGTCTTTTGGGCTTAGCTCTTGAAATCAGGCCCACTAAAGAAACTAGGCCCATTTGACTACATGCATAGGGCCCATGCATGGGCTCTCACGGAGTTTGACATGAAGCTCAAAGTCAACTGCGTGCCACGCGCCTATTTCGCCATCACCTCGAATCTGTAGTTGAGAAAATCCAATATTAAAAATTTAATGACTAAAAATATTGAGTCAATAGCCAGCCCATTTCGAAGAATAATTCAAAGTATTTTAAAATTTTTATAGTTAATCAGTCAATTAAATCTGGAGAAAATACGTTCAGACGTTGTATTAATATCATAAAATCCAAAAAAACTTGTAGTGAAATTTGATAATTTTTTTATATTTTTATGATAACAAGTAATTTTACTTTACACACTTAATACGAAGCATAAAAAGCATAGTAATTAAAATTTAATTTAATGTATGAATATTTCATTTTATCGAGGGGTTCAGTTTAAATATCTCACTCGCGATTTATGATTCGGTTTATTGATTTTGATTTCTTCGAGGGAGAGAGAAAATGCTAGGATAATCATATTGGTTTAGAATAATAATAATAATAATAATTAAAGGAAACATGCGGTTTTTTATCCGATAAGCGGCTGTGTATCCTCAACGGGCGACACCTAAAACCCTTCTCGTCCGACTCTGCACCGCCGCCCGCCCTCCGCCTTCCTCCGCCTTCCTCCGCCGTCCTCCGCCGCCCTCCGCCGCCCTCCGCCACCGCTCTTCCTTGGCCCAGCGTCTACCGCGCGATCGCCATCGGTGTCGTTGCAGAAACCTTCATTGTTATAGGAGCGGGTAAAATGTGGCGATCACTTCTCGTTCGAGCCGCAGGAGCGGCGTCGTCCGCGGGGAGTTTAGGGCAGGGCTCCTCCGTTCTCTTGGCCCCGATCACGACGAGCCTCGCCTCCTACTCATCAAAGTCTAAGGGGACCGCCGTCATCGCGAAGAAGCCCGGTGCCACGGGAGGGGGCAAGTTCAAGGATCGCAAGGCGCCAACCTATGCCAAAGTTGACGACATGTCCGCTTCGGCGCCCTCCGCCGAGGACATGGAGTTCGAGCTTCCGACTGATCCTCTCCCCATTCCTCCTTATGATCCTGACCTTGACGTGCGCTCCAACGGCCGACCGTTGTTCTGCGGCAAATCTTCACTCTCCGAGCTCACTCATAAGGACGTAGGCTCTTACTTCGATTTCAGGTCCCTCATTTTAACATCACTCGCACCTTTGCCTTTTTGTGTCGTGTGTCGTAGTCTAATTAAATTGGTCAACCTGCAGCGTTGAAGAATTAAAGGAGAAATTACCGGAAGGTTTGCCGGCGGGCATGATTCAGGAGTTCGAGGAGACTAGGCGGTGGGCGCTGCTAGTGAGACAGAGCTTCATAGACTTGCGGGATAACTTCCGACGCATTGTGGACCCTCCAGCTCGGGCAAGCAGTAAAAGTACATCCTCTGGATAATTTTTTTGACTGGATATATATTGTCATCTTAAATGACTGTTCATCGATTGAGGCAGTTTCCTAACAAGGGAAAATAATGGAGCTTATATGCCACATAAACCGAAGAAGGCTGCCTTTGTTTGTTAATATCAAACTATGTTAATTGAAAAAAAGAAGAAAATGATTGCTTTTCCGATCATTCATGTATATTCTAAGGTCAGGGACGAGTGGGACGTTCTTCCATCACCACTTTCCTTAGCCACGAGTTATGAAAATGGAAACAGAAGAGGGAAAGCGAGGTCTAGGATTGAACTGACATACAGTAGTCACTATTTGCAGTTCTTTTCCTCCTGTGACACGTCAGAAACTTCAGCTTCTAGCGACCACATCTTTATATTGTTCTGGATGGGTATATATCCAAGCTAAAATATACATTTCTTAATGATCTGGTAATATCTGCCTTCGTATTACAGAATGCAATTCTTTTTTTTCAATTTAATTTTTTAAGCTATAATACAAGTCAGTACAGATGTATGTTGATCACATTTCAAAGTAATATCACTCATACTGTCTTTTATCCTACGCTATCCTAATCAGAACCTGATTTGTAATCACATTGCCCCATTAATGGTCATAATATATCCACACACATACACATCCACATAGCAGGCCTATACCTGTCCTTTCGTTAGAATTTTAGTGCGTCCTTGTTTTACATGCATGTGAAACTCTTGTTGTGGATTCCAAAGAAGTTCTTCCACCATGGTCATCATCTTTTCAACCCATAAAATTAGATTAGGTCTGAATTAAAGAAACATAGCTTAAGCTTTTCAAAAAGGCTGCTCTACTTTTAATTGATAACATTATGCCAACTTTGGCGAAGTCCTTGTTCATGGACGGTAAAGACCACTCGATTCTCCAGGAAGGTTCCTGTCTTCAAGATCCTGTATAATTTAATGTCTCTTGCACTGTCAAATAAAATATCGTTATCTGATAGGATGCATCGCTGAATATGTATAGCATTGATGTATATTCATGGCTGGCATTTCTGACCTTTGCAAGTTGATTATTGGCTTCATCATTGTCTACAGGTTCTCCGGTTCGAAAGCAAGTCGTCTTGGATGGCCTAGTCAGTTGTGGGAAAAGCATTTTACTTGCTATGCTTGTCCATTGGGCACGTAGTGAGGGCTGGTTAGTCTTCTATGTTCCAAATGCTAGGAAATGGACTCGTGGGGGATTTTTCTACAGAAACCCAAACACAAATTTATGGGACACTCCTGTTCAAGCGGCACAAATTCTGAAGGTACAAGTTCTAATGAATTTATTTTTACAGTTTCTATTTTGATGTTCTTCCGTTTTGTGATAACTATCTGAGCTCTCTGTGACATAAAAAAGTTAATATGTACCATTAAAAGATCATCCTTTTATATTTCCATGTAAGAAGGCTGACATTTATTGACGACAATTTTTTAGGTTATCCATTACTCATAACACCATCATTGATGCAGGTTAATGCTACTTTTAAATTGCATCTTGTGAAGGGCATGCCTAGGAAGATGGGAGCGGCCAGTTGGATTTCATTTTTCTGTTTCTTACTTTCTAGTAGCTGAAATCAATATTCATTACATAGAATTTCATTTTGAATGGTCGTATTATCGAAGATGGCAGGTATATTTTGGAGAAAAAATAATCTTTCAAGGAATGAAGCCCACGTAAAGTGGAGGAACTTCAACTAACTGGTCTCGACTTGGCTTTAAACTTACTATGCTAGGTCTGGCCTTCAATAATTAACTAATACAAACTTTTAATTGGATCACTTTTAAATGTATCGTGCATAATCTATCGTCAAATTATATCTTGTATGAGTTCTGGATAATTTTCTCTCTGAAAACTTTTTTATATCAATGCTGCATGGTGACAGTGAATTGTATTCTGGTGGCTCATTTAAGTTCAACTTGTGCTTTCAGTAATTGGGCTACTCTAGTCCAGCCTTGGGCCTCATATCTTAAAAATCTTTAAGCCTGGTTTACATTACAGAATTAAGGGTCCAGATTTGGCCTTGTAATGAATACGCGTTGGGTTTTGATTGGACTGGGGTTGTTGGAGTCATTCATGCGTTATTGGTTGACCTACTTTCGTTGTACTTTTTGTTGAAACATTTAACAAACGTCTGGTCAGAACACGATATTTTTTATGAGTTAATAATAAGGCCTATTGAAGGGATATCAGTTCATGTGATTTTTCATACTTGTTATCGACTTTTTGATGTATTTGTACTTGACCCTGTAAATCTGTTTCTGTTAGGATTTTTTGAAGTTCAATGAGTCTCATTTGCAAAAGTTGCCTATACAAATATTTGATCCAATTCCCTTGGGAGAAGGAGCTGGGATTAGGATGAGAAAAGATGCAGATTCTATGGCAATGCCAGAGGATTCCACATTACTTGACCTGGTTCGCATTGGCATTGAAGAGCAGCATGCTGCAGTTGGTGTAGTGGTTCGTCTGAGAAAAGAGTTATCATTTGTGAAAGATATTCCTGTGCTACTTGCAATTGATCAGGTGCATTTGAACGAGCACAATCTAGAGATTTGACCACGGATGACCATTTAGTCATCGCTGTACTTTTTTGTTCTTACACTCGTGATATAACTTTGTCCTCTCTATTTTGATTTCTCTAGTACAACAGCTGGTTTACATTTAGTGAATATGAAGAACCTGTCACTGCTCGTTCTTGCCGTCCAATTCATGCTAAAGAACTGTCAACGGTCAGTACTTTACCAAAGATATTGCCCTTTCCATAATTACGTTATTTTAGTTGTCCATGATCTATTATGTCACAAGCTTTCAAATCACATAGAATTATCTTTTTATACCTTCTCCTTTCTTTACAACTCTCAATCTCTTATATAAGCGTTTCCAAAGTAGAATTGGATACTATGTTAGCAGTCCTATGGTTGTCAAACATCTGACTGTCGGATACTTTACTATGAAGAAGCATGAAATGCGCTTATAGACTTCTCATTTCTACTTATTTAGTTTCCTTTTTACGACTTAAATATGCCCAATGTATGTGAATGTGCTGCATATCATCCATTCAATTCCTTGCATCTTCTGAGCGATTGCTTTCTGCTTATGTAATGGGAGAGCAAAAAGTTGAGATTTTAACAACATGCTCAGCCCTTGTTCTAATGAATTGTCAAGTTTTTTAATAAAATTGACATATTTCATATGCAGAGAATAAGAACGTTAAATTGGTGTTTAATTTTATAAGGTGCACGAGTTTCAATGAAAGTTAGCTGGTGTCCTGTTAATCAGTAGCAATGGTCAGTCGGAACATTGATATTGTCAGAGCTATCCAGGAAGGAGCTAGTGCATAGGTGAGCTGTGTACGAGATACTTTGAAGGGGGTGCCTATTATCTTGGCAACTCAGATAACTAAGGTCTCCTAGTGAATCCCTCAACTCCTTTTAGTTAATTCCCCTTGTAAAAAGAAGAATCCTTTTACGCTGATATCTTATCCTCTTATGTTTGGGAATTCCAGCTAACTGTTGAGGAAAAACCTTTAGTATGTTGTTGCTTTAGCTTCCAAATATTCATCTTTACTTCTTTTCATTAATAGCCCTGATTTGCAGTTAAATTGGCTCCCCTATTTAGAAAAAAAGGTATAATTAGTTGGACTAGGATACAAGGAATTCAATAGAGATTGACAAGTTTTAGCTAATGTACTGCCGGGAGATTAGGGCACCTTCACTACCTGGTGGCTCTTCTTTGGGATTATTTAAGGCATTAAGTAAGCTGGAGGAGGCAAATTGCCACTTTAGGAATGAAGGAGAATTCTGTATGGCAGTTATCCGACTTATTGTGCCATATACGAGGGTTGATCATGTAGAATGTTCATGGGAATACAGTTGATGAAGTAAATGAACTTATTAGATGGTTTCATAAGCCTCCAGAAAACGGATATTAGGTGAAAGCTTTCCATAGTTTATCAAAGTCAAAAAAGGTGACAGCAATAATTTAGGTGATCTTGCCATGCAAAGTGGATACTATTCTTCATACAAGGAAGCGTGCATGACAGATAACAGATTAATAAGAAGGGAAGCCCAGGGAAACTATAGTTGAAATGATAACAACTGAAATCTCAATTTTGTAAACTTTGATTCTTGTCAGTCATGTGATGGGTTGTAATATTAAACCTATCAATCTAGTTGCTTGACTGTAGGTTCTTTGCTTGCCATGATCTTGTTACTTGAAACGTTCTCGTCAATTTTGGTACTAGTTTTTGTACTTCTATTGTTCTATTCTTTTTCTGTATTTATAGGCACATTTTTCGTATATTTTGTCATTTGGTGATCAATGATTTACTTGAAAACTCATGTATAAACTGGTCGACTGGGCAATGCTCACCTGTAAAATTTTGGTGCTTTTGATGTGGTAGTCCCTATTTGCCTTCTGTTTACATCTGATAGGTTATCACTCTTCAATTGGGAGAGTTGGGCAACTGACTAGAATGATGCGTACTTGATAGGTTCTTTTAGTTCTAAGTCTAACCTGTACATCATAGCTTTTCAGATTAAGTATACCGTGAGATTATGTTTAAGACGACCGTTATATAGCTTGTACATCATATGTTTTTCATGTCAAGGTATCCAGATTTTAAAGTAGCTTCAGTATCTGTCAGAGTACAAAATGCATCAGTGCCGATATTTTTGCCCTCCCAAGTTTAAAACCTCATTGTTGCTACGTACTTTGAAGAAAATAATATGTTCTTTCGAATGAAACATTGATATCAGGACTTCACCTTGAAGTAATTGATCCATTTAAGAGCTAAGGGATAATACTGTGTTAACCTTCTGTGTACCATGTGAATCCGTTTATGCTTTTTGGACAATTTTATGGACGACTTATGCCTGAACCCGCTATTGTATACATGTATTTTTTTTTTGAAAGGGAGCATTAGTGGATGTTATAATCAGCACTAGGATGCAAACTATTCATTTGAGATTCTCTTCTGATTGTGTTCAACTCCGCAGGTTAGTGCGTACAGATCTATGATGCATGGTGACATGATGGTGGGGGCTTTTTCTCACTCAACTGCTGTGGGCAAACTTCGGCAAGAGCTACCAGATGTTCCTTTAGATGCTCGCATTCTTCTACCTCGATACAGCTTAGACGAGGCTGAAAGTGTTTGTCATTATTATCTCAGGTGTGATTATTTACGATGAAATGTGATTGACTTTTTTTTTTGTTGAAAAATTCAATTTTTTGGGTCATTTTTTTATCAAAATGTTAGCATGACGTTATACACAAGCCCTGATCATGTGTTCTATTAACTATACAATCAAACGTCAACCTTTCCATTTAAATTGGTTTCATATTCTGTATGTCAGAAAAACTCGGTTTCAGAGTCTGGGATTTATGTATGATCTATATAGTATTTTCTGGATGTCCTGTGCATCTTCTGGAAGAACACTTACTAGAAGAGTGATTATGAAGTAATAGTGTGAAGAGAATCGCATAATGAAGCCATTTTATGGTTCTTCTTGAGTGTACAAAACTTGATAGAGCAGAGTCTATATTCGTGGGTCTGAAAGCAGAACTCATTTCACCGGGAAAAAGCTCTTCTAACGATCCTACTTAAATTTTCAACCACTTCCAAGTTTGAGTCATATGATTACGGGGGAATGCGGATTTTGCTTGCTATGTTTGAAACTGATATTAACTAGGAGAAGAAAAATATGATTTATTTGTCTAACCGCACCGTTTGCTCTGAGTTAATTGTTTGGGATGATTGATAAAAGCACTGACAGCCATGGAAGGATGTCGAGTTCACATGTCCTGAAACCGGAAAGGTCGAGGAAACAAGGTTAGTTTTAAAGGTCATCATCAGAGGGGAGGTGATCAGAAAGCGTGCGAATCAAATGCTCAACTTTGGTAACAGGGAAGACATGGAGCCCTTTAGTGGAAAGAAAAGGCCTTCCTATTCCTAGTCATTAAAGGCGGATGGCTTTCTGTGCCCCAGCTTGGTGAATTGCATCCCCATTCAGTGACATCATCATCTCTTCCCTACTAACTCAGTGTTTGCCACGTCTGGGAAACCAGTTTATGACTCGAAGGCTGTTGCCTAACATGCACGCACTAGGAAACAATTCTACCATAGTGACTCCGTTCTCTGAAGTGAGGGAATCCCAATAAGCGAAAGAAGAAATGATCGTAGGAAGCAATGTGTTGAACACCCACAGCAGGCTTCGATCAAATGGGCAGAATGGCAAACTTCATATGGAGATGGCGTAAAAAGCTTCTTGCATTCACCTTTCCAAGTAGGAAGAAAGTCTCCATTTCCTTGTGTCTACATCTCTCTGCTATTTGATTGTGTAAGCATGGGCATGGTTCTCGATCCTTTGGATGGTTTCTTGACAGATGGTTTTGCCACCGGTCACCGGAACACATGAATAGCTGTTGTTGTATAGATTTCCTGATGTCAGCATACTTGTGATGATTTTTCTAGGCTTTTATATGATTTATTATCGTATTGGCTATAGTTCCCGTTGTGACAGGACAGCTCACATCTGAACGCTAAGCTTATTTGTGACATGACAGCTTATATCTAAACTCCTGTCATTACCTGCAGGCAAAGGCTCATTAGGCGCGATGGATTTTCGGAGGACAAATGGAAGAAAATTTACCATTTATCCAATGGAAACGGGAAAGAAATGCGATGGTTGGTTCCTTTCATTTAAGAACTTAAGAAGCAAGGGTGCACATGGGTAGTGTATGGCTAAATGCCGAGGTCGATTTTGACTACGTTTGGAAGAAAGGTAAAATTTCATCATATATTTCTTGTTATGCATCATTTGCAGTCATATGTTTACGGTTATTCATTGCATTGTTCTTCTCTCTTCCCCCTTTTTCCTTTGATTTCATGTGAATAATTTATCGACCATTGTACTGATAATTGTGCCTCCATGCTATATGGTGGTTCTCATGTTAACTCTAAATCATTGTGCGGCTTGATACATACAAGCATGTAGGACCACATACAGAGCTCAGGTGGGGGGCTATATTCTTAATCCAGAGAGGGCCCATGAATACATGGACTTAGTAGCGAATCCTCAAACAAATACATAACTAAATAATGGAGAAACAACCCATATATGTTGTGATCAGAACAGTCGGATAACTACTAAATCGTATCCCAAACTTGTGCAAACATCCATACCCTTTTAAAATCCCGACAAAAAATTGCCCACTTCTCACGGTTTCTTATATAATCAGGCATCTCATGAGCCCTGGATTAGTTGGGCCTGGTAAAAGCCTCAATTTCTGAGACTAGGGTCAGGTTTCTCCCCTAGGACCTTGTTCTAATGAATGATTGCATGTCTCATGCCATGCTTCCATGCGAGCCTTCTGTCCCAGCCTAGTTCCCACCTCTTCCTTTCCTAATTGTCTTGAAATGCTGTCATTCCATGGGCTTTCTCTATATCTTTCATATCACCACTCTCCCCCCTCGCTATAATATTTCTTTGTTCTGCTATTGGCAGAACATTTCTCTATCTTCTACACTTGCTTGCCATTTTAGAGCCTGTTTTAATTACCGAACATAAATTATAACCAAGTAAATTACTGGGTCAAAGGGTTCACCTGGGAAGTCATGGTTCTGCCTTTTTGGGTTGAGCTTCTTATCTCTAATGATTCATAGGCCGGTCCTGTTATCCGTTTGCCTTGGCAATAGTGTCCAGCAGCTGGATCCCGAGTTTACGATGCCACCCATGTTTAAAAGAGCCCAAGCTCCTTGTCACAGTGGAGCTGACGAGCTGCAGGAAGAAGGGGGAGAGAAGAGGTAGACATGGATCCAAATTTCCAGGACATTGGGGTTTTTCTATCATTATTTGCTTTACAGCGTTCTAAACCGAAAAAACCTTTTTTTTTTTTCTTGAAAATACTTGTTTAAATATGAACAATTTTCTGCCTGCCTTTATGTTCAAATACTTCTACCGCATTAATCATGCGGAAAACCATGAAAGAAGCACCTTGTGTTAATTAGCTACAACTACGGTTCTTAAGTGGCCCAATCTGGAAACCTTTAATTACCATCCTGACCTACTTGCACCAGCTGACCTCTAATAATACGTACTTTGAAGAAAATAATATGTTCTTAGTAACTGAGGCCTGGTTTATCAAGTTCATGAGATTCTTTCCTGGACGGATCTTGTTACATTATTCTTTAGTACTGTAAACAGGTTTACTCTCTGATGCTTATTGGCATCATTGGAGTCAATATTTCAGTGATACTATGTAATTCTGACCTGGGAACAATACGTAGTTCATGAGATATTTGACCTGGATTTACTTGAAGAATATGCGCTGATCCATGTGATTGAGGACCCCGTTTTTAGCCTGGATTTTACGCGAATAACAGATACTGCCCCATGTGATTAAGAAATCCTATTATTATTATTATTATTATTATTATTATTATATTTTTCATTCCGCAGACATTTTTCTTAGAAATTTCCTTTTTATATTATATTGTATCATTCCACGAGCATTTGGCGCCGATTTGAATAATATATACGGTCGTGGTGATTATGAATTCCCTTTCTCTTATCATATATTTCTTCCACAAGCAGTCCAGAAGCTTTTTATTATTTATTTACTTGACTAATATATAAATTGGTCAACAAGTGATTATGAGTTTTCTTTTTCCTGTATAAGTTTTTGATATGCATTTTGTTGATATAAACATGTACATATATATATATGTTTGTGATTATCATTTTGAACGCTAGTGATCTCCTTGTGATTCTTGATTTGCTCAGAAGAAAAAGACCAAGGACGAACTGGACCAGTTCCCCAAGCTCTGCCGTCATCTGGAGCCCACGCATCTCCCATTCTTTTCGCTTCATTGCCTGAAGCAATCCCCCTATCTCTCGCAGCTTCTCTCGCTCGCCAAGCAATTCCTTCGGTCAGACACTGATCCCCACTTTTCTACCGCAGCAGCCAGGGCGGGCGGCTCATTTTTTTCTCCTCTCCTGACTTAAGATGGGTTTGACTTCCGGCCCGCAAAGCTTTGTTCTGGAGTCCGAATATGGTCAACGGGTCTCCCTTCTCGGTACAAAATTTCATGTTTCCTTTTCTGTCTGAGCTACTGCAGAACGCTATGTTACTTGTACCCAGTGGCGGTGTGTTGCTTGGCTGAGTCAACTCCACTCTTCGCCCATCGCCCCACATCCATTTACATGATATCACAGCCACTCGGTCTTGTCTTCTTCTGCCCTTAATCACATTGTTGAGTCCCACAACCATTCCGGATTTGACCTTAACATCTTGCGAGCAAGATTATACGCTATATTGGGCAGTTGACTTTCAGCTCAAACTTGGTTCGATCGTCTAAGTTCCATCCGTCAACTGTGTTGGTCAACGCATGGCTAGCTTAATGGGAGCAATATGTGCTAGCTGAATAATTGTCAGCTAACAATAATTGTTTCGCCCTCTTCAAGTATAGTTTTTTGCCATTTAAAGCATCTGAGGCCTGTTTTCCAAGTGATACGTTGGGTGGGTGTGGTGAATTTGGATGCTAAGATCCACAGATGAGGCTCCACCCCCATCTAACGGATATATCTTCTCTCTTCAAGCCTCCTGCCATTGCTGGATGAGAAAAATGTGGATAAACTTGGAAGATTATCTGCCAATGTGGCAAAAAAATTAACCCACAATCTGCAAATATCTTCATCGCCGTTCTAATCTTGCATCGGCCCGCCCGCAGCAAGTCAACTCTGGAAGTCAGCCTATCAGTCAAATCTTGGGCCCATATATATATATTGATGAAACATTTAAGAAAATACATTTTTCCAAGGAAAAGATTGAACTCAGGAGCTACGTGTGAATCGCTTGATCAAAGGGAAGAAAGAACCAGCAGAAATTAATCGTATTTACATGTGTGAACGTAGAGGCGCACTCCCCTGCGCAGATCTTTGAGGGGGTTGGAATGAGATAAAATAGTTGGCTTCCCACCTGCTGACAAGAAGGCAGAAGTTGAATGGGCACTCATGCAAGAACATCAATCCCCACCAAAATCTCGCAAATCTCCAAGGGCAAGGCATGAGAAGCTGACTATCATCATAAGGCGGTGAATGAAATGATGCTTCAATGGGTAACCGAAAGCGGAGATGTTTTAGCTCCAGCAGGTCGTCAGAAAAGGGAATAGGAATCGGTGAATTGGTCCAGAAGGTGAAAATAGTTGCTTTCCCCCTTCAATGTATATGATTATGTTGACCAATCACTGGAGACGAAGTCTTGGTCAAACCGTTACTCATTTTGGTCAATCAGAGCCGAGTGAAATCGTGTGTTGTTCTTGCTTAGTAAGAAAATGAATGAAAATAAGCTGGGATCCGTTAAATATTGCACAGGTCATCTGGGAGCATTGCATAATTCATTTAGATACATATAATTAATCTCATGATATGGTTTCTGGGCAATCTCTAACATTTTTGGAGGTCGAACAAAAAAAAAAAAAAAAAACTTTTTTACAAATAAGAGGAGTATCTGGGATGAGAAACTAAAGGAAAATAAAAATAAAAATCGAAAAATAAATTGCAGATAACTAACCAGCATTCAGAATTCTCAATGCTATGTACAACATTTCGGCTGGGGTTCCTTTTCAGGTTCATCATCAACCACGATCATACCCTTCCTCGGGGGAGTTGCAGAGAGATCACCGTTTTCTTTCTTCAATTGCAATACCCCTGGAAAAAATAGGTCAGTCAGAGAGGCATCTGGGTATGGTATATCTCTTGGAATTAAAACATGCAAGCAAAAGTAGACAGAGCAAAGCAAGGTGTATTTCAATTATTATGCAGACAATTGGTTCCTTTCTTACCTCTGATTTAGTGGTTTAGAAGGTCAATAGCAGTACATATTTTTTTAACTAATCTAAGACAGCATTCATCGATTTTCAATCCGATGTCTATAGGGTAAGAAATGAGAGATTAAAAATTATTTTTTTTTAATACTCGAGAGGCATAAAGTGCTTAGCTTTGAAACGTAAAGCCTTCTACTAATAAATCCCATGTTTCTCATCTAATGTTTAATCGATTTTCTTCTTCATACTTCATTTCATAATCTAGCCATAAAGTTCCAAAATGCCGACAATCAAGGCTTTCGGGTTATTCCATGCTGGAGCCCGAGTATAATCGCAAGAATCCCAGAGTAAGATGGTTATTTAACATTCAGTCGTGATGGAACTTGCATGGTGCCATTGGGGATGGTTGGTGTTTGTACCAGGTAAAACCTCTTTCCTTTTGCCTATTAAGGGCCTGACAGAAAACACAAGAAGAAAAAAAGAAAAAAGAAAAAAATCTCTTCAGGGAAAACCTAAGCAGAAGTTATCACTCACTAGTTGCAATGTGAAGGAAAATCTCATTGATGCCAGTTCCAAATTTGGCAGATGTAACAAAAAATCCCGCACCTATTGACGCTGCATAGCTACAACAGAAAAGGTTACATTAAAATAATTTCTACAGCTCGAGTTCAAAAGAGAAAAGCAAGTGATCCTTGATATTTAATTGTTCAAGGCAGTGTTATATCGAAAAAAAAGTAAAAAATTAACCTAGTGACGAATTAGGTGCGCCTAAAGACGTCAAAAAAGAATTTTTTTTTTCCTATTCAAGGGCCTGAGGATCCTGCACCATTCCTTTTCTGTGAGGTCAAATGTGCATGCCATTCATGATATTTTGATGATGATCAACCCCAGATGTACACTCTATTTTTCAAAAAGATGAGTTAACTTCTAATGGAAGTTAAAGAAAAGAAACACGATCTGGACCAGGATCGGAACTACAATTACAAGCTAGAGGAAGGGAAAATGAAAATTTAACCCAAACACAGACGTTCCAATCCAATTTGGATTTGACACTGATTTAATAATCACAAGGAGATCAACATGGCCTTAAACTTAAGATAAATGCTATCCTTTAAGATAATCAAAAGAATATTATACCGGGTCTTTTTTGTCTTTTACAGGGTTCGTATGTGTCTAATTTCATGACATAGCTTCTTCTCTGAACGAGGATATGGGCAATATTTTAACTGTCACAAGTGATTGATCAATTAACTATCGATCAAGGCATCGTTACATTTTAGCAAATATGAAAAATAAATGACTTATTATTATCACGAAGAAAAGAACATGCGCATACCTTTCAGCCTCTTGAAGATCAAATTTCTTTGATCTGACTAGATCGCTCTTATTCGCAGCAATTGCCATTACTATGGGCTTAGATGCCATTTGTTGGAGCTCATTCACCCATTTTCTAACGCGGATGAAGGAATCCTTGTTTGTAATGTCATATACCAAAAGTGCAGCTGCGGTTCAATCATGAAAGATGCAGTGGGAAACAGGTTTCACATTGTATTATACTGAACACCACATAGATCATTAGAGAGGTCTAAGTTCATTTAAAAAGTTTTGTACCATCTGCATCACGATAATATATTGGTCCCAGTGCATGAAACCGTTCCTGTCCAGCAGTATCCTGCCAAAGTGTTACGGAAATCTAAGGTTGGCACAACTTTTTAACAAATATAAGCCTTATACAAAGCAAAAACACACTATTAGGACCCGAAAATAGCTGAAAAAAGTAAAATAAAATGCGTGACCTCATCGAGACATTTCACGAGACCAAACATAGGAATGATATCATGACTTTTTTACAGGCAGAAACAAACTGTTAGCAGGCTCACAAAAAAATGTTATGGAGGCCAACAACGAGATAATGCAGCTGAACCGTCTAATGATGATCTGATAACGATGGACTACATACTCAATTGGTATCTATATTTTTAGAAAAACTCATGCTAGAAGATTTTTTTTTTGAATCCGCGATCTTCCAGTAAGAGTTAGAACATGCGTTGGCAATATTTTTTACTTCTCTAGAAAATTTAATTTTCCTTGTTAAGTATATACAGTAAACTGTGAACTAAAAGGCGATTTTAAACGATTATCAAAGAACACTCAGTGAATTTCACAATTGAATCTATCGGTCATTCCGTTCAGGCAGCGTAGGCTAACACGAAATTTATGTAAATCAGTAGTCAAATTCTAACCAGATAAATAGTGAAATGTCAGAACTAAACCTTGTGAAACACGTATCCAAAAGTGATGGGAAGTAGATAGAATCAAATAATTAAATATTAGAATCAAAGTATGGGAATAAAACGGAAATTCAATTGACACAAAAAGAAAAACCTGAAAATAAAATTTATCAGGACACAATAAAAGAACAAAATATAGCAGAACCGGAAAACAATCAACATCTATGATTCACACAACAATGACTATCCCTCCAGAACAATTACAGTAGAATAAAAAGAGGAGAAGAAAACGCACCCAGACAGCTAGGGTAATAGGCACACCTTCAATAACAAGACGTTTGGTGAGGTAGGCTGCTTGGATTGTCGCTTCTTGTTTGTCAGAGAACACATTATTCACATACTGTAGTACCAAAGAAGTTTTTCCAACTCTACCTGTTGAAAATAATAAAATAGCGTTAAAATAACTAAGCGAGGACAACAAATTATTGAAAAAAATTACATTCATCAAAAGAAAATGTAACTTAAAAAATACCAGAATAAGGGAAGACCATACTACTGCTTAGAAATGGAAAATGTAAACACTAATAAGCTGAAAATGGAAAGCAAACTTCTTGCGAAATAACAGGAAAATGAAAAATTCCAAATCGAAATAGTCAAATAAAGGCTATAAAACGAATTCAAGAAGGAACTTCTACAGTCGAATGGAGGGTCAGCTTTTTCTACAGAATGACGCGAATATACTTAGTTATGCCGAAACCTCCAATAATTTGACAAGAAAACAATTTTGTGGTTGAATAACCAAAGGAACATATACAGTACGCTTGCATGAATACATTCAAATATATCTCAGGCTGAAATATCTAAGCTTTCCCCAGAAATTGTGAACCGTGGTACATTCCAAAAGATTTTCTGACTCAACAACAAAAATGAAAGCCATGAAAAGCCAAGAGTCACGAGAAAATTCAAAGAGAACTATCTGAACCTTCTTATATTTCAATTTCCATGAAAATGAGTGATGCCCGTAATTAAAATTAGACAACTGAACTTATAAGATGTATTTGACAGTTTCTAGCATCAATAATATCATACGCTTTTTATAACAACTTTGATGTTATGCTTGTGAACTAGATGATCAAGTCAAAACAATTTTGCAGGAATAAGAATCCATGAACGTGGCCATAAAGTTCTATCAAACCATACAAATCCATGATAAGGTGCAAAACCTATGCCTTTGCAACTCAAACAATTGGAGGCGAGGAGAGATGCACTCCTGAACTGGGAATAAGATACCAATCACATATCATTCAAATCAACAGATTTTTCCAATCGAGTTTTATTATCAAATTTATTTCGATATTTACCATGTGTAAAAAGGTTGGATGTTTTTTCAAGGCTAAATAGCTTCATCTTCGCAGAGGCCCTAAAAGGCAATTAAATCATGTACATAGATAATAAAGAAAACCTGAAAATATGATTGCATTGTAAACATAAGGTCTCTGCTATTGTATGTCTAGAAGCAAATTAGGGAACCAAATATTTTGACAAACTTATGGATAATTTTCTATCCTGGATATCAAAATCTCAACAATCCCACATACACTATTCAGGTCTATTAAAAGCTTCATTGTACTAGTTAGTAAGTAGAAAATTATTTGCTAGCATTTAGAAACTAGGACCTGGATTGGGGAATAGACCCAAAAGTTTGACTAAAAGATGACGAGGTCGATAATCAATATAATAGAAAAGATCCGGGCAAAAGAGGACACCTGCGAGAAAGTTCGGTGGATCAGGTCTAGCAATATACTTTTCAATCTGGCGATTTGTTTTTTTGGGACTTGTGGGACGCTTTGGACTTTGGATGATTGAAATATTTTAAAGAAAATGAAAACCATATATGTGGATTATTTTTTTTACACAAAATTAAGAGCAATAAAATATTGAACAATTCATCTATTAATCCACAGAAAAAAGCCAAAGTTGCAAAAATTCACCAGCTCAGGGACTCCGATTGAAGAAAAAGAGACCGTTTCTTAATGCGACCCATTTTATCTAGTACGTTTATCTCTTTCCTCTGTCCTTCAATATTTGCCCATAATTTCTCATAGGAAAAAACTCCAAAGTTTCGACGATTTTTTTGAAGGTGAATAATACCATTTGCTCGATGGTGAATAAACGATTTTCTCTTGTACACAATTGTTCCTCGACGAAAATATAAACATGCGAAAATATTTTCAACCATCCTATTAATCCAGCAATAGCCAGTTCAGATTAATCTCCTGCTCAGTTCACCATGTTCGCGACATTTCCCTTCAAAGGTGCTTATCCAATTAACAAAAATTCGATTCCGAGGCATAAATAAAATGACGCAAAAAAAAGAAATAACCAGAAAAACTCCACAACGATCCCTAAAAACTCAAGTTAGACCGAAGAATGAATAGGGGGAGGTGTACGAGCCTACCATCACCGAGCAAGACGAGCTTGAAGGTGAGGCTGGACGATCGTGCTGTCATCTTAGGGTTCACTTCGATCGGGATCTTTCGCCTTCCCCCTCGGCGATCGAGGAGATTTGGGAAGACGTACCTCCCAGGAACGCCGGGAAAAAAAGAGCCTTCTAGAGACTCGCCACCGGCGAGCACGACTTCTCTAACGGTGTTCGGTTGATTAACGGGTTTCGAACTCTTATAGGGTCCATCTTATTCTCGGATCCCCTTGCGCGTTAATGGGCTTAGGGGTTGATTTGGATATGGGCCGTCTTGAAGATGGCCCAGCCCATTTAGTCGAATCTCTGTCGTTAAACGAAAGGACAAAGATCCGCTAAAACCTTTACCGGGGGTGTTAGTCGCGTGCCGCTCCGGTGGGTACTCCGGCGATCCGGCGGTTACCTTCCTCAGCTCCGGCGACCACTTCGTGGTTACTTATGCTCCAGAGGATTCGGAACCGGGGCCCTCAAACGGGGCGGGTGGTCGAGAGGCGTTGGCTCCACCGCTAAGGGGAATGGGGTAACAGAGGGTTCTGTTCTAGGTTGGTGGCCTGGTGCGTGCGGAGCCCTAGGGATGGTGATCGGGTTTTTGAGGAGGTCAGAGTGGCGAGCGTGGAGGAACGCGGGAGGATAGGACCCCAGGTAGGGTGGAGGCCGTGTGAATGCATCGTAATTATTTGTTCGCTGTGCTTTGCGTCTGATTCCGTCAGAGTCTGCGTCTGCGCTCGATGCAAGAATTAGGAGTTTGATAGATTTTATGAATATTTTTATTTAAAATTCAATTGAAATATCTGAGTTTCTGGTAATAAATATGAAATCTCGAAGGGTCCACATGACGTTGTTTTTTTGTTTTTTTTGGCTGTAAATTTATGATGCCATTATATGAGTGTATGGAGCCATTCTCTGATATTGATTATTTCCCCCATTTTTTGGACAATAAGGGAAGAAATATCTCCCTTAGGACTTGTAACCTTATGAACAGTGACCAGGTATGATTCACTTGCAGAGTCCTTGCCATGTTTGGGGACACGAACACATGTTGATAGTTGAGGCGCTCTGGAAGAAAGACCCACCTGATTGGGTTTTTTTTTTTTTGTTTATATAATTCCCCTGTTGAACCTAATTTCAACACACTCTTATTATAACCCACGTTCAGAATTCTTGACTAACCTAGTCCATCCCACCCATTGTTCATCCAGTAAATATGAGCCTCAGCCAGCTGATCTAGCCTCGCTAGCTCTGCATGATTGAACCATTGATTTTTCCTTCTGTGTTGCCTCGCATATGAAAGTCCCGGTGCATGCATTTGGAGCTGGATAGAGTTAATAGATATCTTCTACGTCACTGCATGACATGGGCAAGATCTACCTCCTCTACCTTCCTCCCACAGATCGTTGGTGTTGAAATTTTTGATACTGTTTCTCTCCAAACAGAAGAGAATCACCATCTTTTGTTTGCTCATGATTTGCCAAATTAAAATGGGATATAGATGCTTTCCTATAGTCTCATACCTTTACTGTCTCAAGATATAAGTGAGGACTCTTGTTTCTTATATTTATGTTAATGTCTCTCTTTGGATGGGATTTCTGGAACGAAAGTTTTCTGTCATGACGAGGAAATAAATTGTTTCAACTCTGTAGTCGTTGGGCACTGATCGGAATTGATTCGCCCCTCAGCTCTCGATGGGTTTTTCTGTGATTTCATCTCATCTTTCAGGATCGGATTTGATATTCTAGTCACTGGTTTCAAAATTGCAATACCGACAGTACTTGAAAAAAAATTCGCAGTACTGTCGATGGAGGATGCTTTCATTTTATTTACCTTATCTAGAATCGAATCACGGAAAATGCTTTCATTTTATTTCGTTTGCAGGCATTTAGATCAAGATTGGTTGAATGATCTGCGTTGTCTTCTCCATTTCGAATTCATACTACTTTATGTTGTGAACCAGCAGGATGATTAGCAGGTGTCGTCTCTTGCCTTACAAGGGCAAATGGCAGCATATGTTCAGTGAAAGACTTGCGATGGAGGAGTTAAAGAACAAGGTGAACGAGAAATGCAGCTCTAATGATGATCTTATTGGGGTTCTCACCGGCACTTTCAGCAGTTATGGGCTGAAGCCAGGCTTCCCGGCCTACTCCTTCATCATCAAGGATCTGATTCAAAGGTCTCTGTTCTTGAAACTTCCGCCGGTTCTCAACCATCTTGAAGAAGCCGAGAGTTTTGAAACTTCGGAAAGACTATTCATCAGCATCATAAGGAGTTATGGTGCAGCAAACATGCTTCAAGAAGCTGTAGATGTGTTATTCAGAATCCCAAAGTTCCGCTGTAGCCCTTCTGTGAGATCCCTCAACTCCTTGCTTTCTGTTCTTTGCAAGAGGGAAGAAGGCCTCGGGTTAGTCCCAGATGTCTTGTTAAGGACACCCCAGATGAATCTTCGTCTGGAGGACTCGAGCTTTCGGATTCTCATGAGAGCCCTCTGCAAGAATGGGAAAGCGGCTGCGGCAGTTGAGCTCTTGGAGGCAATGAAGCTCCAAGGATGGGCTCCTGATCCGAGAATGTACTCTCTGATACTCTCCTCGCTTTATAAGCATGCGGGTCCCCCCAGGGTCATCTCCTTCTTTGAAGATATGAAGGCCGCAGGTATCTCACCGAACACAATGGACTATACCTGTGTAATGAACGTTCTTGTGAAGGAAGGGAGGGCTGATGACGCCTGGGCGATTCTCAGACAAATGCGATCTGACGGCTCAAGGCCCTCCGTGGCGAACTACACTGCCGTCCTTGGTGGGCTCATCTCAGCTGGAGATTTTCAGAAGACGGAAGCGGTGTTCGACGAAATGCTAGTGAGCGGGCTCCGCCCCGATTCTTCTGCCTACAACACCTACATAAACGGGCTCTGCAAGCAGGGTGCCGTAGAAAAGGCCTGCAAGATGCTCGTCTGCATGGAGAAAACGGGATACCGGCCAGATTCAGCCACCTACAGCATCATAATCGGCGGATTTCTCGAGGCTGGTGAGCCTGAGAGGGCGAGACAGACCTTGAAGGAGATGCAGGAGAAGGGTTTCGCGCAAATTCAGAGCTTTTCAGGATCCTGGTAAGTGGGTTTCTTGACGAAGGTGAGATAGGGAAGCCCATCTGGCCTTTATGGAGGTGCTTGGTGGGAGGGGGGGAGGGATTTACTGTGATGCTCTAATAATATGTGGGTTGTGTTGGGGTGGGCTCTCCAAGCCATGGTCGAGTTCTCTGTTGCCCCAGAGATCGGGCCATGGGAGGCGCTTCTGTGTGTGCCCAGGTCCTCCGCTGCGGAGCCCCTCCTCGGCTTCCATTATTCCAGAGGGAGTCATCTTCTTCATGGAGTCTGTGATCACCCCCTGTTGTGTCGAAGCCTTTTGCAGGCGTTAAGTCAACTGGGTTGAGCTTTGAAGATGGTTGGCCAAGGAGGGCGAAAGCCCGTTACTTTCCGGCATGGGCGGCTAAGTGGTCACCCACAGTGGGCCCCATTGGTAGTTCCCCCTTACCGAGGGGTTCTGGTTCTTCTGCCTTGGAGAAGGCGGAAAGGGTGACGTCGGTGTGTGCCCCGTTCTGGAGAATTATGCGATATGCACGTAAGGGGTGCGCGGGGGAGAGAGATTGTAATAAATTATCCTCAGTTTTTGTCCCCGTGGGAGGGCAGCTTCCACAGAAATGGGGTACCTTCGCGGCGGCGCGTCTGTGAACGAGCACGCGACTGAAATGAAGAGGGTGGTAGATGGAGCTTTAAATTTGGTGAGATGGGAGCCGGCGTTGGCTAAAGAAGGAAGTCCCGAGCTCTAATCTCTCTCTCTCTCTCTCTCTCTCTGCCTCTCCCTCTCATCTTGGCAATGTACCGCCGACGGAGGTCTCCGCAGCTTTGGGTTCGGACGTCCTCTGGTTTTCTTCTTCCTTCAAGGTAGCGCCTCCCCGCATTCTGGACATTCTTCCTCTGATTTCTAGTCCCCCATTTCAAGTCTTCCCGACGGCTCCTCGTCGACGGTGTTGCCGGCATTTTCTTTCTTCGGTGTTCTGGAGGAAGCAGATGCTCTAGCTGTCGGCGCCGTGCCGCAGGGTCGTCTCTGGGCCTTCTTCTAAGCCCTCAGTGTAGAGCCCCTCACCTCCCCATCCCTCCTCAGAGCTACCCTTTTCCCAGCATGTAGCTCCTCGCCTCGGACGGGCCTTGACCACTGGGTCTGTCCAATCTTCAGGCTTGCCCGAGCCGCTGACCTATCTGGGTGAGCTAAAAAATGTTTTTTTCTGTCTGGGTGGTGGTGACCGGAGAGAAGTGAGATGTGACCGTGGAGAAGGATCCTCAGTGGAATCCTTAGGGATCCCTCGAGAAGATATGTGGACGAACGCGGCATCTCCTCGTCGGCAGGTTGCAGCGGCCGGTGGGCGAGGAGAGCCCGTGGGGCCCTCCCCGGTGCGTCGGCCTTTGTAGGTATCAGTTGCACAACCTTGAAAGCAGATTGGCCGAATGGGTGTCGGCTGCCGGGTCTTCAATCACCGGCGTCGATCGACATAGAACTCCCTATCAGCACCGTTGCCCTCTTCCCTTCTTCTTCTGCTAACTCCTTATCCGCTCCTTCAGACGTTACGATTCCCAAAATTTGAGTTGTCGTGGTTACTTTGAGGGCCATCTATAGATGCACCGAAGGATGTAATCTAGACCCTGTTCAAACCCAGCCTGGGTCTAGTAGAGAACAATCCTGCTAGATGCGGGTCGTACCCGGCGCCGGCAGGAGATAACCAGAAAGCCCGATCTCTCCCAGACACGATCTTAATTGGGCTTAGTTTGTTTTTAGTCAAAGACTTGTTTTGGAATTTTGCAATCCAAGCCAATTCGAATCCCAGTAGTTGACTAGATATCATTTTGATCCGATTTCTATTAAACTATGGATACTGATCACCTGGAAGTTATTGATTTGAACGTCAGCGTAGGCTTTGATGATGCAGGCGCAGACCATCTTGAACCAGGGGGAAAATATCGTCTTTAAGAACAATCGTCGTCAGATAACATCAATGCGCTTCGCAATCTCCCTCCTTCCCACGTTTCGCCGGCCGAACAATGGCCCAAAAAGCACCACATTGCAGCCCTGAAGCCACAACAGCTCCTGCCTCCGGTCTCTAAATACGTGCTTCATCGGGACAACGGTCTCCAACGCGCACCTCAGCATGGCGACTTCACCCACGGCACTGCAGTGGCTGAGCCTTGTGGGGGTCATCTGGCTGCAGCTGGCCAATGGGGCGAGCTCCAACTTCCCCGACTACTCCTCCAACCTCAAGCAGGTTCTCTCCATATCCCAGATGCAGCTCAACGCCCTCGCCTTCGCTTCGGACTCCGGGAAGCTACTCGCCTGGGTCTCAGGCGTGGCGGTGGTCTACCTTCCTCTGTGGGCGGTGCTCCTCGTCGGCGCGGCTCTTGGGCTGGTGGGGTACGGGGTGCAGTTCCTCCTCGTGGGCGAGGCCCTCGCCTCCGTGTCGTACTGGCAGGTGTTCCTGCTGAGCGCCACGGCGGGTAACGCCGCCTGCTGGATCAACACAGCCTGCTACGAGGTGTGCCTGAGGAACTTCAGGTCCAAGGCCCGAGTCGCCATAGGGCTCTCCACAAGCTACTTCGGACTGAGCGCAGTGGCGTACACGGTCCTGGCCGACGCCTTTATCCAACCGCTCCCCCACCAGAAGGCGAAGGCGTACCTCCTCCTCAATGCGGTGGTACCGGTTGCGACCACGTTGTTGGTCCTGCCTATCGCAAGGGTCGTCTTATCGGAAGACAAGCAGCGGTCTGACGGTGGGTTCATCTTGGTCTTCGTCATAGCCATGGCGAGCGGGGCGTGCGGAGTTTTCGGCAGCTTATGGTCTATGTCGACGTGGGTCATGTTGAGCTTCGGGTGCCTTCTGGCGGCTCTGCTGGTCTTGCCGGCGGCGGCAAAAGTACGGGAGGTGGTGGAGCAGAGACGGCTCCGGAGTGGGGGGGCCAGAGTTCACGACGAGGCCGTGGAAGCGACAACACCGGCGGAGGCAGTGAAGGTGGAGGAGGGGTTGGCGGCTCCAGGAGGATGGGAGGAGGCCGGAGAGGACAGGCAGGTCGCGGCGAGCGCCATGGTGAGGACGCCGGAGTTCTGGCTGTACTTCTTCGGTTACTTGTTTGGGGGGACGGTGGGGCTGGTCTACCTTAACAACCTGGGCCAGATTGTGGAGTCCCGCGGGCACTCCAAAACCTCTGCTGTGGTCTCTCTGGCATTCGCCTTCGGGTTCTTCGGCCGCTGCATGGTCTCCCTCGTGGACTTCGTCTGCATAAGGTAAGGCCTTCGCCGTCCTGCTCCTCAAGCCGCCGCCGCGTCTCCCTTCCCTTCTCTGAGCATGTCTTCTTCCGACGCTATGTCCAGGTACGTGTACGAGGTGCCGAGGCCCGCTCTCATCGCCGCTCTGACGGCGCCCATGGCCGGATCCTTCTTCTTGTTACTAAACTCCGGGAACGCGTGCCTCTACGCCGGAAACGTTGTGATAGGGACCTGCACGGGGGCCATCACCTCCGCCGCCGCCTCCGCAACCACGGAGCTCTTCGGGACTAAGTTCTTCGGCATCAACCACAACATCGTCGTCTCCAACATCCCCATAGGATCGTTCCTCTTCGGCTTCTTAGCGGCCTTCGTGTACCAGAGAGGCGAGAACGGACGGGGGGTTTGCATGGGAGCCCAGTGCTACGAGAGGACGTTCCTCGTCTGGGGCTGCCTCTGCGCTGTTTCCACACTACTCTTCGTCGTCCTCCACATCCGAACGCGGAAGACTCGATCTGTGGTTAGTGCGTGATCCCTGGGCAATGTGGAAACCCCCTGCCTCCGCCCGTTTTGTAGATTGATCAGATACATACGTGTATTACATATATTACACATGATGGAGAGATATGTACACGCATCCACACACTTGTAGAGAGAGAGAGAGAGAGAGAGAGAGAGAGAGCGTAAGAATGGAATGAAGAGCATAAATTCGTACACACCTCTCTCTTTCTGATTACGTGCATGCGCCTTCATTCTCAAGATTTTTTATTCTATTTAAATGGGCGGTTCGTAAGAGGTTAGCGTACTTGCCAAGTGGCAACAGTGATTGGTAAGGTCATTGAATTGGTGGGCAGGTTTTTAAGATGTAAAAACTTTGGGCTGCAATGAAGGGAAGTGAACCCCATAGGAAAACGGTGTAGAGGGGCAGCACCGCAGATTTATTATTTGTGTAATGATGGAAATTCCTGAATTATAAATTAATTATAGACTGAATAATAAGCAAGGTGCTTTGTCGAAAAATAAATAAATTATTAGAAGAGTTAGGATAATAAAATATATGCATAAAATATATATGTTGCCTGTCTGTTAGTCATGTTTTGTAGGAACCCATCTCCTCGAGATGTTATTTTTTCCTCATTTTGTGGAAAATATTTAATATGAACCTTATCTTGATGGCCACTAGATTGATTCCGCATGAGCACTCTAGTAGAAAAAAAAATAGCTTTTCGATGAGCTTTGATATAATGATGGAGCTTGTGCTCGTGAGATTATTCTGCTGATAAATAATAAAAAAAATGTGACACTAAGGAAATAATCTACATGGTCAGCATGAAGTCGATGGTTGCGGTGATATGTAATTTAATTCCATTAATTTAAAATATGTTTTAATCCGGTCGTGAATATTCCCATTTGATGGCCTATTTGTCTCTCGATTTGACCTGTCGAAGGTTGATGTCCATGGGGCTTTCGGTGCCTCCAACGAAGACTTTGTTCGGAGGCTGCTGTGGTCAAAGACAAGCTGAAAATTTTGAATTGAAGGCGAGGTCAGGACGTGGACTGAATATTAAAAAGACGACTAAATTTTTCTGTCTGTCATTGTTCCTCTGTGTTATCGTAAAGATTTGCCGTGCATCCGGCGCCCCTTCCGGAAACAACAACTTGGAGCAGATACTACCACACTTCATTGCGATGGAGACGGCACCATCAGTTCCCTCCCCTCTCCTCTCTCTCTCTCTCTCTCTCCAGGAATGTATGGAGAAAATCAAAACTCGACATGATCGTAGACCTCCCCGGAGATATATATATATATATATTATTTATTTATTTATTTATCTCCTTCCCCTAGAGCTTAAGCCGAAGAAGTCAACTACTTATATAACATCGACTTCTAGACACATCAGCGATGATTAGTCTTCAGACTGAATAGAATTCTAACACTGGTGAGATCAGACTGATGGTCTACTGGCTTGTCACCCCATTCTAACTATATTCCACGATCTTTATACTTCATGTATTTCGTGTACATGTAACATGTAACATTCATGGGTGATCTCTTAGACATATTTGAAATTAATTGAATGAAAATTTATGAAGAATATATTAGAAATGGCATGTTTAGATGATAATTCAATGAATACATTTGATGCTCATGATTTAAGTTTCACATTTATTACAAATTTTTGGCTGAAAATCATTAGTTTGTGTGCTTCTTTAAAAGGTGATAACAATTAGGAAGAATACCACTGAAGATATATAATGATGTCGGGATTAGATTTCATTTGAATATTTGTAATAAAATATTGACACAAATTTAGTTTGTATCATAGATGTCTATAATTTAAAATTATTATTTCCATTCATTTTCAATAGAGAATTGAATCTGAATGATATAAAATGGCCCTTTATATTTTTATAAATATTAAAAAATATTAATTAGAAATAACTTTCGAAAATTATATGTCAATGAAGTAATGATATAAAATATGAAAATTAAGATTTATATGTCTACTATGTGCTCTTATTATATTTGATGAGTTTTAGTTTATTATATATAAGCTTGTAGAAGAATATATAAGCACATAATCATTATAATAGTTAAAATATAATTCATAGAATTCAAAGAAGGTAAATAACTGAAGAGAAATTATCAAACTATGAAAGAATCTAATGAGAACAAGTCTTTTACTAAATATGTCTAAAAAAAAATCACATTTCAAAAATCTTTTGAGACAACTATTTCTTGGACAAACAATGGTTCCTTTACTTCTATAAAGCCTCCATGTATAATAGAAAGTACAAAAAAGGGGTTGAACACTAAGTGAAGAAGAGGGGGAGAAGAGGAGCAAGATGAAGACAAATCACAACCTTTGGCCGTTGTAAATTCTCACCCTAAATTCTCCCAAATAGCAAGTCAATAAGATGAGTGACACATGTAAACAAACTCTACTTTGATAGTTATCTTTGTTCTAGTCGAAGTCAATATTCGTCGATGCTGTAAGTTCTCTACTTACTCCAAGATACCTATAACATGAATGAAATCTAAATAACATTTGAGTTTCTCCACCATGACGACCTTCATCAACATATCTACAATATTCTCTTCTATGTGAACCTTCTCTAGAAAGATATCTCTAGATTTCATCAGATCATGAACCTTATGATATCACACATTAATATGTTTCAATTATGCATAGTAGACTTGATTCTTTACTAAGAAAATTACACTCTAACTATCACAATGTAAATGCACTTCATCTTGTCAGTTCTCAAATTCAATTGACAATTTTTTTAAGCACAATGACTCCTTGATTGTTTCAATAGCCACCATATACTTCGTCTCAATTGGAGATAACAGGATAATAAATTGAAGTGTAAACTTTAAATTTACAAACACACTAACTAGAGTGAAGACATAGCCCATTGTAAATTTCACTAGATCTTAGATCTTGTGATACCACACATCATTGTGCTTCAATCGTGTATAGTAGAATTGATTATTTGCCAAGTAAATAGCACTATAACTGTTGCAATGTAGATGCACTTCACCTTGTCAGATCTCAAATTCAATCAATAACCTCTTTAACCACAAGGCCTCCTTAGTTGCTTTAGTAACCACCATGTACTCCACCAACCATAGTGAAAACATAGCATGTTGTAGATCTTTGATGATCTAAAACTCTGAAAAAATTTACATCAACAAAATCAATAGTAAAAAGAGAACTCTATTTGTCAAAGAAACTTATGAAATCTAAGGAACCTTTTAGATATCAAAGAATTCACTTCACTGCACTCTAATACTCATCCCTTAGATTGCTCATAAATCTATTCACAAGCTCAATAGATTGAGTAATATATGACTAATATAAATCATAACATATGAGAGAGCTAATTGTGTTAGCATAAGAAATTTACTTTATTTCAATTATATTTTTCTCAAACATCAGGTACTAAGTAGTAGATAAAATGATTTATTAGAAGAGTGCCGACTACTTTAACATTACTCATGCAAACATATTCATCACTTTTGAAAGATAACTCCACTAAGTCAACTATAGTTATACTCTCTCTTAGTCTCTATGGATCTCTATGTCAATGATCTTCTTTATTGTATTAAAATCTTTTATGTCAAATTTCCTACTCCATAATGTCTCAACCTTATAATTTCTTATAAATTCTTTATAACAATAAGCATATCATCAACATAGAATATCAAATAATCTAGTAACAATCATCACATGTCTTCACATAAACACAACAATTAAACTCACACTTGATATAGTCAATCTACAGTATGTGAAAGTTAATTTTTCTGTACCACTATTTTGGTGACTACTTCGATCCATAAGTGACTTTCTCAATTGATAGAAAAGATGTTCTAACCCTTGCACAACAAAACTCTTTAGGTGCTGCATGTAAATCATCAACTCTAAATTTTCATGAAAAAATGATGTCACATCTAACTATTCAAACTTTATATTTTTATGTGTAGGTTAACACCAGCCAAATAAATGCGTGTGTCACAATAAGAAAAAACTTATCATTATAATCAATTTCTTATTTTTGTACAAAATCTATGGCAACAAGTCTTGCTTTGTGTTGTGGTTGATCAACATCAACCATTGGTGTCTTCTTCTTATATACTCACTTGCAGCCAATAACTGATTTCTTTACAAGTAAATCTATTAAGTCTCATGTGTGGTTCTTGTCCAAGGATACTCAGTCCTTAGACATCACCTGCAATCAATTTTCCTTTTTCAGATAACTAATCACCTCTCAAAAAAACAAAAAACATAGTCATTTAGACAAATAAGAGGCCTTGTTTCATGCCTACCTTGTCTAGTAATAATGCTATTAGAAATATCTAATGATTCTTCTACTTGATCTCCACCTCAAACTAAATTGGATGGACCCTACACATTTTCTACCTCCACCCAAATTCAATCTATAACATAAGTATCATCAGATTTCTAAATCATTTTCTCCATAAAAGACTTTAATAAATTTTTATAAAAAATCACATATCTACTTAAAAGAATTTTCTTTGCCTTTAAATCCCAAAGTCAATGTTCTTTCATGCCATTGCTAGTTGAAGAAGATATATATTTTTGACTTTAGATCAAGCTTCGATCTCTCACCAACAAGAGTAAGGGCATATTCTAGACATCCAACTATACACAAATTTGAATGATCTTATAAGATTTTCAGTCCACACATCTTTTGCCACATTCTCTTTAAGAGAAGAATCTAATAATTTATTTACCAAATAAATCATCATGTTCACAATTTTTATCTAATTTTTTTTGGACAAATTAACATTTAATCACAAACATTATGCTTTTTCAATAATTATGTGGTTCATCCACTCTGTTACACTATTATGTTATAAATTTTTCTTCATTATATAGTGAAGTTAAATGTCATATTCTTCATAAAATTGATCAAATTCAGAATCCTTAAATGTTATGTTATTGTCAGTTTGCATAACCTTAATCTTCCTCTTAGATTGGTTCTTTATATTTGTGCACCAAGTCT